CTGTGTCTGTGTCTGTGTCTGTGTCTGTGTCTGTCTGTTTCTAGGACAGCGAGGTGGGAAATGTATTGCAAGGCAAGACTGGCTGGGAGTTGATTGCAGCGTGGCAGTCACGTCAGGGGTGGTCTGCTAACTAATTCTGTGGTGAGAGCGCAATACAAAGGGGTAAAAGGAGAGAATGCGCGATCCGCGCCAGACGGAGGCTTGGGGGTTGTAAAATCGTGACATCTTGCCCCGTTTGTTGCTGGGCGATATCGTCTATCAGATCTTCTATAGTCAATCGGTAAAGGAGTGTGCGATAACAGAAACGAAAATTTCCAACCACTTGGAGCAAGACTCGTCTCAACCACGCGAGACAGCTTCATGTCAACCTACCATTGCCACCTCCAGGAACAACACCACCCGTTTCATTGCTCCCTTGGTCGCGAATCCGCCCAGTGGAGCACAGGTCTTTCTTGTCTCCATTCAATAGCCAAGCAAGGCCGACGCACCAGGCTCGCTGGAAATGTAAATGACCTCGTGGACATCGCTGAACCCATTGAACTTTGTCGCCGAGCACTTGGTGTACGCGCCCATGTTCTCGAAGAACAACCAGTCGCCGATCTCGACCACGCCGGGTAAGAAGTAGCGGTCGGTGATGACATCAATTCCGTCGCAGGTGGGGCCCCAGATCGAGTACTCGATCAGCTGCTCCTGGTGGCCATCGGGGGGCACCGCGGCGGAAAGAACTTGGGGAATAGGGTGCTGGTGGTCGAAGATGATGTTGGAGAAGTTGCCGTAGACACCGTCGTTAAGGTAGAGCATGTAACCCTTTTCGCCTTCGTGATTGACCGCGACTTCACGTCTCGCAATGACGTTCGTGGCGAGTGTGAACGCATTGGAGGCATAATAGCGGCCAGGCTCGCCAATCACCCGGACGTTGGCGGGGAATTGCTCCTCGAGAGCTTCATTCAGATTTCCTGCAAAAGTCTCAAACGTCTCATCGATAAACCCTCCCCCAACGTCCAACAACTTCAGGTCGAATCCGAGCAGGGCTGCTTGATCGAACACATGTCGCGCGTCTTTGACCGCCTTTCCGAAAGAATTTGGGTCACTTGCCCCAGAGCCTATGTGGAAGCTGACACCGACGAGGTTCAGGTCCAGTTTCTTCGCCAGACCGAGCAGTTCGGCCGCGTACTCCAGACTAGCGCCGTATTTTGTGCTGAGCCGGCATGCACTTTCTGAGTCATCAGTCAAGATTCGGAGCACCAGTTCGGCGTCCGGGTAGCACTCTTTGATCTTGTGGAGTTCATCGGTATTGTCAAAGGTCATCAAGCTGACGCCGACTTTGCGAGCATGTCGCAAGTATGACTTAGTCTTGCACGGCTGTGCGTAGATGATGCGGCCGGGAGAAATGCCAAGCCTCAGCACCAGGTCGATCTCGGCCCTAGACGCACAATCGAATCCAGTCCCCAATTTGGCCAGAAGGCGGAGCACCTCCTTGTCCGGATTGCATTTGACCGCTTTGACAGCTGTTAGCACATGCAAATAATTGAAAAAAAGGGGGGGGAGGGGGGAAACTCACCATAGAACGGCTTAACACGGCCCAGGTTCATTTTCCAACGGAGATGCTGGCGGTACACTTCCCCTAGATCCGCCACGTAGAACGCATCTTCTTCGCCAGGCTCACAAGTATCAACGTTGATACGAGCAATCTGCTCCTTGAGGACTTTTTGAATCAGCGCCTTGGAGGCCAAACCAGTCACATCGGATTCAACGCCATGATTGGTGTCAACAAAATCGATCTTGTCGATTTGGTTGTCAGTCACAATTGTAGTATTGGTTTCTTCAAAAGCGATGGCAGAAGGTGCCATAACCATTCAAAATGGTTATGCTGTGAATTTAGTTGAAAAAAAAATCCCCGACAGGTGTTAGGGAGGTTTTCGGGACTCGGATCCTCTGGGAATTTGGCTGTGCCTCAGCGACTCTCCCTCACGAGGAGGAAGAACCTCGAGTGGCGACCTATGCGGCAGCTGAAATTGGGGAGAGGGCTGGGTCGGAATGTCAAAGTGAAAACACCAAACAGGTCTTGTAGCTTGTGGTTTCAGCAGGAGGCGGGCGAGGCTGATTAACGATGTGACGATGTTTGCAAGCAGATGCACTTTGGTAGCGAAGAGCAAATGATGTTGAAGCCGTGTATGATGTGCCTTTGGTGGCCCCAAAGGCAGATCCGCGAAGTTTTGACAGAAAAGTGTCTCGAGAGGCTGAGGAAGATTGCGGTGAAGTGGTGAGAGAGAGGTGAAGAGCAGCCAGGTAGTGTGCGTTTCTGCTTAATTTTTCGTTGCAATTGACGACGACGACACGGTGGTGGGGGGCAAAGTGTGGATCCAGCTGGGAGTGACTGTGGGAAGCCCTGGAAGCCCAGCAGGAAAAAGTCAGATCCCAGTGACCTCAGTTCTCCAGGCAGAGAGACACCAAGTGGCAGGGATAGGTGAATCAGCTAGCTGCGTTGTCTGCCCGTCGGGTATTGGTCATTCGCTGGTGCTTGGGTGCTGGGTGGTTCCTCCGTTCCCGTTTCCGCCAGGAGATTGAACCGCTGAATTTTTTTTGTATCCGTCGTGCGGGATTTTCAGGGACGCGACCACGTGACTGACACGGATGGCCGGTGTTGTTTGTGCCTAACCGAGGAGATTCCCTATTTCACCGCCATGATGGAAAACCGAGTCGATGCAAGACGGAATATTCTCTAGTCGTAGTCGAGAGCACAGGCGTAAGGTTTCATCGCTGATTCTCCGGGGATAAACGAATCCTATAGGCGAAAAACTCGGCGGTTGGGACATCCACATCTTGATCGGTGTCAATATGGGGAAGTGGAATATTGAGGGTCTCGACTGTGTCGAAGTTTGCCTTGCGCATCCGTGCGAAGAACAAATCGTCCTCTGTGTGTCGTCTTTTGTATCCAACCAAAATGAGCGTTTCGGGCGTACGAGTGGCCAGCTGCCTCAGGGTCTCTACCAGATGCAGACTGCTGTCTGGATTGTAGATGCAATCGGAAACCAAAATGAGATCGTAATTGGCATTGGAGCTATCATCCAGGCTCGAAGCCCAATCCAACACTTCCGACCGAACTGTAGATCCTGCCACAGGCGAAGCGCATCGGATATTGCGCGCCAAGATTTCCTGAGCGTCCTCCAGGTCGGTAAGGAGAATGTCGCATTTGACAAGCTGGGCCAAAGCAATTCCTACTATGCCACAGCCCGCACCGAGCTCCAGCACCCTAAGTCGCCTTACCTTGCTCGACTTGAATAGGGCCGCTAACATGGACATTCCATCAACAGGGGACGTGGACAGCGCTTGTGCGAAGTAGACGAGAAACCCCAGACCCGCGTCCCTTGGTTGACTTGTTAAGTGGTATCGAAACCGAAAAAAGGGGGAACATACCAGATATGCCGTGCAATACTGTCACCAGTCTCCTCCCACATTTTCACGACGCTCTTGTTCGACAAGGCAATTCGTCGCTCAACAATCGGGTCCGTCCGCTGTTTATTAGACAAGGGGAAGATACAACTCCAAACATCGAGAATCTTTGGGATCTCCAACGATTGATAGGCAGAGTCGGCTTCTTTGGCAGTCACGTGGAGCCGCACAGGTCTAGAGACATACTTGCCAGGACAGTGGACAGTAAACTTAAGGGCTCGGGACGAAGCCTGCCACCGAATGGGCTGAGAGTACAAGACGCCATGAGGAGAGTTTGCCTCGACGACATTGGCGACGAGTTCGACATCCTCACTGAAGAATGCGTCCCCCAGATCTGTAGTGACGGAAACTACTGCTAAGACATCGACAGTCTTTTTGCCTACATCGCTTTGCGGAGTGCGCAAAAAGCGAATATACTGGACCATGGCTCCAACGTCGACTGGACTAGACTGGACGTCTGGAGGAAAGAAGAACAAAAAGAAAAGTCAGGTTGAAACTCGCGCAGGGCGGAAGTAGATCAGCTGGACGTTGTGGAGCGGGAAACGGGAAAGTGAGGCGGGCTAGTGCCGTCACCGGATAAACAGTATTGCCGAACCCCGGATTTTTGACCACGTGGGTCGCTGCCAGTCGGGCCATCATCTCCCGCTGTCTGCAGGCTTCCCGCCACCCCCCAGACACTCATCTGGCAATACCGGCAATATCAATTCTGCCCGTGAAGACTCTGGGTTTCTGGTCATGCGACACTCATTGACCTAAGCATGGCCATTGCGAAGCTATTGCGCATCGATACAGCGCGTCTCATCCATGCCCAATCATTGCGCGACTGCCTTACTGCGCTGCCTCCCTACCCCGTAATGTGAATTGTCTGTCAGCCTGACAACTCAACATGAACAACCCCGAATTCCGCCAGACCCTCCACAACATTTCCCATAACCTCGAAACTGCCAATCAAGCGGCTCAGGAGAACATCTACACATTCACCCAACTTTATGTCGATCCATGCCTTGAGGGCATCAAATCCTGTATCTATGCCTGCACTGCGCCTTGTTTCCCCAACAGAGATGATAATATCCGACGAAGGAGGGGCCGGTCGCGTGGCAGAGCCGAATATAACTTTGACTTCTACAATGCCTGGGATGACGACGAGGCACTTGTCGACAGCTCCTTAGGCTGGGGTAATGATGAGTTGGATAGTTTACTCGCCGGTCGTGGTTCGCGGGCGAGCCAGCCAAGAAAACAAAGGGCAATGAGTTATGGTTCTAGAGGTCGTCGGAAACCCTCGGGCCTACAGCCAGATTCTGATCAGGATCCGACTATCATACCAAGCTCGTCATATCTAGGGTTCCTGGAGAGGCTTCCATGGAAGATTGGGAGCAGGAGGCTCCGTTACAAGCCTTCAGCCGCAGATTTGCAAGAAAATCCAGGCGGTGCCCGAGTGCGAGATGCTGAAACCCAGCCACTAATAGAAGAGGCAGATGAAGAAGGTGGTGCGTGGCAAAAAGGTCACGGACGTCAGCGAAGCGATACTGCCGCTTCGAGGTCCACTACTAACTCTCTAAGTTCTCGAGGGGACCTGATTATGAGCGATGAGGACGAAGATGCGCAGCCGCTCGACGACGAATTCGCCGTCATGCTCAGCCGACGTAATACTAACCAAGGTTTTGCTGAAGATCAAAGCAGCGGGAAAACGAAGACATCGAACAGCAAGCGCCCTGGAGTCTCCCGCAATTCCACCCGCACCGTCTCATCCAAGTCGCTGAGAAGTCCCAGTGGAAAAAGTACCCAACGATCAGATTCCCAAAAGAATCTGGCACCTCTATCTTCCGATGTGGTCGAGGAGCACTCTGAACCCCCAACTTTGATGGACCTTCGGCGGGAAGAAGAGCAAGCGGCACAAGAGGAGGAGCTGGAGATCAAACAGAAACGCGAGGCTGCACAGCGCCTAGCTCTCCACAGAGGACTGAGCTCCCGTGACGTTAAGAACATGGTCAATGCAGAAGTTAAACCTGACGACCTTGGCGAACCTGAATGTTGTACACCTGCGAAACTAGACGTCCTGGCGCCAGATCCTACGTCACCCATTGAATCATCGTCTCCAGATCCACAGCCTCGAGAACAAGACGAGTCTACGTCGTCAAGGACAGGCAATCCTAACGACGGAAAAGACCCAACTTGAACCACGACGAGAGAAACCTGATGTCATCCTCACGAACTCTAGATTGTTTGCCCTGCTGATAGACGGCACTGTTTCAAACAAGCGAAGACTCCCATTACAAAATCATGACAGTCGCCACATCGACATTGAAGCGAGCCGCAAGCAGAGAGACCCTGGGCCCATGAACAGACGAAATATCTCCTGATGGCTGTATTGGTGGCCAATTACGACTTAATGATGGGAAAGGAGGGCTATGGCTGTGTGACGCTTAATGTTGTATAGCGGAAAGTGACAGTCACACATGGCCTACATAGCTTGCTGTACTTGTATTGCTGACAACGGTTCCGAGACACTCTCCGTGATTTCAGCTTTCTATATAGCCCGTACTCGGTGTTCCGTACAAGTCGGTTCTTATCTTTAACCAGCGCCGTAGGTGGGGATCGAGCCTCACCAGGTCTTATCTTGTGGCTTCCTTCCCAGACCCAGACGATTGGCTGCGGTGACCCCAAGCCCAGCATCGCCACCCATTTTGCATGCGGCATGCGCTCCTCCTCTCCCTCGTTGAGAACCTCTGGCTCCAGCCTTCCAACAGATCCTCATTTTTTGATGCAAGACACTCTATGTGACTGCCGATGATGACGCCGACTCTTTCGATAGCCATTCCCATCACGATGATATAGACCCCAAGTTCGATCCAAGCAGCAGCGTCCGGTTCCTTACAATTGCAATCGACCCAGGCCTGCCGGCTTCCTCGCGCTGACGGATGGCATGAGCGGCTACAGGATGGAGGACAAAAAGACATGGAGTCCTGAGTCGTCATCGAACCCTTCTGCCTATGAGGGCGACATGGGTAGTGTGCGACGTCCATTCACACGCCGCCTCACCGAGTCCTTCAAGCGGGATCCCAACGCAAGTGTCACGCGATCGGCGTCATTCAGTGCTGCCGATGGGAAGGGATATGACGCTGAAGCGGCTGCTCAGGCGACCGCACTGTCGCCCTTGCTGAGGCGGCTGAAAGGACGCCATCTACAAATGATCGCAATAGGCGGGAGTATCGGCACAGGTCTTTTCGTGGGCAGTGGGAAAGCGCTGGCTTACGGCGGACCGGCCTCATTGTTATTGTCCTTTGCTTTGACGGGATGCATGTTGTATTGCACTGTGCAGGCGCTGGGAGAACTGTAAGTCTCCATGTGTTCTTGTGAATTCGCCATGCTAAAGATCCATCCCAGTGCAGTGCTATTCCCCGTTGCTGGCTCCTTCGCCTCGTACTCGACGAGATTTCTGGTAAGGGCAATTAGCCGCTCTTCCCATCCTGCGTCCCATCTTCCGAGCCCTGACGCTCTTTCTTGTTTAGGACCCCGCCTGGGGCTTCGCCATGGGCTGGAACTATGCCCTGAATTGGTTGACGGTGTTACCGTTGGAGATTGTGAGCGCGTCAATAACTGTGGATTACTGGGTATGGGTCATGCCAGGCGGCGAGCGATATTTGGTTGACGGAGACGAGCAGGTTCAAAATATCTCTCTCAACGCCGCCTGGGTTTCAATATTCTTGGTACTAATTGTTCTGATCAACTTTTTTGGTGTGAAAGGATACGGCGAAGCAGAATTTGTCTTCTCGATCGTCAAGGTTACAGCTGTGATCGGATACATGTAAGGAACCCTTCTGCATCCCGACACAGATGTGTATCGCCCTCAGGCCTGACTTCTGCTGCAGTCTTCTGGGAGTTCTCATCAATATCATGGGTGGCGTCGACAAGAACGGCAATCCTGATGCCAGCTACATGGGCTTCCGACTATGGCATCATCCAGGAGCCTTCCATAACGGCTTCAAGGGACTGTGCAGCACCTTTGTGACAGCAGCTTTCGCTTTTGCTGGAACTGAGCTTGTTGGTTTGGCAGCAGCAGAGACGGAGAATCCGAGGAAAGCGTTGCCTACTGCTATTAAACAGGTGAGTTACATGGAGACTGCCTCCGCGGGGTATCTGACTTGAGCAACAGGTATTCTGGCGAATTACTCTCTTCTATGTTGTCAGCTTGCTTCTCGTAGGCACGCTCGTACCATACGACGACCCCCGCCTGCTAAATGGCCGGAACAGTGCTGATGCAAAGTCAGTTCCATCCCAGCATCCTTTGTTCTCCTTGTCTTTGTGCTTCTATCCTTTCCTAACTCTCGAGACATAGAGCCTCCCCTTTCGTCATCTCGATCCAGAATGCCGGCATTGAAGTCCTCCCGTCTGTCATGAACGTCGTCATCATGATCTCCGTTCTCTCCGTAGGAAACTCTTCCATCTACGGCTCATCACGCACCCTTGCAGCGTTAGCAGAACAATGTCAAGCACCTGCCTTTCTCGCCTATATTGACCGCAAGGGCCGTCCCTTGTATGCAATCATCGTTGCCTCTGTATTGGGACTCCTGGCATATTTAGCGGCCACTCACAAGCAGCAGGACGCATTCAACTGGATGCTCGCCCTCTCAGGTCTCAGCTCGATATTCACGTGGAGCTCAATTTGCCTCGCACACATCCGCTTCCGTCACGCTTGGACCCTTCAGGGCCATTCACTAGACGAACTCGCATTCCGTTCTCCCGTGGGTATCATCGGTTCTTGGGTCGGCCTTGTCTTCAACATGCTCGTCCTGATTGCGCAGTTCTGGACCGGATTCGCTCCCGTGGGCTGGCATCAGATGTCCATTTCGGACCGAGTGGTAAATTTCTTCCAAGCATACCTTGCTGCTCCTGTGGTCGCGTTGATGTATATAGGATACAAGATATACATGAAGACAAAGGTGCTGAGAGCCAGGGACATGGATCTATTTACCGGAAAGAGAGAGTTCAACGTCCGTTTGCTGGTGCAGGAGGAGAGAGCGGACCGGAAGAGATGGCCCAGGTGGAAGAAACTATACAAGTTTCTCTGCTGAGACCATGTTGACTGATGCTTTTGGGTAGGTTACGTTGCTTTGTATGGTCGCGCTCTTGGTCAAACTTGGATGATCACAAAATGAGGGCTCATGAGGATTATGGGCAACTTTGCAGGTGCTTTACGAGGATTACGTTGTACAAATAAATTGATTGTTTCTAGCGAGCGGTCTTCATTTCCACCCCCGATTTCGCGAGTCCTCCCTGGATATGGATATATATATATATCTGCGTGGTTGCAGGAGGAAAAAGAGGGGAATGGTACGCAATGCCGAATACTAATAGTGCCTCTGCCGGCCGAGCCGTTGAAGAGACATGGAGCCTGATGAGTATTTCTGTTCCCATTTCCATTCCCATTCTTATCAAATCATGTCGTTCCACATCCCGAACACAGTAGTACTCCTAGATATATGTATCTACCCATGCGCAGATCGGTTCATCTCGTCGGATGCTCTTTTTGCTCTTTATCACGTGCGCACACGTTTAGGTGTTTATGTGCGGATGTATGCACAGGCATCACCGCTGCTCACCGAGACAGTCGCGAGCCTCGGATGGAGGCAATGGCGCTCCTCCGATGGGAGCTCTCCGCGAAGAGCGCCCTGATCAAGTCGACGACCTCGTCCGCGCTGAACTCCAGACTCAGCTCGCCTTCCGTCCACAGGTACTTGATGTCCACGAGCGAGCTCTCCAGGATGTTGATTAGGTATTGGAAGCGCAGCCAGTTGGAGACGTACACTGCTATCATGGGCACGGGATTTTGAGTTTGCTGCTGCGCGGGGGTTTCGGGGGTTTCGGGGGTTTCGGAGGTCGTTGTTGATAATGTTGCGGTTGGAGGGGTCGAAAGGAAGAGGTCGTCCAGGCTGGCGATCTGCTGGCAGAAGGCGGTGAGTCTGCGCGATTCAGGTTCCGAGATGTCGTCCATCTCCTCGATCGAGGAGATCACTTTGGCGATGACCATGGTCACCAGCGAGCCGATACTTTGCATTAACGCCGACGTCGACAGGATGGGTTTCCACTCCTTGTGCAGCGTGCGGATCCGGTCGACCACCGAAGAGACAGCGTTCTCAATCTCCTGTGAGTAAGGAAACTGGGTGCATGCGGTGAATCCTTGAGCCCCTTCCAACAAGTCCCATACAATGATGCGCTGAGTTTCCATTTCTTTCGAGTATGCCATTTTGGCGAACTTCTCCATGGCTTTGATGTCAGTTTCGATGTGCGGCATGCCCGCTGGTACGGCCATCTCGCGAAGTCGTTCGGCAATGTACAGGGAGTCGTTGTAGCGGTGGATGTCGGTCAGAGAAGAGGAGGCGCCATAGTAGCTGGGTGCTGTGGCGCGGAACATGGCTAGAGCCAATGTAGGCAAGGCCAGGAGTCCTTTTGATGTTGTCGAAGGGTCAAGGCTCTTTTGTTCCATTCGTTCGATGGTTTGGGCGTCCGACAGATCCTTCCCGATTATTTCGATGAGATGGTCTGGGATCTCGCTGATACTGTAGACTTCCATCAATGTGACCTCGTGCTCGGTCTTTTGGGATCCTTGTGCACCATTTGCCTTGCTGCCAGCGTCTTTAGCTGCCTGCTCCGATCTCTTCTCCGTAGGACTCTCATCATCCCAGCCCCAGGCATCTTCATCATCATCCTCTTCATGCTGTGCGACGTGCCCATTCTGCCTATCTTCTTTCTCTTCGCTGTTTTCTTCCTCGTCAAATCCCCAGCCGCTTGTGTCGTCGTCTTCCTCACCGTCGCCTGCATTCGCCATTTCCTCTGTCGACGCTTTGTCCTTGGCATCTTCATCCCAGCTAGCGTCCCAGTCACTTGATCCATTATCGGCTTCCCTTGGTTCTTCTGCAGTTGTTGATATTACCTGTCGTTCTACTCTCGTTACCTGTGTAAGAAGACCTTTTGCAGAAGCAAATGCTTTTCGCACAGCGTCCAGTGTCGCAGCCTTGCGCTTGTTTAGCCAAGTACGCTGGATGTCATCCATCCAGTCTTGGAGCTGGCTTTGCCCATTCCATTGCAATGACTTCAGCTTGTCCAGAATTACAGTTACTCTCTGTTGCAATTTATCGAGATCATCCAGCATTGCGAGGTCAACTGGTAGCTCAGGGGTTAGCCAATCCGATACCAGGAGACTCATGAGGTCCGCAAGCACCGCGTGAACTGCAGCACTTTGTATGGTCTTCGCGAGTGATTCGTGCAGAAAGTTCATAAAGTCAAGCACAAAATCAAGGACCAAATCTATAGAAGGGAGGACTGTGCAGAGTTTGATGTTCAAGGAATGCTGTCCCACGTGGTAAGTCGAAAGTTTCGATCGAGCGGAGCGCCGAAGAGGCTGGAGGATCAGTGCTCTAAGCTTGTCCGTTAGGGGCTCGATGGAATCTTGCACGTCACCCGTGTCGCTAAGAGCTTGGAGGATGGCATCGGAATTGATTTTATCGGATTCAAGCTCCTGGGGTAAAATCTCGAGGCTTGCTTTCTGTGGCTCTCTCCGAATGAGAATCTGTGCATTTAGCTTTGTTTCCAGCTGCAGGCGAGTTTTGAGGCGCAACTCGTCCCTCAAGTCTCGAAGAATGGTTGTTGTCCTAGACTTGAATTCGCTTGTAGGGCTTCTATCCAGCTCTCGCAATTTTGAAGCAGCTCCACAAGGGTCATCATTGGCTAAACGCTCTTCGACGTCTCTCAAGGACTGCGTTGCCAGTGATATATTGCGCAGCTCTTCTCTAAGGGTCTCGGTGAAATTGGTCTCTGTCTCAAGCAGTTCAACTTTGCGTTGGTAGTCTGTTGCCTGGTCTCTCAAGGCTTCGAGTTGCCGATGCTCTTCGACGATGCGTTTGGACTCGAGCTTACAGCGCGCGATGTCCTCCTGAACTTTCTTTGCCTGGGAGATCCATTGATCAACCGACCCAGCCTCGTCCCTGCTCTTTTCTTTGATCTCTTTATTGAGCACACGCCGTGTCTGGGATATTTGGGCAAGGAGCGCAGAGATGGTTGCAGACGACAGATTAGAGGTGATGAGTTGTTCCGACTGCGGGACACTGCCATGGACTATGGCGTCGCACAGGGAAACTGCCGCGTCCGATTCATCAGACATATCTCTCGTGTAATATTGGTCGTGAACGCTTTCGCGGAAACCTGGTCGCTGCTTTGTCGATTCTTTCAAAGCAAAAAGGTTACAACAGTTGCTGAGCAGTCCCACGAACAGACCGAGAGACGCTCTCGTTGCTGATCTTGGTCTCTATGCCCCACCGGAAATTTTTCAGTCCGCAATATTTTGCGGAGTAAAATTGTTTCTTCTCGTGCCCATACTTCACGAAACGTCTGTTCGAGCGCTGGTGCATCAGCAGTCTGACAGGCGGCGCCTTTCCCTGAGCAGGAAGTCAGAAAATCTCATCATGGCCGCATTGTCAGGCTCGGATGGCGATGGCGCTGCAGGAAGTCAAACGCAGGTACGGGTGAGGCTTACCACTCGAGACACAGAACTCGCCGTCGAGGACATCGCTCCAATACTTGTTCCTACATCTTTCCGCCGTCTGGCACTCTCTACCCTTGTCAACAGCCTCCTTGAGACCGAGAAGACGATCCCTTTGGAATTCGTCATCAACGGCACCTATCTTCGGACTACATTGGACGAGTACCTAACGAGCAATGGCATTTCCGCAGAGACAACCCTGTCCATCGAATACGTACGAGCACGCATTCCCCCTCAATATGTGGCATCCTTTGAGCATGACGATTGGGTCGGCGACGTTGACGTCCTGTCCACCACCTCTCCACGAATTCTTACTGCTAGTTACGATGGTCTGTTAAGAGTATGGAATTCGTCCTCCCAGATTCTCGCGACATCTCCCGGCATGGCGCAGGGCGGACATGGTTCTTTCATCAAGTCCGCAAAATTCGTGTCTCCAACTCAAGTTGTCTCGGGAGGATTCGATCGCACTTTAAGATTGTGGAAATACTCTGATCAGGAAGGGTTTGCTGCCAATCTGTCACCACAGATCGAGCTCTATGGGCACAAGTCCTCGGTAGAATCTGTGTGTCCCCATGGTGCCTCTTCCCGAATACTCTCAGCCTCCTCTGATCACTCCGTTGGAATTTGGTCTTCCCGAAAATCAGATGCGCCCGCAGCGCCTGAAGCCCTGGTCCCAAAGACAAGAACCAAGGATCCCAAGAGGAGGAAATTGAATAGCGAGGTTTCGGTGTCGCAGCGCGGCCCCCTCGCGCTGATGCAGCAGCATACGGGACCAGTGTCTGGGGCCATGTTCGATCTCAATGATCCCACGGTGGGCTATTCCACATCCTGGGATCAGACAGTGCGTACGTGGGATTTGGTCACAGCTTCCCCAGTCGACACTCGAACTACGTCAAGCGCATTGCTCTGCATAGAGCATATGCCCTCACTTCATCTCATCGCGGCCGGCTCGGTTAGCCGCGTGGTGAAGCTGGTGGACCCACGGACTTCCGCCGCCACAGTCACGGCCATAACCCTAAAGGGCCATAAAAATTCAGTCGTCAGCCTGGCCCGAGATCCCACCAACGACTACACCATTGTCAGTGGTAGTCACGACGGGACGTGTAGAGTTTGGGATGTCCGAAGCACCAAGCAGGAGAAGGAGGGCGCGGTCGGGCAGAGTCTGTATACATTGTCAAGAGCGAGCCTCAATGGCGTTGCCAGTCCTGCGGTGGGTGATGGTGTCAAAGTTTTTGCAGTGTGCTGGCACAGCCAGATTGGCATCCTCAGCGCAGGTGAAGACAAAGCCGTGCAGATCAACCGTAGCGACGACCAGACCTGACAAGGTGTCCCATGGACAATCTCCCCGCCACGAATCACAAGAGGAGGTCACCAGCAGTCACATCCTTGGCTTGACGTTACCAGAGCTCTCAGTTACCCAGTAGTTCACTAGGAGGTTGAGCCATCAACTTGTCAAGCCTTTCGCGGAGATGGCCAAGCTACGGCAAGCCACAGACGGACAGACCAGGATTGATGACTCGAAATTGACGTTCGCCTGGCTCGGGCAACACTCCTCCTGCTCGGCAAGAACATGACCTTTTCCTCTTTGTGCACTATTATCCGAAGACAAGGTTTCTCCTCACTGTTGGCAGTGGATGCGCTGCGGTGAAAGAGCAGAATAAGTACAGAAGAAACTGGCGCTAGATGACGCCGGAAGACGCAAGGATTCCAGGGACCCGTGCGGACTTCGAGAAACGGACAAGGATAAGCACAGCACGCCACCGCTAGTGACTTACGTATGCTATGCGAAATGACTGGGCGGTCAAGACGGACTCGAGCATCAGGCATTGGCTGTTGCTGGACCAAGAAACAACACGTGCACGTCGAAGATCTCGGAGAGGCGGAGATGAAAAGGCCGAAAAGCGTACAAAAGTGGCAGGTTTGAGGTGGTGCGGCATGCATCAGCACAGGCTACCCGGCAGAGGTCTAGCCGTCTAGCCACATCAAAAGAGATCCGGAGGTATGAGGAAAGACAGAGTTTATGTAGTGGGAGATGCCGTGGATTACAGATTGCGATTGCCAGTGGTACAGGAGTGGATGGAGGAGGAGGCGAGCGAGCAGATGGCGGGAACCTTGCTTGGGAGCAACAATAGCAAAACGGGGTACCTCGTACAGAGCCACACAGTCGATCCGCCACAGTCAGGAGGGGAGAATGTACCTACCTAGGTAAGGGAGGGAGCAGAAGAAAGCTGTCCAGCATCATATGGAATCCAATCAATCAAATGTGAGGAGGTAAAATATCCAATTCAATAATACCCTCGAACTAACCGGCGCGAGTGGGCTATGGCGACGGGGGCCTTTTATTTAAACTGCCACGGTTGCATGATTATTGCGCGGGTGTTTTTGGGCATGAGTGGCCCAGGTGGAGAGAGAAATGGCCTAGGGAGCCACGGTGAACAGGCTGTCCAGGTAGTCCGACGGGCTCCCAAACGCGATCCAAAGAGTAAGTACAAGTACCAAGTACATAAAATACACGGTGGCTGGACCCTGATCCCCGCCGTGTCTTACTGGCATCACTTACCTTCCAAAGCTTGGCTCGCCCGTCTGGTTCCTGAGCCTACCGTTCCTGTTTAGGCGCCTACGAGTAGCAGTAAACACCGACTAGTAGCCTGGTGGCCCGAACCAACCCCTCCCTCCCAGCTCGCCAGGGCCCCCCAAAAGACCAACCGGCGCCCCCAGCCCGCTTAACACCATCCATCCGCACACACTAAACCTACCACCTGCGTCTGCACCCTGCAACCTGCGACTGCGAAAAACCGCAACTCCAAAACTCCCCTTCCACTCGCTTGCCTGCTGTCTGTCCATGATTCAATCCTTCTCACATTTCTTCACTCTCGTTCAAATCAATACACCCATCTTCATCCCTCGTATCTGTCCATCTACTCGGATTCTTGGATATCGCTCGATCGCTGCCCCTTTCGCCTTTCGTCTCAGAGTTTGCTTGACGACTGCCGTCTCAATTACCCTGGGTCCCCCTACCACCACCACCACCACCACCACCAACACACCCCCCTGTGGGCAGTTCTCTCGGTTATACAAGTCCAAAAATAAATCTATCAGTTCGACCATCTGACATAAACGCTTGGTCCAGCGATACCCATCATTCCGTAACGGCACATCAGTTCAGAGTTCCGGGACAGATCGTTCTTGTCGCCCTTTGCTGACGAGAGAAGTTGGGGGAAAAGGTCTAAAGAAGCATTACATTATTGTTGTAGGGCGACAATTGACACTATCTTTTTGGGCCATCGGGCAGTGGTTGCTGACCACATTCTGTATGCAGCTTGCCGTTCGCTGTCCAACTGCTTCCCATGGTTTCATCCTAGTCTTGCACAGCTAAACCTCTTTGCGTTTTGGCTACGGTCCGAACAACTCGACCGTCCCGCCAGACACTCTCTGGCCGTGTCCTTCAATAGTCCCCATCGGGTACCGTCGCGTTCCGCCGAAGCCACCTTCATGCCAATCAAGCTGCCCAAGGGATTTCAACGACGGAAATCTTCAGGCCATGCCTTGGACGAGGTGCGCAACCCTCCCGGCGAGTCCTCCTCTTCCTTCAGAGTTCTGGAGAGGCCAGCAAGCAAAGAAAAATCTTTCGATGGTGGCAGGCATTTGAAGATAGCAGCTACTGGAGCACCGCCGCCACCGCCAAAGGATCACTTTGACCACGGGGAGGTGGATTTATTTGCACTGGCCCGCCCAGATGCAAGCAATCGGTACGCGGAGAACACAATCAAGGTTTATTATACGAACTGAATAAGACTGACAAGACTGTCTAGGGGAAGTGGTGGCACTGAACGTTCCCGTTCTACAGCCCCTAACGACAGTGCCGCATCCTCTGCCCGCCTCAGCACGTCTTCGACCAACCCCTCTTCCATTGACACAAAGTCGGACAAAAACGCTCAAGGAGGCGCTGGATCAAGGCCTTTCAACGATATTCCCGCACCGTATCCTGGGTCGACTCGGCCTGGTTTCATCCGCAGCCCTGCCCGAACATTCTCCTTTGGGGTGGTAAAAGGGAGTCGAGGATCGCCCGCCTCGCCGACCAGTGCTTTGCCTCCATTAATGGACACTACCAGAAACAGGGCAGTCACGACAAGCACCACAAGTACAGCCACACCACCAAGACTCTTTGATACCGACTTCTCACTGGAAAGTTCCGAACTGGATGAGTTCGGAAACATGTTTGACCATATCGGGTCTAGTCATGACGCGGTCCCCAGCCGGCTTATACACCAAGAGGTACGAGAAAGCTCCGAAAGTTCTCACAATATTTCGTGCTGATGTTTCACAGGCCTCGATATCTTCTCCTCCTACACATTATCCTCCGACCTCTTATCCAGGTGCAAGTCCAGTCCGTATCAACCGGGCGGCTCCTCCTAAGCCTATCTCTACCGACCGGTCCCAAGTCGTTGAATCATCTCCTTATTCATGGGCTTCCCATGATTCCAATGATCGTCTGATGCGGTCCCCGAGTCCGTCCAAGACGATTACCCAGGGAAGTCCCATGAAGGCTGGAGAAACTGTGTCACATCCCGGAAGGTACGGCTCCATGTCGGAATCTACAGTTACTGCGAGAGTGCCAGAGGGTCAAACAACCCTTAAACAAGAGGAGGAGCTTCAACCCGCACCCTTAATGCAGACCAAGTCTGCGGACAGCAATACCGCCTTGAAAACTCCTGCTAGAGATGTCGACGGCGGATTGTCTCCAAGTTCGACACATAGCGCCACCTTTGATCCAATTATTGCTGCCGATGCCCAGCTTGCGAATATGTACCAGGAGGCCGAGCCGGTGCCAGCCAAGTCGACTACCATGAACAAGGTAATGACGCCGGCACAGTGGGAACGTTATAAAGAACAAAAAGAGATGGACCGGCGGCTTGGCGCTCTCTCTGATGACAGTGGTTCCGAAGCGGGCGACAATTCCGAAGACGATGACGAGCTTGAACGGAGTCGACAGGCAACAAAACAACGTCGAAAGCAAGAAGCTCACCTGGCCGTGTACCGGCAAACGATGATGAAGGTAACAGGCGAAGCGTCACAAAATCGGTCAGCGAGCAGTCTCAGCATGCTGCGGCCGGCCGACAACAACTCATCAACCGATCTCAATAATCGCTTATCACGGATGACTTTAGACTCTAAGCAGTCCGGTAGGAGCAGTGGGGAGGATGAAGAAGAAGATGAGGATGTGCCGCTTGGAATTCTCGCGGCACATGGGTTTCCCAATAAAAATCGGCCGCCAACACGTCTTGGGAATTCCCCGTCGAACTCCAACTTGCGCAGCGTCAGTCAGGCTCAAGCGGCTCCGTCGGTGACTAGCCAGGCTCCTAAAGGAGGCAACTTACCTGTCTTTGCTCGACAGCTGCCCCCTGATCCCTACTACGGAGCTAGCCTTGTCAATCCCTCAAATCGTGAGGCTCTGGCCCTTCATCCTTCCGGCCCACCCCTAGGAGCTGGCCCTGCAACGGCCCACCCCATACACCCTGCAGGCCTTGTCGGAGTTATTGCTGGAGAAGAACGTGCTAGAGCTGCCCGAAGGGGCAGTCCGAACCCTGCCGGCAACTACGACATGCCTCCAATGGGGCCCCCTCCTGGCATGGTGAGGTCGCAGACTACGGGAACTATGCCCACCATGGGCTATCCGGCCATGGGAATGCCAGGGATGCCGGGGATGACCCCAATGCTGAGTCCTGGGGATCAAGCGCAGATTCAAATGTCTCAACAGATGACTCAAATGATGCAGATGCAGATGCAATGGATGCAGCAAATGTCACACATGATGGTAGGACCGATGAATGCACCGCAAAACATGCCTCCACTCCCAGGTCTACAGATGCCTCCGTTTGGAAGGCCTCAGTCAATGGCGATGCAAAATCCCCCAACTCCCCAAGCGAACCAAAGGACCATGAGTACTCTCAACCCCAGTATGGCGCCCTGGAATAGCAAGCCACCAATGTTGCCATCCATCAATGTCAATGGAAACTATGCGCCTTCAATTGCGCCCTCGGAGCGTAGCAACATTGGCCTAGCATCAAGATATAGGCCCGTCTCCACCGCTCCTGAGCTAGATGTGATGTCTACTCATCGAGCATCAACATTTACGTCGTTGAGTGTGCGACCTTGGTCTACAATGGACCAGGCTCGCCGACCATCCGGGCATGCCACTAATCCTTCGGTTAATACGCTCGGCCGAAGATCGCCGCTGGCGAGCCAGGACGACGATGACGACGAGCAAGGCTGGGCCGAAATGAAGATGAAGAAAGATAAGAAGCAGAAGACATGGGCCCTCCGAAAGGGACAGAACACGCTTTCAGAACTGTACGCCAACGCCTCGTAACGATCCCGCACTTCAGCACTTTCAATGTCTAATATGGGCGTCCTTACGAAACGATGAGGGGCATTGCAGTGTTTGGAATTCTGAGACGGCAAAGCATATATCAGCATTCTGGCGGAAATTGGAAAAAAAGTTATTTTGGGTAATGGTATCAAGAGTGAGCGCGATAGAAGCTCCCCTTCGGATGTATAGAGGGCGAGATGGAACTTCCAGAGACATATTATACGCACAAACTGCATAGTTGTAAAATAATCACAAATCAATCTATCCTGAGAATTGACTGTTCGTGAATATCTCCTGTCTCGCTGTGATATACCGAGTACTGAGTATGGGAACGCGCGAATTGATGCCAAGAGTTGATATCTTGGGCGAGGCGGCGACGATGGTGACGAGGCCGAAATTGCTGACTGGCGGTCGGCGCAAGATCTGACCCAGGCTTGCCCAGGCACCACTACCGCCACCACCACCAAACAGATCCTTCTCGCCTCCTTGTCCGTTGGTTTCTTAGCGAGAAACCCCGAACTGAAAGCAAGCGAATGTTAGACGAACACGAGGTCGTTGCTGCCTTCACCGTTACACTCATCACATTCGTTGGACCAACCTGATCGACAACTCCGCCGACCGTTGCGCTCCCTTACAACCGTTTGTCTCTAAGCGTTCACTGTCCAGTCTAGGCGTTGAGCAGTCGGTAGACCGGGGAAGAAGGCATATACAAACAGCACATCTGACGGCCGGTGAGTTAGATGATAAGCAAAGAACTGTTCTTGTTGAGTTGGTGCTTGCTCCTTTTCCACCCTTGCTAACCGCATTGCTCGGAACAAAAACCTGAGGAACTATTTGGAGCCTCATGCGCGCAAAGCTTGCGATCCTTCTCACTTCTCTGCTTGTTTGCTTGTTGGCGACTCTGATTCCGAACGCTCTCGACCGCGTCCTCCCGCTGCTGCTCCACGGCAAGGACCATCAGGCTAATTTGACTTGGGCATTTCAGCAGCAATTCTTATATCTTCTTGATCAGGCTCGCACAAAGGCCCCCTCCCTCGCTGACATGGTCTCCATCCGGGCTAAGCCCCGCTTCCGACAACACCAAAGAATCGAGCCGGATTACTGCCCCTGCACATTGACGCAGTATGAGTCTGAGCGCACTGGCATGCGAGTCATCGTGGTGGACCAAGAGGGCCCCAAGTTACACGGCTTCTTTGTTCTTGCCACCGAGATCCACGATGACTCTGGGGCACCGCATACGTTAGAGCATCTTTGCTTCATGGGGTCCAAGAGCTACAAATACAAGGGCTTCTTGGACAAACTCGCTACACGAGCATATGCCGGCACCAACGCGTGGACAGCTACTGACCACACAGCTTACACTCTAGAAACTGCGGGCTGGGCCGGCTTTGCTCAGATCTTACCAGTCTACCTGGAGCACGTCATTCTTCCAACGTTGACAGATGCGGGCTGTACGACCGAAGTGCATCATATCGATGGAAGTGGCAACGATGCTGGTGTCGTATACTCGGAGATGCAGGGCGTGCAAAACATGGCGTCGGAACTGATCGAGCTCCAATCCAAAAGGATCCTGTATCCCGACGGGGTGGGTTATCGCTATGAGACTGGAGGCATGCTGGAGCAGCTCCGTGCCCTTACCGCCGACCGCATTCGAGAATTCCACCGGGAGATGTACCAGCCAAAGAATCTCTGCGTTGCTATCTTTGGGGAAGCGAATCATAACGAGTTGCTGGCCATCCTGGATGAATTCGAAACCTCGATCCTACCCCACATTCCAAGTCCAGACGGCCCCTTTAAGCGACCATGGATGGAGTCCAAACTGCCGTCATCGTTGGAGGAGACGACGCTGTTGAGAGTCGAGTTTCCCGAAGAGGACGAATCTTTTGGTGAGGTTGATATTCGGTTCTTGGGCCCTAACTGCGCAGATGCGTTGGAGGTAGGGGCCCTGAACGTTGCTCTCAACTATATTGCCGGCTCTTCGGCTGCACTCCTTGACCATGTCATCGTGGAAAAGGAGCAGTTGGCAAGCGGGATTTTCTACCAGCTCGACAGCCGCCCGCGGACGGAGATCCAGTTTTCCATGTCCAGCGTCGAGACCAAGCGGCTAGAGGAGGTTGAGAAACGCTTCTTCGAGGTGTTGAAAGATGCGATGGAACAGCCTCTGAATATGGATTTCATGAAGGATTGCATCGACCGTGTGGTGAGAACCAGCAAGTACAATGCGGAGGGCTCCGCCACGGCGTTTGCGGACTTCATCATCTCCGATTACCTGTATGGAAACAGAGATGGGACAACCTTGGAAATTGTAAAGTCTCTGAAACATTATACCGAGATCCTCACAAGCTGGACGGAAGAGCAGTGGAAAGTCTTCATCAGGAAGCACATTTCTGATGCGCCTCATGTGTCGGTCCTGGGCGTTCCTTCTGCACGCTTATCAGAGAAGCTGAAGGCGGATGAGGCCAATCGAATCGAACAGCAAAAAGCCAGATTAGGTCCAGAAGGATTGGAGAAAATGCAAAGAAAGTTGGATGAGGCGAAGGCCGAGAACGACCGCGAGATCCCAAGGGACTTGCTAGGAAAATTCAAAGTCCCCTTGACAGATTCGATCCATTTTGTGACAATCCTCGGCGCTCGAGCAGGCCGGGCATTGGATCTCGGGAGGCGGAGCAACAAGTACCAGAAAATCATTGATGACGATGCAAAAGACGTACCACTCTTCCTCAATTTCGAACACATACCAACCAACTTCACCCGAGTCCACATGATCATTTCTACCGAAACTCTTCCAGACGACCTCCGACCACTCCTGGCCATCTACATGGAAGCTTTCTGGAGCCTGCCCATCAAGCGAGGTGACGAGATTATCGATTTCCGCCAAGTGGTCACCGAGCTCGAGCGGGATACCGTAGGCTATTCAATTGATGCGGCGAACAACCTGGGCAATGTCGAAGGCATCAGAATAAGTTTCCAAGTGGAGAGCGAACGGTACGGAGTGGCCGTCAAGTGGTTGACCGAATTACTTTACAACTCCATCTTTGATGTGGAGCGGCTGAAGGCTGTAACCACTCGTCTTCTTGCAGACGTGCCCGACGCCAAGCGCAGCGGAGATGACATGATGATGACGGTTCACTTCATGACGCACCTGGCTCCAAAATCAATAACCCGTGCAAGGACTACATTGGTCAAGGCACTCTATCTGAAGAGAATCAGGCACTTGCTCAAAGTGGATCCCGAACGAGTCGTGAGCCAGCTGGAGCGACTACGCAAATTACTATGTCGCTTCGAGAACTATCGTGTCCTCGTCATCACCAATCTGGAAAAGGTGCAAAAGCCCGTGAGCACATGGAAACCATTCCTGGAGAAGTTGGACCCGACAAAAGAGATGACTCCCGTCGGTCGCCGCATCGAGCGACTCAGTGAAGCTGGTATGAATCCGGGGAAACTGGCCTACGTCGTTCCGATGCCCACAATTGATTCGTCTTTCGCGTTCGCCGTGGCCCGCGGACCGACTTCCTACGACGACCCGCAATTGCCGGCGATAATGGTCGCATTGGCATATATGAATGCCGTCGAGGGGCCGCTCTGGGTCGCTGTGCGAGGCACCGGGTTAGCGTATGGAACCAACATGGGTTTCGACGTCGAATCCGGGTTTATCCACCTAGACGTCTACCGTTCCCCCGATGCATACAAAGCATTCGAAGCATCCCGAAAGATAGTCTCTGGCTACATGACTGGGGTTGTCGACTTTGACCCACTTATGTTGGAAGGAGCGATCAGTTCTATCGTGGTAATGTTTGCAAATGAGCAAGCCACGCTGGCGAGTGCCGCAGGGATGAGTTTCGTTCGAAGCGTAATGCAAGGTCTGCCGGATGATCATATGCAGAGGATGTTGAAGAGGGTGCGACAAGTGAGTGTGCAAGACATCAAAGATGCACTTGAGAAGGTGATTTTCAATATATTCCTACCTGGGAAGGCGGATATCGTGGTGACATGTGCGCCGGGACTGAAAGAGGTGAGCATTCCTGATATTTGATGTTGATCTTCTCCCTCACTTAGATTCATCCCTGGTTCCTGATTGCCCTACCGGTGCGAAGATGCAGACTGGCAATGTATCTCAGACCAAATGAGCTGACAATATCGATTCGACGACAGGCAATTACCGATGGCTTGAAAGGCGCGGGCTTCTCTCCCGAAGTCCGGGATCTAAATTATTTCCAGGATGACTATGGGTTGAAACCGGTAGATGGTGAGGACGAGGAAGAGGAGGACGAAGAGGAAGAGGAAGAGGAAGAGGAAGAGGAAGATGGAGAGGTAGATGATGACGGCGAGGAGGATGGAAAGGAAGAGGGCGATGACGACTCAGATAGCTTTGGAGGGAGCGAAGGTTATGAGATCATAGAAGGGAATGAAATCTGAGGTTGAAGGTAAAGGAGAAGATGGGTCGGCGTTGCAAGAGTTGTTAGTTTCGAGGCGAGATTTGATACGGGAGAGAGGCAGAAGCCACCATCTTGCTTAAGTCGAATGGCGTGCCTTGTGTTTTCTAGAATAAACAAAGAGAAAAAGATACCCGCAGTCTAGCCCAAGAAAGAAAAGAGTATGATATTGATTGCAGACTTGGTGGACATGAATGGTTTACTCGGGTGAATTTGGCCCTTGTTTCAAGAGTGAAGAGCCGTCGCCGTCGGCTTGAATGGGTTTTGCAAGATACTCCCGAGTCCCCTACCCGGTCACAGCCTCGCCACTATCTCGTACCCACCCGAGACCTCTCGTTATGTATTGATGTGTCTTGGCTACAAGCTCGCCGAGTACGTATGGGCCAGATTCGCAAGAGCAAGAGTTGAGAGGGCGATTGACGGGCATGCTGTTTGGTCTTTTTTGGCAGCTGGCTAGATTGTCCCTTAATGAAATGCATCAGGCATCTCCGCGTTCAGGGAGCCGAGATGCACAGGTCACATACCGGAATAAGTATGGAGTAGGCTATCGACCTCGCGGGGACTCCAGAGCAACACTCCAACATTCATTCATTGCTTTGGAGAGATTTGGAGATGCGAGTGCCACCACAACCTTGGTTTAATCTCTTTCCCCTCAAGATCACGGTTCTATTTAACTTTCAGACGTCCGACCTCATACCATGACGAGCCAGCCAGTTACAGTCTATTCCGTCGGCCTGGCTCCAACAAGGGGAACGCCCCAAGTGCACGAAGACAGTCAATGGCATCGTCAAGTTCAACTCATAGGCCCGCATTCCAAGATGAGCCTATACCAATCTACCCCGACCTTCCAGGCAAAATCGCCATCGTGACGGGCATCGGGCAGTACGGCGACCCCTCGGTCGAAGACAACTGGGGCAATGGGGCCGCCGCGGCATTTGGGCTCGCGCGCTCCGGCGTCAAGGTCTTCGGCTGCGACTTGGACCTCGACGCCGCAGAGCGCACCAAGCGTCGGATCCAGAAGTACGTGCCCGACGCGGTCGTCGACGTCATGGTGGCCGACGCGACCAAGTCCGACTCGGCGGCGGGCTTTGTGGACGCCGTCGTGAAGAGGCACGGCCGCATCGACATCCTCGTCAACAACGTGGGAGGCGCGCTCCGGGGCGGGCCCGTCGAGATGCCCGAGGAGGTGTGGGACGAGCAGTTCGACGTCAACCTGAAGTCCGTGTATATCATGTGCCACCATGTGCTGCCGGTGATGGAGGCGCAGCGCGCCGGGAGTGTGATCAACATCGGCAGCATCGCGGGTCTGCGGTACATCGGCAAGCCGCAGGCGGCGTACGCGGCGGCCAAGGCGGGCGTGCACATGTTCACCAAGCACACGGCCGTCATCTACGCCGACAGGGGCGTGCGCATCAACGTCGTGGTCCCCGGGCTGATCTTCACGCCGATGTTGGCCCGGACCGCCAACTACTACGGCGGCAACTACGACGAGTTTGTCAAGACGAGACACGGCCAGGTGCCCACGGGCGAGATGGGCACGAGCACCGACGTCGCCAACGCCATCCTGTTCCTCGCCAGCACCGTCGCATCGCGCCACATGACCGGCCAGGAGCTAATCATTGACGGCGGCATGACCTCCAGCACCGGCAGCCTCACGAGCGGAATGGCCGAGAAATAAAGTGGACAAATCCATGGTTCAAAGCAGTCAGTGGTGACATGTTTAGCTAACTAGAAGCCTCTTCGCTACGTGCCTAGGTACATAACATAGATACTTTTGCCCGCCTATCTGCTGTTGACTTGTCGGATGAATCGATCATTCCCGCAGAGCCCACCATCAAGTCTATCCCAGACGTAGAGGGCACAAACCTAGATCAGGGGACTATCATCCGGGTTGAATGCCTGTGACTACAACTTTTCACCTTCTGTCCCTAAAAACGCATCGTGAAGACTTGGGATACCCAGTCCTACGGCTGCTGTGGCACCGGCGTCGACAGGCAGGATTGCGCCTAGGAAGGTTTCCGTCAGCGTTGTCTTTGACCGCCGACTATGCAGCATAGAGTCCATTTCTTTTCTTTTGGAGAGCCGGGATGCCGCCTACCAGTTATCCATCGAGCACAATCAGATGCAAGAAAACGAACCGCGGCCCCGACGTCCCAACCGCTCCCTTCTGTGCGTAGGATGCTGCGGGAAGCCCGTGCCTTTCGCTCTGCTTCGGACATGCCGCCCTCGACGCCGCTGGGTGCCCGACATGTCAGATGTTTGGCAGGAATGCCCTCTTTGAGCTTTGGTTCACTTACTACATCATGGGAGTGTAGACCATTCCTGAAGGTTCCAATATATTAATCAGAATCAGAATCGAAATCAAGCGCTCTTTCGAAGGCTCCAAAGCAGATCAACTCACCCGGACAGACGCAGTTCACTCTGACGCGGTCCTTCCCATGGTGGGTTGCCTGACATGATTGTCAGTCGATGCCTTCTGTCTTGGACCCAGGATTGGATGCAACGTCGATGTCCATGCCATCGTCGGCATTCAACCTACCATCGCGCGGGTGAGGTTGACGACGGATCCCTTGGACGTCGGATAGAATATGGCTGGATGGCCACCGCGGAGACCCGCAACACTCGCGAGGTTGACAATCGCCCCAGCGCACTGGCCGTCGTTCTTCTTCATTTCGGGGATGGCATATTTGGCCATCATGATCATGCTTCCCACGTTGACTTCCATCGCCTTGTAAAAGGCCTGCATATCGACTTCCGTCGTGGTTCCCTTGGGCCCTGTAATTCCTGCCCCCAAAAGAGTCAAAAACAGGAAATGGCTGCGACTGTGTCCAAGACATAGGAACAACTCACCGACATTGTTCACTAGGATGTCTAGACGTCCATACTTTTCCACGGCGCGGGCTACAACCTTCTGGCACTCGTCCTCCCTTGTCACGTCAGCTGACACAGCTAGCCCGGCGCCGTTCCCATTTGATTCGATCATCTCGACCGTCCTCTGGGCCAGGTTGTGCTTCAAGTCGACACACACCACCGAACAACCATCTTGAGCCAGTAATAGAGCCGCAGCACGTCCGTTTCCGATCCCATCTCCGAGAGCTCCAGCGCCGGTGACGATGGCAACTTTGCGATGTAGGAATCGCTCGGGCGGTTGGTGTGACATGTTGTCAGTCACAGGGTATTCCTTCGGTCAATGGCGGCCAAAGTTTTGAAGAGCAAGAGCCGCCGGTACCTAATACACATCAATAGCAAAGATGCACCCAAGGGAATTGCTACAACCTCTCTAAACCTTGGCGCGGAATTGTAGTCTTGTGTTAGAATCGTTCGACGTCAGCAATCTTTGCCACTGAAACGCTCGCGGAAAGATAATTGACGAGGTACATAACCGGAGCCCAGTATTGAGCACGACGGACAAATGCCTGCGGGGTCTGCTGGTACTTTACCAAGGTACACCTTTGTAGTCCCGATCGACTCCAAATATGTGATGTAGCCTTGCTCGAATTGAGAGAGGGCGCCCCCGCAAGCCGGGGAAACTGTACTCGGTAAGTCGGCTTCGTGGCCGGCGATCACTTCTTTCTTATGACGAAGGGCGTCTGCTCAGCTATACTGGTATGATGTTCCCTATATCACGAGCGACGGTTTTGCGGGGAAAGTGGTAACCAGGATCCTTACAAACTGCCACGCATCTTCAATCTCTTCGGCAAGGCGATATTGGGACTTTGGATCGAGTAATCGGACGCTGGCGACACAAAAAGACACAATGACAGCTCCGGTCCAAGGAAATGGATTCGCTGAAAGGGACAACAGAGCAATTCCTTTTCAAGGTGACCAGCCCTACGGAATGCCTGCAGACTTGGTGATTGCCGGCGCGATGGAGGTTGACACCACCGACGAACGCCTATGGGTCAGTCTGGCATGCGTCTTCTGTTCACCTTTCCAACCCACCACTACTCACTGGATGTCGTTGACCGTTTAAACTTGTTTTAGGTGCCACAAGCTCCATCCGTTCATTTTCGGCCTCTTCTGTTCAATGTGAGCCAGGGCTACTTTGTCAACATTCTGCGGGTTCGAAAAGCTGGCGTCCTGTCTCGCCACCAGCACACCGGACCGGTCCACGCGTTCACGCTCCGTGGGCGCTGGCACTACCTCGAACACGACTGGCGGGCGCAAGCGGGCAGTTACAGCTTCGAGCCCCCCGGCGAAACCCACACGTTGGTGGTGCCGGATGACTGTGAGGAAATGATCACGCTGTTCCACGTCACAGGCGCGTATGTGTACTGCGACCCCCACGGTAAGGCAGAAGGGGTGGAAGACGTCTTCAGCAAGCTCAAGCTGGCTCGCGAGCATTACAAGAGAGTCGGCCTGGGCGAGGATTTCGTGGACAAATTAATCAGATGAGAAATTGAACAGGGAAGATCGATCGAGGGAGAGAGGGAAGTGCGCCCATAATGAAACCGACGACGTGGTTTGCTTCGCTGCTTCTTTTTTGCTCCCCGACTGTGAACTTCGTTCATTTTCAACCAAGGAAGCAACGTAAATGAGAAACCGGGACTCGATACCGGGTGAAGAACTTCAATGTTTTGTCTGTTCCCTTTTCCTTGATGGCCCAAATGGCCCCAAGATGGCCCCATCCGGGCCCCATTTTGCCCCTTCCATTTCATGGGTTTATCATATGCGTCGCCGTAGGGTACTGCGTGCATTGAGAGTATCCCTCGCCGTACTGACCCCTACTGCCCCTGTTGGATTGCCTTGTCTTGGCATTTTTGTCACTGATGTCAACCTTTTCTTGCCTATTCAACCTCGAACTCAACGCCTTCTTCACAACCTCAGGTACCCTTTTCTTTCCACCTCACCCTCTCTTTCTGCTTCATATCTTGACGTCTCAAGGCTGGACTGGACTGTGCCGTGGCGGATGACTCGTTGATGCTCAAGTTCCAAGTCCTGGACCTCCGGACACCGAGTGCCAGGAACAGTCCCAAGGCACGTTAATCGCAAACGCAATGCCAGTCATTCTTCCGCCATCACTGTCACACGACTCCGTTGACTCGACGGATCGAAGATCTTTCTCCTCGATCTCCATTTAGTGAAAATCATAATATAGAGCAAATGGCCCCTCCACAAGGGCAGACCACATATAAGAAACAGCCCGGGGTCCTATCAATCTCCAAAGACAGGAAGTCCGTGTCATGGACTCCAGCCCAGCCGCCAGATGCGGCTCCGACCCTGGTGCTGTCTGCGGCGAATATTACGAACCTCCAACAGACGCCCGAGACGAATCCCAAAGTGATGCTCAAAATATTTGCGCAGGATCCCGGGCAGTCAGAACCAGTCGCCCATGTCTTCACTTTTACGTCTTCCAAAGATCCACGGGGTGAGGCCAACGGCATCAAAGAGGCTCTGGCAAATGTCATTCAAGCACAGAAGGCGGCTCAAAATGCTGCTGCCACTGCCTCGGCGGGCCAGTCCGCTGCCATGACAATGGCCAACGCCATTTCCGGCATTGGCCGAGCAACTAATATCTGGGAAGACGATGAGCGGCTCAAGTCCGACATCAAGCTCCAGCAATCCTTAATGCAAGAAGAGCCAATGTTGCAAAAGACATTCAAGGAAGCGGCTAGTCTCAAGCCCGAGTCAATGTCCGATGCACAATTTAGAACCCAATTCTGGTCCTCCCGAGTGCATCTCCTCCGAGCCCACGCCCTCTCCAAGAGTCAAGGGAAAGGCAGCTTCAATGTTTTGGCCGGGATCAGAAAGGATGATGGTGGCAAGATGAGCCTTAGGCAAGACCAGATTCGCGCCATTTTCGAACAATACCCGGTCATGCGAATCGTCTATGACGAACTTGTGCCACGCAAGATCGCTGACGACAAAGATTTCTGGTCGAGGTTTTTCCAAAGCCAGCTGCTCATGAAACTTCGTGGTCTCAAATTCGATCCAGTGAGGGAATCCAGGGATCAATATATCGACGTCGACCATTACCTGAACCACCCCTTGGTTACTGGTCTGCGGCCCACAGCAACCGAGATGCACATTCCCAAGTTTATCGACCTGGAGGGAAACGAGGAGAATTACTTTGGGTACGGCAATCGACCCGAGACGGAGCTGCGGCCGACAATGCTAGACAAGGCGCCCATTATTCGGAAACTCAACGCGATCAGTGAGAAGCTCATGGCAGCTGTCAAACCCTCCGACGTTGATGCATCTGCACCGATTGGCATGACCGAGGCCGCGTATGAACAGCTCAAGCTCCGCGATTTGGAAGGTAATCCAGAACAACAACGCATCATTCTCAACATCCGCGATCAGAGCCGCTTCTTCTCCGACGGTCAAGCTGGTGCAAGTACCGCCGTTGAAAGCAACCCATTTCGAAACATCGATCCCGCTAAAGCGATTAAAGACGCGCACGCCGATATATCCACGCATTTCTCTCAGCCTGGCGTTGGTGTCATTCCTATCGGTGAGTTCGAAGAGGACGAAGACGAAGAGATGGATGACGACTCTTCTCCAAAGATGGAAAGCGGTTCCTCAGTTGCGATGAAACATGTCCTCTCCCTCATCCGAGCCCACCGGGACCAGACCTCAGCGATACCAGAGGCCTCTGGGCTCAGCACGGAACTCTACGACCGACTCACCCTCACACACGCCACAACGGTGGAATTCCTACGGCAGTTCTGGAACGCATTTCTGTCCGGAGACCCATCTCGCGCGAATGAACTGGCCAGTCTGGTCGAAAGCCTCAATCGGGCACTGGAGCGTGTTAATGCCATTGCTGAGGATGCGGAGAAGGAAAGGCAGGAAATCATCCGAGCAAAGGAAAAGGAGCTCAGTGAACGACCTGATAGGTCAGGCAGAAGACATAAATTTCATCACGGTTCGGTCAAGGGCGGACGGCATGTCGTCAAGCAGTTGCTTGGACCTAGCGTCAAAAGTTTGGATATTGCGGTGAGGAGGTACAAGCAAGCCTATGAGGACCAGGTCAAGAATACCGGCGAGGGATGAATCCTGAATGCAGCTTCCTGGTGAAAGACGGATCCTCCCTCCATCTAAGAGTCTCCGGCCCAGTCTTCCAAAGCCTTCTCCGGAAGTACAAGCAGCCATCTTCCGGACCGAACAGACGGGGCACTTATTGTCCAACCGCAAGAAGCAAGTCAAGTGCGAATGCGCCCGACAAACTGTAGAATGATCTCGACCAGATCTTCCAAGGTCGGCAGCCCGCTGCACTGCCTTCTCCGTTAAAACCCGACCTAGCTTATATCCAAGGCCGACAACAGAGCTCCAGGCAAGATATCGACCAGGCCGGCACATATACAACCAATTGCCACAACAAAAAAGTATTCATCGGTCGAAGACATTTAGACTATATGTGACACTCTAAATTCCAAGTGCTGGGATTGTACTAGATAGCAAAATATTTCATTTTTGGTTTCTACAGAGCACCTAGAATTGCCCGTCTTCAGTAAACGAACCCTCCGTTGTTCTTTCTTTCTTGGTTACCTACCTCTAGGTCTTTGATGTCGTTGGAGGGGATGGCGCTTTTGAGCCCCCCTTTTTCCTTTTTTTCGTGTGTATGTGTCTTACAGTGATTTAAAACGGGGTGAGATTTTTGGAACCTCTACTGGAGAGACACGCGGAGAGAGAATAGATTCCTTTCACGGCTTTTGAGCTATTTTCGTCTCGGATCTAACTGAGGGCCGCCTGGCTGGAGGGATATCAGATAGACATGGCCGGCATGCTCAAGAAGACCCCGTGAAATAGCCCAATATCTGCCTCCCAAAGCCTCTCCGCCGACTCTCCTGCTCCCCGCCGCCAGCACCGCCGACACGGTCGCTCACATTCCTCATTCCGTCCGCCGAACTCCCCTCTTCCTCTAACCTGCGCCTGAGCCCTTCGTACTGGCCCCGTTCTTTCCTCTTGCTCGACTCGCCGACCATCCAGGCCGGAATCCTCCATCTCCCCAGTCCGCCCGGTAACAGTTCGCCCATCCAGGCCGTGCCCACCGTCCATCCGACGGCTGCGGGCAGGATAGAATAAGGAAACTGGCTGAGCGCTAACTGCGCCGCTAGCAAGTACGTCGTCGACTTGTCACTCAACACCACGCCTGGCACCTGTTCTCGCCCGCCACCGGTGGTCGTTGCGGCCGGAGACGTCGTGGCGATCTTGTACCGGTATATGCGCGGCACCTCCTCAGCCCAGGCGCTCAGCAGGGCAAACACAAGTCCCGTCGACCCGCTCGGCACGTAATTATACCAGCCCAGGGTGCCGAGTTTCAAGACGACCACCAACAAGGGCACGACCACGACATTGCACCAGAGCACCACCGCGACAAAGCTCGCGAACTTGCGACTGCCCCATATCCTTTCGAGCACTCGGAACTGGTACAACAGGACGGTGGAGAACAGCAGCTCGGTCGAGGTGGTGTAGGCGGCCTGGTAAGTGAGGAGGCGGGAGAATTGCAGGTACGGCCAGAGGTGCGGGTGCGGTTTGATGGGTAGGAGGTACTGGATGGAGAGCGTCGAGACCAGGATGGACACGCCGATCGAGGTCAGGACGAGGAGGCGCGTGATCGGGGTGTGGCTGAAGCCTGAGGTGGTGACCATGTTGGGGGTGAAGGAAGGCAGGTCATGGAGCTGGCTGGCTTGTGGCTGGATTTGAACGACGAGGGAGTCACTTGTTACAATCTTGACATTGTTTGACAGGTGGCTCGGTGGAGACGATGTGGGAAGCCGGAGGAAAGTAGAGTGGCAGACACAATGGACACATGGACACAGCGGCGAGATGACACTGCGGGCGGAGTCTCGTTGTTCCCCGCATCTACGTTTCCCAGCTTCGACAATTCTTTTTCTTATTAATTCTTGCCATCACCCACAAACTCTACCCCCCCAAAGCCCACGGCAGGCGTGCACCAGGAGATGGATGAGGCGTCTATGCCTGGTGCCTTTCCGGCCGCCGCAGACGAGAATATTCCCAGCAGCAGAACACCCAAGAGACGGTTCGTGGGAAGACGCACGGTAGAGGCGCAGGCAAGACAGAGACTCGACGACAACGCCAATTCCACCGTCGAGGAAACCACTGCGGTCACCAACAGGGGTAGTTCAGGCAGCCACATTACAATCCCTCCACATGCCATATCCTAACAGTGAAACAGGTCAGCAGACGGCTCCAAGGGTCTTGAACCAGGTGCCCTCACAAATCCTCGATGACCCCGATATCCATGCGGCGATTGCCTTGCTCCCTCACAATTACAGCTTCGAGATCCCTAAGACCATCCACAGAATAAGGACCCTCGAGGCCAAGAGAGTGGCTCTACAATTTCCCGAGGGGCTGCTGATGTTTGCCACCACCATCTCGGACATCCTGACTCAGTTCTGTCCTGGCACAGAGACCTTGATCATGGGAGACGTCACGTATGGCGCATGCTGCATTGATGACTACACTGCAAGAGCCCTAGGTTGTGACCTGCTGGTCCACTACGCGCATAGCTGTCTGATACCAGTCTCGGCGACCAAGCTCGCCACCCTGTACATCTTCGTCGATATCTCCATCGACACCAAACACCTGGTGAGCACACTGTCCCGAAACATCCCGCCAGGGAAGACAATCGCCATGGTGGGTACCATTCAGTTCAATGCCACACTTCACACCATCAGGCCTGCCCTTGAGGCCGAAGGTCTAAAGTTGGTTGTGCCACAAATCATGCCTTTAAGTAAGGGCGAAGTGCTGGGCTGTACTGCGCCCAAAATCAACCCGGATGCCAATGTTGACCTGATCTTATACCTGGGCGATGGGCGCTTTCACCTTGAAGCAGCCATGATTGCAAACCCCCATCTTCCCGCCTATCGATATGATCCGTATTCCCGAAAATTGACAAGAGAAACTTACTCGCATGACGAGATGCTGAACATGCGCGCCGCTGCCATCAGCACCGCAAGGAACGCTAAGAGATGGGGTCTCATACTGGGGGCGTTGGGACGACAGGGCAACCCGCACATCCTGACCATGATCGAGAACTACCTTGACAGAGAGGGCATACCGCACGTCAACCTTTTGCTCAGCGAGATCTTTCCGGGCAAGCTGGCCATGTTTGAAGATGTGGATTGCTGGGTGCAGATAGCTTGCCCCAGGCTGAGCATCGATTGGGGTTACGCCTTCCCGCGACCACTGCTGACACCCTACGAAGCCCTTGTGGTGTTGGGTGCACGGCAAGGTTGGGAAAAAGGAGACAGGACTTATCCAATGGATTTCTATGCCAACAATGGCCTGGCGCGGACAACCGAGAAGCTCGCTGCACAAGTTGGAGTTGCCGCTGTATAAATATCTAGAGGTGGATAACTCGTTCTCTGTACTCTGCTTGTCTGCATCCAGTATCCAGTATCCAGTATCCAGTATCCAGTATTCAGTATTCAGTCTTCTGTTCAGGAGGATGTAATTGCCGAAGTTCTCCCGGCCGGCCAACGACCTCGAATTTGATATGTGTTCTCCCGCCTTTCTACCTCTTTGACTCCCTCCACGGCGACCGACCTTCTTCTCAACATTCAGCCTCCTGGGCGTGGCATGCATTCGGACATCCATGTAGTTGTCCGCTTCCATGATCAATCCGTGTTTGCGGGCGAGCACCTCCGATGCACCATCACCTTCAGAAATGTCGCAAACTTGCCTGAGCCGCTCACCCCTTCGTATCAGACCCTGCGAAGGAGCAGGCGCGAGAGTATCAGCCAGCTGGCGGCCCAGTCGACGAAATCAAACACCATCTTGAGGCTGAGCCAGAATGGTCAGAATGGCCAGAACGGCCGATCGACCGGCCATGAGCATTCTGCTGACCAGGCAGCCCGCCAGATGCCGCTGGGATCTTTGTACAGCGACAACCCAGCCAGTGTGCAAAGGCCGGGCCACAAGCAACAGAGATCCGTGTCAATAATCTCGCTCACCTCTCCGACAATCGCGGGGGATCTCGAACATGGCGCACCTGGCGGCTGGGCCAAGCCAAAAAGGCCCAGTCATTCACGATCTTCAACGGTACAGATTCAGCATGGTAAGTCAACCCAGGATGTGTCATTGAACGGAGGGCAAAGCAGCTCATCAAGCACAGCTCCGCAACGAAGACCTAGCCAGCAATATCATCGAGACTCCCCAACTCGTCTTCAACTACCGCCCAGAGGAGGTCGGCGAAGCCCATTGTCGACAGCGGCTACTGGAAGTCGTGATTCTCCCACTGATAGCAAACCGAATCCACCCACAGGAACCGTCAGAGACAGGGCACCGGACAACTACGAACCCAATGAACTGCAAATCCCCAGCCCTGTTGATCCCGGCGACGCTGCCAAAGCGTCTGGGACCGGGCCAGACCTCGCCAGTGAAAGGAGCAGCGGCGACTTCTACTCGCTCAGCAATCATTCGCAAGAGACTCTGATGTCGGAGCAACCTTCGGTCATGTCAGACCACCGGCCGGCTTGGGTGAACTCGACGGCCTTGCCTCGACGACCGCCATTGAGACCGACACAGAAACCTCAAGCCGTGAATCTCCTGATGGGCTATGCTCAGCTGAGCGCCACCTTCACGTTGGACGCCTCGCTGATCGACCAGTCGCACTTTGAAGAAGTCAAAAGTAAAGGCTTTCTAGGCGGCCAGGCCGGAGGCGGCGTCGTCGGGGTGAAGAAGCCGCGGCCCAACAGCGGCTTCCTGGGACACTTCAACTTCAATGCGATCGGCGGGTCCTTGAACAGCCTGATGGGCGGCGACGACATGAGTAGCGTCAAGGAGATGCACGCCGTGACCAATTCGCGGGCAATCCCAATCCTCTCGACTCCACAGTCGCTGTTGTTCGTCGACATGCACCTTGAACCAGGCGAGGAGCAGACCTACTCTTACAGCTACCCTCTACCCCGTGGCCTACCTTCCAGCCACCGGGGAAAGGCTATAAAGATTGCATACAACCTGACGGTCGGCGTTCAGGGCGTACCGGGCAGCCGGGACGTCCACACGGTCCGGCAAGTCAACATTCCAATCCGTGTCTTCCCCGGGGTAAGTCACGACGGCGAGATCTACGGACATGACCTGATGCAACCTCACGTCATTCTGCGCGATCTTGCCCGTACCAAGTCTATTTCGACCCCGCAGGACCAGGACGAAGCGGCCACCACCCCGACCACCAAGTCAGCCGAGAAGTCTAGCGTCGAGTTTCTACAGTTTGTGGACACGCTCTTGGACCACAATCGCAGGCGGCAGTCGAGCTCTGGGACGATGGAAGCTTTTCTGAGTACCCAAGATGCCGGAGGCCGCGGCAAGGCTCTCCAGGCCATTGACCGGGCGATCCTCTTCAGCAACGCCTTGTCGGACAGCGAGTCGAGCCCGAACCGTTTCGAGATTTCGCGGAGCGGCTCGCGCGTCGCGGTCATCGTCATCGACCGGCCTTTACATCGGCTCGGGGAGACAGTCACGGCCGTCATCGACTTCTCCGAAGGCGAAGTCCCCTGCGCTTCGCTCAAGGCGACGCTCGAGACGTCGGAGAAAGTCGCGCCCTCGCTCGCGGTCCGATCCGTCCACACAATCAACCGCATCACACGGAAGATATACGCCGCCCGCGCCGAGAACATCCTGTTCGCGAAACGGGCCACGTTTGCACCTAGCATTCCAGCAACCGCGACACCTACATTTGTCACCTCGGGCGTCAATCTCGACTGGAGTCTTCGTTTCGAGTTTGGCACCATCAAGCCGGTCGAGAACGACGAGGGCGAATTCAAGCATGTCACAGAGCTGCTCGAGGAAGTGGTCAACGACGAGCGAGGCACGGTGAATGTCGCCGCGGAGAATTTGGAGTGTGACACTTTCGAAGTCGTGATACCCATCACCGTCTACGGCGATCTCGTCCCCCACGGCAAGGAAAGCGACGAGATCGTCGGCATTCCAATTTGAACAAAAAAAAAAAAAGGGCTAGAACCAACCCGCTGTTGGCGCCCGCCCTTCTTTTTCAAGGCTTATAATACAGTGTGAACTCAAGGACTATAAACGCAACGTAGGCGAGCAGCATCGCCAGCCCGATTAAACGGTGCGTGCCGAGTATAATCATGACGGTCAAAAAGGCCGACGACGTCCAGGTCCAGACGACCTCGTTGGTGTAGTTGCTGGAGCTGGAACCTGAGCCTCCTCCGCCGAGACTCTGCGAGGAGCTCAGGATAGTCACGCCCAGGCACAGGGTCAGCAGGAATATGTTGCTTCCTACGGTGTTGGCCACCATGCTGCACTTTGTCGTTAGCAAGGAGACTGTTCTGTTCGTGGGGGAGAGGGAGCGGGGGGAAGGGGGGACGATGAATATCTTGCTTGGGGAAACATTCTTTGCAGAGACTGATACGATACTGGTTCCGGGGGTGGGCGGTGGATGGGACTTACATTCCTGGATGGCCTCTGTATCCGCTGACGACGGCGACAAACTTCTCCGGTAGAGTAGTCGCCAGAGATAACAAAGTGGCCCCAAACACGGTTTCGGAGACGTGGAGGCTCGTCGCCAGTGATGTGGACGAGTGTGAGAGGACGTAGCCGCTGAGGGAGAGAGCGACGAAGGCCACGATCAGCTTGAGCAGTAGATAGAACAGACGAGTGGAAGGCCGTCGCTTCCTCGTCGTCGTTGTCCTCCTCCTTGGGGCTAGCAAGGCACTTGACTCGTCGTCCATCCGCTCGCCGCTCGCGTCCTCGGCGCGAGAAGGAGTCCCATTTCCAATAGTATTCGGTCGGACATGTGGACCTGGATCCCTATCAGGTCCTGCGTCCGAACCATCATCACCATCAGCATCCTCTTCCTCATCTTCCTCCTCATCCTCCTCCTCCCCCGACTCGGCATCCGATTCCTCCTCGGGCGCATCCAAGATGCCACGATAGACCGACCAGGTTATACCCGCGAGATACAGCGCAAAAACGCCCACCAGGAGAGCACCGTAGACATGCTCGTCGAGGCTGCCGAATCCCCAAAGCACGGCCACGAGAGTGGTGATGCCGAACAGAACAACAGCATAAATCCTGGCGCTGACGTCGTACCTCTCTAGGGCGTTTCTCTGCGCCAGGACGCCCAGCGAGAATGCACCAAGGACATTGGCGACACAGCTGCCCAGGACGTTTCCCAGTGCGAGTTTTTGTCGGTGCTGCGCGACGGCGGCGACCACGACGGCGAGCTCTTCCCACTCTGCCCCCGCTGTGAGGAGGGCAATGAGCGTCTCCGAGACGCGCAGCCGGCGCGCCAGGGAAGCGGTGCAAGAGACTAAGACGTCGGTTGAGGCGCCGAGAGTGTAGACGCTCAGCAGGAAGGTGCAGAGGGGGAAGAAGAGGGTCGAGTCGGCATCTTCAGAAGACGCTGTGATGGCCGCCATCGATGGCGGGTTTGAAATTGCCAGATGTTGCTCCGTAGCTGGATGGCAAACCCGAACTCAGACTTGATGCCAGGCTTGGGGCAATTCGGCTTTGCTCTCTCTGCTCCAAGACTCAACACGATTAATTTGTGGTTGATGTTTTTGTTGTTTATTGATTGCATGCCCTTACTCAACCAGCACCGTCCCCGTCTGCGCACATACACATACACAGATCGTCTCTGGTTCTTGTTACAAAGTAAAGCGGCCTTGGAGAGGCAGACGGTACATCCCTAAAGGTATCGAGTGTAGAAAGAGGCTGTGACGTATTTTCTATCTTTTCCGAGTTTGTTTTGTTTGTTCTGTTTGCCGTATTTGCAACTGGTCGCTCGTCAACATTTGAATCCCCATTTTGTACGAGGTTGAGCGCCTGCACAGGAATTTGACCTACCTTGGAACGCAGATCAGGATGCCGTTGGATAAATCGCGTTATCCACTTCTGTCCAACCCTGTCTGGGCCGCCAGATGTCTGGCTGACAATGGCAGCTAGTTGGCGAACGATGGAATGGGTCGGGGGATGTCCTTGCGCCTCAAGGTCAAGTATCCAGCTCTTTAATAGCCTCTCTTGTGTATCCGACAGCAACTGTTGCGATTCGTGGGATAGAGGTCTCGATCGGGTGATGCCCTTGAGTCTGCGGCTCAAGGTGGAATGATCGATGTCGTTTGCGGCGGCGGCGGCGCGAATAGAGGAATACCGACGCGATTGATAGTCGGTGATGGCCTGCTGTATTCGAGCCTCTCGATTAGCCTCCATTTGAGCGATTGACGAGTTGGTGGTTGGTGGTTGGTGGTTTGAGAGGTTGCAAGATGGCGCAGAATACGTGGGGGAGGAGTTGTGACGCGTGTGGCACTACTAGGGCGTGGCATTTCATGGTCAGAAGACTTGCGACGTATGTACGCATGAGAGATAAAATCATGGCCCGCATTGTGGGTTACTGTCACGACGCCAGTAAATATATATACCCATAGAGCGGCCTGTCCTTGCGATTGTGCTATGCGAAATAGATTTTAAAAAAAAGGTGTTATTTAAGTACAGGTATTAATATTGTACCTCTCCAGACATCACTGTTGCCATCTGCCACCTTATCTCGTCTCCCAGGGACCATACCGGGTAGCCCTGGTGGTCTTCTTACAACTTCGCGCCCTGCGCCTCTTTATACCTCCTCCTCTCGAGCGCCTTCAACTCCGCCCTCTTGATCTTGCCAGAGATGGTCTTAGGCAGAAAGCCGCTATCCACGAACTCGATCCTCCTAGGATACTTGTACGGCGCCGCGTTCTGCTTGCAAAAATCTTGCAACTCCTTAACCAGCGCCTCGCCGGCCGCGCGAGACGCTCTGATCTTGGACGTGGCCGAGTCCGTGAGCACGATAAAGGCCTTGACGACCTCGTCGCGTTGCGGGTCCGGTGAGGACACGACGGCGGATTCGACCACCGCTGGGTGGAGTTTCAGGGTCGATTCGACTTCAAATGGGCCTGCATGTAGCGTGCGTCATTGGTTAGTGAGACTTCGCGGCAGCAAGTTAATCTGCGTTATAAATGGTGTTGTTGGCTGAAGCAGGGATGATGAGCCGGCAAGGCTCCCAATGGACGAGTGCTGGCATGTCCACTCATAATAATTCAGTCTTAAATAAGCGAGGATGCCTGCTTTTTGCTCTTTGGATTTTGCAGCTTCATTATAAAAGATGAGGGCTGGCGTGGGCATGTTTCGGAGAGGAGGAACCTGGGGCAACTCACCTATCCTGTACCCGCTCGAGTTAATCACATCATCGGCTCGACCCACAAACCAGAAATATCCATCCTCATCTCTCGTCGCGCGGTCGCCCGTGACAAAATATATCTTGCCGTTCGGATAGGTTTTGATCTTGGTGTCAATCATCCCTGTGGACTTATCGATGTATCCTTCGAAGAAACCAAAGAAATCAGTGTCGGTCCTCGTCTTCGACACCACAATGGCGATGTCTCCTTCCGCTCCGGGGGCCACAGAATTTCCTTCGGAATCGATGATCGTCAAGGGTACGCCGGGAAGTGGCTTCCCCATGCTGCCTGGCTTGACCTTGTTGACTTTCTGATTCGCACAGACTACTATCGTCTCGGTCTGTCCGTACCCGTCGAAAATCTCGATCCCACTTGTCATCTCCTTCCAGATGCGAACCACGCTCTCATTCAGAGGCTCTCCTGCACCGCAACAGTGGACCAACGCTTTTGGCTGGCCCTTTTCCGTGGCAAAAAACCGCCGGGTCTCGTCGAGAACAAGTTGTCTGTACACCGTCGGCGGAGCACACAGTGTCGTGATGGGGAACTTGTTGAGTACTTCGAGCGTCCGGCGCGGGTGGAACGCCAACCTGTCATCGTGAATGAAGATTGTAGCGCCGCAATTCCATGTCGACAACCACGACCACGCAGCTTTAGCCCAACCTTGTTCCGAGAGGTTCCAGTATATCTTGCCCGGCGATAGATCCAACCAATGAGTTCCCGTCAGGGCGTGCGCCAAGGGATACGACGTTTGCGTGTGCAGGACCATCTTTGGTGGACCCGTGGTGCCGGAAGTGAAGAATATCATACCTGGAGACTTTGGACCCAGAGAGCTTGGCACCGGAAATCTGGCGTCGGAGGGGATTTTGTTTAATGCTGAATGGAAGTCAGTGACCCCTGGGGGCGCTGTCCCATTGATCTGGACTATGGTGCGCAAATTGGGACATGTGGCCCTGACTTTAAGGCATTTGGCCACCGACGTGGCATCCCCAATGAAGGCGGTAGCGTGAGAGACTTGGAGTCGGTACTCGATGTCCTTGTCAACCAACAGCGTCGTACACGGGCACAAGATGATTCCGGAGCGGAGGCAGGCAGTCGCTGTCTCCCACCATTCTGGGACACGGGGTGCGATTATGATAGCCGTTTCACCTTGCTTGATGCCCAAAGATGCAAAAAGGCATGCTATGCGTTGCGACTGGCGCGAGAAATGGCTGTAGGTCAACTGCTTTGTAGTGCTGAGGGATTGGTCGGTCCAGTAGAGAGCTACCTGGGAGGGATCTCTCCACGCCCAATGGTCGACAACATCACTGGCAAAGTTGAATGAAGAAGGAAGGCGTAAAGGGGAGACCGGGACAACGGAACTCATGTCGGCCTTTTTGAAGGTGGGTTTGTCCGCGTGAGTATATACTGCGATATATCGTGTACCATATACCTTGCCCCAGGCTCTCGTCTATGGTTGTGATTTAAGGTTGAAGGTTGAAAACAGAAGGTCTCAATATATGACATTCATGAAGGGGGCCAGACAGGAGTTCACCACGGGGGAGATGGCGCGAATGCATCACATCGACTTTGTGGGCACGGACCTGACGGTCCGGAGAACCGGGGGGAAGGAATTAACCTCGGCGAGGCTGGGTGGCGCGGTGGGGACGGTGTCATCGAGCCAATATCGGCGCAGCTTCTCCGCAATACAAACAGGACAAATCCACCAAGAACCTGTGGAGTAAGTGGAGAGAAAAAAGCGGGGGACAAAAAGGGAGATCTGATTCCCTCGTATCCCTCGTGTGGTGCAGCAACCCACCTCGCTTTCTCTACAGTAGATCGAACCCCAAACCGCTTCCGCGTCCCAAAGCTATGATTTCTTGGTCTGAGATCCGACCCTTTCTTATGGCGAGACATGACTTTGCCATGGGTGGGCTGAGCTGGGTCCCGCCAGCGAGGACCTCGAGGATCTCGAGGACTTTAGTTGTGGCCCACCTCATCATATAACACTACATATACCTCGTATCTATGTACCTGCCCGTCCTGCTGATATTGATATTATAGACAGGGTTAACAGAACCACATAGCCGAACTCCAATAACGCCGTCACCACCTCTAGGTCGCTCCCATGGATACCTTTCTTTTTGAGCTTCGGTGCATGGTCTATGCTGAATGTGTCAAGATTCGCGCCATTGGGCTCTTATACGCGAACAAACGCTTCTACAAAGAATTCATTCAATTTCTGAGAGAAAGCATCGTCCTCGGTTTCCATATCGACCTTTCGGCACCATCAACCGCCGTCAAGCTCATTAACTCGGACAACTTCCAATGGGGCAATAACTGCACGATCGATGCCACCTCGCCACATCCCGATTATGGCATGCTTGATAGGATACCAGTGGACCGCTTTGGAGGAATACGCATTCTGATCGATGCACACCGGATGTCACCGACCCTGGCCTACTTGTTCGAGGTTGGCTGCAATGCAACCGACTGGTCACCGTTTTACTACCTCGATGGACGGATTCGAATAGGCTGCCTAGAGCAGAACCCGAGATCTATATCCTGGAAGGAAGATTGATTAATCGCCTGCCACCAATGACTATCTAAGTCCGATATAGGGAGTCCCGAGGATGGCATTTTCGGGGAGCTTGGAACCGAAAGGTCCCCAACTACAGCTCGTGGGACCCTGTCACGAAAACAGCTTCAATCAGGCACGAGGGATCCAACTCCGAGGAGGAGATCACACTGAGACCCTTCTCACGCATTAGATACACTGAGCCTGTAACTATTGAACTCCCGCGCAATACACCTTGGGAAAGACCGGTGAACAACCTCAAGGCGGGCCTCGTCAAATCTTGCAGCCTGAAGCGGTCTTTCGGCCTGGATTTACGTCCCGAAGCGGAATGGAGCGATGACGACACCCTCGCCATTGAAGATGCCCTTCACGTGTGGCTCGACTGCCTTCTTGACGACATGGAGGGCCCAACCGCCGCACTTTTACAGCGCGATCGACTCAAGTTCTGGCGCTCGGGGTATGAATACCAGATGGGTTGGCACTTCCACGGCTTCGTGCTCGATGAGGCAGTGCCGCGGGCTACCTGGACGAAGAGCTCTTCGACCACATCAAGCAATCCTTCCACGGCAGGTTCATGAGCGCGAGCGGAACACGTCGGCGCCGCGTCCAGGAACACATCGAGACGGCACGGCAAAAGCGTGTACTTATACCCGGGCAAGCAAGCAGGCTTCTGGTTCTACTCGCACGAACTTACACGGCTCGGATGGCACGCCGAGGCCGGCGAAGACGACACCTTCTGGGAGACGTGCTACCCGGCTGGAATCGAGCCCAAATCCCGGAACGATTCCTGGAAAGGACGCGGCGGCACAGCAGCAACTCATTGACATGAGGTATTGTCTGGAACCCCCCAGAGCATGACGTGGACAAGCCGGCCTGCCAGATCTTTCCGCCGTACCTTGGCGGATGCCCCTTATGCGACCTGGAGGACAGGAAGAATCAATTGCTCATCATGCTGCAGTACCATCATTTACGGGATGGCCTGTTCCACTTCAACGTGAGACCTGAGGAGGCACGGCTTTTGGGCCCAATTGTTGGGTGAGTGAAGACCTTCTTACAGGCAGCATGTATGGTTCAATGAGCGAGGGAGTGATCAAGCGAGGGTAAAGGTCGCTCGCTGGCCAGCCAGGACAAAAAGAGAAGAGTAGAAGTCTTTTTCATTGCCTGCATGGCCCGTCACGCACCACCTCCTGTAGACATCCAAAGCGACGACGCACGTGGATTCCAGAGCAGATTTGGGACAATGGCTACTGGCGAAGCAAGGAAGGCTCCTCTTCTCTTCGCTTGAATTAGGCTATTATCTCGACAGAATGAGGCCCCCAGTGGTAAGTCATTCCAGGGGGGACCCAAAAACAAAAAGTACTTTTGTGACAAACACTTCCACATGTCCATGTCCATGTCCATGACCACGACCAAGGCCTCTTGGCCCGTTGTTCAGGCAGAGAGAACGTGAATCAGGCCCCGGCTTCCCGTCTAAGTACCAATTAAGTTCAGAATTTGTCCTCTCAGCAGCAGCAGCGCGGCCCCCTCTGTTTTCCCTTGCCCCCCAACGCCTTCGTCTTGGTCGCCGGTCGGCCCATTATGCGCCTATATTCACCATTAAAGCCCGTCACCCACCGGACCACCGTTTTATGCACGGGCCCACCCGCCGCGGGTGACAGACAGAAGAAAATTCGTGCATCTGGGTATCACTGACAAGAACAACCATGAAGGGAGTAGAGCACTGCTCTACAATTTCATCATGCCCAAGAAACGCTCGCTTTTTTTTTTGGTTCGTGTGTCCCTTTCCTTTCCAAATGTTTTTCCAACGCACCAACATTCATTCTTTGGGTTCCTGGGAGAGTCGTGGCTTCTTAGCAATGTGTCCTGGGTCATCATTATTAATTTCTTGGAGTCGTCTCTGCAGCTCTTCAACTTTGCGCTTCCACTCTTCTCGTTCTTGGATGGCTCGGTCCCGTTCCCGGCACAGATTCTGTTCGTTATCGTGGTATACCATGTTGATGACTTCCAGTTCGGAGACTCGCGTTCGGAGCCGGTTGTTGAGGGCAGCTAGTTGATCATAACTCATGAGGGGCTCAACGTGCTGTTGGCCGTTGCTCATGGGGACCGTGCTTGGAGAGGGTTGCGTGGGGTTGGGACGGAGAGCTGGATCGGCCGGAGAGCCGTTGTGATTGTTGTAGTGAGGGTCTATCGTGGCGGCTACACTGTCGAAGAGGTGTTGAGGGGCGATGTTGGGGTCTTGGTGAGCCGTAGGGGTTCCAGTGCGCGATATGGGCGAATGTGATCTATCAGAGGCGACCGAGCCTGCCATCTGCGAAACTCGCCGGTGAGGATTGATACCATTGAGACTGTCGGTCTGAGGAGGCTGGCCCCCATTGTGCTCAAACTGCGCCCACTTGTCAGAAGCACGCGCAACAGCCGGGACGCGTAGGGAATCACTGACCTTCTTCTTTGGCCCTTGACTCGAGGTCTTGACTCGATTGCGACTCTTGATCACATCTGTCTTGAGGCTAATCGGGCGCGGGCGGCCATGCAGCTTGAGAAACAGGCCGCAGGCATTGCAGAGGACGGAACCGGCTTCGTCGCGGCGCCATAGAGGAGTGGTCGACGTTTGGCAGTTTTGACAGACAGGCTGTGTAAAGGGAGCACTCTGGTCAGCGCCTGAAGATATTGAAGCGGCCATGGTATCTTCGGGGGTGGTGATTGAATCCCAGGAATCTTCAGGTTTTCGATAACGATAAGAAACCGAAGTTTAACCCCGTGACCTGCTCGTCGGGCAGCAGAACTTGCCCGCCTCGCCTGCCACCCCAAATGCAGCCTTGGCAACCCTCCGTGATTCCATGCCACCATCAGGATGAGACACAGACGTCTTGTTGGGGCAACACAAGGAAAAGAAAGCAATCATGCTGATCCACTTACCGGAGCGTTGCCTGCAATTCCAGGTGTCGGCACTGGTGCCATGCTGCTCGAGTAACTCATTTGGGAACCATAGCTACTGGCAGAGAAGGATCTTTTGTCGCGCGTCAGCTTTTGTTTCCATGCTCCTCCTTTTCCCGCTAATATATCGCCAAGTTGCATTTATCAGAAAATGTTCGGCATACCTGACTGTTGGCGCTGGTGCAGCAGCCGCCGCCGCCAAGGACGTCAAGGCCGCCAGTCCTGGCAGTGCAGGTCGTGGCTCGGAGTGATAGTCCCGCCCCAGATTGAAACTCGCACTTCTCACATGGAATTGTGGTTGATTGAAGAAATGACTACCCGTGTACGGAAGATTCGTCGACGATGGACGCGAGATGTCCTTTCCGTGCACCGCCGGAGGGGGCAAAGGTGAGGAGCTTCTTTGTTGATCCCGTCTCAATGCACCATATTCGTCCAGCCTTGGGTCACCTAACGGCGTCGATGGTTGTCGGTAGGTAGGGTCAAGGGGTAAGGCCCGAAAGAGCGGGGGAGCAACTGCGGACGCCGTGTTCAGCGGTGTTTGAGACCAAACCGTGGTCTCGACGGGTCTGGCTCGGTATGAGAGGGACGCCTTCGCGAGGCACCGTGATGTATATATATTCCTGGCTTCCGACGACAATAGCGATGCCACAGGCAGCTCGTTGCAAAACGATGAGATGAGCGACAACAATATAAGCAAAAAAGAGAGCGTTTGTTATCGCAGGGAAAGAACGTCTATCGATAGACGGGAACCGCGAGTATTTTGCTTCCTCCAATACAATCTCAGAGTCCAGGGGGGTCCCATAGCGAGGGGATCCTGGCTGGCGAGGAGAATATTGGTCCCGCCGAGAAGCCTAACAGGATGTCTAATTGCGCCTTGTCTTGACCGTAAACGCTTTTGTTGAGATGAGCTTCTTACCAGGTAACCAAGGGTCGCTGGACGGGGGTCAGCAGAGACTGGTACGAACATCGCATTCACTTGGTCGCGCTCCCCATCACACCGTGAGGAACCATTGTCAACTGCACGGTCTGGAGTAGACTTTCAAATTGAGCTGCTGCCGGGCTGTCTGTGTGCGACAAAACCGTCGCGGAACAGCGTGGCGCTGATTCGGCGCTCTAGCAAATCTGGGGAAGATGAAAGAGATTGTCCAATCTCACGGTGGAGGCACCGGCTTCCGAAGTGCCCCTTTTCCCTATCGCGCCTTTCGGCACGTCAGTCAGTCAGTCAGTTGGAAACGAGTCTGGGCGGCTATTTTCCCCTCCAAATCTGGGCACAGATTTGATGTGACGGTGCCAGAAATGCAACAACTCATCAAAAAATCCTGCAAGGCCATCTGAACACACCTACATAAGGTGCGCGGCTCGCCAGCCAGGCCGCTTCAAGTACATACGGGTACGAGGATGAAACTCGGGTCCACTTTCGATTGCCATGCTCCTCTTACCTCGTCCTTGTTATAACTGCGTGGTACTGGTTCAGAACGATCCGACTGTCCCGTCGTCTCCTATTGTGGTTCCATGTCTTGTAGCAATGTCACGCGTCAAGAAAACTGTCGATCAGGGCCCGCTGTCTGAGATTGGCGGCAGCCCCTCGTGGAAGGTTCGATGGGGGATCCAGCTGCTTGGACTGATAGGGAATAGCTGTGGCTGGTGAGGCTGCGACCTTTTCGGATGATCAGGGTTTGTGGCTGAAAAGGGGCGACGAGTAATATCATTATCACGTGGATATTATTGGTCCCAAGGAAGCTCTGCCAAGACGCATGATAGGTAACTAGGCCGAGCCCCTAAATACAAGTTCCGGCTTAGCACGCTACCTAGCTCGCTATGTAGGTACCCCTGACAACTTTGGGATACTGAAGTTTCGTGCAGTCCTAGATTGCTATTCAGGGATTCTCGGCTGATCATAGCTTCTGATGATCTCTAATCGCTGTCTTTGCCCTTTTTCATGTCACAAAAGTACCCTGAGTTGGTGGTTTTTTGTCTACATTGATTAGAGCAGACAAGATGTCATTCCACGCCCTTGAAGGTGGAGTACAGCGCCCTACGCATGTCCGACTATCGCCAGCCACGCACAGTTCGCAAGATGAGGGAGGACCAAATGCTCTCAAATGACCTCGCACTGTGCTGAGTAGTTTCAACGACAGGGAGGTTCTCTTTTATTCAGGCAGTGCGCGGCAAATATTCGCTATTCTCGACCCCGAGTTGGTGTTCTAGCTGTCTTCCCACAATTCCTCATCTACCTCTGCGCATCTTTCATTCCTTCACTGCCCTAATGGCTGACAGAATCACAACTGCCTTTGGCCACGCTGTGCCTCCAGCGCCGCGCCATGCAGTTACTGTTCATATGCCTGGGTGGCAGACCGTACAGAAATATGGTGCTGATCCACGTTCGGTCATTGCCACTTTTCACAATGCTTACCCTCGAGCGAAGCCACATAGAGACATTGTCAATGTGAGTTTAGCTACCGAGGTCGACATGTTCCATGCGCACGGCTAATTTGATGAACCAGCTCGCCAACACCGTTTTGAGCCATCTCGGTCTTAGTGACCATACTTGTTTCTTATTCAGTTCATTGGCATCGGCCGAAGAATGTGTGGAATATTGTACATCACCGCGGCGCATCGACGGCGACAGGGGCCCTATACCGCGGGGTGTCATTCAGATTCGAGCTTTTGTAGCAAAAGATCGCTTTTGGGCGGTTGTCTTTCCTTCAGAATGTGCCTCTATTGCAATCGGCTTCTGGAGCAAACCGGGGGTCGGTGTGTCGTCACGGTTTGCAGAGGCGAACTTGTCAATGACCAACCGGCTTGCCGAAATGACCATACTCAATGAAGGCGATCCCAGACCAAGCTTCGAGACCGCGAAACACGCGGCTCTAAGAGATCGGATTATCTCCTACCTGAAGCGGGCGACACTGCAACCTACAGGAAAGAAGCCTTCTTCAAATGATGTTTATCTCTTTCCGACCGGCATGGCTTCAATCTACAAGCCTCATACGTACCTTAGCAGTCTTTACCATGGCACGACGATACTCTTTGGCATGGCTTTTATGGACACACTGACAACATTTCAAGAATTTGGATCCGGCTTTAAGTTCTTCGGCCTGGGTTCAGATGAAGACTTATCAGCGCTTGAGGCATTTCTCCGCGAAGAGCGCGACCAGGGCCGCAAAGTACAAGCAATCTGGGCAGAATTCCCAGCCAATCCTATCCTTGTCACGCCAGACCTCAGTCGACTTCGGGCCCTGGCCGACGAATACGATGCTATCTTGGCTATCGACGATACCATTGGAAGCTATGCGAATATCGACATTACACACATGACCGATATTCTCGTTACATCCCTTACCAAATCCTTCAATGGTTACGCCGATGTAATCGCCGGTTGTGCCATTCTTAATCCTGCTTCCCGCCACTACGACGCACTCAAATCTTTATTCAACACCCAATATGTACCGGAGCTTTATGTTGATGATGTGGAAGCTCTTGAGCGCAACAGCCGCGATTATCTCACAAGGACAACCAAATTGAATCACAATGCGAAGGCTCTGACCGATTATTTACAGACATGTGCCGAAGACTCCAACAGCGCTGTCACCAGAGTTCACTATCCTAGTGTCAACCCTTCTGGAGAGCACTATCGGCAGTTTATGCGTCTGGAGACACCACAATTCACTCCTGGCTATGGCTGCCTTTTCAGTGTCGAGTTCGAGGACGTTGAAGCCACTGAGGCCTTTTACAATAATCTCAATGTCCACAACAGCGTGCATCTTGGTGCGCCGTTCACCCTTGCTTTTGCATACACGGCGTGTACATACGCCAAGAAGTTGGACTGGGCGGCAAGCTATGGCCTGAAGCCTACTCAGATTAGGATTACAGCAGGTCTGGAAGACATCGATCTGTTGCTAGAGGGGTTCAAATCCGCTGTGGAAGCGGCCAATCAGGTCAAAATCGCGGCGAGGCGGTGAAATGCGGGTGTCAAACGACATCGTCTGACTGTTGTATTGTGGTCTTAAGCACATGAATTGTGAGGGACGAAATGCACAAGCCAAAACTGAATTACAGCTACCTAGATAGGTCAGGTAGGTGTCTCGGCATTTACGTTACACCTCTCGTGACAGCTCCCAGATATGCGCTCGTGGTTTTTTGGTCCGGCTCTAAAGTTCCCAGACACCTTCCAAAGCTGCCTCGTGTGGTATCCAGCCTCGGCTTAATGAACATCGAGATATACTTTCTTCAGAGCTCAGCAACATTACTCCACGGTTATGCCACGGATACCTCAGCCAATCAGAAGAACCCTATAGTATCCACGTGACCTTAAAACTCCAGATGTGGGTCAAGATATTCCCATCCTCGCGCCTACATTTCTTGCACCCCCCTCGTCTCCCGCCTTTCCATCATTTCAGACGGATGTTGGAGGTCACCATGGGCCATTCTGGTGTGATCATTACAGAGATGTCTTTGGCTCCGGCTCTAAAGCCATTTCTGGAGAAAGCTCCGCTCTTATATATTGCGGAGTTTATGCAGGTTACGTACATGTCCCTGGATCAGAATTGGTTTTTCCCGCTCCCAGCCAGACGGAGGACGAAACGTTTGATCTACTGAGATCGAGGCATTAGGTGTTCAGAGAGGTCCTGCAAGAGGAAGTTTGGTACGTGTCCTGACAGGGTTCAGCCCCCTTTTCATGGAACACCACGCAGTGTGTGCTGTGCGCCATCACCCATTTCTCCACACTTTGCTAGCCAGAAACGACGAATACTCCGGGGAAAGGTCGATGGAAGTCATCCCATTTCGTCCTTGTGCATCACTAACAAATAGCTTCCTACGCGTTGGAAACGGGTTCTTCAGCAGCCAGATCCGGCATCGATATTTGGTCCTGTCATTGGGAACGGTTTCTCAGCCCGAAGTGCACGCACACTAACTTGAATAGGTCTGCGCACTTGCGTCTATTTGAAATTCGATGGTGAAGCCTCGTCAGAAACGGCCATGCTTCGGCCTACTTTTCTCTATTCGAAGATCACCACCGATTTTTGAAACCCTGCCTCTCCAAAAACTTGCGATATCTCCTGTCAAAAGGGGTTCGCATGCAACCCTTTGCCCCTACCTATTCAACGGGTGTGAATGGCACTGGCCTTTGGTGGCAGCCACATGTTTCATATTCGTCAGAATCAAAGACTTGCCAAAATGTCGACGTACTGATCACGGCTTGAGAATTCCGCTAAAGCAATGCCTCGCCCTGTACGCGACAAGACATAAGAATGTGCATCCACTTCCATTTTCAGGTTATATCTCTAGTATCTGTTCATTTACCATCTCGAATCATGTCCTCCACACTAGGAGATTATCAGCTCGCCAACGCAGCCGCAGGCTTCTCACTTGGATTTGGTTTCCTTACCACCTGGGAGGCTATCAAGCAGACACGACACCTCATCAATCCATGGCGGTCGGTGTACATCTTCATGGTCTGGGGCGAGCTCATTGCAAACTTGGCCATCACAATTCTTGTTTGGTTGTTCATGAATCACTACCTTTTTGCAAAGTAAGTCTAGCCAAAGCCGGTTGCTTTGAGAAGGAAGAGCTGACGACCATAGTGTTCCCACATACTTCTTTGTCCGTACGTGTTACTGCCCTCGGCCTCTCTGCCAATGCAACGAACTAATGAGTATGATCCGACAGTATTCTTCTGGGCCTTTGAGGTTAGACAATCCCGGACCGCATTCATCAAGCCGGAACATTCACTCTGACCATCCAAGATCCATTTCATTTTACAACTCATAATCAATCGGCTGAGCGTTGTCGTCTCAGATCGGATCACTGCCACGCGGGTAAAGTGGGCTGTCGCGGTCATTATCACTCTCGTCAATATCGGGGTCTTTTCTATTTTCATCCCAGCCCACCTCAACCCTCCTCCGGACAAACTGTGAGCGCGCTCCGTTCGCCCCTTGCGACCGGTCTACAACATCTCATACCACGAAATGCTGACCGGGAAACAGATTTGTCGTGGTCAACAAGTACTGGGACAAAGCGACTAAATTCATTATTCTATTCATCGATGCTGGCCTGAACCTTTACTTTCTGCACACAGTCAATGCCCGGCTCGTGCGGAATGTCGGACTCACAAAATACCGGAGCCTCGTTTCATTCAATATTAAACTCATGGTGGTTTCGGTCTTGATGGATGTGAGTCCGAGCATTAGCCAACCAATTCACGCCAGTCACCGTCTTTCCTCCTTTCCCTTATTTCCTGCCCGACGGCCCTTCTCCCACCTCACTAACCTCTCTCACACCTACAGTGCATGATAATTGGGATGATGTTCTTCCACAACCAGCTTGTCTTCATGTCCTTCCATCCCGTCGCCTACACCGTGAAACTGAACATCGAGCTGAGTATGGCGAACCTGATCCGCAAGATTGCAACGTCCCGTGAAAATGACTTCCAGGGCGACCATTTGCACTCGTATTCGATGCATTCGGTCGGAGGCCAGAGCCCCGCGACACTGAGCCGATCTCGGGCGAATACATTCCGGACCAGACGGACATCCTCTATTGGTGGTGTTCAAGCTAGTGATGATCCCAAGAGCAGAAAACTGAGTGACGATGAGAGGCGGATTGTTGTCACGGACGAATATGAGATGTGTCCTGTGTAATGACCAAGGGTGTGTGGACAGGCATGTTTCTATGTTCATTGGAGGCAGCCTATCCAGTTTCATTCTGTTTCGAATATCACTGTATGATTAGGGCCGGGCGTCGAGGTGGAAGGCGTGATCCCACGTCGCGCCAAATAGCATTATAGTCCGCGCCGAATCTTGACCGCTCCAAAGTTCATTCCGTTGTGTCGACCTGAGCATATCACTATGGGACCTGAGGCATGACGGAGCTAGATTTGAGCTGTAGCTGTGCGATCCTAGAGATCATCAATTGTGCATCCCGCTGTCCGGGAATCCAGCCTTATCGGAATAAGAAAAATACTTGGCTGAAGGAGTCCGCCGGGGCCCTAAAGCGCTTCTTCGGCAGGGTCGTTGCTGCCGTGCTGTTAGTTTAAGTCATGTTCAGTACTAGTTTAGGATGGTAACTAACGGATCCTTTGGTATTTATTAAGCTAGATAATAGAGGGGACCAAGAAGGGACCAAGAGGGAGTATAATGTGGGGTAAAGTGGGGGTTCTAAGCCCTTCGCTCTCTCAAATGGACCAATGGCATTCGCGGGATGTCAAAATGCGCCTTTACAAAACCTTCTTTAGAAGTGGTTCATCAATCTCTCTCAGCCGTCGATGATTCATTGTATGATTGTACCAGTTCTCTATAGGTCTTGACCATTTTCTCGCCATCGAATCTAGCGGCTGAGGTCTTGGTACTTCCCTGAACGTGCCCTCGAAATTCGCGGCGCAGGTTTTCCTAGTGTCCGGTCGCTTCGCAGACTCGACTCATCCATGCCGGAGAAGCCGCCCCGGAGGCAGGGAGTCTCCCTACCCACGGCAGATGCGATATCTGACGAAGTCGACCCCTTCAGAAGATCCGTGGCACGTCTGCCCCGACTCGTGACGAAAACACTGCGGCAATGGTTCGTAGCGCACGCGTCTCACCCGTATCCAACGGAACAAGAGAAGAAGGCGTTGCAGGAGCAAACCAATCTTAGTGACCGACAAATTACCAATTGGTTCGCGAACGCTCGCCGCCGCTACACTGCCAACTCGTTTGAACAACATGCCCCATCTTCTGGGTGTTCCATCTCTGTTCCCAATCTAGCGAGCACGTCAAGATGGCAAGACATGAGCCCCTTGGATCGCTGGCGTCATTCTCCCCCAGACCAGGAGCCTGCACCTTTTGATGCGATTGCCGTGGCAGTCCGCCACTCGCTCCACAGCAATGGTGCGGAAACCACAAGGCTCCCCGATTCGTTCAACACGACACAGCGTCCGCCCCACGCGTATTCAGACAATTCATTCGAATCTCTAAGCTCTCTGGGGACCAGTCAGTCGTCAAACTCTACAGGCAGTGCCTTTTCGTTCGAATCCAATAGTACAAGCCCAACCTTTCAGCCGTCCTGGCGACTCCCCCATAGCAGACGCCGGCGCCGCGCCCTCAGGCAGTCTCAATCGTCGTCAGCACATCCATCCAACGGTCGCAAGACACGAAAATATCAGTGCACCTTCTGTACAGACACGTTTGCTTCCAAATACGACTGGACTAGACACGAAAGCGCCCTGCATCTCTCATTGGAGAAATGGGTCTGCTGCCCGCAAGGCCCGATCTTCTTCGACCCAGTTCCACGCTGTTCGTTCTGTGAGGCCGAAAGCCCCTCCTTTGCTCATCTTCAATCACACCGACATGACGAGTGTACAGCTAAGCCTGGGGCTTTACGAACCTTTGGCCGTAAGGACCATCTCAGACAACACATGCGTATAGTCCACCGAGTTGAGCACATGCCGGACCACGTGACCAATTGGAAGACCAAGATAGCCTCGATCAACTGTCGTTGCGGCTTCTGTGGGGAACGATTCGTCGATTGGTCTTCTCGCAATAACCACATCGCCGAGCATTTCCGGGACGGGGCCTCGATGAGAGACTGGACAGGCTGTCGGGGCTTGGACCCTGAGATTGCATTGCTGGTGGAAAACGCCATGCCGCCCTATCTGATCGACTCTGAAAGGAAGCAATTCGAGCCGTTCAGTGCTTCACGCAACGCGGGTCAAGATGTTGGCGCAGTCCAACTTAGTGCGCGGGTGCCCACGTCTTTTGAGTCACTTACTGCGCGCTTGGGCGCCTTTGTAGTTCAGGCCATGAAGGACGGTGTTGTCGTCACTGATGAGACTGTACGAAGACAAGCACGGACAATCATGTACGGGGACGACGACGCCTGGAATCAGACCCCGGCTGACAACGCCGAATGGCTGCGACTTTTCAAAGAAGGAGTCCGGCTGAAATCAGCCGCGGAGCCGGTCTCAACAAAGGTTGACCCGCGTCTCATACTCGCGGGCAGCACAGCGGCTGGCGGGCAGGCGTTCCGTCAAAACAGTGCAGACACTTCCTTGCTCACACGGCGCGATTCTGCGTTACCGCCAGCAGAGGCACCTTCCCCATTTGAAAACATCAATCTGAATGGCGATTTGCTCCTGCCGTATGCATCTGACGACTTGACAAGTTTACCTCTGTGCTGGCAAACTCCAGAGTGCTTGGCGGAGTTCAGCCAGATGTCTTGCACGCAGAGAGGCGGCGCTGGAAAGACTATTGCCTGCACGAATGTCAGCGGCAGCGGCAGCGGCAGCGGCACGTTGGCCACGGGCGAGTCCGGAGTGCCGTTGCCTCACAGCACGGGAGGCTTGACATCCTTTCCAGCGGAGAACAACCATTCCTTGCAGCAAGGACTGTCGTCGGCTCAAAACAAGGCTGCCACCGACAGTCCATGTCCATTTTCAGAATGGACGAGAGGGGACGACTTCAGCTTTCCGTGCGACCTGAGTCTGGCCAAGAACCCAACATGAGTCCCAGCTGTTGTCAGAATTGTGAAGAGGCTGGCTTGCCCCAAGGTGCTGACCCAGGCAGATTCCTATGAGGCTGATTTAGTGCCGAGTCTCTCAATCCCACCGTTATATGGCTCCCCTTTCATGTGGATGGTAAATCACGTGCCTGCGGTTTCCCAAGCATTCTCTGACAGAAGGGGGGGCCTCCAACACTGTTGGTTGCTGTATTCTCTCTCGTTTGTGTAGTCGAGATTCAAAATCGTAAATGCCTTTTTCGGCTGAGCCTGTGGCCTTTTAGCTCGCGAAAAAGCCGGGTCCGTTCAAGCTGACGCCGGAGAGAGCTGTGACCAAATAATATGGCATATCATTGGACCCGCCATGTCACTCTGCGCCCTAACTCGACATTTGCTTTCAGCCAAGGCGTGCAGGACCCGCGGTGGCAAAAGCCAATTCCGGATGGGTTGATGATGAAGCAATCCCTGGAACAAGTAGACCATGGCCACGCTGCTTTTTTGCCTGCCGTGTCTGTCAAAACTGAGAAGGCGAATCTGTGTGGCACGTACGGTAGCGCAGTTCTCTATCCGGGGTGCTCGATACATACTTGGGTAGTCGTCCGAGAACGAAGAAAAGAAAGACACTCTGTTTCTCCGAACATGAGCGAAATCAAACCTGCAGCCACAGAGGGCTTTGGCCGTCTCGTAACCCACTTCCTGAAAAGGTCGGTTGAATCTATACCACTGCCATGGCAGAACTAGCAAAATGCGGAGACCGCACGCTGTTCGAAAACATACTAATTTTGGTTCTCGCGCACATTCTAGGGACCAGAAGGACACCGAGGGACAGAACGCGGCGTGGTCGGAACTCTGGGACACAGACCAAAGTGATCTCTGGGACCGCGGGAAGCCGTCCCCTGCGCTGGTCGATTTCGTTGAGCAGAAACTTGATCAGTCCCTGCTTCAGAGAACCGGCGATGGACAACGACGCCTGAAGGCACTAGTGCCGGTATGCGTGTGTATTTGTCGTATAGGACGTTCCTTGGGGGCCAACCAACATCCCCCCCCTCTTGGAAGGTCCAAGAGGCAAGTTCTGTGATGCATATGCTGACGCGCAAACCGGGGTCGAAATATATAGGGATGCGGACGCGGGTACGACGTCGTCATGCTCGCGCTTCACGGCTTCGATGCCTATGGTCTTGAAGTCTCTACGACGGCAGTGTCCGCGGCGAACGTCTACGCCGAAGCCGAATTGAGCCGTCATCACTATCCGTCCGCGGAGGACGCTTTGGACCAAGGTCATCGTCGTCAACCTTCTGTCAGCCACAGCCACGGCACGGTCAAGTTTGTGCAGGGAGATTTCTTCAAGTCGGACTGGACGAGCAGCTGTCTGAGGGAAGGCGAGATATTCCAAGGCTTTGACTTGATCTATGATTACACAGTAAGCCACAATGCGCGCGCCTCGTCTGTTTTCGTGCAATGGAGTTACTGTCGTAGCCTCCGTCGTACTGCCCCGCTGTCATGGAAAGCCATGGCCATTGATCCGTTCTGGGTTGTCTGACTGATCGTCCACGTTTTCGTCTAGTTTCTGTGCGCAATACCGCCGCCCCTGCGCCGGAACTGGGCGCGACGAATGCAAGAGCTATTGTCCCCAACGGGGATTCTGGTGTGTTTGGAATTCCCCCTGTGGAAGGACCTGGATGCCGTCGGACCCCCTTATGGCCTCAATGGCGTGTACTGGGATCTCCTTGCTGACGGTGGCGATGGGATCCTCCATGGCTCTGGGTTGACCGGCGAGAAACAGGCAGGACAACGAGGTGAAGAAGGGCCGTTCAAGAGAGTGCAGTATTACAAACCGGACAGCTCATACAGCCAGGGCCGAGGAACGGACATGGTCAGTGTGTGGAAGCCCTCCCGGCCGAGCAGTTGAGCAGTTGACGGGCAAGTATATGGCCTCAGCCTCTTATCATCTATCGGTGTCTGAGCTTCAGAGCAAGGCTAGCCCCTACACCAAGTGACTATGTATGCCATTATTGTCTGTAATGTCTTATCCGGCTGCGACCAAGAACGAGGAAGGCAGCAGAATTGTGACATCCGTGAAGAGGAAAGAGAGATATCATACGGTTTAGTCTGAAACCTCCGATGACTGACTGCTGCGGTCGACTCTGTTGGGCACTGGATGCTATTGAAATGACCTTGCGTCAAATGTTGTTAGTGCCCACCCTTGAGCAGACTCCTCACATACCCAGGTATATTTGCTTTCCATTCCAAACTTTGAACCGATGTGAGCACTCTCTCCCTTCTCAGCCCCAAGTGTCAGCAACCACAGCACCCATTGCTCATGCGTGCTTCTTCTTGACGGATCGCCATTCCATCCCCAGAGCGCCTACAAGGGTCATGCATGACAGAGCAACTGGGAGGTAGAATGTTTGCATCACAGCTGTGCTGACGCTCCGAATGGCCCCGGCAAGGTACGGTGCCTTGACGTATGAACTCAAGTTAACCAGGCCGTCGCGACTCAAGGACGTGTAGTCCACCTCTGGAACGAAATGTTTGATGTTATGAGCGAGCCTTTGTGTGAACAAGGTCTGCGCAGCCGCCACAAACACCGCAGGTCCGATGCCCTGGGCAAACTGGATGACGGCGATGCCAACTGGTGCGTCCTTCTCAGGCAGAATCGTCTGGACGGCCACCTGTGGGCCCTGAAACCCGATTCCGACTCCGAATCCCAGAAGCGCCTGGTAGCCGATGAGACTGGCGAGTGTCGCGTCCACGCCCAGAGTGGTCATTAGCCCTACAGCCGGAGGCGTTATAACACTGGTTGACAGCATGAAGGGAGTGTAGAACCCCAAGCGTGATGTCAGCACGCCTGAAGAGAAGACAGACAGAACCAACCCCGCAACGACCGGGAGAACCATGACCCCAGACATCGACGCCGACAAACCTCTCACCGCCTGGAAATAAATAGGCATCTGCCGGAGTCAGACTTATGGTCCATGCGTAGGTAGTCGAAGTGAGCGCTTGAAACCCCCATGGCTGGAGTCTGTGGCTTGCGTACTGGAGGGACATAGGTAAGACTCACATAGTATTCGATGACCGATAACGCAGCGTTATTGCAACAGCTGAATATGAAGCCAAATATGATGTTCCTCTGAGACACGATGCGGGGCGGCAGTGTCGCACGGTCTTGCTTCCGATATTGAAGCCAACCAAACAAGAGGAGCAGCACCGCAAAGACGCAGAAGATTGCGATAATACGCCAGTCTTGCCAACCATACTTGGTGCCACCCCATTGCAAGCCAAGCATGAGAAACGTGATGGACGGAACGAAAAAAGTCATACCAAGCAGATCTAGTTGCGCAAGCTTTTCGCCAAATTTCGAAGGCGAGCTCGGATCTTTTTTAGGGTTGAAGAAAAAGGCCACGATTATGAAGGCTGCCCCGATTAGTGGCAACTCGACATAGAAGCACCACCTCCATGATAGGCGATCAGTGAGGAAGCCGCCTAGAAGAGGGGCTGTTAAACAGGCAGTAGCCTCAGCGGCGCCACCGATACCGGCGTAGATGGATCGTTTCGACAAAGGAAAGCTTCGTATGATCATGCTGGATATCATATCAGAGAAAGATCATTTTGGTCAGCAAAAATTTTCCAATCTTGGTTGACTCACGAAAACGCGCCAGCAATGACGCCGGCGGCGGCGAAGCCTGTGACACCTCTTCCCATAATGAAGAAAGGCGATGTCGGTGCCAGGGCACATGCCAAAACACCCCCAGCGAAGAGGACCAAGGTAATCAACAAGATCCTTTTCACAGGGAACAAGCTATACAACCTCCCGAACAGAAATTGAAATGAGCTAGCGGCTAATCGACTAGATTGTGGTCAGGCAAAGGCTTGATACAGGGGATTCATTCCAAAGGGAGACCTACTAGACCGAAGTGTACCAACCGATGTCTTCGATGGTGCCGAAGTGTTTTGTCATTGTTGGTACTGCCGTCGCCAGCACTGTGTAATCCTTTTGAGCCTTGATTAGTTCGGCCTGAATGGGCAGAGGTCCATGTAGAAACCCACTAAGCCGATGATTATGAAAGCGAGAAGAAGCGCTGTGACAATGGCCACGAAGTCTTTTCCGTGAGGATACTCTTCATCAGGCGTTAAATTTTCATCGTCGAGTTGATGATCCCTTTGAGGTGACGACACCTCCTCCTCCACCTTTGGCCTCGGCTTTGCGGACATGGTAAGAATCCAACTTCAGGCTCCGTGTTGTGCTAGAGGTCTTTGGTACCTTTCGCAGGTTGGCATTCCAGGAACAAAGGGAACGATGGAAAGGAAGCTGCATTCCCAGAAGTAGGTGAGGTCGACTCCTCAGGTTAGTGAGGGGTTCCTGCATCCTTTTAGCGTGTCGTTTCCTGGAGCTGAAAGGGCCGATTGTGAACCTGAGCCTTCCCCATTGAATTATGGGCGGATATACTCCTCGCTGCGCTCGTGAGGCGTGAAGCGGCAATTATCACTATCTGCTTGATTGGTTTCGCTCTCATCAGACATCGGAGGCATGCATCTCTGTGCAAAGTACAAACGCTTGAGTATTTCAGCGTCGGACACCAAAGATGATGACCCCAGCTTCACCAAGTTGTCATACGCTGAGTCCTCGGCCAAAAACCCAACGATAACCACAAGCAACGCCTGAATCATCAAATCTAAAGCCGCAATGCATGATCGAAACGCTCGCACTCTGAGTGGCGCCCCTTTTGGCAGCCAGCGAGGACGAAAGAGATAGACGTAGAATCTCGCGTGGGCACTAAGCCCATAGAGCAGGCAAGCTGCGGTCAGCAGGGTCAAGCTCCCGTAAAAGCATCGGAACAACAAACACTGTTGCCTGCTAATCTGCATCTTAAAAGTGAAGAAAACCATCTCCACCAGTATGTAAAGCAGAGGAATCGAACAACTGCTGATAGTTGGCCACAAGTCTTGTACCTCCGTGCTGCTGCGTCGACAGCAGCGAGGTCATTGTTGCCATTGCCGTTATCAGGCGCCGGGCTGAGGTCGAATGAGTTCTTGATGATTTTCCCGTGCTCTGAACTCTTCTGGTCAAAAATGTTTTCTGGAGTAGTTTGGTTTCGTCTTTCTCATTGACAAGTTCAAGAATGTGGAGGAAATACGGCCTTTGATTTGGGAATCACTTCTGCGCGGGCCAGACTCTTACAAGCGCTCATTGCTAGTAGGTGGCTAGGCGGATCACTTGGACTAGTGTTACAGACACTGTCTGAAAGATGCCAGCGCTAATATGACTTAGCATAGTGTTCACCAGTTCCAGATGGCGATAGACAGGAAGCCGCTGTGGCACATTCCAGGTTTGTTCAAAACACCAGTTGCGGCGCCTAACTTGAGGACCTTAATTGGTCAACAGTGCTTGACCACAACACCATGATGGTCGCGATATGTCTGGTCTATCATGACCACCAAGGAGGCGGCTGTTGAATCAATCTGTGGGATCAGGAATAGGCTGGTTGATTGAAGCGTGGCAAACTGCCGCAGTGCCAAGACCGCAAGGCTAGCCTAATTTGGGCTAATCGAAGAGTAATAGGGAAGACGAATCTAGGATTAGCCCAGAACGAACCAGATGAGATGTGGTAAGGCGCAAGGCTTCGTAACGCTTCGCAAGGCTGGGCCACCTTGGAGGGTATCTAGGATAAGAGTCGGGAGCAGACCTTCATCTTGCATGACTATGCGCAGGACCAGGTCACACAGCGGATTTCTTCATCATATGCTGTATTCATCCCAGTCTGAGATTTTCACATCACATGGAGGGCACGCTCTTTCCCGCTCCCGTCCCAACCTTGTTTCTCCATGAAGGTATTTGGTCAACTGGACTTGCCCTACTGGGGAGTCCATATATCTTTCAGCAGCGTAAGCAAGTAGATGTTTGAGACCCTGCTTCTACTCGAGCAATTCAATCAGAATAGGCAGAATATTATTATGAACTTCAATCATTAATCGCTCGCGTTCTGGAAAGTCGACAGATAAAGTTCCTGACCATCACTGGAATGACGTGCTGCCGGGAGACGACTCTTCGGCCTCTCTTTCTTTTTCTTCGTCCTCTCATTTTCATGAGGGTTAGCTATTTTCCTCACGTTTTGACGTTGCCCTCAGCTTCCATTTTCCTCAGAAGACCCTCAAGGTAGGCAATGGCGGATCAGGGTCCATTGGCCCGATCGAAGATGCCCTCGACTAACTTGGCATATTCTTCATCCTCCGAATATTTCCAACCCTTCTCCCTTGCTTGGTCTTCCAGACTGTTAATTGTATCATTGAGCGCTGATGCTTCTGGCCACGCTTCTGTAGCTGCTAAATTTTAGTAAAACTTGCAGACACGGACTCTGCAGCGTAGTCGACGCTCACATTTGATTTTGCCGCACACCTTCTCTGCCTTTAGTCGATACACTGAGCATGCCGCCGAGATCTCACGCCCGTGATCAGTCTTTTGCTCGGTAAGCTTGCGGACATCGGACGTCGCTTTATGGATCAAGGCATTTTTTGAAGGGGTCCGTCACATTCTTTATTATATTATTCTCGATCCGCAGAAGAGAGGTTCTCAATCGGACTAGGATATAGTCCTTAGACAAAGCTTTTCATCGCATCCTCAGACAGGTACCTAGGCACTCTTTGTAATCTTGATCCGCTAGTAGCGGGGTTTTCAATACCCTCAATAGGCCGCTTCCTCTAGTGTAGTAAAGCATCCATGGAGACGGTATGATCAAGTCCAGCCCAAACTTCTCCATCGTCGAAAACATTAAATCATCAAACTTCCGAGCGTCGCCTTGAAGGACGACTTCATGGAACCCGCAAAGGAAATTGACCGTTGATGTCGGGCAGCCTCAAATCCTATGAAACGTGCTTTTTTGATGGTAGAAATCATCTCTTTGTGGCAGTCGGTCAATGTCAATTGGAAGGGGACAGAGATATCATCCCGATGATACTCTGGGAGATCATTTTTTGCTTCAAACCAACAGGGAAGAAGATGGAGATGCAATTTCTGCATTCTGCATGGAGTAGCGACTTTCGAAGCCTGAAGGCTGAAGCTCATTATTCGAACAACATTATCCAATCTGAACCAATTGGAGATAGAGATAGCAGATTGCCAAATCTGATTTGAACGCCGTGTTTGGCAGTCTTTTAAATGGCTCGCGGAAAACATCCTGGGGTGATTTTATTCTTGATTTCGAAATAGATGTTGAAGCTAGACCCAAGGCTGCGAGCAGCAAGGAGCGGCCATGTGTACGGCGGAGTACTGACAAGGCTGTGTAGATGCTGCTCCGTAATGTACTTGTTATGCACGAGGCACAACTTATGATTTGGCGGCGCCGCCAACTCGCAGCCGAGTCTAACCACTTGGTTCCTCGACCAAACTCCGGCTCACTTCCTCCGCGTTTCTCGTCCTTTCAACCCAAAGGTTCGAGGAACGTGGCTTGACTGTCACTCCATGACGACTTTTTTGAGTGATTCCGGTACGAACACGAACATGTTTGGTTTCTAGAATCGCAGCCGTCAGCATGTGAACACCATCTGTCCATCACCCTCCTCCACGCTTTCTTCCTCTCCTCTCCCTCTCCCTCCGTACTGGGCGGTGACAGCAAGCAATGCCTCGACAGCGACCGACCTCTGGCTACGCTCGCCTGGCGCAGGCCGACGAGGACGAAGGTCCGCTTGGAGAAGAAGATTCTGGAGATGAAACAAACACATCCACGCCCCTGACAACCCGATATGCCTCGATTCAACCGGCTCCGCGCGAGTCGATGCGCTCCAGCGCCCGCTACCATGATACACCGAGACGACCCATGAGACGGATACGAAGTAATTCCTCGGGAGTGGACATCAAAGCAATCAACGCACGGTTGGAGAGATGGGCTGAAGAGATCGCGTCCAAATTCAAAATCAGCTCCGTCAAGGGCAAGACTCAAGAGGAAGAACAGCTTGAGATACACCATTCTGTCTTTCAGGCTCCTCCGGGTGTACACCCTTACACCGCCTCCGAGTTGGCTGCGTATACTGCTGCTACCGAGACACAAAGAATGACTAAACAACAGTTTGATGACATTGTGGAAAGCGTCAGAGTTGCCATCGAACTTGGAACGCATCCCAAAATGATCTCGCAAGGGAGCTCCGGCAGCTACTTCGCACGTAACGGTGAAGGCAAAGTTGTTGGCGTGTTCAAACCAAAAGATGAGGAGCCATATGCCTCAAGGAACCCCAAATGGACAAAATGGCTGCACAGAAATCTACTCCCGTTCGCTTTTGGTCGGGCGTGCCTGATTCCCAATCTGTCATACGTATCCGAAGCCGCTGCATATGTTTTGGATTACCAGTTAAGGACATACATTGTCCCATACACTGATGTCGTCTGGCTATCCTCCAAGGTCTTCTACTATGACTTTTGGGAAAGGAGAAGCACCTGGGGTGGAAAGAAAAGCCTGCCAGCGAAACCGGGCAGCTTTCAAGTCTTCCTGAAAGGATATAAAGATGCAAACCTTTTCCTGCGCGAGAACCCCTGGCCGGACCAAGCAACCGAGTTCCGTGCAGACATGGAGCATTCAAGAAAGAGGAGGCGGTGGAGCAATTGTATTCCAGGTGGTCGAGGCTCAGACGACGACGACGACGAAGAAGAGGCCCCTCGAGTAGTTTCGCCTCCGCCCTCGGAAGATGCACCCAAATTCCGCTGGACACCTAACATAAGACAGGCTTTCCGGGAGGAACTGGAGAAATTGGTCATTCTTGATTACATCATGCGAAATACCGATAGGGGCCTCGACAACTGGATGATAAAAATCGACTGGAAGACAGAAGAAGTCTCGCTTGTGGCGGAACCTCCCAAACCGAATGGTACAACTGAAAATGGGGATGCTCACCTACGGCCTGCATTAGTGAGCCCAAACATCAGTCCTCAACGACCCGAGTCGAATACCTCGAGACCGTATAAGCGGTATGAGGCGATGGAGAGTCGAACAGGGACGCCCTCAAACGCCCAAGAACCCCAATGTTCGATCACGATCGGGGCCATTGACAATAGTCTGTCATGGCCCTGGAAACACCCAGATGCCGTATGTGTATAAATTTACCCGCAACTGGCGCACTATGCTAATCCATCTACCAGTGGCGGAGTTTCCCATTTGGGTGGCTGTTCCTGCCCGTCTCTTTAATCGGACAACCATTCTCGACGAAGACGCGGGATCATTTCCTCCCCTTACTAACTTCAACCGCATGGTGGAGCGAAACTCAACTGGCTCTACGGAGAGTTTTTGCGCTGGACGCAGATTTCAAGGAAAGCATGTTTGCGCGGCAAATTGCCGTGATGAAGGGGCAAGCTTGGAATGTTGTTGAGACTCTGAAACAGGAAGACCACGGCCCTTTGGAGCTAACAAGGCGGACCAGAGTATGCGTGTGGGACGACCTCGTAGATGTTCCCGTGGCAATCCCCATGCGTGTCCCTTCTACCGAGATGAATCGCCGCGCAGCACGTCATTATCAGCAACAAGAAGAGATGGACATAGGAGCATCCTACGCATCCGCTCCGCCTGGAAGGCACCCGGCACCACAATTTGACCTTCTTGGCTCTCCGACGAGCGAGTTACCCAACCCGAACCGCTTCGATCTCACTCGCGAAGACAGCGCTGCAGATCTGGGGTATCTGCCGGGCTCGGGCCAAGACAGTGGGCTCGGCAGCACTGCTCCTGGCCTCGATTCTATGGACTTTGCTCGAGAAGCCCGCAGCAGTCTCGGCTATCACCCCAATACGCACACGCTCCCGGCTCGCCCTTCGATGAAGGGCAAGACACGCTTCAGCTTCGAATTTTCCCGTCGTGGCGGCGACCATTCTACCAACAGCAATAATGTGACCTCAAAAGAACGCACCGCCACGAGAAGACAACGGTCCATGTCCACAAGAAGTGGGCACAAACAGAGATCCGTTCCAGCCATCGTTTACGAGGGAGATGATTTCGATGAGGGGGATCTGGGATATGCCGCCGCGAGTGATATGGACTCAACACATAGGAGGAAGGTAATTGTGGAGCGGCTAGAAACTGTGAAGAGCAAGAAACCCTTTTTCACCTGGTGTTAGAACGGGAAGAACACGCGGCAGCCGCCCGGAATAAAGGAAGGATAGTATATCAGAGGGAACTATATGCGCATCTAAAGACCTGGTCTGTGTCTGTCTCCTGTCTGCCTGCCTGCCTGTTTGGGCAGGGTATTGCGCCATCTGTCTAGCATTGTTTGGGGGTGGTTGGTTGGACTATATCTTTGTGCATGAGGCAGGATAGAAGAAAAGAAATATCAAAATGTGTTTGATGGTGCACGATGCATGGTTGCAGCAATGGCACTATCAGTGACAAGCTGTGTTTCAATATACCATACCAATATACCAATATTACCTACCTGCCCTGGTAGTACTTTATTAAGCATCGTGTATAATCTTGAAAAACAGAATGAGCCGCATCGTCATCGTCATCGCCATCGCCATCGCCACCGTCATCGCAATACAGAGGACAGAGGACAGAATGACCCATGATGATCTTATTGACTACCATTGTCATTATCATCATTGACGGCGAGGATGACGACGATAACCACCATATCACACCTGACCCTGCTCGACTATTGTTATCCTATTATATCCTGTCCTGGCTGGTTCTTCTTGTCCGGTTGGTGATATTGACAACCACAATCAGAACTCCACAGAGAACGGACACTCGACACTCGACACTGAAACCAGAAACCAGAAACATATGGATACCGAGACCGGAAACCGGACACTGGGAATAAATAGAAAGTGGGAGATGGAACGGGAGAAGGAGAAATGTATAATCTGGCAGCCGGTGGATCGAACAACCACTGCGTTCCTGTTCAGGCCACAATGCGCGTGCCGTTGTATGATGGGTAGTGTAGATACACTCGGTCTGTCCACATTGGGTTGGTGGTTCGATCCATCGCAATCAAAGCCAACCTGGTCCAATTCATAGCATATTCGCGTCCCAAGCAAAGGGATCATATTCAATTAGATCTCCTGTCTGAGAAACGCCATCGACGCCGCCCCTGTCCTTATCACGTGTCCCCACATTCGCTCTCGTCCTAGTCCTCGTCTCTTCATTCTGCCAAGTCGGTCTCGCTCGCACAGCAGAGATAGAAGGCACAGGTGGCGTCACCGTTGATTTCTCCGTGACGAGACCCGCCTTCATCATGCAGAAGTCTTGATCTCCCGTCCCGGAAAGCCCCTTCCCTCTCCAGCTCCAACTTTACGAGAAGTCTTCCTCTTCCTTCTCAATCGCATTCTTAACCCTCAGAAGCAGGGTCGTCTTCCACTTGTCCAGCTTGCTCAATGAATCGAACTGGAACAACTTGTCCGAGAAAGCTTCCTGGTCCCCTTCTTCCACGCACCCGACGAGGTCCGTTAGTAACATATTCTCCCTCGTGCTTGCAAAACTGCCGTCCAACTCGCGATAGTGCTCCAATGCTCTCTTGGTAGCCACTTGATCGCCTGCGGCGAGATAGCATATGCCGGCTTTCAGAAAGTAGTCCTTCACGCTCCAGCGCATGAGATTATTGTTTAAGCTCGACTTCGCCACGGCTTCGAGTTTGTTGATCGCATTCTGATAATCCCCTTCCAGGGCCGCCAGGTCCGCAACTTTCAAGTACAGTTTATTGGCCAACGCCTCCGCGTTGTCGCTTTCGTACCACTGTGCAGCGGTGTCATACGCCTCCAAGGCTTTTTTCTGATCGCCGATCTCCATCTCATACACTTCAGCGAGGTTTTGTTGATGCGTGGCCGCACGGCGGAAGTTGCCCTTCGCGGTATAGTGTTGTATGGCGGTGGTGAGGACGCGGGCGGCGTCTTGGGGAGAGTCTTTACGGTAGACTTTGAAGGCTTCGGTGAGGGTGTTGGCCATGTCATCCGGTTCATTCAGTTTGGATTGTTGGATTGAGGCGGCCTTCTCAAAGGCCTGGCCAGCTTCCAGATCTGTGGGGAAAATACATGTATCAGTAATGGTCTTGGATATTTCCGTGGATCGACAGGAGGAACGACTGTTTGTGCTGCCTGGCGCTTACTCTGCTTCTGTACCCTAAAGGCATTTGCGGCTTGTGTATAGAGGTCCGCAGCGTTCTCCCATTTTTCCGCTCGTCCACCAAATAGACTGAATCCACCCGAGGCGCCTTGGATGGCTTTGTCGGCTTTCTGGAGTAATGCTCGGGGATCTTGAGCCATGGGTGAAGTAGAATTGAAGGGTGGTGAGGGAGCAGAGATGGTATGTGCGAGGTGCAGTGTCAACTGTGTCTCCTGCGGTCCTGCAGTCGTCCTTGAGCGATATACAGATGAGAAGGGTCACGAGATTGAGATCAATCCGGGGCTGGAGATAGGTGGCTTCTGGAACAATACCGGGTCAATACTGGGTACCTACTTGTAGTTGATGAACAGAGTTGCATGCCACTGTCCAAGTAGGGCGACGCCCCGCCAAAACGGGCGAGGACCGAGCGCAGACGTCACCACGCTGCTTTAAGGGTCACTGAATCTTCGCAGGTGCACCGTCAATGTTTACATCCTCTCATCAATAGCCAGATCCAATGTAACCCGCCGTGCTAACGAGGGATTGGGGACGGTCTTCATTTGAACTTTGAAATGCCTCGGCTTCCTCGACCAACCTTCAACATCCGCACTGCTCTTTCCGGACCCGTCACCAGCCCTGCTCGAGAAAAGGAACTGAGGCTAGTCAAGAAAATTGATATTTCCCCAGAGATTCAATCCCTCCTCGAGACGCCGACATGGTCGGTATCTTCGCTGTTGCCTCCATCATCACGGCGATCTAGAGGTAGAGACTCGACGACGAGGACAGGCAAGACTTCATCCGAAGCACAAGCAGCCTCGAGAGACGAGGATACGCTGGGCCCGAAAGAGATAACGCGTGAGAAACTTCACCACCTCCTCCGCCTCTCCGCCCTCCCCCTCCCCAGTTCTCCCGCCGAAGAATCCCAAATGCTCCAAGATCTGCGCGACCAAGTACACTTTGTCAAGGAAATTCAAAAAGTTGATACAACAGGTATCGAACCTCTTGTGGCAATCCGCGATGAGACCTCAGAACATAGACGAGAACGCACCATCAACCGGTCGACATTGGCCGAATTTCTCGCACTTGAGGAGAAGAAGGGCAAGAATGGAACGATAAGAAGAAGAAGAGATACGTATCAGGTCACAAGCTTTACGCCAGACAGCCAGCCATGGAAGGAGGATCCGTTAGCTTGGAGCAAGGTTGAGGACCCCTGGGAACTTGGTGAAGGTGAAGAGAGTCGAAAGATAGGGAGGTTCTTTTTTGTCAAAAGACAGGCCCCTGAGCTAGAGCGCGAAGGGACGGGAAAAGAGGAGGGAGGACAGAATGTGAAGGGAAAGGAAGTGGATTGATCAGAAGGCACGAGGGCCACGGGCTCCTCGCCCAAAAGTCAAGGAACTTTTTGAAGGTCACACAAGCTTCGTGAGGGACTAGCGTCCTGCAATACTAAGCGGCAAGCGACACTTGGGAAAGCCAACACCAAACATCTGGACCCATTCACCCTCGAAATTCAGGCATTGGAGACAGCAGCGGCGGAACAATACACTCGGTCACCAACACACCACGACGCTCTCAATCCCAGGCATAGGGGTCCCACTCGCCCAGATTCGCCTTCTGCCCTTCATCCAGCCCGTCAATGACTTCAATGTCCTCGTGGGAAATCTCCCAGCCGAGGATCTGCTTGTTCTCGATGATTCGCGTTTCTCGATCGCTCTTGGGAATCACCACCAAGCCTTTCTGCAGACCCCATCGCAGGACAATCTGCGCGGGGGTTTTGCCATACTTCTGAGCAAGCGAGACGATCGTCTCGTCGTTCAATCGTCGCCCCTGCGTGAGCGGGGAGTATGCCACGACCACGATGGCCCTGCCTTTGCAATACGACACGAGCTGCCTCTGCTGGTTCCACGGGTGGAGTTCAATCTGGTTGCACACGGGCTCGATGTAGACGCCCTCTTCGGTCATGAGTTGTTCGATGTGCTTTGGGGCCCAGTTTGACACTCCGATACTCTTGACCAGGCCCCTCTCAACGGCGTCTTGAAGCCCCAGCCATGCCTCCTTCCTCGCCACCGGCCCAGGGCGAGGTGTGTGCAGCAGGTACAAGTCAATGGACTCCAGTCCGAGCTTCTTCAGGGAGCCTTGGACTCCAGCAAGAGCCCCTTGGCGGGAGTACATGTCTTCCCACAGTTTCGAACACACAAATAGTTTCGAAGGGTCAATTTGGCTTTGCGCAATGGCCGCACCCGTCTCTGCCTCGTTGTTATAAATTTGGGCCGTGTCGAGGTGTCGGTAAGAATTTTTAAGGGCAAAGAGTGCGGACCGAGTACACGTCTCGCTTTGGCAGGTGCCGAATCCCAGAACGGGAATCGCGTGGCCAGATTTCAACGGCAGAGTAGAGGTTATCTGTAATTCGGGCATTTTGAGAATTGTGCAACTCAAGAGAGGACACCTCAATTGTAAGACTCCAGATGAACGACGACTAATCCTTTTACTCTGTTACGACGTTCGAACTTGTGTGCGGTGATATGTGTGTTCGGCCAAACCTTTTGCGGAGTGTTTTTCCTTACGCAACGCAGTGCCTGGTAACGGCGTCGTGAGGATTGGGATGCAAGAGAAAGAGTCATGGGGCTCGAGTAGCTCAAGTAGCTCTACCTCGTACGCCTTTACGAGGAATATGAAGTCACCATGTTTTGCCGTAGTTTACCCGGGTCAGCAGGACAAAAGCAAGAGTACCCAGTAACATACTCTTGCATACTGCACTGAGTACTCGCCTTGTACTGGGCAGCGAGCGAGTGATGTAATAGGCGCATGGGTGCCAAGACGTCCAGCCTTGGCACTAGTCTCATCCTCATTATCCCCTATTGCCCCCTACTAGCCTACTACTCGAGTACTTGTACTTGTACTCCTACAATATCAACCTGTTTGTGGTGTGACCTGCAGTCAATGCATTCTTTTCTCCCCAGCATAAGGAGGGAATGGTTTTGCGAGACTACCTCCTCGACAGGTCAGGCAGGGTACATCCCGCCCGGAGACATCGCCGCCAAAGCTTTGGCTAAGAGCTCTGAGGCAGATCGCGAAGGTCTTATCGAAGGGGTTACCGCGCGGCTTCGTCAGATGCTGCAGGAAATGAGGAAGCTCTGCCCTCCTGTACCAGGGGTTGAGAGTTGCTATGGAGCTCTCTACGTGACTCCCGTATTTGCATAACCAGACCCGGGTTTGGACCGTTCGAGACTGTTCACGAATTCCAGCTGTGGTTGCGCGACGGCATGCAGCAGACACAACAACGCCCAGATCACCTCGATGTTCAGGATTGGAAGGATATTCAAGACATGATGGCTAGGCAGGACAGGCCGTGGCCGCTTCCCGCATTCGCGCATGGAGATCCGAACCCTTTGGACATACTAGTCCGCGGAGCTCAGATGGCTGACATCGTTGACTAGGAGTTCTCAGGGTGGTACTCACACTACTTGAACTATACCGCTGCTTGGTATGGAAATGAAACTCGACAGTCCTGGCAAAAATTGGTTCCAAGGTCCTCGAGCATGATCCTGAGCATCTCAGAATGGAGATCACACGTCAGAGTTGATGGGAGACCCTTGAACACGGTCTCTGATGAGTGACGTTTCTTGGCCGAGCTCTTGGGGGGAAGCAGGTGTTCATGGAAGCCGACGGTAGATGGCACGGTCATTCGTCGAGCTCAAGGTACCGTTTATTTTCCTTCAGGCATGTTCCAGCAATTAAGTCCCCATCAAGACGAAATGACTCTTAGAAACAGGCTATACACCTGTTCCCAATAGAGCTATCAAATCGAATTGAATAGCGACAAAGTCTGATCCAAAATACACATGGCATCCACTATAGGCAATGGGGGCTCGATAACAACGAGGTGGTCGCCATATCGAATGCAGCTAGCGAGGTAGGTAGAGGATAGAGCACCACTATCTTAAAACGCAAAAGGAATACTCATTGTCACAGAGAGAGAGAGAGAGAGAGAGAGGAAGGCGAAAGGCATGACAATGCTCTTCTGGGTATGAAGCCTTCCTCACCTGACAACGAATACCCCTTGCTCTGTAGACCCAAAAAGATGCCTTGTCAGGGTATACGAAGCCGACATGTCTCCCTCCAGACTGACCAATGTTCATTGACGTCAGGCTGTGGTTGCCCATCAAGCAGCATCGCATGCATGTCACGACATCGAGACATTTCGATGGTAGCCCACGTTGCGCCTGAAGCGTCCTCGAGAACGTCGAACAGGGAATGTCCAGCTACTCGTGCCTGCTCGGGAATATCCTGAGGATGAAACACGGTCCTCGGCGTCGATTTTCTGCACAAGGCGGCATCTGCTGCTGCTTGAGATGCCGCTGTCTCTTCCGCTCGAACCACACATTCAGCAGCGGCTGCCTCGACACACCCGCACCATCTGTGGAACACGATCAGTCGGGACCAAAGTTGGGCAAAAGTAAAATCAATAACTGGTCCAAATGCCATAACGTCTTTTCGGGATACAGGGTCAACTTACGGTCCTTCTCTCCCACATTCCTCAAGCAGCGATATGGCTTTTAACCGCCATGTGGAGTCACGATACTTGATAGCTGTGAAAAAGAGCGGCTGGATGATTCCCATTTCAGCGTTGAAGGTGGGCATTTCGGCCTCGGCGGGTTTTGCTCTCATGGCTCGTTCCACACACTCGACAAGTTGCTGGAACTGTAGTGCGTACTTGTCGTACGCCGTCTCGAATGGCTCAAGGATGTTCGAGACATAAATGAGGGCACTCAGACAATGGGCCTGGAGCACTAGTCCGTGCAGGCCGTTGACCGCCGAGATGCCATGGCCCATCTTTGAATATTGTCGATAACATGAGAGCCACTTGTTCAGCTCGGCGATATGACGGCTCTGATCCAACACCAACACCTCTCTAGAGGCTGCACGAGGAAGATATTTGTACTCGGCAGCCCTTGTGGCGAAACTGTAACACGAGTGCAACGTCCGGAAGAGCGTGCGGTCTGCCTTCCGTGGAGTGAACATGGTAACGTCTCCATCCATACCAGGGGCAGCTACCGGGCATTGAAGCTCTGGCGCGTTTCCCAGTGCGTAGGTAATGACTTGCAGGTCCAACTTCCCAAAAAGACATGAGAGATCATCGTCAAGAAGGGCTTTGCCGGTCAGGGATTTTGTGGAAAGCCATTCGCGGGAGTTCATGATTGAAAATGCCCCTCGGAGATGAAGCAGAGCGTCGGTTTGTCGGTACTGGATTGTTTCAGCAGAGGCCAAGAGGGTGCACGCCACAAGGACGGGCAGAGGACCATGAGGGAGCTCCAAGACATCTTGTCGAATTTTCGCCATCGCCGCCGTGATTTGTTTCAATGCCTTGAATTTGGCAGCGCCACAGTTTCTTTGCAGCATCTGTTGCTCATAGGACGCTCCAAATGCGGCGGCGGCCTCCATCACACTTGGAATGGACAATGCGAGCTGGGGCACCAGATGGCCCCAAAATGCAGTCTCTGCCTCTGTCCTCGCACCGGGACGCCCTTGTGAGAGCACGGCACAAGCCAGAAGACGGAGACGATCAAGTTCAGGGTTCGGTCCTAGCCCAGTGGGCTTGAAAACACCGACGCGGTCGACGTGGCCTGGTTCGACAGGCACAACACCCGTTTGGGGCGGGCCTGGGTCACGAGGCGCCCCATCAGGATACCCTTCACAACTGCGTTTACCTCGCTGGCAGCGCAAGCAACGGGGCTTGGACTCGTCGCATTTTACTCGACGGGCTCTATCAAGGCGGTTAGACCGTGTCGAGAACGCAATTGATGTCCTCGAAGTTCTCACCGACACGTAAAGCAGCCGTACTTGGATTGCCGCACGTTGGTACGCGTCCTTTGCTTCCGGGGCGCAGGGGGCCCTGAATCAGACGGCATTTGCCAAAGTCAAAGACCGAGAATGATGAATGCGATAGTAGAAGAGGATCCATACCATTCAGGTCCTTGAATTGGCGAGGTTATGTATGGATGTGGTCACATTTAAGAATGGATTCTCATGTCCAAACAAGGGGAGTGTGGATCCGCCACAGATGCCGGAAAGAGGAAGGTCGAAACTCAAACACCGAGCCTCGCCAGGCACCACCATTTCTTGTACCATTCCCTCTCCAAGAGCCTCTGAAGTCACGATGTCAGTGCACAGCACGAGAAACGGTCCTGCCCTTACCAGGCGGAGCAATCACCATGGTGGATTGGCTGTCAAACAGGGCTAAACACATCCCTACGAAGACCAGATTCCTCATTTTCCTCAGAAGAGGGTACCGGTAAGAACGGAGATGTATAAATTGCCTCCAGCAACGGTAGGGAATTTCAGAAGTCCTATTCTTTGGCAAGACTTTACTTTTATTACATTTCCTCCTTCTGAAACAGCTTTGACATTTATATCGTCATCTCCCCAACCATGAACTCGACCTTCGACCCTGCCAACTGCACATATGCCACCTGCTCCGTCGAGGACTACGGCCAATTGGGATACATTCCCTCCCTCGCAGGAAACGCATTCTACCTCGCGGTATTCTGTCTCGCATGCGTCGCACAGATCCTCTTGGGCATTCGATATCGGACTTGGGGGTTCACGGTGGGGATGGTGGGAGGAATCGGGCTGGAGATGATGGGTTACATATCCAGAATCCAGCTGCACTTTGACGACTTTAACAACAACTACTTCATCATCTACCTGGTCGGCCTGACAATTGGGCCCGCATTCTTTTCGGGCGCGATATACATCTGCCTCGCGAGGATCATCGCCGTCTACGGTACCCGACTCAGCGTGCTCAGCCCGCGGGCCATTACCATCATTTTTGTTGGCTGTGACTTTTTCTCCCTCGTCCTCCAGGCCGGCGGGGGCGCATTGACCTCGTTGGACATCTCCCCAAGCCTCAACCAGACCGGGATCAACATGATGATTGCCGGACTCGCCAGCCAAGTGGCCTCCACAACTGCCTTCTGCGGCATCTGTCTGCAGATCGTATTCTCCATCCACACGAAACCCGACCTGATCAACCGCAACAGCACGGCGCTTCGAAAAAGACTCACGTTCCAACTTTTCTTGTCCGGTAAGTCCCAATCCCCGTCCCCATCCATCCAGGGCCTGTCCCAAAACGAGCAGATTCCTCAAAACACATCTCCCCCGCCCCCCTCCCCAGACAGCTTTTTCAAATTTCCCTAGCTCACAGAAATTCTTGGGACACGCTAGCAATCGCCATCGCAACGGTGACGATCCTCATCCGGTGTTCCTTCCGAGTAGCCGAGCTGAGCAAGGGCTTCGGAAGCGCCCTTGCAAACGACCAGGTCATGTTCATGGTCCTCGACGGCGCGATGATGTCGCTGGCCGTCCTGGCGCTCTCGACCGGCCACCCCGGCCCGGCTCTCGGGACGGGGATGTGGGAGCAGAGCGGATTCAAGCTTTTGGGAGGAAAATCCAAGATGGCGGAAAGGCCAATCGCGTACGACCTGGCGGGCACGCCGGAGGCTGCGTTTTCACGGAGGAGCATGAGGGGCGTTGGGAGGGCGGTGTTGGGCAAGTGAGAGAAAAGAAGCGGTGCGCAGGTGAGCAAAAGAGCGCTGGTTTCACAAAAGGGAAAAGAGCCAGCGAGATCCGAGAAAGCCCGACAGATGCCTACATACATGGGTATGCAATCGATCATCTATCGCTCGAGGTTCGCACGTGTGAACACACCAACGGGGAGAGCAGGGCGTCTCCACGTGGAGACAAGCCAGTGCCTATCTCCATGGCCCGTCTCGCTATGTATTGTGTACCCAGATAATACAGGAGCGGACTGTGGCCCCGACCAGCGCAGCGGAGTTTGCCACCTTTTTTTCTTTGGCGAGTGCGTTATATAGTTGCAATGCCTGCAGTACTGTAAAGACAACACAACACATGACTAAACCGTGTATCATAGAAAGATCATCCGCCCCCAAACTTACTTGAAAAAAAAAACAAAAAAAAAACAAAAAAACAAAACCTTCTTGAAGGGAGATGGGGGATAAGACGCCTATGTATGTACCTCGTACATACCGCAGAGCTGGCCGCAAGCCGTCCGTTCCATGCATTGTGGTATACGAAGAATGGAGAGAAGAGTGCCATGCACACACAGGGGATATAGGTGGTCCAGAGTCGCGTCCCTCTGCCCGCCAGCCAGAAGGTAGTTTCTGGGGAAATCACACCCCGTGTCCAATGTGTTCGATTATACATGTATCCTAGTTGAACCCATTGAGGAGAAGATCCTGTTATCCTGTTGCTTTTAAAACCCAGCAACGCAGGGAGTATCCAGAAAGAAGACTCCAGATACCGACCACATCGTGGGATTTCCTAAATCTACCAATTGCGCAGTCGTGTCCGTGTCGGCGAAACCGATCTTATCCACCTCCCCTGCTCACGCTCCACAAACAATAGGGTATATATAAATGAACGTTGATCGACGGACATAGAGTTCAAGGAGGGAACCGGTATCCAAGTCGGCTGTAAGCACAGAATCAAAGACCAGCGGCCATCATCAATCCATACCCGACGGTAATCACAATGGCAAAGGTGATCACAGACGCCGGGACGCCGCGGGTTAAGAAGTGTTTGACTCGCAGATACCGCACTCCCGTTTCAGGGACTTCCATCATAATTGCAGCTGCAAATTCTGTTAGCGGCCATATCATACGAGCTATGAACCGGATTCTGCGTTCGACAGAGTCCAAATCCGTGTCAAGGGAAGCGATTGTAGACGAACAGAAAAGGAGGGACTCACTCATATTTGGAAAACCCGACGTGGGCAGCCCCATTGCCGCCGAACACATTAACGCTGCACCCATGACCAACAGATTTGGGTGCGGCTCCTTCATGCTTTCGCCCACCTGTGCCACAAGCGGTAAGATGATCAATGCCGCAACGGTGTGGCTGATAAACGTAGCAACGACAAGCACCAGCGACGCAAAGACCACGAGGACTCCATATATCGAGAGATTGTCCACGCGTTCGGTGATGCTCCTCGCAATTGAATGGAGCAAGCCAGACGACGAAACTGCGCGACCCAGAGAAAGGCCTCCTGCGGCGAGGATAATGATGGTCCAGAGGAAATTGTTGAAGTCTTCTTTGGTCAAAATGCCCGTGCCGAAGAACAACACGAGAGGGATGATGGCAATGACGCCCATGTCGCCAAACACACTTTCCAATTGATGGGAAGCGCACCACAGGGCAATGGTGATCATCGTGACCAGGATGATGAAATACTGCATGCCATTGAGGTTATCTTTCATCGGCCGGATAGGCACGATAGTGGTTCCCTTGCCAGGCTTAAAGCTGATTACCAACAACACCCAGATTAGGATGATGCTGAGGATGCACACCGGCAAAGCGATGAAGAACCAGATTCCCCAGCTTGGCGGAGGTTTCATGTTCTGCAGGGCGATGATGTTCTGCGGTGAGGCGATGGGGGAGGCGGCACCACCGATGTTCGACGCCAGGGCAATCCCCAAAATCAATGCTTTGGACATATTACTGTCCGATGGTAAATTGCGGAGTATGGGTTGAATGATGCTGAAGCACAGCACCGGGGCGGCGACATTGGAGATCCACATGCTCAAGAACATGCCGACGAACATGTTTGTGATGAGCACATTGCGAGCCTTGGTGCCGGCTTTGCTGAGCACAAAAGTCGCCATCATCTTTGCGATGTGGTATTTCGACAACGCTGCCGCGATGGTGAAGCCGCCGAGCAATAACATGATGACCGGTGTCCACATGGCCGCAAAGACGGCCTTTGTCGCATCCTTCGTGCTCAGTCGGTGATGGGGTTTGTCCTCTGATCGCATGATCCGAAGGACGACAACCAGAAAAGGAATCAGTAGAGAAGTGACGAAGAGAGGAATCACCTCGGTGGCCCACAGCAAGGACACAAAGATCAACATGGCCAAGCAATTCTGCTGCTCCGGATTCTTCATGATCGGGATGTAAAGCAGGGCCAGGAACACCGCCAGGATAGCGACAAGAGCGAACAAGGTCCCGCTGAACAGCCACTTCGGACACCTGTACCGACCCACGGGAGTGACAATTTCCTTTGTGTCGACGGCTTCTCGATCACCCTGCAGTCGTGCCTTTGATGGATCCTGTACTCCTCCCAGCAAGGTCTGCCTGATACCGAAGTTGGCCGCTTGCGCCTTCCGCTCGATGCCGATCATCTCTCTCCAAACAGTGTTCCTCTCCCACACGACGTGCTCGCGGAGATGGAGTCGAAGCTCTCTGCGAGCCATGTTCTGATCGCCCTTGGTGACGACTTCGGCGTAGGCTTTTTCCACTTTTGCGATATTCTCATCCAGATGGACCATGGTCTTCTCTTGGAACGGGTAGGACGGGTTGACCGACTTTTCCATGTAATCCTTTCGGATATCCCGATTGCACACCTTGTCGTACTTCTTGGCCGCCTTCTTGAATCCCGTGTGGTTGAGTTGGATGAAGGACTTCAACTCGCACAAGGACACATAGGTGCTGATGATGCGCTTTTTCAAATTGATGCCTGAATCGTACAGTGACGACAGATGACCGGGGTCGGAAGCCTCGAGTTCCATGGCCAAGCTCGGTCTCCTTCTGAGAAACACGGGCGAGTCTGGGGCTCGTAGGTCTTCTCGAGATTCGGCAAGTGCAGAATGGTCTGATGCGTCTGTGTTCCAGGTGCTTTTACTCCTTGGCCGGTTCGAAGACGCCTTCTTCCTGATCATGGCGGCATTGTCTTCAGCGTCACTATCGCTATCATCCTCGCCTTCGGGCTCTTCCATACTGATGCTCATGGTCGACGTCCTCCTCCGCCGCCGGAAAGGTACGTTGAATATGCTCGACGACCGGACGGCCTTCCGGCGATTCTCGGCCTCGACCACCTCGTCCATGTCCACATCATGCGTCTCGATCTTGTAGCTCTCCACATCTTTCAAAAGCTGGTCGAGTTCGCCGAAGATCTCCAGCTCTTTTAACCTATAAAAGGAGCAGACCTTATCCAACTCCGAGTCTAGCATGCGCTTGAACGTCGTGTCCGGATCGAGCGAGCCGCCCAGCAGAGCAGTACTTTCTTCATCTTGCGGCTGTGTCTCGCCCGGCGGCCTGTTGATCTGCTTCTCGAGGGTGTAGATGAGTTTCTTGAGGTTGCTGTAGGAGATGTAGTTGCTGCTCCAATCGGGAACAGCGTTGAACTGGATGCTGTGGGAGAACTTCATCTCGTCGTCTCGATCGGCGAGCTCTTGGAGTTTGACGAGCCTTTTTTGCGACTGTCTTGCGTGCCTGTCTCTAGCTCTTTCTCTCTCTCTTCTGGATGAGTCGGCGCCGGTGAAGGTCGCGAGTTCGATGGAGGGACCGCCAGCCGCAGCCGAATCGAGGGTTTCTGAGTGAAAGGGGCGAATGTCAGGATTACGGGGCTGCGAATGAGCGGGTGAGGAGCGAGGCTGCGACCCGCGCATTCGACATGGATGGAGGGGGTAATTGCTTTTTCAGAGAAGCTAGGGTGGCACTGTAGGTTGTAGGGGGTCTGTAGGGGTCTGTAGGGGTCCGCGGGGGGAGGGGAAACAATACGACGCAAGGCAAAAGTTGGACAGCGAATGGTGAAAAGTATTTTACAGCTCGTTCACGGGAAAGGGATGGGTCGTGGTGGGATCTGAGTAAGGCTAGTGAGGCATTGCTGGCTTTGTGAGCCGAGCCCAAGTTTTGAGTTGAACTTGGGAGCGACCGCCGCCATCAGCCCATTGGCGAGTTTCTGGGAGAAGGAAACAACTTGAATTGGTGGATGCGGGCGGGCCAATTTTCTCGGTTGTTTTCTTTCCTTTCTTTCTGTCTATTCTGGGTGGACGTGGCGATTTGGGGATGAGTCCGGAAGTATGGACGAGGAAACGAGTGGTGGCTCAGTGGCACCAGTCGCCATTAGTGAGGCACCAGGCTGGTGAGGCTGGCGTGCAGTGCCGCCCATCACGAGCAACACAGAAGAAACCAACCTCCAACCGGAAGCACAAGGCAAACTCAAAAGACAGGTAGCGTGATGGATGCATTTCCATGGCTATGTCCCCCATTCCATCTCTTCCTCATGCACTCTACACTACTCTCTACACCGTATGTACTCTACGATACTCAGCTCTGCGCCGCCCTGCCCTACTTCAGCCGGGCCAGAATCCACTGGTTGATAAACTGCTCCGATGCCAACTCGTCCTTGATCCCAAACGTCCTGTCCAAAACGATGGCATCGTGAGCTTCGCCCGGGGCTTCGAGGAAATCGATTGTTGGATTGTGCACCTGGACCTCAACATCAGCCGTCTGGCACCTCTCACCTTTGGGTGCTTCAAACCGGAGTGACATACCTTGAGCTTCTCAGCGACCTCCCGAATGTCGTCCATCAGAATCTCATTCTCTCCCCCAACAATAGCCACATTGTCCACCTTGATATCTTTCCACCAATCAGCCGGCGCTTCAGCGGGATGGTTCCAGTTGTCCTGGGGTGACTGGGCCATGAAGTTGTCGGACCAGATCTTCACTGTCGCGGGCACCAGCGCGTCACTTTTGAAGTTCTTCTTCCATGACTCCCTTTTTTGTGTAAATGAGGCCCATGGGGAGATCAAGAGAGCCCCTCCCAAGTTGCTAGAGAGGGAGATAGGCGATACACTGGGATGTGGATGCGACAGATGGCTTATCAATGCTGCGGCGAGGTTCCCACCGGCTGAGTCGCCGCCGAAGAGGATCTGCGGCCATCCGCGTCAGGTCAAGTCCAGGGTCATCCAGGGGTAAGTGACTGTGCGCTCACCTGCGAAGGCTGCAGACCCAAATGCAATAAATATTTGACCGCCGCGGCCGCCTGCTTGAGCTGCAGTGGATAATGGCCATAGGGCGTGAGTTCATATTCCAGAAGCATGACCCGCAGCTCCTCGCCATGCTTCTTGGCCAGCTCGATGAGATCCCAGAGCATCAGCCAATGCTGATCCGACGCTGGGAAAGTGTATCCTCCTCCATGGAACCACAGCAGCGTCTTCTTGGCCGTTTTCGGTCCCATGAAGCACCCCGACGCGCCGTCATCCAATTCTACCAGCTCAAGGTCGAACCCCTTCTTCTTCGCAAACGACTCGTAGCTCTCAACCGTCGTTGGCTGTATGGCCTGCATCTGTTTGACCGACAAGCGCGCGAAGAGCGACCGGCAAGTGCTGTAGAGGACATGCCGCTTGTAGTCTTTGGGACAATCCTTGCCCCTTGACCAGCCGGTGAGGGTGGTGAAAGTCAATGTGCCCACTGTCGTAACGCCCTCCCATTAGTTCTCCTCGGCTATCGCACGGACTACAAGGCGGACGACTCACCAGCTCGACTCATGGCGTAGAGCAAACGGAAGTAATCACCCGCGGACAGGCGAGGCTTCTCTTTCATCTTGTTGCGTCTCTGTAATGCATGCACTTGATTGGAAATAAAAGAACAGGATGAGAAAGTGAAGGTGTGTTCCGCTTCCCCAGTTCAAGATGGTGTCGCCAATCAGCAACGCTTCCAACAACACAGATGGTGGATGACGGGGGACAACCGAATATTTATTTATCGCGCGACAGACATTTGAAATGCATGGGTTGTTATCCCTGGCCCCGGAGCTTACCTGAACAACCTGGAACATGAGGATCACGTATGCTCAAGCACAGGGTCTGACCAAACACATTCAATCACTGGCTTTCGGAGGATGTGCAACGGGTCCCATTTCCCTGCCAGCCTCCAAGCCGAAGTAAGAACGACAATGACCCGTTGCGGTAGAAACCATCTACCGAACGGAGGATCTGGGGTGCGTAACCGTCTACATTTGAAAGTCAAGTTCCCGCTCCTTTTCTCTGTTAAGGGTCCCCGGGGGGGATGACGAAAAGGTGGAGAACGCCATCATCGGATTTATTTCAGGCATCAGCCGCCGCTGACGAATACAAGCAACGCGGCTTCGCCTCGGTGCCGCGTGCTTGCGCGTGGCATCACTCACCAAAGTGCAGGTGGTGGTCGTACGAGGTACTATGCATGTAACTCTCACCGTCGCGTTATCATTTGATGTAGAGCGAGTTCTTAGTCTCTTTTTCTTACCTTCGATGATCACCCATTCTCCAAGTTCTATTCGCTTTCTGGATAGTATCTGCATCTGTGATGCTGTTTTTTTTTCTCTCACAACATCTTGGTCATTCATTGGTCACGCCCATCTCCGACTAGGAGTTTGTCGTGATAGTAGGGCTTCAAGGTCTTCGACTGATCAAAGGACCGAGATCGTCTGTATTTGTCCGCAGTGGAGGTGGTGAAGGTTGTGGAAGGGGCGCTCTTTTCGCTTTGGAGGATAACTCGATCGTCCAACGTCACAGCTCGACAATGAAGGGGTCCATCCATCCGGCTTGCGCTTGTTCCAGCGGAGGTCGATTCTTCTCAACTCTCCAGACTCAAGTGAGCTCAAAATCCTCAGGAAGGCCCGAGCGTGGAGACGAGAGTCGCCTCCTTCTGCCTCGAACCCGAATTCGCTTGAAAGGAGACTTTCTCGACGATTAACTGACACCTTAGATTGATATTCTCCAACCAAGTGTCGTCCATCGTGATGCTGTAATCAGTCCGTGCATGCAGCCAATGTCAACACTTCGACAGGCCCCCAAAGACGCTTCCAGTCAATCTCTGAACCGCTTCTTCGCGCAGCTCAGAATTCATCATCAGTGCGTATTGAGGCTTGATCGGCGTCACGAGGGGGAGGTCGAGTCTTTCCAAGACGTGCCATGGTTTATCCAAAAACTGTATCAAATTGGTCCGGTTCAAGAATCCCAGCTCCAAAGCCTTGGTTACCAGGAGTCCCATGTCTAGATAATGCGTGTAATCAGTTGACAAGTAGCGCCCAGCAACTGAATTGGGATATGGATTGATCGATTTTAGCGTCTCCTCCAAGTCCAATCGACCGTCAGACCCAAAAACGAAGCCGTGGCCGTCTGCAGCAGATCGAAAGGCGACTGACTTGGTAGTCTTTGTGGTGCAGTTATCTCGAAGTTTCTCGAAGGCTTGTGTAGTTGGCTTGCATTTCGCACCCTCAGAAGATAGCCCTGGTTGGATATAGTCGAAGCGGGATCCAGAGACCATTAAATCAGTCCAGTCCGATCCTGGTGTTGTGGCTTTGGCGGAAAACGTTTGTTTCTTTTCACTCTTCTCTTTGCGCGGCGACCTCTTTTCGATGACCTGGACGGTTCCCTTTGTCTGGCTGTAGGGTGGAGGGGGAATACCCGGTTTCTTGCTTTCTTCCAAGAGCTCCATGACTTGATCCATCCGAGCGTGCAGAGTTTCCATTATTTTGCCTTGCTTCTTTAGTTGGTTCTCTATCTTGGCGATTCTCTTTGCAGAAGCGCTGTCATTAATCCCAAGCCGCTCGAGGATTCTCCCCGTTGTTATCTGAGTTTCAGTTGTCACTTCAAGAGACTCGCTGGCGAGGTGATTGAGCTGAACCAGCTGCTTTCCGAATAGCTGGTTCATGGTGAACAGATTGACCCTAATATATCTGAGCAAAATTCAAAGGCATGAAGACCTCCATTATCTTGTCGTGGAGCTTAGGGTCTCAAAGGCCAGCTTCGTCTTCTCGTCAATTTGCCGAAGTAATTCCTCAGTATTTGCACCTGTTGACGTAAATGTGTAGCTGAACTTCCATGACAGGCTATTCGGATCCTGGTTGAGGATAGTCTGCCGTAGAGTGCAGACGCTGCGATGTCTCCTATTGCTTTCACTTGGCTGGACCCTGGAGGACTCAGCTGGAGCTCGAGTAACAGGACTTCATAGGACTTCTGAAAAGCTGCAATTTGCTGTGCAATTCCTCGGTGCCACGAGCCGCTTTCCTGCCATCGCTTGACAGCCTGGTAGATTTCCTTGAGGGTGTCCCGAATGTCGCGTACTGTGCCGAGATCCATGGAATAGGTTGATCAAGAATCTAGACTTGAGTTTCTGCATGAGCAACACAAACCCTTGAAAGGCATGAAAGGCATCGAGTCTTTAACTAGAATCTATTTTATTGCTCGGGTTCAGTGGCGTGAGGTCTCCAGACGCCATTCTCACCACTTTGTGACAAGGCTGAGTCTTGTGCGGAGAACTTGGAAGGTCACCAACACCGAGTGACCAGAGATCAGAAGAGAGGCGTTCTCGGCGTGCACTAAAAATGCTGTCGTCTACAGTTTTAGCGCCTCTCGGCAGGGCCCTGCATCCCGATCTATCACCTAGACTCGTTTGGCTTAAAAGGGTAGCGGCGGAGAGGACGTACTTGTTGGCGCTCGCTGGGTTCGAGAAGGTACTTGCCCGGGTCCTCGCCGCTCTCCGTTCAGGTAGAAGGGCCAAGGAAAGTGGCATTATATTTCCATATACGAATTGCATGAGATGAAAAAGTTCGACAGTGCCCAACATTTCCTACCTAGGTAATTTAACAAGCTGTCGGTGTAAGTACGAGACAGTGGCTAATACACAAAAGGCCAACGCTAACAAGGGAGGACTACTTTAACCAACAAAAAGAGATAGATCGAGCGCTCGGAGAAGAGGTGATGTTGCTAGGCATTGAGATCTGCGATGAAACAGGCGACGGAACTGATCGAGCCTCTCGATTAGTGAGCACTATCTCCCTTTTAATCGTGAATTGAATGGTCGAGAGAGACAGCGAGTACATCCTCGAAATTCTGCATTACTGGGACTGTGCCCAAGTGAACGTGGACACAGGCCAGGTCCGATCGAGTCAGGTCAAATGGCGGGATGCCCAAGGTCTGGAAATAGAAATGGGTGTTGGAGGAGTCAAGAGATTTGCCGCTGGGCATTGTAGTATCTAGTAGTTAGATCTTTGCCGTCGTGACATGAATACAGGTGCTAGAGCTCTGGACCATTGCCATGTGCGAGAGCTTTAACCAAGACACTTGCAGCGGCGCCAAAAGGACAAGAAGAAAAGCCCCAACTGCTCAAATCTTGGTGCACAAACGCTCAAAAATGGCTCCACCGTTGTCTGTCGTAAACGTCGTTACCCGCAATTTCTCGACCTCTGGTTCCATTTTTCCGGGAAGGGAGGGTTGAGTGCCGAGGACTTTGCCGTCTGCCAAGTATTTTCGCCTACGTTGTATCCAGCGTTGCGTGGAAGGGTAGGATTTGATCTCAACGTCGACATGCCTGCCTGGGCTTGTTGTATTCGTTATCCATGCTCTTGGCTCGAGGGTTGACAGCGAAGCCGGTCCCAATGACCATGGTCGACTTAGTTTGACGCCTAGATTGGAACTACCGGCGTGTGGTCCGCTCTGGAGTGTGCCAACATGAGGAGGGAATAGTAGACAGGTGAGGATTCAAGGCTTTCGGCCGATAACAATGATTCTAAACGTAGTCGTCAGCGGGAGCCTTTTCTGTCGGGGGCGGTCGGAGGGGGAAGGACTTACAGTGTAAGATACATGTGTTGTTGGCGGGAGTTGATCTCTTGGAATGCTTTTACACATGCGTCGTTCACGTCTTTCAGTGTCCACTGTGCATGCCCAGACATGTCAGTCTCGGGCTTCATGTGCTAAGGGGGAGAGCCCTGTTTTCCTTACCCCAAAGTATCGGATGCAAATTTGTAGGAGCCAGCCTTGGAGGCCGGTTTTGTAGAATCGTTCAAAGAACCTGCCGATGTCTTTGAATTTGGGGTCGGAAGCCCAAGGGCCCAAAGGAAGTTTTACTCTCTGCTCCTGGACGTCGACGAAGCCGGCTTGCTCAATCGCATTCTTCAAATTGGAGGAGACGCGGAAATCTCTCCCAGTGGCAGCTGTCATGTCGTCGACAAACTTGCATAACTTCACAATCTGACTGTCTGGTAGCTCGGATCCGTCGTCGGTACGAGCATCGATCTCCATTTCGGCTTGTTCGATCCATCCACCCGAATTCATTTTCCTAGTCCGGTCAGTAGATGTTCCGTTGTCAGCAGGCTGCAAGGGGTAGAAGGCATGAGTCATAGTGTGTGGCAGTGGCAGACTCACTCAAAGCATTGAGCGTATAATGCATCCCAGTCTCTTACACCCACAAACAAGTTTCTGATATGGACCAGGTCAAATTTCATCGAGGGGTCGTCCAAGACCCATTCGTCAGTGGCATCCTGGAGAATAAAGGAACAATTTGGCTGAAGTGAGCGCTCATGGATGATAGTGTCGATGCCCACGACCTGAACATGCGGGTACCTTTCAGCAACCCCTTCAGCCCACAGGCCCAGGCCGGTACCGACATCGACAACACAGTGCAGGGCGGACTCGTCGATTGGAGACACAAAGTATTTGTTGTCGAAGAGAAGCAGGATCATTGCGTGCAACACTTGTTCATTCTCCTCCGACACTTCATCATAGGGGAAGGGATGTCCGTCTTTGTAGTCGTGATATCGACGGCCATTTTCAACACGGAAATTGTAGACTGACGAGGCGACTGAGTATGCCGAACTGGCTTCCTCCTCTTCCAGGTACTCGAATCCACCGTATTCCTCATCAACGGGGATGCTGTTGAGCAAATTGAGGTCCTCCATTGTTTATTCAACTGAACAAATCGCCCACAGGCATGATCCTCGGGGGCTCAACCGTAGCAAAAGTCAGCCGTCAGCCTCACAAAAAAAAGAGATAAAGATTCACCCCAAAAAGTGCGGAAGAGATGTGCTGAAATTTAAATTCTTGAACCAAAAGAGAAAGAAAGTGTATTAGGCAAATTCCGACGGGGACACGAGAGAGGGAGAGAGCGTACTGGGTACTCGTAGACATATTGGGTTTGAACAGTTCGAAAGCAACTAGTAGGCTAGGCCAACAGAAGTCTCGTAAGAGTAATCCCACCGCGAGGCATTTCGGTTGCACGGGGTGGGGACGAAATGGATCCTAAGTGAGGCAGAGGACATTGAGGCATGGATTAGGGTCATAACCTTGGAGCAAGTAAAGGGCTTAGCGGTTGGGTTATCATACGAGAGAGGGTGAAGACGAGGGTGGATGCATCTGTTTAAATTTCCAAGCGTCCACTTGGCTGTTACCGGGAATGGGGAACCGGGAAGAGAAACCGAGAATAAAATCTCGATGACGACTGACGAGGGGTGGAGATGCAGACTGGGCTTGACAGGTAGTTTGTGCATGTCAGTACTAAGCGGCGTCGTACAAGGGGAACCAGCCGGACGGTTCTGTAATGGGGGAGCAGAATGGTTTGTAAGTAAGACGAGAGAGAGAGAATGGGGCCAAGAAAAACTGAAGGGAAGGAAAGAAGGTGGGCAGATGCACCGTCATATGCAAGCTGCTAGCAGCCAAAGAGCAGACCTCGTACCTACCTACCAAATACTTAATCACATACTTATGTACTCCGTCGACTCCGTGTTCGGTGCGTGTCGGACAAAATCCTCAACCATGCAAGACCATGGCCGCCCGTCGAATCACAGGCACGACCCGGATTGCCGGTGCTGGGGTTGGCGTCAGTGGCTAGAACAAAGCCAAAGCCAGCAGTTGGCTAGAAATGTTTCCATGGATGGGGCACGATGGGGGGGCGTGACAGATGTTGACTGGCGCTGACTGGGTTCCCAGCAGTTTGGATCCCGCTTCTAGTTGCCTACCGCTATTGCGCTACCTACCTACCGTAAGTACAGTACAAGGAGCAAACCTAGCAAGCTAGAACCTTGGGACCTACTGTACCTCGCTCCCCACCAGGCCCGAGGCTAGCCAAAGCTGTTGGTTACTCCCGTGAACTCATATTAGGCACTGTGCTACAATGCACATCCTGACCCTCCCTGCCCTCCCTTGCTACCCACGTCCCTCCTCGGTAGCTATGTAATACCCAGACCTCCCATACCCATGTGATTCAAACCCACAGAAGCGACCCAACAGTCTGGTTGCACCCTCCTCTGTACCACCATGACGGCCGGGCCCCTGCACCCGGCCACCCGACACAACTGTCTTCTCACCTCTGGTGTCAGTGCTGGTCCTGCTCTCCTCCTGCTTGACGCCATTCACTCTTAGTCGGTACTCCATTCATGGTGGACTGCTATGCACCCTCATGTTTTGAGCATCAAGTCCTTGCTTCTCCTCAAAAAGAAAAAAAAAAATGACCCAGTTTCTCGGTTCGATGAGGAGCGCCGCCTATCTCACCCTCGAACCCGTGCAGGCAACCCCCCCCGTCTTTGTTCCAATCCAAGTCAAGTGACAACTGAGGATTTGAACAGTACCAAAAAGTCCATCAGCAACATGCAGATCATACTGTGGCCTGTCCTCTTCTCGGAGTTCTGCCGTGCAACGGCCAGCGCGGCCTCTTTTCAACCTCATCAAGCGAACCAAATCTCGACTCTTCATCCTCGCAGCTGCAGCGTCTGCAACAAAAGACAACGCATTCTCACATGCACCACCCTGCCCGCGGAAGAGTTGAGTTTTGAAATCTTCTTTCGGCAGATCACCCGAGACGAAGGATGCCCAGGTCAATCTACAACGAATGAAGCTGTTCCTTAGGACTTGCAAATCGCGGTACATATCGCTTGGAGTAAACCGCAAGCCAGAAAGCGAAGCGGGAATTGCATGCAGCAGCTCCCAACTTCCAACACCACCTTCATCTCGGAGCCCTGTTGCGCCCTCTTCTGGTCACCGCCACAAGCTCGGTGACAAGCCGTCACCCAGAATGCCAGTTGCGAATGTCCAAACCTCCGGCTTGTGGCCCCTATTTGAAATTTCTTAGCTATCCCGTTGCGTAGCCCCCCTACGGTTGCATAGCCCATGCAGAACCCACATTACACCGTTGCCCTGGCCCTTTAGCACTCTGCATGCTGAAACCTTAGCTCTAGCTTCTGAATCTGTGACCTATCACTAGCTGACACATACGTACATAGTATTTATTAGCTTACTCGGAATGGCAAGTACCCACTAGGTCTGAGATGTCAATTATTGTCTATCCGCCCAGCGGGACGGGTCATCCTCGTAACGAGAAAACCCAGAGTTCTGATCCGATTTTTATGTGCCCTTTTGTGCAAACCTGGCGCCGGCAGGGATTTGGACTAAACACGACTCCGACCCCCGAGACCACCCGGCTAAAGCTCCCCCGAAGAGCCAAATCACCTGCAAGGCATCCTCTTTTTGTTCCTTTTTTTTTAACCCCCAGGAAAAAATATTCCCGCGCCTAGATTCCCAAATTCTGCTAGCAAGAGATAAATACAGTTTCCAAAACAGACAGGGCTGAGACTGGTTGCCCTGGCCTCAAGCCTCGCTCTTGTCGGCACCGGTATACTTGGTTCTCTTCCAGAGACAGACGGTGCTCACAGCCGAGAAGGTGAACAGAATACTAGAACCAGAACAATCAGATTCCGAGGCATCATGGCGATGTTTTGGATCGGAACTCACCAGAGTGCAATGCTCAGGCCCCAAATGGACTTCATTTCCAAGCACGTGGCCTTGGAGGTACCTATCCACTGGGAGTAGTTGACCTTTCCCCCCTTGTTGAGGCTGTTGCCGAGTGCCGAAGTGAAGTCATATGCGCTTGAGGTGGCATTGGATATTTCATCAAGGACCACACAGTTCAGATACGAAAGCGGCTTGCCAACCACCACGGAGACGACGATCAAGGCAATCAAAAAGAGAGAGTCGATGCCAGTGCTGATCAAGAAAGGAAGGATGTTGTCAAAGTAAAGAATGACCGTGATGGCACAATATAGTACGGCGATGCAGACCTGGAGCGCGCGTGGTTAGTACATTTTTGGGCAACTTTGCACAGCCATGGCACGTACGATGCTCAGAATTGCGACGAGAACTGATGGTGGGGTTGCTCCAGCATTGACCATCTCAGAAATGAAATTGGCCGTGATTCCAATGACGGCGATCATGGATGCCATCTGAAGAGCTCGAGTGACTTTGAATGTCGCACCGAGGACGCCGTGATCAGGACCCATGTTGAGATTGATAGAAAGGAAAGTTGGAATTGGTTCAAGGAAGGAAATGGCACTGCCAAACGATGTAGGTAAGGAATGTGGCGGATGGCGTCGAGCCAACGGGTTTACAGACCGACAATAAGGAAAGTATTGGGCTGGGAACGCTGGAAGAAAAGTTCAATGAATGCTTCTTGGACGGAAACAGATGCTTTGGCTTCAAAGGAAATGTGTTGCAGCTGGTTACAGAATGAAGAACTGGACCTGGACTCTGGAGGGCGGCCGGTGCTTAAGTATTGGAGACTGTTGCTCAGCTCACTGTGGTTGAGCAGCATCGACGGATACCAAATCATTGGAGATATGGTGTTTGCTCAAAGACACGACGGCGGGAGATGTCTCTGGCCAGTCTCAAACCAGGTGAATGGAGCCTGCAACGGATGGTGGTTGTCTCGTGCCAACAAAAACGAGGCTGTTTCGACCAGGGCGCCAAGAGCTATTTCTAGCTGTCGTTGCACGCGCCCGTCGGCGGCTATTGTCTCCCACGATCCTTTGCCGCCCACCTCCTGGGCCCAGGCAGTCTCAGCACTGTTATTTGTCGTGCCCGGGTCTGGTCGAACGAGGCAGTGCACACGTGCTTCGATTGGCGTTTCACCAACAGAGAAGAAGATGTTTTGTACCGAGTACCCAGTATCCTTCATGGAGGGGTTCGCGGGATTCGGAGTCTGCCATCGGCTGGAGCGCTGAGAGAAACGTGATCGGCGGTCTCCAGGCTCCAGCCCCCGCCAACTGCCAACTGCCAACTGCTGGCTCTCGCCTACTGGCCAATGGACAAGCTGCCCGCCAAAGCCCTTTGCGAGTTGATGCTTGGATCGACCTTGAAGGAGGAGCTTATTGCGGTCAGCCTCAAACTATGTACCTACTGTAGCCCCACAGCGAAAAAAAAAAATCCTCCTTATCGTTATCAAGCCTTTGGGAACTTTGAAGCTGCAAGCTGGCTGGGCAACTTTGCTGGGTGGCTTGCTGGGTGGCTTGATGAGCACACAATCTTCTACATACCTTATCACAGCAGTAAAAGATCTCGTACATCTTTCCGTCTACTTTATAACCACCTATATCTTGCGTATACTCCATTCCTTTGTCAATCGCCATCTTACTCTCGGCCTTTGTTTGATTTGCTCGGCACGTCACCTCGTCGTCATCACATCTCGTCCTCCCCAGTAACCTGCAGCCTGTACTCGGTAATCCGCCGTCACTGCCACTCCGCATTTTGCTGCACGACATCCCCCATCCGTCACTATCCCCGCTCCCGCTCCTGCGCCCGGCCACAATTCACTCTGCTCGGCTGCGGCCAAGGAAGGACCTTGCCATGTCACTCACACGAGTAGCTTCCATCGATGGCTTCGAACGAGAGAGAAGAGGGTCCAGCGTCTCTTCGCAGCGAAGAATGAGTTTCAACCCTGTGACTGAATGGATGCCGCCCAAAGACCGGAAAGCCAGTATCGTCTCAATTGCCTTGCAGTTTGAAGAGGTTTCCAAACGAAAACGCATACGTATGTGATTGATCCATGTCAGAGAAGAAGCACGCGACTCCCGCTGACAGGTCCGTGCTGCCACAGTCCAGGTTGCCATTGCCATATTATACTGCCTCTTCGCGGCCGGAATAGTATTCGGTTACGCAGCCATCAAACCTGTCTTGATCGATGAAGGCGTCTTCAAAGACCTGTGTACCCCAGAAGAGGTAGACAAGCACGTCTCGCCATGTTACAAGCAAGAGATCCGGTTGAACTTGATGTTCACCGTAGCAGCAGTCTCAACCAACGTCGCCGCCCTCCCTATCGGCACTATCCTTGACAAGTACGGTCCCAAAGTCTGCGGTATCATAGGCAGCATCTTCCTCACCGCGGGAGCACTGCTCTTTTCCTTCGCTACCAAAGTCGATGGGGACCTCTTTACACCAGGCTACTTCTTCCTCGCCCTTGGTGGTCCTTTCGTCTTCATCTCTTCTTTTCAACTCTCCAACACCTTCCCCCAAAACTCCGGCCTCATCCTTGCGCTCCTGACGGGTGCGTTCGACTCCTCATCGGCTCTCTTCCTTGTATTCCGCCTCGTCTATGAAGCTACCGGCGGGAAACTCAACACCCACCGCCTCTTCCTCCTCTACCTCATCGTCCCCATATTCATTTTCATTGTCCAGGTTTTCGTCATGCCAAAAGAATCTTACAAAACTGTCAGCGAAGTGGTCAAGGACGCCGAAGAGGAAGTCAATGCTCCTACTCCCCCCGAGGCCTCCGAAGAAGAACGCCGCACTCTTCACGACCGAAGGGAAAGCACCATCCAAGAGATCTCGCTCCTGCTGGACAAGTCGACCAATACAAAGCGTCAGAAGCGAGAAGAGCACAAGAATGCCAAATCTGGAGTGTGGGGAGCTATGCATGGCTACACCGCTCTTCAGCAGATCAAATCTCCATGGTTCTGGCTCATCACACTTTTTACGGTCGTGCAGATGACACGGATAAATTACTTCGTCGCCACGATCCGGCCGCAAGAACGTTACCTTCTGGGTTCCGCCCACAAAGCGAAAATGGTCAATGACTTTTTCGACGTGGCACTTCCCCTTGGAGGTGTGCTGAGTATCCCTTTTATTGGCGTCTTGCTGGACAACACATCCACGCCCTTTGCCTTAGGATTTCTCGTGGTCGCAGCCACCATTATTGGCATATTGGGCTGCCTCCCTTACATGTGGGCCGCCATCGCCAACGTTTGCCTCTTTGTCGTATATCGACCCTTTTATTATACCACCGTCTCAGATTATGCCGCCAAAGTATTCGGATTTCAAACTTTCGGCAAAGTCTACGGCCTCATCATCTGCCTGGCGGGACTTTTCAACTTCTTGCAGAGTCCCTTGGATGCCGTTACGCATGTCGTGTTTAAGAATAACCCCGTGCCGGTCAATGTGATCCTCATGAGTGTGGCGGTGATTGTGGGCGCGGCGTTGGTCACGTTCACCGCGGTCCGAGCGAGGACAATGAAGAGGGACCTCTTGGAGGATGAGGCCGAGGGAGCAACCGAGTCGTTAATGCCCGGTGCCATGGCGAATGGGAATGGCTATGGGACGTGAGAGGGAAGTGAGGATAAGTGGAGGAAATTGTCGCCATCTCAGTCACCGAATGACATTGACCATTTGTTGCAGCGGAGTCTGGCTCGATCTCGAAACGTTGATATTTTGACACCAGTGCACCACGAAAATCTGCCAGGCCAAAACCAGTTGGAGAGGCAAGTTATCGAGTTTTCCCACGATGCTCCTACAAATCATGCCATGGCGTACGGGGCGTCGCTGAGTCGAAAAAAAAAAAAGAAAAGGAAAAAGGAAATATTTGACCCATGAACAAATGATTGAATGAATGCACTAGTCAATTTTTCAGAGACAACACGGGGAGGATATTTGGTCATCTGATTGCCCACTTGATCTACGGAGCACTTTATTTGGAAACGGGCTGGGTCTGATCTGACGATGGCGGGTACGGAGTCGCTTCAGACCGTCCTGCGTCCTGCGTTCTGCGCGCGTGTGTTCTGCAACGTCTGGACCTGTGATTGAAGAGATCTGTGATCACACAGAGAGCGAGCGAGAGATTGCGGGAAATTCCTCCCCAAGACTGTCTATATTATATACACATGCCATGTGCGCATCAGTCTAATATAACATGACATTTATATATGCGGAGTTCTACTTACTTATCTCCCGACAACTTGCCAGTACGGAGTAACTTGAGATTTGAAGTTAACTAGACGAAAGAAAAAGCGAGAGGGAGGGAGAGAATCTCCTAGTCGTCGTCGTCGTCGTCTTCGTCGTACCACCACCACCACCACCACCACCACTACTTTGATAGAAGAAACCGCCAGGGGAAATGCGGGATCGGGAAGATCCTACGTACGCGTAGAAACTGGGAATAGGAATTTGGATGCTTGCTTGCTTGCTTGGGGCACATAGGGCACGATAAAAGAAAAAAGCAAAGGCTGAAAAATTACGTATTATCTCGTGTCATGTCACACTGATAGGACTTCTTTCTGGGTCGAAGACAGTACTTTGGGTATATTACAAGGTTTTTTTGGGGGGTTCTTTGGTTGACTTGTGTGTGTCCGTCGGCTGTCTTGTATGACCTGACCTCTTGTTCCGTTCCGTTGCTTTCCAGGAGGAAGGCCAGAATGGCTGTTTCCCGTCAGTGCCGAGGACCTCATCCTCCTGCTCTCTCGGTCCTAAGGCAGATGTGGTGGATAGGTCTCGACGGGTTCCGCGAACTAGTAAAGCCAAAAGCATTGTAGTGATGCTGACTGTCCAATCTCTGCATGGCTGTGCAGATTCAAGTTGTCGAGGCCACATGCACCATGGGGAGAGTTGAGATAGTCGTGTCCCATCCCCATCATATCAAGCCGGCTGAGCTGCCTGGTCACACATCCCACCTCGTCCACTCACGCTCCCAAGATCCTGCTTTTATACATCATTTTCCTATTGTACATGCGACAACGTCGACAGCTGGGGCATCCCAAGCTGCGGGGGGGGTTATCGTTCGCCGCTGGCGGTTGAGTCAGAGTAGCGAGGTGTTTTATTGAGCAAGATTGAAGACCGGGGGCTCAGAACCCTGGAAGGAGCATCTCGCTCCATTCCGAGTTGAAGAAGGCAACGGCAGCCTGTGCGAAGAGTACGTTAGCCGGATGTTGCTAGAGTGGATGACTTGAACTAAAGTGGAATCGTGGAATGAGTCTTGAGACGTCGAACAAGTGCCTGGCAATGCAGCGTACATCTGGCTTGCTCGGATACCCATACAGCACTGGCGCGGTTCATCAACCTGCAGTGTTGCTCTGCCTGGTCTGGCGTAATGCGCGCTTTTTTTGCGTAGCGGCTAGCTGATAGAGACTTCACCACAGAGGTGTATTTTGGTGCAGTCTAGAGACTCAAATCGCGCAGAGACAACTTACCCCGAACATAGCCACGCTTATGACAACGCTGGCATTCTCCTCAGACGTCAATGTATGATACATCTGACCGAACCAACCCTTGGGCTGAGACCGGCGGGCGGGCTGCACTGTGATGCGCTTGGGAGGCATTTCTTAGATGATGGCTATGGGTCGAGGGAGGGCGGTCGGCTGGGGTGGCTGTTTTCGATAGCCGGGATTTGGACAAACTCTTCTCAATAACGAGAGATGTTGCGAGCAGGGGAAGGTCCGTTTGTGGAGAGGAACGGATGGGAGATTTGCGCAGTTGTTAAGGAACTGGTCTCAAGATAAAGTCTGTACGCAGTCAGAGCTTGGAAATTTCGAAGCAGATTTCGATACGGTAGAACACAGATTCTACTTGGCGCTCGGGTGCGCTTGCTACTAGGGCGGAGCATAAAGTCTGTTTATATCGCTAGATCTATGTACATACCCAACGACCTGACTGGCTCCGCTCAGGCTGGATCTTGCTTCTCCTGCTCTTTCGCTGCCATCAACAACTTCATTCTTGCTTCTCTGTCAACCTTGGCGAGATGCCATTCGGGCGTGTGACCTAGCATTTTGTCGTCAATTCCAAGCCGGGCGGCATCCTCATTCGCCCATCGTACAAGATCCTCCACGTATGCTTCTTCAGCCCCCAGTGCCTTCAGACTGTGAAAGTCTCTCCCTAAGCCCCTGGCTCGCACGCGCTCATTGTACTCATCGCGCATCTGTTGTCTGGATGGCAATTGAGCTTTTCCGCTCAATACCCTTGCGACCGCCTGTGCTTGGAAATCAAAAAGCGAGAATGTTGCGATATGATACGGAGCCCCGACAAATACGAGCGAGGGATCCTCAATGTAGAACATGTCCTTGTGCAGGTTATGCACCATGTCCCCTTCGGCAGTAACGAGCACATATCTATCTGCTTCGCTCGCCGGAACGTTGTCCCAGTGCAGATGGGGAAGGAACGGATATGAGGTTATGTACCCTGTGCAAAGTATGACCGAGTGTATGTCGGTCAACACCTCGCCGCTTTCGAGTACCACTTTCCCGGGAATTGGCCGTGAAACTGGAGTTTCGACATCGTGATTTTCACTCAGTTGGAAGGATCTGATTGCACCTATCCTCGTGGCACCTTTTGGCAAGAAACTTGCCGGGAGATCAAAAGCTCCGCCTCGAGAACTCTGGAATATGTGATTGGCGTAAGCTGCCGATTCTTTCGCGATGTCGCTCGAGGATACTCCAGCACCAATGAGGAGAATATTCTGGCCTTGGAATATTCGAGGGTCGCGGTATCTTTTCGAGTGCCAGACACGATCCGGCCACCCATACTTCCACTCCTTCAAACCGGGAAAGTCTGGTATTCGCGGCATGTTGTAATGTCCTGATGCCACTACCACCGAATCGAAAGTCCAGTGCCGTTCCACAAACCGCGACTCGGATGGCCCTTTCTGGAGTGTGGTTGTCCGTACGACCCATTCGCCAGAATGTTTTCGTACATCTTCAACGCGAGTGTGGTACTGTGTGATGGTGGAGACGCCATGCTTGATTGCAATGTTCTGGATGTATTCCTCCAATATGTTTTGGTTGACCAAATCCTCTGTTCCCTCGGGCCATGGCAGCAGACTTGTTCTCATCTCCCTGGTTGAGACGTTGTTCTTCAGTCCGGCATAACATGGCCCAGGAGGCGCATGAGCAATCTCCCGCTTGTCGCTGTCCTCGTCCTCTGGTGGAGGAGTGCTGAATGCAAGCTCCGGTCTTGTCTCATAGTCGCCTTTCGACGGAAGCTCATTTGGATATGAGGGGTCCGCCGCTGAGCGCACGTCGAAATGCCACACTCCGCCAGCAATCCCTGACCTCTCGAATACAATTACTTCGAGGCCGTGTCTCACGAGGTGTGTAGCTGAACAAACTCCGCTGATGCCAGCGCCTATTACAGCGACTCTTTTCGCCTTAGTTTGTGCCATGAGCCGCAAGAGAATGGCCACTGCAAACGCTCCGGTACCAGTCTTTAATGGAGACGGATTTGGATGGCTCAATCGGTCTATCTTTAAGGAACACGAGCATGGTGCTTGTAGATGCCTGGGTCTCAAGTCTGCAAATCAAGTGTGGGCTGGTGTGACCTCCTCATATGACAGGGTACGTATCAGCAAATACCCTCTTCTAAGCACGCCATACTGTGCGAGACATGTCGTGATCCTCGAACACCATACCTTGATGGATCATCGCTTTATGGTGCCCTGCCCCTGATAAGATTGAGCTCGGGATGACAAATGCGCAGAATCAAGTCGACGCTATCGGCTTCTGAATCGATTCGGGGAACTTCACTGATGCCGAGAGTCCCTTTTCGGCTCTGAATAGTATCCACGGTTGACTATATTTCCCCTGACTCGCCGATCCAGAAACGCCCTCCAAGATGTCTAGCTCCGAGATACCCATTGTCGGCCGTCAGTTGCAACGAGATCCTCACACAACCGGCCCGACTCTCCCCTTTCTCGCCAGCTCCCGCTTCCACAGCACTCTGATCACCAACGCGGACACAATCATTCCGGCGCTCAGACACGCTGACGTGACAAACCCTTTATGGTACCTCGGGGCATCAATCTGCTGCCACACTACCAGCGGCAGCCAGGCTTGAAACACGTACGCTAACTCGTTCATGGTGCCCACCACGATTGCCCTTTCTTCGTTGTCGTCCGTACAAATCTCGTGCGCCCACGCCATGCATAGTCCGCTTAGACCACCGCCGCAGCCAGCAAGGATGTAAGAAGCCCAGTGCCAACCAACTGGGATATCCCACGCTGCAAGGCTCGCGTAGCAGACTATTGAAACCACGCCTCCAAAGACGATCGGTGGCCAGCGGGCGCCACGAAAGACACTGTCCGATGTCCAAGCATAGATGAGGGTACTGACGATCTGCACCGCATATGTGGTGGTTGGATATGTGTTGATCTGCGAGATCGTGTACTTTGGATGCGTCGAATCCTTGAGGTATTGTGCGAAGGTAGGTTGACTGACTCCTGCTCCGGCGTTGTTGAAGGTCATATATAAAGTGGCTAGTAAGTAAATCTTCCAAGACGTGAAGATTTTCTTGAATTTGGCCTTTGTGTACGGGGCCCGCTGGGCACGGCCCTCCAACTTCATCCTTTTTTGCGCGTACTCGCGCTCCGCTGGGCTGAAGTACCATGCTCGAGTAATCTCTGGGACGTCAGGAAGGAGGAAGAATCCGGACAGGGCGATCGGGAGAGAGATGATCCCGTCGACTACGAATAGCCATTGCCAGCCCTTCAATCCTCCTTTGTCCCCGAGATGATAGACGCCGGCCATGAGGTAGCCGGAAAACATGCTCCCTATAGCGGACGACGTGTGGAAAATGCAAGAACGCTTCGCCAATTCGTCCCGCCGATACCAGGATCCGATCACGTATTGCATGCCTGGATAGAACGTGGCTTCTGCAAGGCCTATGAGAAACCGGAGCGCGTAGATCGAGCTCGCTGAATTGCATTTCGCAACGCAGAAGGTCAAAATCGACCATATAACTTCCATCAACGGAATCCACAATGAGGGACGGACACGAGTGAGGATCATGTTTGCTGAGAGAAGCTGGTCAGTCTCGGCCCATGGGAGCAGTCTGGTGCACAAGCGGCGGAAATAACTCACACGGCACTTCGCCAATGACGTATCCCACAGTCCAACATGTTTGCATATAGTTCAGCTGGTTCTTGTACAAGCCCAGGTCCTCCTTCATGCCAGACACGAACGCGTTGTTGATGTTGATCTGATCAAGGTACTTGATGAAATACCCCAGGGTGGCAAAAGTGAGCACCGCGGCGTCGAGTTTGAACAGGAACCGTCGTTCTTCGGGCGACTTGTCCAGCGTGTCCCAGATGTAGGACTGCCATTTCCGCTTTGGCTTCGCCTGGATCGTGTTGTCTGAGACATCACCGTTTGAGCCGAGTGTGTCTTCCACCACCGGCGTCGTGGAGAGATCAGTTTCGACTCCCTTGACAGTGACCTCTTTACTTTGCTTGTAGAACGACATCTTGGTTTCCCTAGGCACAAGGCTGTTCCGAGCCCTCGTTGGCCGTGCTGTGCTATTCGTCGCGAGGGTGATCCTTGAAGCCGCCACTTCAAATTCCGGGCCTCTTCTTATTTGGAACCCTCAGCAGACATCCATCAGGTTTCATCCTGTTGCATATTTCCCTCTGGACCATGGCACCTTTCGGTCGAATATTGCGTGCTCCCTATTGCCGATGGGCTCTGGACCTTCGCTGGTGCACATGTTTGGGTACAATCTGCTTCAAGGCGTCGAGCGAGCGATTAGTGAATTCGCCAGTACCATTAGGGACGGATCTTCTCGACCGTTCACTGCGACGATATTATGTTTTGAGACCTATGCATAACGAATAAAGATGATAACACGTTGCCTGCATCGCAACGCAAGGATCTCTGTCGACGGACGAGCAGCAAATAAAGGGGTTAAAGCACGCCATCCCATCACGTGAGTGCGTGGTGGTACGTATGGTGGTCCTCGTCCCTTGTCCATTTGATGAGATCAGCTGAGACTTCAGGTATTGTATGCACACCGATTGGATTGATAAGGGGCCTTGCGAGCGGGGTCAACGTGTGTATATCAACAAAAGTGCACACCTCGGTGCTTCCCCCCCTGCAAGGGAGTTGCAGTCGGCAGGGCGGTCTTATCCTTTTTATGCAGCTAGTTGATGCTCACTTCCCAACTGGAGAGATCGTTCAATAGCCGGCAGCGGCACGCAATCTGGGATTGCAATATCGCCATCTTCATAATTCGTGAGGAGAGTGGTGAGGTCGAATCTGGCTCTGTAAGCAAGTCAACCTGTGGAGTAATCTTCAGGACTTGGTCAGGCGCCTTGGTACTTATTGAAAAAGTGACGCGTTAATCGGCCGTAGACCTGGCTTTGCTATTGTCACCTCAAAGTTGTCTCTGACCTGTGGCAGTAGAGTCATCGATCAACATGGCGCCCGCTCCAATCGACCCCAGCATCACAGATTTCGTCGTTCCGAAAAAGGACACATTGGGACTGCCAGAGCCGGCGTACAAAAGGCTTGTGAAGGCCGGCATCGATCTTTCAGACGGATACCCGTACCGCCCGAATCGGCCGCTGTACCTCCAAGACGTGTACAACATCCGGAACAAAGAGCGCAAGCACATCGACGCAGGTTCTCGAGCCGACAAGTCGAAGAGCGCCCTGCTTTCTGCCGCAACTAAAGTCACCGACCTGACGACTTATATTGGGACTGAGATAGAGGGACTCCAGCTCAAAGACCTCACAGATCAGCAAAGGGATGAATTGGCATTATTGATTGCCGAGCGCAGCGTCGTTTTCTTCCGAGATCAAGACATCTCGCCTCAGCAGCAGAAGTCGCTTGGAGAATACTATGGCGAGGTTGAGATCCATGTAAATCAGACCCTTCTCGATATAGTTGAAAGTGGTTGCTTGTGCTAAGTCTGGATTCTCCTCAAAACAGCCTCAAGTCCCTCAAGTTCCTGGCGTGCTTGGTGTCACAGTGATTTGGCCAGCTTTGCAAGCCCAAGAGCACCCGGCGAGCTTTCGCAGGCCCGGAGGTGCTTCACGATGGCATACCGATCTGGTCCATGAGCGACAGCCCGCAGGTATCACCCACCTCCACAACGACACTGTGCCGCCCGTCGGAGGAGACACCCTCTGGGCCAGTGGCTACGCGGCGTACGAGAAGCTGTCGCCGGACTTCCGAAAATTGATCGACGGCAAATATGCAGTGTACCGGTCTGCGCATCCGTATCTGGCTCGTGAGAACCCAACTGCCGGGCCCAAGTATATCGAGCGAATTCATCCATTGGTCCGTGTTCATCCAGCGACAGGCTGGAAGGCCCTTTGGGTCAATAGAGCAATGACAGATCGAATTGTTGGGCTCGACAAGGCGGAAAGTGATCTCATTCTGGGATATCTGTATGATGTATATGAGAAGAATATTGACATCCAGGTTCGATTCAAGTGGACTCCAGGCACAAGCGGTAGGTCTCCCAACTAAGAGATCGATTATCATGACATGGATCGTGATGCTGACTGAATATCTTGCCAATTTTGCACAGCTCTTTGGGATAACAGAATCACGGTAAGTTGCTTTCATCATTAGAGATTGCGAAGCTGCCTCCCAGTGGCTAACCTCATGGCCACTTTGAAGATACACAACGCTTCTTGGGATTATGCTGGTAACTATCCACGACATGGCACACGCGTCACTTCTCTGGCGGAGAAGCCCTTTTTCGACCCCAGCGCGCCAACGAGACGGGAGGCTTTGGGACTCTTAGGGCCAGACGAGAAACAAGTCGATGGCGTTCTGGTAGAGGCATGAGGAAGTGCACCATGTATGAAATGCCTTTCAGATTATCGACAGTACTCGGTACAAGTAGAAGACAGGAAGGAGGTGGAGGGACAAAGAGGGAATAGCTCAAGCGGCATTTTCCCGGGTTGGCCTCTTGGCATTTGCTTCATACCCCTTTTTCCCTCTAGTTAAGCACAGCCTCGTATCCCTCCCAGAGAACGGCAACTTGCCCAAACTGAAGAAAGACAGAATTAGTAGTTGATCATTGTTTTAAAACGGAATAGCCTTGCCCTGAATGGAATCACAATAAAATGTGTCCATGAGGCTCTGCTGCCCCTGAATTTGATCTATTTATATCGTTCATTTCTTGGCGCTGGGCTTGGCTCCAGCTACATTTTATCCAGCGATGCTTGCGACTGCAACTGCCTCAACACTACTTCGGAGTCGAGTGAAAGATGAGCATCCCCATCGCCTTTGCTCTAATGGAGGACGAGTTTGGCCCAGCTTCTGCTCGTCTTGGCGGTTCATTACCCTCCCCTTGTCAAGATAGCTTCAGAGTTTCCAACTCGGCTTGGTGTGGCCCTGTGAGGACCTACCATCCACTAGAACAAGCACGCCATGGCTCATGCTCGACGATCCTGAACTTCAACTCCCAATAACCGCGAAAATATAAGGCATCGAGTTTCTTTTCCAGCCCTTGCCCTCTATGAATAAGGAGATGGACACTAGAGTCTAATTATGATCTACAGAAAATCACTCTCAAGCTCATTTCTGCAACTGTGGTAGTCGTGGTTCACCCATCATGAAAGCAGCTCCCAACGTCTAAGGCGGCTTGAGATCCTCCTAAACCGATCCACATTGTTCAGCCTTGTCGGATCCGTCTTCAACCCATGGATCTCGTATTCTATTCTTGATGACAAACGAATGACATGCTCGCGCAAGACTTCTCTCTCAAGGAGTACTGGGTGGTACCGTTGGACGATCTGAGACTGATCAAACTCTAGCAATGCACTTTCCAAGACCGCCCAGATGGGAATGTGCCCTGTCCGTCCACAAGTAAAGTCAAATTCAGAATCCACCGCCACAGAACTAATATCACATATATTTGGGGGCCTGCCCAGGGTTTTTCCACTTTAGCGCCCTCTGTCCTCAAGCAGTCTCCAGACACGTAGCAGTCATGGATTCACATCTTTCGAGGAGTTCATCAACAGCCTCCTCGGCTCGTCCCCGTCGTCCAACACAGTCTTCCGTCAAATCCGTCGGCAGGGACATGCCAGATGCTGGAGAGCCTTCAGGGAGGCCGCAGGATGTTGTAAATGGTGAGAATGCTGAGGTATGCAGTTATGATTATCTGTCTGAAGTTGTTGTTCTAATCAAAGCAGAGCTCGAACCGCTCAGAACACCTGAAGTGGACTCTTCCTGTCAAGCGGCACCCTTCCAACGCATCTAGCGAGCACACCCAGGGTACAGAGCATACAACGTCGCATACGCACGAGATGCGCAGGCGTATGTCGCAAATCACGAGACGAGCTTCTGTGGTTATAGCCGATGTCGCGCACAAGGTTGACCCCCTTACGATTACGCAGGGCAACCCCTTGAACCTTGCAATCAACGAGATACGAGGTGTGTCCTCAGCCGGCTACTCCGCACCAGGGCAGTTCGATGCCCGTCGATATTCTTGTGAAGCACCCAGCCTTTCGCCCATCTCTGAGCCTGAACCTGCGCGGACTTCCGGAGGCTTCTCAGACGATTCTACTGTTCGCCCAGGGATGAGTGAGAAGGAAGACGACTACTTCATTCAGAGACTTGCAAATCACGACGACATTGAACGGCTGTCCACCCTCAAACGCATCCTGTACAGGCTGTGCCCAATCCTCGTCATTATCACCGTTGGAGCCAACTGGATGTACTTCGTTCTTCGCGTCAAATTCACCGTAGATGCGCAGAATGTTGTGCACGAGGTATTCTGGATGGCATGGGTCTTTATTATCGTCGAGCTATTCGTTTCACTTCCAATGTTGTTGCAGAGTCTCTGGGGCTGGCATATCATCGGGTTGAGGAAGAGACCGAAACTTCGCTTGGTCGGAGACAACGTCCCATCGGTTGACGTCGTCATAACTTGCTGTCGTGAAGAAGATGATCTGATCCTCGACACCGCCAGGGCAGCCTGCAATATCGACTATCCCAGTGAACGGTTTCGAGTCATTGTCTGTGACGACGGAAGATCCGAATCGTTGCGGTCCTCTGTTGAGAAGCTAGCCTTGTCTCAGTTTCCAAACCTCTATTATCGCTCAAGGCCCAAATATCCCGGCGTCCCACATCACTTCAAGGCCGGCAATCTGAACGACGCCCTTGAGGAGACCAAAAAGCTGCCAGGGGGTGCAGCCAATTTCCTTGCAGCTCTCGATGCTGACATGATTCCCATGAGAGATTGGCTTCGGGCGCTCCTGCCTCACATGCTTCAGGATCCAAAATGCTCAATGGCATGCCCCCCACAGGTACGTCCCATCGCCACAATACCTTGCTGTAAGTGGGGTTTACTGACGACTGCATAGTTGTTCTACAACGTACCCAAGGACGATCCTCTCTGCCAAAGCTTGGACACGTTTGTACATATCGCGGAGCCCATCAAGGACTCCCTAGGTGTAGCCTGGTGTACTGGATCCGGTTACGTACTCAGACGCTCAGCCCTTGCCATGATTGGAGGCTTCCCTACCGGATCTCTCGCTGAAGATGTCTGCTGTTCGAGCATGCTTCTTGGCTCAGGCTGGAACACCGCCTTCGTTCACGAGCCACTTCAGTTTGGAACAGTCCCAGATTCTCTGGTGAGTCATTTGAAGCAACGTACAAGATGGGTAAGTTATCCAAAGCTTCTACTACCGCCTTATCTCTGATAGCCACAGACCATTGGCACCGTCCAAACCGCCTTGAAACTGAGATTCAGCATATGGGGTCCGTTGGTGAAACATATGACGCTACCACAGCGACTGTGCGGGTTTGTTTATACAATCTCTTCGTTATTCACGGTCTTCCTCGTAGCGTCCATGTTCACCGCACCCGTTGTGCTTATTTCGGGGGGCAAGCTTGTTCCCTATGCCAACACGGAGCAGCTGCGATGGCTTGTCCGCTCGGCGTTTCTCAGCATGGTCTTGAACCGTCTAAATGAGATAGTCTCATTCTTGCCGTCCGGATATCGTACCGGGCAGAGGGATACAAGGGCTCTATTATGGATGTCGCCCTGTAAGTATCCTCAACCCATAGCGACATGTACGATCAACTGACAGCTTCTTCTAGTCCATGCCATCTCGGTGATCCGCACCTTTGTTCTTCCCAAGTGGCTGGGGGGCAAAGTCGCAGTTTTCACATCGTCTGGTTCACAAAAAGACCAACTCAACGAACGGGATCCTCGGCTCCGAGCTCCATTATGGCGACGTCTTAAAGTCACTATCTGGGATTGTCAATGCTATCTTCACGTCATCTACATCATGTTCATCCTTGCCGCAGTTGGCGTCAGCCTCTACTCGAACCTCACTGACCGGCAAAACGACACCACAAAGAAGCTTCTGATCGACGTGCTGACACACGCGGGCTGGCCTCCAATCATCTGGATGACCTGTGGCCTAGCATGCTGGGCGCCCATCAACTACGCCATCTTTCCGCCTTCTGTCCCGGACAGGGAGGAGTTGTTGGACAGAGATCCATACTCTGGAGTTGCCTATCCCAAGGAAACGGCGAAGAAGACCCAGACTACGTGGGCTGCCTGGTTCTGGGAGGCGCAATACACTTTCCTCAGTATCTATATGACTGCGGCATGTGTTCTCTCTTTCTGGTTCTGATTGTTTTGATATAGTGTCACCGGTGTTTTATGCCTTTGGCTTTCTGGCTTTTGAATGCGAGATATAGAAACGGCTTTCCGGCGATCTAAGCAACACGGACTTACAAGGAACAAAAAACCCAAGATGGATGTAATTGACCGGTATATGGGATCAACCAGTTAATTGAAGCTAGACCCTATCATCTCTAGGTGCACAGAAAATGAACAAAAAAATTGGTAAACGCTTTTTGGTGGATAAAGTCAAGACTTGCTGCTCTTCCGCAGTCCCTAACGATAGAAAAGTGCAAACCATTCGCCTTTAACTCCACAATCCCAGGAAAGCCAGCCATGCGCCGTGACAGCATTGTAATGTATTCACGACAAGGTTATGGCATCGAAGGCATGGATTTGACCCGCTGGTGCGTGCGCAAGGTAACCATCATGATGCTCTGCGCGCTGTACTTGCTCCTCATACGCAGCCTCGCACCGAATTTGAAGATGACCAAACTGATGGGGTACAACGCGGCGGAGATTACGCCGAAAGTGCCGTATGCCCAGTCGCCGCCGAGAGCTGTGATCATTTGGATGATGGCGAGCGGGATCGCGGCGGCGACGAGCAGACGAATGCTCGCGGCGAGCGTGAGCGCTGAGAGCGTCCCGGCTGGCGGGTACGCGTCGAAAAGATAGGAGATGTAGGATATCTGAAAAAGATCGGAAAGGTTAGCAGCAAATAAAACAGCCTTCGGGGCTGATGATGGCAAAGCGAAGTTCGTGTATGTATGGTAGCGATGGGGAAGAAAATCCGTACCAGAATCATCATGCTGCCCCAGACGAAGACGCCGGTGCCGACGATGGGGAATGGGTAGCTGACTGTAGGTACAGTAGTGTATCCGACCCAGAAGAAGGCCCCTGTCATCAAAACCCCACCGACCATCGCAGGGACAAGTCTGAACTCGATCTCCATCTGCACCATCTCCTGATCCTGGCACTGCCGCAGTTTCCGCAGGACCAGGAATTGCTCGATCAAGGTCGCCGTGGCAGCTGCGAGTAGTGCGCCCACCGCCGCGGAGATGAATGCCAGCCCTGACGATCGAATGCCGAACCCGTATGTCAAATTCAGGGCCGCAGGGACGGCGATGAACCATTGAAAAGTTGTCCCGAACACAAAGGACACGTACAACGTGGTCATTATGACTATGGGTTCAGTGAACGCCATGACAATGGGGTCTACGATGGTCAACTTGGCCATGCGACGCAGAGTGGTGCCTGATTCGGCTGGGGGAAGATTGTGAGGTCTGCCAGCACGCCGGGCTCGGGTGCGGATGATCTCTCGAGCATATGTTTCTGGAACTCCAATGCCGATCAGATACGCTGCGAGGCAGACCATTAATGAAACGTAGGCTGTCCACCGCCAGGACGTGCTTGGGACGATGTTCCCGAGAATAATGGGACCTGGCCAGGAGCGTTATCAGCATCTGTGCAGCAAAGCGGGAACGAAGATCTCAAATACCGAATGCGGCCCCTAGATACGAGGCTAGCGTCAAGCCTGAGTAGTACGTTACAGTGGTTGCCGCAGGCCAAACATCTGCAAATGTACCCTCGATGAGCACGAGACATGGACCTCCTCCGAGACCGGCGAAGAAGCGTAGGACCGCCAGTGCGCCAATGCTCTGAGCACGACTGGTTCCAAGGAGAAACAAGGCGCAAATTGGCAGGCTAACAAAGTAGACCGGTGCACGGCCGAATCTTTCTGTGACATGTGGAGTGTAAACCGGTGCAAAGGCAATGCCGACAAGGTAAAGGGAGAATGGTGCGATGGCGAGGGTCATGGAAACATTGAACTCTGCGACCACGTCGCCAACGGCAACAGTGTACGACGTGAGTCCAAACGCGCTGCTGATGTGTTAGCTGATGGTCACCTAGAGTTGTTGGGTGATATACACTGCAAAAGCAAATGCGAATGAGGCAAAGCTGACATAGACTTTGCGATGCAGAGGCCAATTTTGCGGGTTATCTGGATCCGAGGCTGGCATAGGATTGCTGATACCTCCCGTCGCCTCCTCCATCAGCCCAGGTTGATCCATTGAAACCTGATCAGACAATGCCTCCATCTGGTTTCCCATGTATTCCGTTGCTTGCATGGTGAGAGGTGTCTGACTCTCCATGGGATGGAATGGACGCTTGAAATTGTGGTGGTCAAGGATACGACAAGAAACGAGCCTCAAGTTGTGAGCGGGTGTTACCGGGTACTAGAAACGTCCTTTTTGGTGATGGAAGAAAGCAGGAGACTTCACAGGAAACACAACCCGACTTATATTATCTGCTGGCGGAGATGCGAATGAACTTTCAAAAAACCAAGAACATATAGGACGGCGACGGGCAGCATGATGCCAAAACAGCTCTTGGCCTGCAGCACCCACTTGGGGCTTATAAAGTCCGTCAAGCATCAAATGGAGGACGCCCCGTCGAGATTTGGTAAAGCCACGCTCATGTCCAGCAAATCGAAGGGCTTGATACATGGTGTAGACTTCCTGCGCCTCTCCACACGGGGAATCTCATGCGCAATCCGCAATCCCAACGGCGCAGGCACCGGCCACAGAATGCTGGCAGCCTCGCTAGACTGTCCTAAATCAGGATATCCTCAGCTTATCGAGTCCAAGATGAAACAGACTCGCCGACCGTCTTCACGATGGAGAGGGGAGTGGAGGTGTTCAATTTTGGAGTTTCGGCCCTCACGAATGACAAATGTGCCACGGCAATGGGATCCCATCAATGACAATGTGTGTAGGAAGGCGGCTTTGATGTTAATTGTACTCGGTAATCTATGTTCAAACGCGTACCAGTTGTTGTCCTGGAGATCCTCTCTCGGAACTGTTGAGAAGGGGCCGAAGAATGATAGAGGCCGGGCGCCTCAGATGGAATCCACGCTTAGAAGATCAGTCAGCATTTATGTAACTAACATTCAGCTAGTCTATATATGGTAAGGATGGCGTTCTTGGCACGACTCTATTTTCAGGCCCGCTACGAGTCGCAATTTCCACCCTCCGTGATTCCATCATCAGAAATCCATCTAACGCGGCTCTGCTCACTCCGCCCGGTCTTGCTGTAGGTCATGCTTTGATTTGCGCAACGGAGCATCGGACTCATTAACCTGGGGCTCCTGTGAATCGTTTTCTCCAAGACCTCGAATTTGTTGGGTTTTGGGGACTCTTTATGGCCGTACGAAGCACTCTGCGCGACCAAGCCTCATTGGAATCAAGGATCATCGCGGTCAACCTCATCTGGGAACTCCGTGACTCCGACATGCCAACGAGCACTCGGAAATGAATCTAAACACCTGCTTGCTGGACCGAGCACAGGTCCATTGCAGGAAAACAAACATCAGTCTCATGGCAGTGCCAATGGCCCTGTCCCTTCGATCATGACAAATAGTCAGCCAGGATCAGGTGTATTAGGTTGCGCAAAAGAACTTCCACAGCCATAGCGTCCCTACGCTTTGCAATGGATTGTATGCCGTGGATTGTATCTCCACAATCAATGGGCCTCATGAGACCCAGGAAGAAAATCAGACCATCATCCTACATATGCTCAGGAACTTGTACAGCTGCAGTGGGCCGAAGCATGCACATCGAACTCTGACGCATGCTCGCAGAGACGGAGGCTTGACTGGCTTCCTGCCGGCCACTCAATCAAACCAAACTTCAACATTCAAGGTCATCAGGCGTTGAGCTTCGCAAAGGTATTTGAAGACTGCAGAGACGCGAGCGGGTACTCGGTATACTTTTGTAAGTTCCAAATGCAGAGAACACCTGAGTAGTGGAAAGTGAGCCACACTCATATAACAAGAGAAAATTCACACCTGTTTTATGTGTATGGCGCACAAGCGGCTAACTGTGGAGTCTTCCTTTGTGCTTGGATCGACCGTGTGTTGCACGTGCCATTACTGGTCTTTCTTAGACCGGCAATCGTTCGTTGGCACCTGGCATTCTCGAGCTTCGCAATTGGTCGCGATGCTAACAGAAGGTGATAGAGCGAAGGCTCAATGACCGCTACCTGCGTTCGAGGCCAGATATTCAGATCGAGATATCAAGGCAAATTCAAGAACGCCCATTGCGCAATCCTTAGACTGCGAAGTTGCAATTACGACTGGTCTTCGCTCGGCACTTGACTCTGGGCTGGTTCGTTTGCACCGAAATGATCTCTCAAGGTATCTTGACGGGTTCCAGCGCGGAAAGAGGAGGAGAACAATCAAGAAGCCAACCACGCTGTGGGGCGTCGCCGACTGAACCCACCTAGGAGGTTGTCTCCAGTCGCCTTTTAGGGCAGGTTCAGTTTGTCGACCGTTCAGAAGGTGTGGCTTCGCTTCGCTGACGAGCCAGATTTTCTGGCAACAAAAGTAGCCTTCGCAAAACCTGGGTACATCAAGTGTTCGCTGGTGTTCCCCCGGTATTGTGAAGAGGGATCGGGGCGACTGGAGTTGTTGCACGTCTCAGTTGGGATTGTCCGCATCGCACACTTGGTCTCGGTATAGAAAGGTATTGTAACTGTCCCATTGATTGGCCACATCCACGGACTCGAAGAGAAATGCACAAGGCCTGCCCGTAAATGGCAAACAGCAGCTTGAGGCGACAGTACAGATCAAAGTTTGCGGCATGTCTTCGGTATTGCCCCATGCTTGCCCATGGACGCACGCAAGTACCCAGCAAGACACAGCATGATTGATAAATCTCAATCAGGGTTCAAAACACAGTCTGTTGTCCGGAAGTGTGCCGTCCAACTATACAGTATTCCACGAGATTGTGGGAAGTGCATGTGGTCACCGCTTTGGCGATGTTCTCCAACCACGCTTGTGACAACCCGCAACCCTCAGCATTCTCTCATCTAGGACATTGTGGGAACCTCAGGTCGGACCAATTGGCAATTTGGTTATGGCCGCACCAGCCAAGCAAAGGGTCAGCTATTATTCGCAGATTGCCCTCCATCCATTGATGCAAACGACGACTTCGCCGGTCTTACTCTATTACCCACGGCAGAGTGTCAAGATTTCCAGAAGCGGCTGGGTGGATATCCGATTTTCTAATCACTTTCCGTAAGCGTCACTTAAGCGGCAGCTGGGATACTTGAATATCCAAGAACAACCCACGCCGGCTATCCAGTTACCCCAGAAAATGCTAGCTAAAACTTTACAATTGCAGAGCCAACACAGGTATTGAGTTCAATACTTTCCTTGACGATCCATAACCGGGATACGCGATTGCCACGGGGGTATCCGCACCTGTGGGATCGTGTGCCCTAAAGATATTGCATGCTGGTGCTACAGTCTTCGATGAAGCAGAGCGTGGGAACCGAGGCTTCTGTGGTTGCTGTTTTCGGCAAATGAATTGCACAAACCCCCAGCCCAACAGAATGGCGGCCTCCACCACCCAGGTGACCTGGTTGACAGAGGCACGGGCACTCATATGATTCGGTTAGGGACAAGACAGCTTCATCCGCCGAGGGACCTTTCCCCGCACATCGGCTTCAAACAAATTGCCGAATCCCCATCCACCTAAAGCAGAGCTCCTCAAGCTCCCTTTCTGCGGAGGGTTTAATCACTGCCGGTAGGTATGCACAAAAGAGACCTATCTCTGGATTTCTGCAGATCAGAGTTGAAAACGTGGAATCCTGGCAATGTTTTCCAAAGGGGGGAAAGGCTGTGCTTTGAAGATGTTTGAATGTCTACAGAGTGCAAGGGGCTCCGCCGCACAGACCGCATTTTCCCACGCGAGGTTTTCGGAACTGCACTCCTGGCAGCAGTTCCGGACCCTTGCGCTTTCGATGCCAGCAGTCGATGGTTCCCATACTATGCACTGCGAACCACCAAAGATCTGCTAAACCGCGCGCGGTTATCTGCGGGCCTCCCAGTCCCCAAATATTGAATTTGCCCTGGACGCAACTCAAGTTTATGTGACAGATGCTGGGCACTGGAGTCGACTCGGCTTTCCACAACTCCTTCTCGATACGCAAGTCTTGAAATGGGAATCGTGGTGATTATAAAAGTGTCTGTGCTGAGGCAATGGATCCGACATCCGATCAACCACCGGCCATCTATTTACTGGACGAGGCTGGGCTCTTTGAGCTTCCACCCAACTGAATGCCTACTGGAGCCAAGGTCACTCTAGGCACTGTTACCCGCAGGCACTACTATCTCTGTCAGTGGGTCATTGCCGGCTTTCGGTATAGTTCGCTCCAGCATTTTCCCCAGACAACCCCCATAACGCCCAAGAATTGGCAAAATTGGCCAAACTTCCTACCTATCACAATCTAGCACTTGAATATCTTTCGCCTCCGCGTGGGGCTCCGTCCTTTTCTCCTCAACGACGTTGAGTCTATCCCAGAATCGTCAAGGTGCTCCAGACGTTTCACCCCCAACTGCCTTAAAGGGGGTTGACCCTCTGGTGGATTCCATAGATATATCAACTGATCCTCTGGAACAGTTCGATATCCTATCCAACCTCACCTGATCTTTGCCCTACAATCCCGTAGGCAATCAGAGACTCACCACCACAATGGCGACTTCAAGGCCCGACAACCTTAAGGCCCACTGGAAATGTATCACAGCTTGTACCTTGATTAGCATGTGTCCATTCCAATATGGGGTTGACTTTGGTATTATCGGTGGTCTCCAGGCCATGCCTGGGTTTTTGAATGTACGCTGCTGCAGAACGACATGAACCCACGGCCACCACTTCTAACGATGAATAGGTCTTTGGAGAAAAAGATCCGACCTCGCCTATTGGATACAACATCAGCCATACACGCCAGCAGCTGATCTCCTCTCTCATGATTCTCGGTGCCTTCATCAGCTCTTCCTTTGCCGGCCCCATTGCGAAGTTCATCGGCCGAAAGATGTCCATCTGGGCTGCAGCGCTGCTTTGTGTTGTGGCAAATGTTATTATGATGACCACCACGAGCATTGGAGCTCTGTATTTTGCGCGTTTCTTGATCGGTATCGCAAACGGCATGCTCATGACATTTTCGCAGCTCTATCTTCAAGAGTGTTCGCCTGCGAAATATCGAGGTCTTGTCATTGGGCTTTTCCAGTCATGGACATCGATCGGTAGTTTGGTCGGTACCATTATCGACAATTTCACAGTCAAGCTTGCAGGCAGACAACAATACATTGTTTCCCTGGGCATCATCTACATCGTCCCAGGTTTTCTGTCGCTTGGGATGCTCTTTGTCCCTGAAAGCCCGCGATGGTTCCTTCTCCAGAACCAGACCGAGAAAGCTCGCAAGGCTCTCCACTGGCTCCGACCTTACCCCGATACGGTTGAGGACGAGATCAAGGAGATCCAAGATGCCATCGGAGCCGAGCGAGCCTTGGCTAAGAGCGCCGACATACTGGATATGTTCCGCAATCCTGTCGATCGGCGACGCACCCTTCTGTCGATTGGTGCTGTTTCTCTCCAGGCGGCTTCTGGCGCCATGTATATGATTTGTATGTTTTTCTGCCCGACTCCTGTCTTGAGAAATAGGTTGCTAACTAACAACCTACAGCGTACGGCACATACTTCTTCGAAATGGCCCATGTTGGTTCAGCATTTGAAAACTCGTGCATCCTTGTTGCAGTCGGCGTGGCCGCCATCTTGATCAATAGCGCCATCATCACGAAGTGGGGTCGGAGGCGAGTATTCCTGACGATCGGTATGATTCTCTGTGGTATCACGCAACTCATCGTGGCCGTTGTATACGACAAACAAGGCCCCAGCACTTCAACGGGACGGGTGAGTCTTCGCCGGACAAATGCCGATACGTTTTGCCCGCGTTCAATCTTCTGACACATTCCGTGTAGGTTATTGTCGGCGTCTCGGTCGTGTACATTGTCGGCTACAACGGCATGGTGGCGACCTACGCATGGCTTTGCGGTGGCGAGTTCCCGTCGCAGCGTCTTCGGAGCTACACATTTGGTCTGGCAGCCTCAATTGGCTTTTTTGGGGCCTGGCTTGCCACCTTCACCGCCCCATATTTCATCAACCCCGATTCCCTTAACTGGGGCCCGAAGTACGGATACATTTGGACGCCGTCTTGCTTGATTGGTGCGCTGTGGACGTACTTTTATCTCCCTGAGGTGAAGAACAGGACGTTTGAGGAAATCGACGAAATGGTGAGTCCGAGCATCGAACCCAAGGTTTTTCAGCAGAAAGGGTGGACATTGCTGACTCTGTGCTGTTGTGTAGTTCGAGGCACGCCTTCCCGCCCGCAAGTTCCGCACGTACAAGTGTGTGGGATCTGTGGCCGCTGTGGCCATGGCCGCAAAGGAGGACGGAAGCAGTGGAAGTGAGAAGGATCACGTTGAAGTCAGGCATGAGGAGGTCATTTTCGGCAACGAGAAGGTTGCCACCGAGACTGCTGTTGCTATCGGTTGAATGTGTCTCTGTGTCCGTTTGGATGGAACTGTCCTGGAGCATTGAGCACCTCGAAAGAATCGCCGGGAGCTGAACAGGCACACCAGCTACTCAGCTACTTAAGACGAGCGTGGGCCTAAATTTCTGGCAATCAGCGAAGCATATTTTGTTTCCCCTTGAACGGAACACGAGGTCGGCAAGAGATGTTTTGAATCAACAGCTTTCTGCCACCGTCAAAGCATGCGCAATGGCTCTGTATTGAATTCTCTTGTTCAGCCCGTTTCTGAATGCTTCCGGAAGGAGCTCTAGCTGTACTCGTCTGCCATTCTTGACGATACCCGCCTTATGCGGCAACCATCTGGTCGACAGATAATCCCAGGGTTCGTCCCGGTCTGACTCGCTTGACTGGAGCTCAGACATGCTTCCCGCTCCATAGCGCTCGCCGCAGGATCATTGAGCTTCTTAAGTGTGTAGAACAGCCATCCTCAGACAGTTCCATGCAAGGGGGTCACGGGGTAAGTGGTGTTTATGTATGTAAGATTCTTCGTGGCGGTTGGAAAATGCGGCTGAGTCGTTCAGGTCGCCCCGGGCCTCCTCCACCTGGTCGGTGCTCGCTCGATCCAGCCAGATGGGCCAGGCCGATAAGAAATCCTCCCGAAGCCCGTATTCCCAAAGTCGGGTAACCGACAAAGGGCTCCCTAGGCCTAGTAGCCCTGGTTGTGGCCCAACCACATGGCGGCATAGGCGAGAGGACTGCCTAGTATGTAACCCACACCACCATCACCACCAACTCCCACTGCACGTGGGATTTGCTGGAATGAAGGCAGTTGGGTAACTGGGCTGCCCAAACCCCCCCCCCCACCACCTCTCGCCATCAGCTTACGGATCTGGGCTGACTCAGGGCGATCCCATGAGCGCGCCTGGACTCTGGACTCTGGACTCTGAACTCCCAGTGACAGGTCAGGTCCAAAGTGAGTGAAAGTGATAAGTCAACTCTGCCGGTCCCGAGCTGATTGGGAAGCAGAGTCAAGTGCTGAGTATGCCTCCAGCCCTTCACCTTAAAACCCCCGACGTCAACCTGAGAGGCCCCCTCCTCAAAATGGTTCCCATGTACCCTGCTTGTAATTCTGCGCATTTTGATTTTGTTCATTCGGCTGGGCCTACGACACGGCGAGCGACAAGGTAGTTGGACCCTGGAGCTGGATGGACATGTCAACAATAGATGCGATGTACGACTATCTCATTGTTGGAGCTGGTAAGTCACGTCCCCAATCATCCACTCCCTGTGGCTAACCCTTGTCCAGGCCCTTCGGGGCTGTGCGCCGCAAAGACGATCCGCGAATGCGAGCCTGAGGCTAAGGTGAAGATTCTGGACTCTAACAAAACCGTGGGTGGTGTATGGTCCAAAGAGAACATCTATCCTGGCCTGAAGACAAACAATGTCCGTGGCGGCATCGACTTCTCCGACTTTCCCATGCACGATGGCTTTGGCATCCCTGAAGGTCAGCATGTCTCGGGCGAAGCAATGCACGAGTATATCAGAGCCTACGCCGAATATTTCGATGTCTTCCGGTTGATCGATTTTGACTCGACCGTCGCGGACATCTGCAAGCTCAAGGGCATTCAAGGCTGGAACGTCAAACTAGGCTCGGGAGCAGATCTGCAGACGCGTAAGTTAATCGTCGCCACAGGTGTCACAAATGTACCACACAGACCAGCGTTGAGTGGCTCGGAGGAATTTGGGGGCCCGATCATGCACTCGGCGGAACTGGGCATGAAAGGCAGCGTTCTCACTGACGACCCCAATGTCCAGACGATAGCGGTGCTTGGTGGAGGGAAGTCCGCTTACGACGCCGTCCATGTGGCTGGCAAGGCTGGCAAGCAGGTGGAATGGATCATCAGGAAGTCGGGCAAGGGCCCTGAATGGATCTTCCCCGCCCACACCATGGGACCGCTGCAGGCGGTGCGAGAAAAGCTACCGGCAAGACGATTCGTGTCCTTTTTCAGTCCATGTCTGTGGAACGACGGGTTCAGCTGGATCAGGCACTTCCTCCATTTCACCAAGCTCGGCAAGATCATTTCGCAGGGCTTCTGGATAAACCTTCACAAGGCAACCCTGGACGACTGCGGGATGTTGAAGGATGAGAGAACAAAGGTCTTGGAGCCCGAGCAGAGGTACGTTTTCTTTCCTCTGTGCAAGGCAAAGCGGGTTTTCGCGCCGCTAACTCTTCCCTCGATATAGCCCCTTTTGGTACGGCACGGCATCTGGAATCTATAGCTACGAGAAGGATATCTACGAGATGCTCAAGACCGGTCAAGTGCGCGTGCATCGCGAGGACATCCTCCGCCTCTCCAAAGGTGCCATCAACTTCACCAGCGGATCGCAAGTCACAGCGGACGCCCTCGTCACCGCGACAGGCTTCTCGGCAAAGTCGACCCTCAAATTCATCCCAGACACCATGCACGCTGACCTCGGTATCCCGTCGACCAGCTACACCCAGGCGCAGTATGGCTTCTGGCAGGCCCTGAATGAGAAGGCCGACATGACCATCGCCTCCAAATTCCCCCGTCTGGTCGCCGGGCCATTCAAATCGCCCACCTCGACCGTAGTGCAGCCGTTCAACCCAGGCATGGACTCCGAGGCCAACTACACGCCCTTCCGGCTATACAGGGCCATCGCGCCGCCGGGCCCGACAAAGGAAGGCGACAACTCGCTCGCCTTTATCAGCATGTTCTCGAACCTGGCCAACACGCCGCGCTGCGAGTTGCAGTGCCTCTGGGCCTACGCGTACCTCAACCATAGACTCGACATCCATCCAGCCACCGTCTTCGACGAAGCGGCCCTGATGGCGCAGTACGCAAGACACCGCGCGCCGTACGGCCACGGCAGGTTCTTCCCCGACCTCGTCTTCGACCAGGTGCCATACATGGACCTGCTGCTCCAGGACCTCGGGCTAGAGTACTGGCGCAAGGGCAACTTCTTTGCCGAGCTGTTCAGCCCGTACATGGCCAGGGATTACAAGGGGATCGTGCAGGAGTGGCTCCGACAGAATTCCCACTCGAGCAAGGAAGAGTCTTCAATCCCACCCAAGACAAAAGCCGAGGAGGCCAGGGATCTTGAAAGAGAACCGCTTCTGAACGGCAAAGCGGCGTGACAAGGGCGGATATGGTTCCTTTGCGCTGGCCGGACTCGAATGAATGATTATGATTACATGGATTACCGACTGCCTGATCGACGGACCCAACTGACTGGACTGGAACTGAATCGCACTTCCTTTCACTGCCATGCAATACACTGCTCACTAGAGCCCTACGCTTCAGGACCACAGCAGCGCACCCTACCATTCTGCTCCTCCAGACGATGAGATTGACGGATGGAGGGGATGGATAGAGGCAAAGGTCATATTGAGTTTCAGTTGGCTGGGTCAAGCGGGCCTTTTATTCATTTTATTCTCCGTTGTGATTTTTTTTGGGTTGTTTTTTCATCTCTATCCCCATTCCACCCTCCACCCTCCACCCTCCACCCTCCTTCTCCCACCAGTACTTCCTCATTTCTTACGAGCCAGGTCAGATTCGGCGGGTCATGTATCTACGGCGCTCTACGGCTCTCTCGACGACGCATGACGGGGCGAATTGATTGATCGATCGATTTTTACCCTACCCCCCTGCTTGCGTCGATGTGATTGGACTTGACTTATTCATTCAAGCGGCTCGGCACCCTCCTTCCCCCGCTCCCACCTCGCGCTTGCACTTTCGTTCTTCAAAGCTAGACTTGCCTTCTTTCTAGAGTATTGTATTATGACGGTGTGGCGAGGCGAGATGGCGCCGGATGGGACGGGATGGGAGGAGACGGGGGGGAGAAGAGAGGGGAAAAAAAAAATGAATGGAAGATGAAAGAAAGGGCCATGACCTACCTACGAGACGGATGATCGTTCTTGCTTGGTCATGATCATGATCATGATTACAATCGCAATGATCGCAATGAATGATGGCAAGGATGGCAATGATCGTCACCAATTCATAACAATGAACAATGAAGAATAAGCACAAACAATGAAACAATGACAAATGAACAAACGAACAAACGACGCTGACGACACTGGGGGGGGTATAGATAGATGGGGAGGTAAATGGATAGATACCAATTAGGACAGAAGTAAGATTTTCCAAATTCGAATTAGAATAGGGTATCAATTATATTTGTATCTGGTTGGCTTCAACGCTCGTCTAGAGTAATACCATACATAATACCATACATACATATACCATCCATCTCTGCAAACAGGGAAGAGGGTGTGGCAAGGCTGAGTAAGCTTCGTGACACCCAGGTGACCAGTGATAAAAGACAAAGGACAGGACAGGACAGGACAGGACAGGACAGGACAGGACAGGGAAGGGCAGGGTAGGGAAGGGATAAAAGAACCAACTCCAACCAAGGGGAGGGCAAAATAATAAGAGGTAGTAATTCGCCGCCGTGCCTGGCGCCGTGGGTCTTGATTCTTTGGGGAAACACAAACACAAACTCCACCCACTCCCAAGCGGGAAGCACCCCAGTGCCCGATATAGCGAAAAAGAAACAAACACCACCACCACCGCCATCATCATCATTATGGTAAGCAAAACGCTTTCAGGTTGACATGAATGAAAAATGGTGACCTCTGATCATCTTCGTGCGTCACTCTTAATCATACAACCACTCCAACAAGCAACTCGTAATCGGTTTGCCTAATGTTCCCTGCCACTCAGGAACCTTGTCGGCCCTGGTGCCAAGCATATCGCATGTTCTTGTTGTAGTCCCTGCAGCCTGCGGGCATCGCATCAGAGGCAGCCAGGCTCACAGAGGAGTCATCTGCCGGCGAAGGCGAGTATGTGTAAGTGGGCGCAAAGTCGTGGCCTTTGCCGTCCTTAGCATAGCGGAGCTTGAAGTCGCGGCACCCTAGGGGAACTTCGGATGAGTGCGCCGAGGAGGCGCCGCTGGCGATGATGATGTCGGTGTTGTACGGATACGTCAGGTTGAAGTCGTGGCCCTTGCCGTCCTTCGCGTAGCGGGCACGGATAGCGTCGCGGCAGCTCTTGGGGATGGAAGGTTCTGTTGACGAGGAGGATCTGACCGAGGCACTGCTGGAGGACAGACGGGAGAAGATGGAAGCGTGCTTGGGAGTAGACATGTTGGTCTGATATGGGGTTGCTGGGGTGGACTGGAATGAGAGAACGAGGAGTAAATCAATGGGTGTTTGAATTTCTGTAGAACTTGCAATTGAGTCCGAGTCTGAATCTCTGTCTCTTGTGTTTGTTGTTTGATGTGTATTCTGCAGAGAAGGGTTCTTGCTGAGAGGACGAAGGGTATACTTATACCTCGAAGCCCAGGCCTCTATCCGATACACAGAGTAAGCAGTGCCCCTGGCTGTAACGGCCTCACCGTCTTGGATGCATCAATAATTTCCAATGATCATTTAACACACTGACCAAGCGATGTCATGGTGCCTGTGACATTCGGTGAGCTACACGAGGGGGACCGGTGGCTGTGAGTGCTAGGGCTGAGTCGGAGCTGGAAAATCATCCAATCCGGACAGCCATTAGCAGGAGGCCATCTCACGGTGCCAGCGACTACGATGGAAGGAGCAACCGTGTCGGGACTGAATGGAAGGGAACATGTCGACTGATTGATTGCGGCAAGTGTCGAAACAGCAAAGCGCGAACTGTGTGCCTCAGCCAGCCCTGGGGAAAGGCTTGCTGCGCGCAGCCATTGTCCACGGATTCGGGCAGTCAGGTCTGACTGAAAAGATGATATTCGACGCGATGGTGTTACGTCTAGCGCCCCGTGGACGAATCAAGATTGCAGCATCATTCTGCAGAGTCGGCGCTGATGATAATTGTGGTAACCGTTCAGGGTCGACTTCAGGCGCTTCGGGGGCTGAGTCCAGCTGGAGTTTCCGAAAAACACGAGACGCCCGTTGCTTGTGGAAAGTGACTAGTGGCATGGCATTGCAGGACGACCAAAGAAACTTCCCCCAAACGCTATTAGAAGAACCGAAAGCGAGCCTTCCCCCTTTCGACGGGCTCCTATTCCAGTGGATGTGCATTTGCGGATCTGGCTCGAGGCCATTGGCCGCGCTTGACACAATTTGGCTGCAATAATGGCCACATGTCCCCGGAGTCTCTGCTTGGCCTTGGTGCGTATCTTCATTGGAAACAGTACTGGCGGCATCTCAGGCAGCCACATAAAAGACCCAAGGTCCCTCGTCCCCGAGAAAACACATGCGGTCCCAATTTATGCTATTTGACGTGTACTTTCTGTACGTGTCGGCGACCAGATTCGTATATCGGGGGTAAACACGTCTCAAGGTCTCGACCAGGCGGTTCACCCACTCCGCAGCATTGGGATCAATATCTAACGGCCTGCTTGAAGATAGGCACCGTCGTGAAATCATCGTGGTTCCACAAGATCTCATTAGACGGGCCAAGCTCAGCGCCTTCATCAGTGCTGGGCAACCCCGCCTTCTCGTTCTCGTTAACCTCGTGTTTTGACAGCCCCTTTCTATCTTTCGGGAGCCAAACTTTCGGAGTTTTCGAGGTCATCGCCGGCAGAAGATATGCATTTTTGAGTTGCTCGTCGTTATAGGAATTTAATTCTTCTGATTCACCCTCCGGGTCCTGAAGCCATGGTCGAAGAGTCTCCTGTGAAGCGAAAATACGAGGCTCGAGCAAACTGGCAAGTGGATCCAGCAAGACCGCCGGAACTTTTCCTGAGCCAAGTCTGTAGACCAGTAATTGATCGGCCTGATTGGCGCGAGATCCAGTGTCCACATCGTCGTCCCTGAGAAGAGGTTGCTCCTCGTCCTCATCCGACAACACGTTGACCGGCATATACTTTTCCAGAGGTGAAAGGTATTGATTGACCGTCATGTGATAAAGAGCGGTGACGACTAGCAACACAGTCATGAGAGTGGAAGGACCGGCCACCTTCTTGATTCCAAACAGCCCAATCAAACAGAGTTCCGCGAGGTAGACACCTGTCATCAAATGCTGCAGGCTCCTCGTGTAGCTCTCTCCCCGCGTCTCGGTCTTGACTTGAATCACGTAAAGGAGGTTGTATTTGTAGCTTAGATAGAATAGGAATAAGCCAATCGCCGCGAATCCCAACACCAGCGGTGCAATACAAGAATAGGCGATTGCAATGACCGCTAGATTCGTGAATTTGGGATAGACATTGAACCAGCTGATCCCCTTCATCTGTGCATAAGTGTTGAATTTCTGTCTCGGGGTCTTGTTCATGACGTGGTAGAAGAACAAGAATGAGAAAAGATCGCTGTAATTCAAAATATTCTTCGATGCGGTGCCGAGGCCTTGGACGATGAAGTAGGTCAAATAGAAGTTTGAGGCCTTGGGGAGGTTCTTCGCTAGCAAGGTTGGGACGGTTGTTGGTTGGTTTGCGACCTTGGTAGCTAAAGCGGCAGCCCCGGACGAAAACGTCGTGATGAGGAAGACTTGAACCACTTGGAAGGTAAAGTACCAAGTTTGAGCCCACTCAACTGCTGATTTGCTTGTTGGCTGACCAGATAGCGTCGCCACATATTGAAAGAGGTATGGTACATAGGACACCACGGAGCTGAGAAGCAGGGGTGGCACCAGCCCTGTGAGCAATCCGAGGATAGGAGCCGGGAGGTTGTTGATGAATCGCAGAAAGTGAAATTTGTGAGCCAGATAATTAATGTTGGAGATTGTACCAATGATACCGACAGGGATGGACCAGAAGATGATTGTTGCAACACCAAGCGCTATGGCTATGTAGGAATATGTGATGCGGAGTGATGGATCGAGATTGAGGTTTTGCCAGATGACCTCTTTCGGCTGGATTCCGATGTATTTTGGCTGTAATGTAAGGGGTGATGGGTGTCGCACTTGCTGGAACGCTTGGTGCGCACTGACTTGGTCCTTGAACTCGACAAATATTGCTCCAGTTCTCTTACCTGGGGCGCTGGAGTCGGCCTGCCGAACCTGGTCCACGTCGGAAACAAGATTGGTAATGTCTTCTCGCAATCGGGAGATGCTGTCAATCTCTTCTCCGACAAGGTACTTTGACCGATGCTTAGGTCGATGCACCCCGCCACCTGGTTTTGGTAGCTGGCTAGAGCTTGCGTCATTGTCCTCTGGAGCATCGTCTTTGCTGCGGTTGGCGTTTTTCAGAAGTTTTAGTTCCAACCCTTCCAGTTCGTCGATTTTGCTGTCTCTCTTGTGAACAACTTTTTCCAAGTGGCTCATATTAGAAACGACCCAAGACTTCACAGCATACCCACCAAAGTACCGGCGAAGATTTCTTTCTTGAAGGCCCTCAGGAGGCACGTTTAAGTACAATACCACTCGAGAAGAGAGCCGAGTTGCATTTACCGGAATTGTCTGGTAAGCTTGACGAAGGCCCATAACAAAGAGCCTTTCCCTGGTGACGAGAAGTATGATGAACCCTAAGGCAAGGCATTAGCGTATTCAGATGAGTGGAAAGCAAATTGCCTTACCAAAGAAGACCCAGGCTACAACAGCATGCGCATAAAGACGTCTCCCGTCAGCGACATTGCTGAACGATATCCTGTCCAGCTGCGTTGCACCACCCCCTCCCGTGGCATTGATTGGAAAGAGAATTGGCCAAGTTAGACAGCAGCCCACGACGCAAATGAGGACAGTCAGTCGGAGGAACCGCAGGAAAAGATAGGCCTCCAGTGAGGAATGGCGCAAAACAAACTTGTCGTCGAGAGCGCGGAAGTCATGCCACCAGGAGACGGATGTATGACTAGACGAAGGAGTGCGATCCCTGGACCTTGTTAGGATCCACTGCTCGGCTGTATTCGAAGTGCTTACTTGTGATTGATGGTGCGAAAATACGTCCTTGGTGCGTAAATGTTTCGATATCTCCAGCGAACAGACACAAATGCCAGTAAGAAAACGGCAGCCGTTATGGCAGTGGGGATAAGTGCAGCACCGATGGCAGCAAATGAGGTTGAATGTGGATTGCGATGACCGCCAGAGCCTGGGGTCTTTGAGGCCTGTTAGCTATGTAATTAGTCTTGCAAAACATGATTGCTTCCTGGAGCGAGGAAGTAGGCAGCGCCTTATGCACATCCGACTATTACTCGAGCCAGAAACATCTCGGGCTTCGATGGGCATCACTGACCTTGTCCTTCAAGGCGTCCATGTCGACGTTCCAAGTCCTACCTCCAGGCAAAACAGACAAATCCTACCGAGAATAGCACATTGAAAGTGCACGCCGTTGCGGGCAAGACGCAGCAACCAAGAGAGGAGGGAGGTGAGGTTGAACGTTGCTTTTTGGTGAAGATGTGAAGAGGCGATGCAGTTGCCAAGTCACTCGCAGCCTGAAAGTTCGCGTTGCAATCTGACGTCATAGAATCCCTCCTCACCATCATCACCACCACCACCAAGACATCGTTCATGGTGCTCAACTCCTAACACCTGGCGCGAGATATCAAGCTCGCCATATACCGCGTACCTTGTACCATCGTCGCGCAAGGGGAAATGGAAACATCAAGTCACGAAGAACGGTTATATTATGTATAAGAATATCAGTTCCTTGTTATCCATCTGGCGTGGCTCATGTTCAACTCCACGCTTGTCATGACGGCGTACCGTACGTTACTTTGTAAAGTTGCCCAGAAGTTGGACAGGTGCTTTTTATTCCTTGCGCCCACTGAAACTCCTCTTCCAGCTAGTCATTTGGCTTGAATTTTCTCCAGCTGGCGAGCTCGGAGACCCTGCATCATCGTCCTCCGCTAACGCTAAGCCTTGCATGGTGCTCGGCATCGAGGTTGTCCTGGTAGGAGCGGCTGGTTCTCCGCCCGAAAACAGTCGCTCGCTAACTCGCCGGCCTAGTTCGCCCCCTTTCGAGTCGGCGTTGAAGGCAGGCCGCTGAGCGACCGGTTCAGACGGGACGTGGTACTCCCGCCGAGGGCCATCGACAGGTGCAATATCCTCAGCCATAGCATCCTCGTAGCTGGGTGGAGCGTCATCGGGAATGCCTGATTGTTCATGGGGACTGTAAGAACCAACTTGAGCCGGGTACGAGTTGATCTCGGACAAAGGTGTTGTTGGCGTTCCCGAGGGCGTCTCTGGTCGTAAAGACATGTCGTTCATTTCGGTCGGCCTTGGTGGGGACAGATGTAACGGAGAAGGTTGAGGGCGAGGATTATTGGCCATGGCCTTCAGCAGCTGAGGAGGAGGGGCGATGCCGGAATACACCAAAACAGGCAGACGCAATGGAAGGATCATAAGTTCGGGTCGCACCCCACTAGCCATAGCATGTGCCAAGCCAACAGTGACCTCTAGCTCATACCGCCGAGAGATGTTGCAGGTATCGAATGAAGGGCAGACCGTGTTTGGGAGGGGCAAGTCATCCCACAGTCGAGAGGGCAGTTTCCATTCCTTGCGACCTTTGTCGGTAGGGTTTCCTAGAGGCATGTTCATGTTCGCCTGTGACATCAAGAGCCATTTTGTGGTTTCAGTTCTCTCCAAATCGACAGCTCTGACCTGAGTGTACCCTGTTAGTTCAATCTGGAGCGTCCTGAGATAGGCGGTTGCCGAGCTCTCGTTGAGCTTCTCAACCAATATTCGCAGCGGCAAGGGTTCGTTGCATGTGATGATAGCGGGACTGGGAAGACGGGCATCGACTTGAAAAGCGGGAGGTTCCTCCTCGGCGGATGTTGGAGTTGAAGACTTTCTGCTGAAAAGGCTGGACATTCTTTTCTGCGACTCGACCGGGTATCGCTGGAATTGTCTCTTCCGCCTTGCAAACGTTTCCTCATGACGATTGGGAGGTCGAGGAGGCTCGATGGGCAAAAATCTGATATCGGCAATCTTTGTCATACATTAGATGTCTCATCAGACAAGCCATGGCGAGGGCAGCATACCGCTCTGATGTTCTCTTGGAAGAACTTGGGTCGGACGATTGTTGCCTTGACATAGTATTTTATCTCGGCCTCGCCAGGAAAGCCACTTAGCGACGGAGGTAGGGTCTTCTTCACATGTTTTGTGGTGTCTGGGGCGAATTGAACATTCACATGACCAAGTTTGATATCTTTCAGCGCACTCGGATTCCTTTGACAGTCGTTGTTAAATGGAAACTGCCCCAGCCATTTAGCCGCCGTCGCCGCCCGGTCCCGAGCGCAGGAATTGGAAGGGTCTGACCTTGAACTTGAACGGGTACAGATATTGCCCGGCGAGGAGGGTGTATGCGGAGGCGCTACTTCTTTCTTGGAGCTCAGGCGTTGGAAAAACGGTGAGGACTTTGTACAAGAGCTGGAGCCTGGTGTGTGAGCACAAGCTGCGTTAGACAGGGGCGACTCTTCTCACCAACCTTGTGCAATTCTAGCTCCGTCCTCTTCTTATCCGAACGCTCATTGTTGGGGAACTTGGGACCGGCGAGCCGAGTTCGACTCTCGCCCTCGAGCTTGACCGTGACTGCCGAGATGGATGCATCGTTGGGAAGGACGAGGATAACGTTGCCCGAGACGAAATCGAGATTTGTATAGCACCTCTGTTCGGGTTGATCAAACTGAATACGGACCGACATGGATCCAGCGTAGAACAGGCATCAGGGCATTGAGATGTCAATGGATGGACCAGAAGTTGTGCGGGGTGGTAAGAGGTGACGGCGACATGATCATGTTGTGTTGTGTGAGGAGCGTTGGTGGGCGGTGGAGATGGGAAACGCCTTGCGAGGCTGAGCAGCTGAGCGGCCAAGCGGCACCCACCAGGGCACCCGAGATGGTCGAGCCACCAAACCACCTGTACGGGATACTGGGTACTCTCTTGACTCCCTCAGGCTTCGGGATGGACGTCGTCACTAGCAATTCCCCCGAGCAGTCCCCGTCGAATCATGGCGAGTGGCGGCGACCCTGAGGAGGGGCCACCAGGGCGAGCGGAGAACCAGTATTTTCTTGGGGCCGGCGTTCCCTCTTGTCCCTCTTTGCCCTCTACAGCTGGCATGTGCCTTCATATTTTGACGCTTTATGCAGACCTCAAAAAAATCAAAAAAAAAAAAAAAAACCAAGCTGACTGGCTTTGAAGAATTCTCCCAATGTAATTGACCATCCTCCTCCTGGTCTCCGGTTGCCCTGCACCGAGACCACGACATGTAATTACCGTCTCGGATGAAACCAGCTCAGACAGCGCGCAGCAAGGCAACAACCAAGGCTCGTGAACCTGTCAAGCACACCAAGACATTCTCTGGCTGCTGGACCTGCCGGGAAAGACACGTCAAATGCGACGAAGCCAGACCGCACTGTGCGCGATGTCTCAAGGGTGGATTCCAATGTCAGGGATACGGCATCAAGCTCGTCTGGGTCGATCCGGACAGTCAGGAACGCGAGCAGAACATCCGGAGGGTCATCGGCACGCCAACTGTCTATGACGACGGGTCAAATTTTATGAGGGTCGACGTCCATGAGGCGTTGGAGGAGATTGAAAGACTCTCGCCGGGAACAGCATGCCTTTCATCGGGTCCATTCTCGGTCTTTTCCCTCCAAAGGTCTAGAACGGGCAGCTTCGAAGAATTTCACGGGACAGTACCTCTGGCGCTTCCAGACCGCGAAAGAAGAGACTCGGTGTCGTCGCGAACAGATCAGACAGGAGAGGTATCAGATGGAAATGGCGACGATCTGATAGAAACTGTCATCTCACCATTCACAACCTATCCTCGAACTTCGTCCCTGTACGCTCATCCGGGCACCCCCCCGCTGTGGCTATCGACATCGAGTCCTGCTCCTCTACCGCTCACAATACGCCACCTGGACCTCCTCCCTCGGCCCGCTGAACAAAGAGCCCTGATTCACCACTGGACAGACTTCGTCTGCTGGCACCTCGTCCCCGTGGATCGGCCGGACAACCCTTTCCGAAGCGTCTTCACGCCCATGGCCCTCGCGGGCCTCGCGTCGCCGTCAAACCAGTCAAACGGACAGATTGCACTCTTTCACGCCCTGTGCGCTACGTCGGCATTCAGCCGTGGTCAGCTCCTCAACGGAGACAGCATGAACCTCACCTTGGCGATGAAACATTACAATCTAGCCATTATGCACCTGCGCCACAGCCTTGCGAATCTCAGGGACAGAGATGACAACAACAACTACCACCTTGGAGGTGGTCAAGAAGTACATCTTCAACGAGGCTCCATCCTCGCAACCATTACCATGTTCTCGGCAATGGACATGATCACCGGCCGCTCCGGCGAATGGCGCACGCATCTGCAGGGCGGGGCCTCGTGGTTGTCGACCATCGAAGAAAGCGAGTGGGACCGCGACAAGTCCTCCTCGATGGTCTATCAAGGCTACCTTGCCATCGCCGCGCTATGCAATATTAACCTGCCCTCCACCATCGACGTCGAATCCGAGAACTTCCTGGGCGATGCGAGACACTATGTTCTCGACCGGTTCTTCGGTCTCACCCGTCCGATCCTGAAACACATCGTCGTTATGAATAGCCTGATCAAGCGCATCTCTAATACCACGGCTTCCGACCCGCCAACAGCCGAGACGCTGGATGATCTGGAAACCCAACTTTACGCCCAGACACCGTCGAATCTTGACCTCACGGGCCTCCCACCTCTTGCTCAATCCCTAACGTTGCACCACGCCTACGTCTTCTACTATGCCTCGCTAATCTACTTCCTCCGCACCGTCCGGCGCCTTCCCCCGGGTGCCCTCTGCATCCAAAACATGGTTTTAAAAGCCGTCACGCATCTCGAAGATATTGAAAGCTTGGGTGGCGACAGTATAGGCTGTACATTAGTCTGGCCGCCATTCATTGTTGCGTGCGAATGCTTAAGTGAGGAGCTGCAGGAGAAGATGCTTGACTGGTATAGGCTAAAGAGGAGGCACGGGTTCATGAATCTGGAGCTTTCGAAGGATATCGCAAGAGAGCTGTGGCGGAGGCGGCAGCTGGCGGATGAGAGCGGCAAGACGGATGCTGATATACAGTGGCAGGATGTGTTGAGGGAGATGAAAATGGATATAGTCCTTGCTTGATTGGGTACATTAACAACGGGCTCCCTGAATGTAGGAGCCGCGACATATTGAATTGAAAGTTCGGCTCAACACGTCAAGGGGGTTTCGGAATTGAAGTCATTGTCCGAATTGAACTGATACGAAGAATTAGACGAGGAGGGTTGTCTGAACCGCGCGTCAAGCCGCTGGAGCAGCACATTTATCGACTCCTCAAGGACCCTGTCCACAAACTCTTGCTCTCCAGGCGTAGTGCTCACAGGTCCGAACATCCTTTGGTTGATCTCCGAGGCTAGGACTTCTCGACCCTCGCGCACAAAAAAGGCAATAAAGTCTTGCACAGTATCCGCATGCGCACTGTCAACGTACGGATCCACGGGCAACGTCGAAATCGGAAACAGGATCTTATAGATGTCGAACCATGCGTCTGAGCGACTTCGACCCATTTCCCGCCTTTTGATTGCCGTCAGTTGATCCTGAGTCATCTTCTCTTCGAATGGGCAGAGCTGTCGTCGGCAAGATCTCTCTACAATGTGAGCATCTAAGACCACTTTTGACTCTAATGAGGAGAAGCAGATCGGGCAGTAATTCTCAGGCCGACGATGGACGCGATACAAATGCTGTTTCAGGCGAGCAATATCTGTGAGAAAGCAACTCGAACACCCACGATATTTCTTTTCGAGCTCATTGCGTTCAGAATACCGGCAAGGGTCAAATTTTGAATATGGACAAGCCAGGAGTTTCGATGCAGTACTCGTTGGCCATAAGTCGGATGCCTTTGGGATTTTTCTGCGCCTCGACCCTTCTCCTTCGTCATCTGGGGGTGGTCTCTTCCGCGGAGAGTTGTGAGTTGATGAAGGAGACGTTGTGAAAGAGCTCGAATTTGCGGTTCCATGTGTATGGCTAGACGTGCTTGACGTGGGACTTGTCTGCGAAGAGCTCTCGGCACCATCTATGGGCGCACCTGTTCGACCCAGATAGAGTTCAACGAGCATTTTGGCAAGTGCATCTAGCAGCATTGCTGTGGTTGGTGATTCACTGAAAGTCGCCAAAACAGTAGGATCTTCGCCCGCCACAAATGAGGCTTCTCCGTCCGATTCGAACCATAGCGAATTCAAAGACGAAGGCGATGGAGTAGCGGTGTCAGTAATGGATTGTTGTGTATCAATGGCTGCCACATCCGTTTTGTGCAAAGAGGTAACATTCTCATTATTGCACTCGACCTTTACAAGCCAGTGGTCGGTTCTTTTAGCCACGTGGCTCGTTAGCTGATCTCTGCCGAAACTTCCACGCAAAACCTGACTTACGGCGTCGCTGATAAGAGGTCTTCGGCGGTAGACCTTGCTTCACTTAACAACCTCCAGTCCGGCGGCTCTTGCCTGGGCTTGGAACTTGTAGGTTGTGGATTGGATGTATGCGTATCGACAAGGAAAATCTCGTCCATTGACTGTTCGATGTCATTGTCCTGGAGATCTCCGACATCGATACCGGAGTCGCAAGCACTGTAGTATGCAGAGGCAGACGACGGATGCGAAAGGAGCTCGTCATAGTGTGTAGGATCGACATGGGAGGGCTTGTCATGAAATTCAAAACCTTCCTTTATTTCAGAAGACTCTAATTCGAAGTCGAATATGTCGAAGTCCAAGTCGTTCATGATCCTTGATACAGGCCCAACGTACCTGCTGATTGTGTGATTTCTCGTTACGTGCTTGGGAATTCGCCAACTAGGAAGACATTGATGGGAAGAGCAAACCTGGGCTGTCTTTGATGATATTCGAGAATGACCCTCGTTTAATGTTACAGCCTGACCCCTCGGACATTCTCACAACTGAACAACACACCGCTGTGCGTAATTGCCGCGCCATCCTTCCAAAGCTGTGCATAGGGGTTGTGCTGACAGCCAATTGCGCAGCATCCTTCGCTTGAAAGGGAAAGACAGCAGGCAGGAGGGAGTTCCAGCGAAACGAATTGACCGCCAATACGACATCGGAGAACCAAGCCAATGCGGCTTGTTGTGGTCATGGTTTGGGATTGGATTGATGAAGGGAATGGTGCTGGAAGTCAATCGCAAGGGATAATCTTCTGTCTGACTGGACATGATAGCAACAGACTGCATACATAGCACGCCGAGATCTTGTCAGACAGAAGAGATCTTGTCAGACAGAAGAATATTTCGGTCTCCTCCCTCTTGTTCAGCTTCATTATCAACGGTCATCCAGCTTGATATAACATCGTCAGAAGGTGAGAGAAGCGAGGCGGGGGTCCACTCTCCCACCGTCAATGGTTCCTTCTGTCAAGGAACCTCAAGCTTCCTTGTCGTCGTCGTACGCAAGACGGTGAAGTCTAGAAGGCGCGAACACACTGCCACAATGATACACGTGGCAGCATCGCCGTCGGGCCATTCTTACCACTCCCTTGTTCTCGGATTCCTCTCCCAATAGAACAGATTTCCTCCTTTCGTGTCTGCGCAACATGTATCATCTTGTCCGCTCCCTGTACCTCTATGCAACTAGCAAGCCAGGTAAGCCGCGCGAGACCGCAGCTGCAACTGCACCCTGTCAACAAGGCTGACCTCATCTGCTGGCAATCAGAGTATTCCATCATCCTCCTTGGCCTGGACAATGCCGGCAAAACCACTCTTCTCTCACAGATAAAAGCGCTTTACAATACTATTGCAGAGCCGGTAGCTGGCCAGACCGGCGATGCCCCCGCCTCAGACACCGCAGGCAATACTGTGCCCACCGTGGGCCAAAATGTCGCAACTATCGACCTGCCCGAGATGTATTTGAAGATCTGGGATGTGGGTGGACAAATGAGTCTTAGGAAATTATGGACGAGCTACTATAAAAGTGCGCATGCGGTGGTGTTCGTGGTGGATAGCACAGACCTTGGGAATGGAGATATCGAAGATGCGCCGAAGACGCCTGGGTGGCACGGGCGCAAGAAAAGCTATGTCGGGAAGGCTGGTGATGAAGACGAGCCACAGACACCGTGGACTCCGATGACACCCATGACACCAGGATTCTTCTCGTCGGGACTGCTCCAGGGTCGATTAGATGAATGTCGAGCCGTTTTAGAAAGCGTGCTCGAAAATGACGACACTGCCGGGATTCCAATATTGATTCTGGCCAACAAACAGGACAGGGAAGATTGCCTCGAGGTTGTCAGGATCAAGGAAGGCTTCGTGAAGAAAGTGTTCGAAGGCGAGAAGGGAGGAATGGTTCGAGACAGCCGTGTCTTGCCGGTGAGCGCGCTGAAAGGGACAGGAGTGAAAGAGGCTGTGGAATGGGTCAAAAGCAGGGTCATGTGGAATAAAGAAAGTCGTCCCCCGATCATGAGGTGAAAGGGGCCTGTCCACTGAGAATGACGATCTACGACATGACAAGCCCCGTCTATTGCGACTGTCTTTCAGCTACCGGCTGATACGGGCCAGAGTCAACGAGAACAACTGCTCGCTCTCTCCACAATGCCCCCATCGATACATCGAGTCAATCAAGCCTCAAGCGCCTCAATCTTAAGTAGTGCGGCCGCAGTGTCCCTCGCAGTCACATCTAACGGTGTCCACTTGAACTTGAACACTTCATCTACGTCCTTTGTGTCGAGCCTCGGCAGTGTTAAGCTCGATGCCTCATCATTATCCTCGCCAATTCGATCCGAGATATTTAATGCGGACTCCTTCCGTAACGCATCGGCAATCTGATTGAAGATCATAGCATGTCCAACAACAAACCGCCTATTCGCCGCATTGGGGTTGGTGAGCGCGAGGATTTGGACTTTTGCAAGATCTCGGACATCAATCTATACGCAAACCCAGATCAGCGTTGTTACTCCAAAGGTGCCACTTCACTGGCAGCTTAGGGAAAGAAGAAGTGCGCTCACCCATCCTGGAAACGCCGTCATTGGCACCTTTGCACTCTCACTCTTCTTGCTGTTCATTATGGCATGAATCAGGCTATTGCTGAAGTTGATTTTCTGTACGCCGGCAACTTTCTGCAACATGGGACCAAAAATCAAGGGTGGCATGAAGTTGGTCACGGTGAAGGATGGTTTCTCTTCTTCCACGAATTTCCACAGGGCTTTTTCGGCGAGCTTCTTGCCAACACAATACGAAATCTAGAACGAAAGGAAGGGGCAACGTTAGCAGGTCCCGTAAGAACCACAAGTGTTCACCTGTTTAGTATAACACTATACCGAGGACATCCTCGTTTAGAATCAAGGGAGACTTCCCACATTGGAAGCCAAAACCAAGAAGAAGCGGAGTTTACTCACGTAATTACTCTCCGCCTTGACTGCATCCTCCCTCCCCAAGGGCAACCACTCCCCGCTCCCAAAAACTCTGTTCTTGATATCCTCCTGGTCGCCGAGCGTGATGGCATTCAGACTCCCGGTAACACTCACGGCCTTCACATTCTTGCCGTACGTCTTGGCGCTACGGAGCAGACCCAGATTTCCCAACACGTTAGGTTTCTCAAACGACTCTTCGAAGCCGACGCTGTCGGGGATATCGACCATGGGCGCCGCGACATGCACAATGTACTCGATCTCCGGGTGGGATTGGAAGATTGCGTCGAAGGCGCCCGGGACAGTGAAGTCGGGGACCAGCTCGATGGTGATCCTGGATGAGGAGGTGGGCCAGGACGGGTTATTATCGAGTAGAGACTTGGCCGAGGATGGGGAACGGACGGCGAGGATGACGCTGTGGTCTTGGGCCAGGAGCTCGTCGAGGACTGTGGCGCCCAGAAATCCATTGCTTCCGGTTAACAACGTTGTGGGAGACATGTTGATGGGCAGTTGGGATTGCGGGTCCTCAGAAAGACCTCAAAAACTTAGGAGTTGAGGCAGGGAGAGTTGTGAGATGTGGGAGAAAAGGGGGGGATAGAACGTTGAGATAGACTTGTTCACTTCGAAGTTGTGGGACATACTTATACTGCCGGCTTGCTTCAGTCATCCTGGGCATGCATTACTCTCCTGCCCTGTCGTGCCATGGCGCCCCCCAGCATTTTTTTATAGCACAGAATACCTATCAGAACTCATTTCTAACATCTTGTAAACGAGGCGGGCCCCAAGACCAAAAGACAGCACCATTAGAATTGCAGGCTTGATGTGGTTCATGCGAGTTTTTTTTTTCTGAATATCTGCGATCCCAGGCCAAGGAAAGCCAATGCCAACCCATCGTGCTTTGTCAGCCTGCTTGGGAGTTCTCATTGGACTATTTCTCAATTGGGCAGGACGAAGTTGCCGTATGAGGACAGGAACAAAGAAATAAATGCATTTCCCGAGATCATCTTTCTTTTGTTTGCAGCATCTCTCACACGAGAGTTTGGATTTCGTAGGATCGGACCCTTTGCAGAAGCTTCTGTCATATCCATCGTTCCTGGTGCTTATCAAAACCGACGGATTGCAAATTGATATTCATCTGGTTGAGCATCATCTCCATGGTAAAGTACTACAGTAAAATGCAAAATTAGTGCGCACAAGAGGAGATGGTCACCAACCTCTGACTTACCTTCTCTTCGGGCTCGGCGTCCTCCTGATAATTCATAAGCTCTGCCTGGTCAGGTTCTTCCGTCTCTCTTTGATTCTGATCGTCCTTCAGATTGCCTGCATATCTGCGAATGAGGGCCTCCTTCTCACGCTCACCTTTCCATAGTCGTGAGTCCTCTTCCAATTGTCGACGCCAGTGGGCAACGCCTCCCATCCTGTCAATTCGCTCTTTGGCATCAGCGAAGAGCTCTTCGGCAGCATCTTGAGCAACAGTTCGCCACCGGGCGATCAGAGCACGCAATTCATCATCTTGCTTTGATGCTTCGATCTGAAGCGCTTCCTCTGCTATTTCAAGAGACTGGCGCAGTTGATTGAGGCGAAAGGACAATGCAGTGTGCTGCTTTTGGAGATCTCGCGACTCGGGGTCAACAGCTGTTAGTCGGGAAGAAGAACGTAATCCGGAGGCGCGTGGAAGAGATAATCGAACAATGTCTGGTTTGATGTCTGGTGACGACTGGTGAGGGCTGGAGGAAAGCCCCGCAGCCGGAAGGTGAATCTGAGCTTGTTCAACAGATGGCTGAGGTTGAGGGTTAGCTGAGCGAAGCGGTGAACGAAAAGGCTTGTTTTGGAATCCGCAAGGTTGATGCAACTTTCTTCTCTTCGCCGGGTGCATTTCGTTTTCTTTTCATGCGGAGAGACAAGAAAAAAAGCCGTGTCATTATCACTTTTGACTGGCCATCACCAATGCCCTGACCATGATGAAAATTCTGTGGACTGAATACGCCGAGATGGGGAGGAGGAGTGGGCGTTGGATGACCCAACAGGCAGCTGCTCGGCGATGATGTGGGAATCAGTAGTTGATTACTCGACTATCGATGGTGCCCAGCCTGAGATGCCTGAAGGTGTTGGTGCCGCGACAAGGATTTTCTGTGGATTTCTCTTTCCAGGCGATTGACAAAGGGAGCCAAAGGTGACGGGCGAAGGAGGGTGGTGCATCACGAGAGGGAGGCAAAAGCTAAAGTGGCCACTGAGTGGCAGAGAACCAAGAGTGGATTGACTGCGCAAGTGATAGAAGCCGCGCTGCCCAATGCGGTTAGTGCAGCTGGGTGTCTTGCTCCTGACTAAAAATGCAGGCGGCCAGGCGGGGCGCTGTTCGGGCGCTGCACCGACGGAGAATGACAGCTTGTCTGACAGAAGGTTTGCGTGCTCTAATCTTGTCTAAGGCGTAACAATCGTGCCGAGATTTCAAATGACCTCTTGACTCGCCCAATGCGGGTTCTCGCAACTCCAAACCTTACACTCTTCAGACCCTTGTCGCTTCATCTTTCTCTCGCGCGCCGTGAGCAGCAAACCGCCCTGTGCCCTCTCGCCCTCTCACGCTCTCCTGGTCGCCGCCTCCCGTTCTGCCGTCACACGCGCCTCTCGTCCCCTTCAGCCCTCTCACTTTTCTCTTTGCGCTCCCCAGATCTGATCTGAGCCAACCCAAACCCAAACCCATACCCATAACCACGCAAAAATCCTAAGCCATGCCATCCATAATGATCCGGCCACTTACACACAAAATCACACGCCAGGTCCAGCTCCAGCACCGTCTTTGTCTCATCCCCTTCATCTCGCATGCCCACCTCATCTTCACTTTTTCTACTACTCATCATCACCCCTTCTACCCATCAACCTGCACTCACCCACCATGACCACTTGTCACCAGTACATTCCACCGTCACCGACACCACTCAACTAAGTTGACCACAATAATAAACTAGCACCTCAGCTTCACGCACGGGCAAATTATCGCAGCCACCCTGCCTCCTGCCACCAGCACAAGCCTTACCAAAGCTGAACCTTTGACTGCACACACGCATCAACCTTCCCTCCCATCGAAGACCTTACCGTCGTTTTCACCTCGACACCCTCGATAATACCCATCCATGGCCATGTCCTCCTCAAGCACGACGGGTCGGTCACCCTCTGCCTCGGCCAAAGCAGACAAGAACAAAAAGCAAGTCAAGATTGTAATACTCAAGCTGTCACCCAAAATCCTCCGTCGTTTCGAGGACCCTCCAGCCCATTCGGAAGAGCAGGCTACGCCCTCATCAGCCTCATCTCCCCCTGCTGCAGTCGAGGAAACTTCTACTTTGAAAGTCCCTGAGGTCAATGACAATGCTTCCGAGGCCGCCTCGACCCCGGCTCCCACACCTGGTGATGCAGCCGATACCTCCAATGGTGACGGCTCGAAGAAGCGCAAAGGAGGTTCATTGGCAGGCATTAAGAGAAGTCTAGGACAAATGTTTGATGTGAACGGACTACCGAAACCTCGGGGCAAGCCTGGTCCCAAAAAGAAACCCAGACTGTAAGTACATTCGACCTCTGACGGTGCATGTTCTCGCACACGTTACTGACGTTTGCGCTTATAGTGAAGACGGCACCATTGATCATGGCGCCGCAAAAGGCTCGACTATGGCTGGCATCGCTGCTGGACACAAGCTGGGTCCAAAGGCTAATCAAGGTGCCATCAACGCCGGCCTTCGTGCCCTCGACCGATCTGGCAAGCCCTGTCGCAAATGGAGCAAAAAGCCCTTCATCCTCAAGAGTTTCACTGGAGTGGTTTGGGAACTTGACTCATGGCGAGGGACAGAGAGACCACAAGTGCTCAATAGTGAAGAGTCAAGCGATACCAAGGAAATCTCACAGCAAAGTTCCAGCGACATTAAACTTAACGAAAGTGACGTTGCCATGGAGAGCAATGCTGGCGACCAAGCAGATCCCATGCTCATGTCGACGCCCGCCGCCAGTTCTCCAGCACCGATGCCACCCTCATCAGCAGCCATTGCTGCTCAAGGTTGATGGCCCGAATTGGGCACCATGGCTTAATGTCAGAAGCCAAGTCATACTACCTGGTGGCTTCTGAAGCAGCAAAAATTGTCGGTAAAGTGTGATACATCAGCACGCATTCCAAAAAGTTGGGAGCATTTTGGGTCCCTTCACTGCCGTGATATTAGAGCCGGTAGAGCTCTGAGTGGCACCGGCTACAATGTGGTTCACCATAAGCATGGCGTTTTCGGATCATGATTCTATTTCGGGTCTTGTCATGGGCCTTAAAACGGAGTATCATGAATTGGCAGGGGGATTGTACCACAACAGCAGGGGAGCAATCCTTAGCAACGGTTCTGGTGGGATTTCTCAGAGAACTGAAAGGGTCGTGGCGTTGAGCCATTTGGCATTTGTCTTTGTGGCTGGTGTATGAATAGACGAGAATGAAGAACAAACACAATATATCAAGCCCTAAATACCGCGATCCTGCTTATATCAAATGGTGATCCAATGGTGTAATTGTGCTGTGGTGTCCCTCATCATGACGGCGTCGTTTGCTTGGTCTGGTGCTGTTCCGGTCGAGGCGGCCCCCGCAACTGCTTAACTAGTAAAAACCACTTGCCACCCAACAGCCGCCCAATGAGACCTGTATTGCATCAATGACCTCCCGGAACCCGTATCAGCACGATAACGACATCCACAATGCTCTCTCACTCCTTCCAACAAGGTACAAGCTTGTTCAGTCCATGAATCTGCCAGTCGCCCAGGCATGAACGGAGAGGAGCATGCCTTGAGCCGATCTACCACGGCTTTCTCTCACGTTTGACCTCCGAGCCAAACGACCTACAAGTACACCAAACCCACCGAGCGGACCACCTAACCTCGTGACCCTTTCACCGATTTCTCTACTCGATCCCTACGAAGGCGGCGACTTATCACGCCCGTCTATCACGTTCTGTTCTGGACCACGATGACTGACGGCACCGGGTCGGGCAGCAGTAGTCGGCCAAGTCAGTTTGGTGGCAATGTGCCTCGACGTTTGTCGTATGCTTCTGTGGCCTCAGGCGCAACTGCTCAGGCGCTTCAGCGTCCAACTCGATCGGGTGCATTCTCTCATCTCGTCTCTTCAACTCCTAGCAGCTCGTACCCTCCTCAGTATCAACCAGACCATCAATATCAAAGACGACATTCGGAGCAAGACCAGGACGGCCTGGGAGTCAACCACTGGCGAAAGCCAACACCTCTACCTTCATATTCGAGAAAGTTTGCCAATATCCCGAGTCTCGGAACGAACACGATGTCTCCCAATCCTTTCTTCATCCCCTCCTACCTGAGGCATTCTCGTTACATGGCAAAGCTGGAAGTCGCCCACAAGGCCAAGTTGAAGAAAGAGCGTGAGCAGCCATCCGCAGGGTCGTCCGCGCTGAATTCGTTCTCTACAAGCGCCGGAAATGCAAGGTTAGCGCCATCGCACCGGGGCATGACCTACGATATTATCGAAAGCCATCCTCCCAGAGAAGAAGACGCATTACCTCCGTTGCCTTCGAGGTGGAGCGAGCAGGACAAATACCCAGGCCTTGATATAATCGACGGTCAAGATCTGAAATACAGTGGCTCAGCAAGCAAAGCCGAGATTGAGGCTGCGTCTGTCAGAACAGATCACCCAATGCCACTTGCGTGCGGAATATACTATTTCGAGGTGGAAATCAAACAGAAGAGCAAGGACACAGCTATTGCCATCGGGTTTTCCACAAGTGAAGCGTCACTTGAACGGTTACCAGGGTGGGAGACACAATCCTGGGGCTATCATGGTGATGATGGAAAAATGTTTTTTGGGGAGCATTCGGGTCGAAGTTACGGCCCAACCTTCGGCACAGGCGATGTCATCGGCTGCGGGATCAACTTCAACACCTGTCAAGCATTCTTCACAAAGAACGGCCAGTATCTCGGTATCTGTTTCCGAGAACTGAAGAAGGACGTGAAACTGTATCCCACGATTGGCATGAAAAAGCATTCCGGCGCATTAGTGGCAGGCAACTTCGGTCAGCGGCCTTTTGTCTTCGACATTGATGATAAGATGTTGTCCGAGGAGACGAATGTTTCAAGAGAAATTGCAAAGGCCAAAATCACCTCACTACAGGCGCAAAGGGACGAGAATACCCTCATTCAGGAGTTGGTGGCGCATTTCTTAGCTCACGACGGCTACGTTGAGACTGCAAAGGCGTTTGCGGAGGAAATGCGAAGAGAAAAGCAATCATTGAACAATTCTCTGCCTGCAAACACGTCAACCCCCCATGAGCGAGACGACACTGACGCAGTACATCGACAGCGTGAGTTGTATTTGACCTTTTCACTAATCCCGATGCTGACCAATATAGGGATACGACGTGCAATCCTCTCTGGAGATATCGACCAAGCTCTTGAAATCACGCACGCACAATTTCCTACTGTTCTGGCAGAAAACCCGGACATCGTTTTCCGATTGAAATGCCGAAAATGGATTGAACTAATTGGCAAGTCGACCGAAGTCGAGCCTTCCAAACACACGACTGGGCATGAACGGAGGGCCAGTAATGGAGTGGACAGCGCCTCCAAAGTAGACGACGATTTTGCTCAAGACATGGAGCTTGATGAGCAGCCTAACGGTGACAGTCGCACCAATGGCGTGGGGAAATCGCGGGCTAATGACGGCGTTTTGCAACACGACCAGCTCCTCAATGAGGCGATGCTGTACGGTCAAGTCCTGCATAAAGAATTCCGGGACGAGGATGAGGACTACGCAAAAGCTTTGCGGGATATTTTCAGCCTGGTGGCATACGACGACCCCAGAGGTAGCGTGAATGGACATCTTTTGGACCCTGCCGGCAGAGTCACGGTGGCAGAGGAGCTGAACTCTGCCATCCTAGGTATGTCCTCTCCGGAAGCTCGTCTTTACTCGCTGACATGTCGCAGTCTCACTTGGACGCTCGCCTTCGGCTGCCTTGGAGACGGCTTGGAAGCAGACAGAAGCTTTAATCGATGTCCTCAGCGAAGATGGCGGGCCTGCTGCTTTTGTTAACCTCCAAGCAACGTTCTCGTCTTGATTGCCAATGGTCATTTGAAGGTGTCTACCTATCACTGTGCTACAGTATGGAGTGGGACTTTCCTGGTCGTCCGGGCTTCCTGGATAATCTCGCCAGCGGATGGGTGCGTGATGAGAATATTGCCCTGCTCTATGATTCGTTGTGGATTGGGTTTTCGTCAGGCAAGGAACGGTCATTTCATGGCACGGGGCGCTGGTGGCTCGGGAGACGGGAGACACGGGATTATTTGGGACTGCGTTACAATGGAACAGCGTGTCTGACGGCTCGGGCAGGGAGTATACACACCTACACTCCATATGTATGCAATCTGCACCTAGAGAGGTGGAAGTTTTTGCAATCCCAAGCGATAGCAAATCTCATCGAAGTTTGAGTTAGTCGTCTCGTTTGAACGCGGTCTCCAACATGGGTCGTCGATTTCGAGATGCATGAGGGAGGCTGTTTTGGCGGATTTGTACTGGAGGATTATGCATTCTTGCTCCTAGTGCTTTGTATGCATCTTTTCGCGCATAATCTTGTGCAGGGCACGGTGATGACACAACAAAAGGCGAAATGTCTGTGTCCACTTGGGGGACCAGGAGTGAGAAGTTACTATTTACACATCGGTGTGTCTCCCTTGTGTCTCGTAGGAGGTACAAGCGCTGGAAATGGCAACTCCCTTGTTTTCGCGATCCGACACGACATGACACGACACGACATGACACGACATATGTTTCCACTCACTTCACTTTTATAATCCCGTCGGTGCATGCCGTAAGAGCAAGAACGCTGAAGACAGTAAGTCATTTATTGTCGCGATCCGACGTCTATATTTCAACACACCTCATTTTTGCAATCCTGCCAGAGTGTGAGAGAGCACCGAAGATAGCAGCTCGCTTGTTTTCGCAATCCGACGCCTGCGGTTCAACATACTTCATTTTTGCAATCCCCATAAGAGTACTCGGTAAGAGTACTGAAAATATTCACTCACTGGTTCCGGCGGTCCGACGACCTGACGGTTCAATTCGATCGCCGTCGACCTTCTCCCGTCTTGTTCTCCTGAATGGTGCATACCCGTCTCGCCGGCTTGCGACCTCAATAACGCGGATGATCTCAATGACTTAGCATCAATACTTCTCTCGGTTAATCCAGACTGCTCTCGGCGCCGACGGGGCATGCTGATTGCCTCACGAGCCCAATTCTGGGTGGTAAAGGTGTACCCGCAATCCACTGACTAGCGATGCCTTCTCGTAACTACCTAGGTAGCGAGGCTACTTAGGTACCGAGTACTTCGTACGGTGTACAGAGTTAGTTTGTTGGGCCAAGGGGCTGGACACGACCAACTGGCGTGTTGGGCAACGTTACCTTAGCGTGCTTGCTCCTAACCCATGATCCACGGAAGAGACTCTCAGAAGCGAATATCAATCGGGACCTAGGCAGTCCAGATAGGTTTCGAGGTACCCTCGTAGAGAGCAAATATGTGGGAGATTGACAGCCACAGAGACGCAGGCCTTGGTGGCGACCCTTTCACTAGCAATTCATCGGCAGCAGCAGAAGCTTACCTACCGGGTAGATAGTATATGACGAGGCGGTGCAGGTAGCAGGCAGCCCGAGTCACCAGGATGTTGGAGGTTGCTGAGGCTGCTAGGCTTGGTGACCCCCCGAGCCCCCTAGTTAGCGGTTGGTGCGGTAGGTCAGCAAATGCAGGTCCCCGGACATTCTTAGTCCCGAGGCATTTCTGAATTCTGGGGACTCCCCCAGGCTCACCAGGCCTCCCCTCCCAGGGTAAGGGTAAGGGCCGGGCAAGAGCCACCCAGGGACAAGTATCCCCCACGAACACGCCTCCCCGCTCGCCAAGCTCGGGGCAAGATGCAGGAAATCAATCGACCGGTTCTTTTCTCGCCCATATCCCAGAATCTGTTCCCCCATCCCTCCTCGTTGCTCCCATCTTCCAGCTTGTCTCGATTCTTGATTTGTCCAAGGGAACGGCTGCCATCAACCAAAATCAATAACATGGAGCCGCAAGGGACCGACATGTCTCCCATCACCCAACCTGAGCAACATGGATCCACCGGCCCCTCGAGAGCCAGCAGGATGTCGCCTGCGCGCCTTGCAAGGAAAAGACAGGCAGATAGAGAGTCGCAAAAGGCATCTCGCTTAAAGCAGAAAAACTACATTGCACATCTGGAGGCCTTGGTTAAGTCCTTGGATGCCTCGGCGGGCTCCGACCCGGTCGAGCTGCTGAAACAGCAGGGTGCAGAAAATGTCGAGATCAAGAAGGCTCTGACAACTATCTGCAAAATCGCCCAGACGGCACTCGGGGTGGGCGCGGGCAACGGTCGTTCTTTGGAGACCTCTTCGCCCGACCCCATGACCGATCAAGGCGACATCAAAGACATGAAGCCTGACCGCCCTAAACTTCGAAAAATCCAGCCTTCTCAGACCTCCAAATTAGATTACGATGCGGATATTGTCAAATCCATGGGAGAATCCGACACCGCAATTCTTTCCGTCGCTGAAGCCCACCCGCATGCCGCCAATTTTCCTTCCATGTTCACGGACGATGATACAAACTTGGGAGAGTTCATTCACCATGATCTCCTAGACTTCCCAATCCGAGAGCCTGCCGTGCAACAGACTTTGGATACGTCAGAACTCCTCTGTACCAGAGACGCCTTGCCCATGAGTCAACCGGGTGCTAGTTCCTGGGTGTTTCCGCCACTACCGGAGTCTTTGCCGTTGCGCACCCACCACCAGGATACCGGGGGCCGGGACTGGGTATCGACGGTAAACCTCCTAATTGCACCTGTTGTGTTTCCACTTGAAACCCCAGACGATGCACTGGATGGAGACATTCCGATCTCTGCCGTGTTGCGTGGCTGGGATGCAGTCGAAGCTCGGCGACCGCTGGATCCTGGCTGGAAGGTTCTTCGAGAAATTGATCAAAATATCTTTATCGGATGCGGTATCGCTGAAAGATTGGCGGTCTTGCGGATCATGAGGTTGATGTGCCACGTGCGTTTCTCTAGGAAACTACCCGCAATCTCATGCATCTGAGGTTCGCTAACGGAGTCATGACAGTATATGACGACTGCAGAACGTCGCCCAGAACTGCCTCCCTTTATGCTGAAACGGTTTGTCGCAGTCTACACTTTTACACATTCTTCTGCATCGTTGCTAACCATCGCTGATATAGGCCCTGTCAGGAGCACATCAAACATCACCCAATGATTGACTATCTCGTATGGTAGGCATTAAACCTCCCCACGTGGAACCACCAATTCGGCGGTCGCCAGGATGAAATCAATGAATGCTCCTCTCTGACCTATACAGGCCCGGCCTCCGCGAAAGATTAATTTTCTCGCAGCAAAAGTTCGCCGCGGACGCAGATCGATATACCGAACTCTTCCGTGCCAACTTCCGCTTTCTGTGGCCATTTGAACCCGAAGACATCTATTACAGGGACCCAGAAACAGGCCGTTATGCATTCTCCGAGCAGTTTATCGGTCGGACGGAGGATCTCTCCTGTTGGACAATGCACAATGACTATTTTATCGCCTTACCCGAGCTGCGTGGGGATATTCCTGGATTCCCACAAGCTTCAATCTACAGCTTGAGTCAACAGCCTTCGGCTGCACAGCAGTCTGTTCAGCGGAGACCTCCAACCAGGTCAGGAGACGGCGATGAGCCCTCCCGCAGTGACAAGTGCTCGATCGGCATAGATTTTCCTCATGCCATGTGGGGAAGAATGTCACCAGTATCTTAGATGGTTCCGAATATCCGGGACGAGAAACTGAATACATGATACCCTTCACGACTTTTGCAAGACCCTTGGTTGGAGAATCATTGTTTATCAGTGGCCAATGGCGCGGTCTTATCAAACTCTAGTTCTCTCTAAGCTACGCCTTTGGTCACGCTGCACCCACCTGTATTTTGGCATTTAGATTTAGAAGACAACTCCCAATCCGCCACCATTTGTCCTAGCTACCTTTGCTATCTTCAATATTCCACAAAAAGGCCCTCGACAAAAGTGTGCTGAGTGCGGCTCCCGTCAAGTTTCTTCAGGCGTTCCACTGGCCCGCAAGCCTGCACTCCGAGGTATCATCTTGGACTCCCATATCCTGCAAACACAACTTAGTAAAGTCAACTTCGTTTTCCTTCCTGCGGAGCGGGTTGCCACAACCAGCAGCCCCAGATATGCACATCTGCTTGTGCCGGTCAACTCAAAACCGGAAAGGACAGCCAATAATTGCGGCACCCCCGTCGGCTCCGTACGACCTCAAAGCCTCAGCTTCTTTCAGGACCGCATCCCGTGAGACGTTCTCGAATTTAGCAGGGCCTAGCTCCTCAGGTAGGTAGCCTTCGCTTTTGAACTTCGGACCAGGGACGTATTGCGAGCCTCCCGACAACAATGCCAAGAACTTGTTCCATGCCGTATCTTTGACGTACCAAGGCTCAAGGCTTTGCTGTTTCACAGGGTGAAGACGCCCGGATTTCTTGTCCGCCTTGGCCAAAGGGTCAATGGGGCGCATGCGCGGAAGGAAGAAGTTGCGGACCACAAAAGCACGGAGCCGGAAGAATCGATAGACGAGAATCTCCATGGTACGTGAGGGTGCTGGATATCCCAACGCATTTCTCGTTCGCTCTTCCAGCAGAGCCATCATCACCTTGTGGAAGAAGCCCCGCAGGCCGGGAGAGACATGTTTGAGGAAAAACTCGACGGAAACATCAGCACATTTTCGGTTATTGTCTGAATAGACCATGGCCGTCTTCTCGTATTCCTCGCTCCATTCAACCAGCTTTTCAATAGTAGGGGGGATGTCCTTGATACCCATGCGATTTCCGACTTCCTTCCAGTAGGTGAACATGGCCACCTGCTCCAAGTACGTCAGCTCCCGCCATTCATAGGTGTTGACCCATCGGATGGCCTCCAAGATGTTGACCCCTAGCGTGTGGAGCATCTCGGGCTGGGTGATCTTTTCTCCATACTGCCGGTGCATCCAGTTCATCTTTGCGAGCGCTCGGGATCCGCGCTCGCTGTCCATGGAGCCAATGACAAACTCGGTTGTGATAAGAGCGGTATCATTGATGCGTCGACCAACGTTTGGGCAAGTGCTGAGTTGGCGTGTCTTTGCGAGCAGCTCAGTACCTGAGGCGATGGCGAATGTCTTGAGGAGTGAGAACTGTCCACTGAAGGCAAATATGAAAGGGCAGTCATAGAGCATGGACAGGTGCATGATCTTGTGTGCTGCCTTGTAGTCCATCGCGTATGGTTCTTTGAGCAGGGCCGCATGCTCACGTTCGAGCTTGCGAAGGGCACGGAAACGCAAGAGGCGAACGAGGGCGAGATAGCCAAGAATGCCAATGGCTATTGCCCATGCGTAGGGGAAGTCATGCAATGCCAACTTGGGGAGTCGAAAGGACAGAAGATCCACGATGTCTGGTTGGACTCCCATGGTGGCAGGGGGGGTTCTATGGATTTTCCGAGAGAGATCAGCCACAGCAACAGAATCGTCTTATGGAAATAGGTTTGGAGATAGCCTTTTGGCGAAGGCATCTTGGTTTGAAGCCTCAGCCTCCTTGTATACATAGTCGGGTCATGTTCTCACGGACAGCGTATCATTGACACGCCAGTGCTTGACTGTACCGAAGCCGAGGATCCCATCCTGTCAATACAAATCACTCGGACACCATCGGTACATGTCAACAAGGGACCGCGAGATGAAGCTGCCAGGGTCCGAGTCAAGCGGTCGACGTCAAGACGGTTTAGCGTTCAAGCAAGGACCATGTCAGACAGACGGAGTTATATATACCCGAGTATAGCCCACCGCCGCCCCCGCCCAGTGGAGCCCCAACCGGCATATATTATTGGATCCCCCACTCCAGGACCCGGATCTTCGTTTCGAACTCTAACAATACTCCGTGCTTGCGTCCCTGGAGTCTCACCCGACTGAACATCAATGTACACACCAAGAACCTGAGATTGGGCTGTAGCAGGCAGCCCTGGCGCTGCCAGCGCCTTGACCTAGTAGTTCCTAACCAAGAGTACCATGATGGACTTTGGGCAACACTCACCCTGGCAGGCACCGGTGTGAACGACATTAACCAGAGACTGGTTTATCACTCAGGTTGGCCTTTGTCATTGTTTCAAGAGGTTGATGAATACCATGCAGGCATACATTGTGCTGAATCTACTTGCCGGCCGTCTTTGAATTTTCGGCAACATTTCTTTCGATCCTATCTTGCTGTCGCCGCACGATACTTATCATGCCTTACGATACCAAGAAGGAGATTCTGGCCCTTGGGGCCATGGATCCTGAATTGAAAGCTGTCAGTCGTCCGTGCCTATACCTCTCACTGCGCCTTTGGTCCTGAAAATCCCCTGCTGATTGGGATTACAACCAGCTCCTTGAAGCACACCCTCCTCCCCCGATGAAATTCACTACGATGCAGGCCCTGAGAGAGGATGTTAAAGATCGTACCCTGCAAGCCATCGAGGCGCTTGGTCCTCCACCATCCTCCGTCAAGCAAACCGATATCACATATGAAACCATAGACGGCACCGAATTGCGCGCCCGACTTTACCAACCTACATCACCGTCAGATAATGGCAGTCCCTTGATTGTGATGTACCACGGCGGTGGCTTCTGCCTGGGCATTCCCGAGTCAGAAGAAAAGGCTTGTCGAGATTTTGTACGAGCATTTAACGCTGTGTGTGTGTCACCTGCATACCGCCTGGCGCCGGAATTCCCTTTCCCCCAAGGCCCCAAGGATGCCTGGGACGCTCTCAGATGGGCCGCAGAAAGCGCATCCTCATGGGGCGCCGACCTTTCCAGGGGTTTCATCGTCGGAGGGACATCAGCTGGCGGCAACCTCGCTTGTGTTGTAACCCATCTAGCGCGCGATGAGGGGCTAACCCCGCCTCTGACGGGACATTACCTTTGCATTGCTGGGCTGGTCCCTCCTTCTCGGATGCCGGATAGGTACAAGAACTGGGCGCACAGCTATGAGCAAAACAAAATGGACCCAATCAACGGACAGGCCGTGATCGACGTCTTTACGGCCGCGTACAAGCCAGACCTGGACGATGGCGTGTACAATGGTCCTCTAATACACCCCAACGGCCGCGCAGGCCTACCACCGGCCTTTTTGCAAGTCGACGGGGCAGACACCTTGCGTGACGATTCGTTGATATACGAAAGAATATTGCGAGAAGAGCACGGGATCGAGACCAGGATGGTCGTCTACCCGGGTCTCCCTCACGCCCATTGGGCTTTCTTCCCTACTTTGAAGGCGAGTGCCAAGTTCTGGCAGGATCAGCTAGAAGGAATGGGGTGGTTACTGGAAAGAACCCCTGCAACGGCGAAAGTCTAGCCGCAGTCGTCTGAACAGTTGGAAATAGGCGCCTCCATACCGTGAAGTCTAGGCCGAGATCGAACAAAAAGAAAATACAAGCTCGTCCATCCAGGCCTAGGTCTCTCGGGACAGGGCCGACAAAAAGCTTTAATCTGATCGCCAAGATAGCCCCCTAGTTTGCTTCTAAGCGTTATCCTGACTCGCCTGACACTCCAAGAAGAGATAAATCAAGGAACCAATCCGGGGTATACATCCTCTGTTCAAGCGGGATAAACGCGGGGTACGTAGTAGTTTGCGGGATGTACGAGTTGAACCCCCACACACACTCAACAAGTGGGTCTCCAGCCGTCTTAAGACCAGACCCCCTTTTGGCCCAATTTTTCTCTACGAGTACGGATGTGGTGGAAAGATCGATCAACTAGCTATTGACTCGCCTCCGTGACTCGCCTCGGGGACTCGCCTGAGGCGAGTCAGAGCTTGCACGCGCAGTCTAGGCCGGTTATCTGTCTTAACTATGCACATGGACGGGACCCACGGCGTTAATTTTTCTTGTCTCCCTTAAGCTAAACCCCAGATAATTCCCCAGTCTCCTCCAGACTCTTTGAACGTGCCCTTTTTCTATTTGATTATATCCCGCAAACTGCTCCCTCTTTTCTCCCCCTTCTTTTCAAGTCCATAGATAGGGGAATCGAAAATACTTCTCAATCCACAGTCCCCTTGGTGTCGGTGTCGTTTTGAGCAGTCTCTGAGCAAACCCCCCAAGAAAGCTGTCGTCAAGAAAAGGGAAGAACTAGCACGAAAAATATACTATGATGGATTCAAAATCGGGATCGCTCGTCAACGAGTCACCCCCGAGCTCAGATGCGGTCCATCTCGAACGTCTCGCCGTGGACGAGGAAAAGCATGTCGGACATGTCGGGAGTGTGCAGGTCGAGGACGCCGATTCTCTTGAAAAGAGCATGAGCGTCGATGTGGATGTGACGAATCGAAATGCCATCAAAGGCGATGAATCGGATGGCAAGGTCGATTGGACTTGGATCCAGATTCTGGCCACCATCTGTCTGTCGGGATTATACGTTGGTATGCCTCCAGTCCCCCCATTTTCGCCTGCCAGTTTCTCGACGGTTGTCTCTTCCTCCCATGCTATTATCTTCCGGTCTCATTGCTGAGTTTTTTTTCCCTCTGTTCGATTGATTTGACCGATCTAGGCTCCCAAATCCCTCTCTATTTTCTGGGTGGTACATTGACCTATATCTCCGCCGACCTCGGGGGAACTGAGGCGTCCGCGTGGCTACCTGTGGCATATTCCCTTGCTCTGGGGGCCGTGACGCCGTTCTGCGGTTATCTGCAAGACTTGCTGGGTAGACGCTATGTGACCCTCACGGGAGGCTTGATCCTCCTGATCGGTTGCATCGTCATGGCGACAGCCCAGACATTTCGGGCCGGTGTCGTTGCCATGTGCTTTGCAGGAGCCGGTGCATCAATTGGCGAGTTGACTGCTGTGGCTGGGTACGTTGACTGAACTTAACCTTTGGGGCATTCGCATCTCCCTTTGTGCTCCGACCATCTCAAGACCACAATCTCAAGGGTTGTCCCTAGGCTGACTTTGGTATCTCCAGAACGGCTGAGCTGGTCCCTATCAAGAAGCGAGGTATTTACCTTGCTATAGTGACTGCGTCAATCCTTCCCTTCGCACCTTACCTGCTCTATGCTCAGCTCCTGGCAAAACACTCAACGTGGAGATGGGGCATGTGGCTCTGTGTGTACGTACTACTGACCCATTTTGTCCCCTTGGTGTGTAATACAACAGGTTGACTAATCTTTTTATATCAGAATCTGGAATGCTGTCTGGTTCACCGGAATCGCCATCACATATTTCCCCAAGTCACAAACTCGAGCAAGAGGCGTCTCGCGAAGAGCCGTCCTGAAAAGGATTGACTATATCGGAGGCTTGCTATCCATCATCGGCTTGGTTCTCTTGTATGTCTTAATGTCTTTTCACGAATCTTACAACCCCCGATGATATCTCTGATTCAACTGTTGCTGACCACTCGCTTTGTAGCCTCATTGCTTTACAAGCAGGTGGATCCTCTCACCCTTGGACGAGCGCCTACGTCCTGGCCAACCTCTTCATCGGCTTCTTCTTGCTCGTGGGCTTTTTCGTCTGGGAATGGAAGTTCGCCAGATATCCCATGATCCCCAAGGAGCTGTTCCAGGGTCAAAATATCGTTGCCATGTGCTTCGTCGTTTCATTCGTGTCAGGTAAGTGAACCATCATCTTCCGCGACATAGAAAATATCAATCATATTGTCTCATCCAAGCATAGCATATGGACTTCTGACACTGACTCTCTATGTGCTGGGAAACAGGAATGAACTTCTCTGCTTTGCTTAACTTCTTCCCCTTGGAGTTCACGACAGTTTTCGTCCCGGATCCGATCCAAATCGGCCTGAAAGACATCCCGCCGGCACTTCTCTTGATCGGAGGGTCCGTCGCGACGAACGCACTGTTGTCATATCTCAAGGGCCATGGTCGGGAGTTGATGCTCGTTGGATGTCTCATAATGAGTAAGTCTGCCATAGCTGTCCTGCCGCTTTCCTCCCTCCCCTTTGCCACTCAGCCCTCATATCTATATCCCCACATCGTCGAATCCTCTCATCGCATCTCATAACTAACCACGACTTATTTTCTACTCTTTTGCAGCATCATTCTCAGGAGCCCTTGCATCGATCAACCCGGACAAAAGCGCCGCTGTGATCGGGATCGGCTCCATGGCCGCGCTGGGAGTCGGGATGGTGACATCGCCGGCCTCGACCATCGCCATCACGGTTTCGCCAGACTCGACCATCGCCACCTGCGTGGCCTTGATCCTGTGCATCCGCGCCACGGGCGGCTCGATCGGCTACGCAATCTACTACAACGTTTTTGTCGAGAAGCTGACGCCGGCGCTGCCGAAATACGTGGCCGAGTACGCCGTCAAGGCTGGCCTGCCCGTCGCGGAAGCCGAGCCCTTTACCGCGCTGTTCCTGACCGCGCCACAGAACATCACCCAGGTGCCCGGCGTCAACGCCACCATCGTCGAGGCCGCCACCGTCGGCAGTCGCTGGGCCTACGCTTACGCGCTCAAGTATGTCTGGTACATCAGTCTGGTCTTTGGCATCTGTTCCATCGTCGCCTGCTGCTTCGTCAACAACATGCAAAAGTACATGACCAATCGGATTGCTGCCAAAGTCGGCAACTGAAACGGCTTGTAGTCGCTGGGGGGGCCCAAGAGGCACATAAATATGGAAAAGGGGCATGGAAGGGAAGTTGCTAGTACAGGCTCCAAGGACTATCCACCAACACCGAGGGAAAACAAAAACCGCGGCGCGGCCGAGTAATACCGAACATATGCTTATAATGCATAATTTGTCTCGAGACAGCTTCTATAGAAGAAGGAATAAAGCCCAGAGACAAGAAAAGAGTCCCCGATCAAATGAAATATCTGTGTTGCATAGGAGCCAGCTGATTGACTTCTCGCTCCTGCCACGACCAAGTCCAAGACTTTTAGACTCCCGCGAGAAAGCTAGGCCCTAGAGGAGCTGGATGAATAGACTGCAGCGGCTGGGAAAGAATCACCTCGGTCTTCCCGAAGTCACTTTGCCTGTCGCCGTCTAGATTCCCTGACCCGGATAGATTTCGCTTTTCCCTCCTCTCTTGTCCTTTTTCTTATTTGCTAGCAACGCAGGACGTTGTTTCGAGCTCGGGAACAAGTCACAAGTCCTTGATGGGTGGCGTTGTAGAAGATAAGAGATGGAAAATTTTGGGAATCTAAAGGCCCGGTAGACATATATCGTGTGGAATTTAATTTGTCTCGAATTGCTATGTAAACAAAGTTAAACAACGTTGTGGAAAAGAAAAAAAAAGAAAATCTCGAGTACAGAATAACATGAACTCGAGAGATGGGGAAAAAAGAAATATAACAGAGAAATAAGACAACTTCAAAAGAACGGGTGAATTATACAAGCAGAAACAAAGTGCTTGGGTTCATCAACAAACTTCCAACGCTGAATCCAGCCTCGGTCTCCATCTGCATCCTCGTCTTCGGAGAACAGCCTTTGTGGAGCTACAAAGGACAATCAGAGGACGAGTTTGAATTGCTCCCATAGGGCCGAGCCAGACGATTCGACGCCGTTCAGGCTCACTGCGATGTTTCCAAACCAGCGCGAGTATGTTGGGGAGTCGACTTGAGTGTTGTAGGGCGTCACGGTGGCGTTGAGTATTTCGCCATTGTCGAGTTTCATGACGATGGTGAACTGGGTCGGATTCGGTGTGAGCAGGGTTGGCGGGTACGGCGTGCCCACCGGTCGAACCTGGAGTCCGGCCGAGCCGAGTGCACACGTTGAACCGACGACTTGGCCGTCTTTCAAGAGATACCCGCTAACGGTCTCGCTGCCTGTCGAGTCGAGTGCGTCGTACCACACCATGTGGTAGTCTCCGAAGGTGCCGTGGCCCCAGTACCAGCTCTGCACGGCACTGACGAAGGGAATGTCACCCCAGTTCTGTTTAGCTGGTTAGTATGGCCAGGCGGGAAAGAGACTTAAGAGTTTATGTAGGACTGATGGCAAGCCACCTACCTTATCGTGATAACCGTTGCCTTGGAAGTTCATGGGCGATCCTCCAAAGTTCATATGGACGGTTGCATCCGCCGCGGGCAACACATTAGCCCAGCCAACATGGGGCATGATCTGCTCGTCTGCACCGCCGACGAGAGGGCTGCATGGGTAGTGTCCTGGGCCGCGCTTTTTTGATCTTGGTTAGCTCTCCAAAGTACACAGCAAAACTTGCGGAAATGACTTACCGAGACAAAATCAACAGTACCAGAAATCCCTAGGGAGGGGTTGTTGATCGTAATTGCGTATTGGCTCAAATCAGGTGTGCCTGTAAAGCTGCATCCGCTACCAGTCCAGTCACCCGAAGCCCCGTTTCCGATAGTATTGACAGTCACAGCAGTTGCCAGAGCCGTCTGGCTCACTTGTGTACCGTTTGGAAAGGTTGCAGCGATGGCCACGTTCAGGATATCTTCGATGCTCGCTGTATTCGAGAATCCGAGGAAGGAAGACGCAAAGAATATGATCGTAAGGGCCTGTGTCCCATCGTCGGACACAGTATCAAAGTACCACCAATCGTACGAAGTAAGGTCGATGGGGAAGACCCTCGGGCCGTCTGCCGCTTCGTCGCAAGATGTGAATTGGACCGTACTGGTAAGTGACTGGGTAGAGGAATAGGTAAGGGTATCGTTGAAACACTGAGACAACGCACCAGGTGCCAGGGCCAACAAGGCTGAGAGAAGCACCGGGGTTTTGAGGCTCCTCATTTTGCGGCTGACTCGAGGAGTGATCTATCGGAGGAACCGTAGTTGATAGAGAACCGCGTTCTTGACTTCTGTGATCTGGGGAGTTCTTCTCCAGGCGGGCAGGACTGCCGCTCTTTGTACTTTTCCATCTTCCATAAACCTGGAGAATAGCTCCAAGGTCGTCCGTGCTTCTGACTCCGTCTGCGCAATAGCGAAACTATGAAAGACCGCCTCCCACCTTACCTTAGTGATATTGAGTTAGTGATCCAGGAGCATTTCAGTACTGTCGTTTGTTTCATAGAAGGGAATGGGAAATTAGCAATTTCCTGAGCAAAGAAAATCGCAGAAAGGGCCACATGAAGTTAATGGTGCACTGTCGCTGAAATGTGTTCGGACATATGTAATATCGTGTGGCTTGGGCAACCCGAGAAACAGGGGCAAGCGGCGTTCCCGATCTGGAGCAGATTGACGGGCCCTCTGGACCGGGCCGTACGCGCATGCATCATTGTGGGGAGGATGCTCTGCACGAAGGTACTAACCCAAATGTCATTGTTCGGAAGAATACATTACCGGCGTGAATTAGGATAGAGGACGAGTCAACCAGGTTGACATGACCGGTTGACAGCACCGGATGATGTGCATCCTATACACAGCACAGCCGGGATGCCAATATGCCGCCCCACAGGAGACATACCGGCTAACCGAAAATCGCTATGTTGCTAGATAAACATCTTACTTGATAGGCTCTTAGGAAAGGCTAATTGACTACCAGAGTGGATAAAAGTCAAACATCGATTGAATAGTAGCCGCGTTTTCGCTTAACGCTGTGTCTCTTGACTCCTTCAGCTACTTCTCAACGAGACGGGCAAGCGAAACATCGACTAGTCACCAAAGCCCTCTCCAGCTCTGCGCACTGGCAGCAGCTGGGAGGCCAGCTAATTCCTCGAGAGCTTCTCTCGTTCCGGACACGAATGAAGAGGTAGCCCGCTGAAGATGTGGCATGGCGACCGGAGGTTTCTGTAAATCTTAGAAGCTAATCGGCACTTCTAGCAAATGGTTCCTTCAGATAAGGGTTGTGGAATGAATAGTTGAACAATCACTTGATCTAATTCCGGGCTCATGGGAGTGCGTTCTGTCGCAAACGCGAGCCCTTTTCTCTTCCGTAGGAAGTCAATCATCTGATATGTAAAAAGCAGACGTTGCTGTGTTGTACTCTGACCTCTCGCCTCCCAGTTGATCATTTCCGCAGTCACAAAGAAAACTGTCTAGTGTTGTACGAGACTTCGTTGGATTCTTTGCTTCGTACTCACAAAGGTGGCGATCGGATGTTCAATGGTCCCCCTCCCCTGAGTGTTCGAGTGTCCTAGTCAACTACAAGGTTAGAAATCCGCAGGCATTTCGGCTTGCAGCAGCCTGAATCAGAGACCTGACTCTGTGATCGGAATGTGACAGCCTTAGTAGCATAGCAAACAGCCAATTTGGCCACTTTTGTTCGGTGTTTGGGAGCAGCAAGTTCAGGGTCCGGATCAGTCTCCCTCGACGAAATTTCTCCTTATTGGATTTGGCTTAAACACAACCGGTCAAGACCGAGGTATCGGCATCATAACCCAAAATATTCAACACCTCGGTTCGGTTTCTTTCCTCAACCACGTCGTAACTGAGGTAGGTACCTCAACCCTGGGTCCTCGGAGCAGATGATGTCACATGATTATTCGCTTTGAACAGCGGTCAGCGCAAGAGGAAGGAGGTTTCACTTTTTTCTGTGAGTGTTAAGAGGTGATCTGTAGCGGACTTCGACAATCATTGATGACATGAATGATAGCAAACCCAGAGCAGTCCAGGATTCCGCGCTTGGCGAAGAATCATCCACGATCATAGTAAGAGCTTGTACTTTTTCTCGACTTTCAGTTGTGGGTTCATCTGCGCTGCGACAGTTGCGCAGATCCCCAAAGGTTCTTTTTAGCTCTCTCCAGAAATCCATGGCATGAATTTTGCCAGAAGAGCTTCAGGCCACTCTAGGCTTCTGGTGGTCAGTTGATTTGAAGCTGGATGTTGCAGATCTCTGCTCTGTAATTTCTGGTGATGTGTGAGCATGTATTTCTCGCCGGCTGCTGCGTTGGCTATCCGACAGTTCATGGCAACCATTTCGAGTATTCCTACCCGCTCAGAACAACGTTGATCAAAAAAGGAAACAGGCATTGGCTTCCTCCTAGGATGTCGTCCTTTCTTTTCTCGAACAGTCAAACGCGCCTTCCGCTGATAAAAGCCACACTGGCGCGTGTTCCTGGCGCGAGTGGGATCTCTTCCTATATACATGCGGTACGATAGCAAGGGGGACCACTTCAAGTCAACTGACGTGGAGTGATGCAATTGCGGACGCAGGTCAGCGAGGCGAAAACCTCGCTGACACGATCATGGATTCGTTTCATTGAGGATAGGATGGAGGATGGAGCAGGCTGGGAGATAGGAACAGAATGGAGAAGATTCTGAACAAAGGCAAGCAATGCTATATGGCTTTTGAGGTCGCTAAAGTTCGCCCAAGGTTGCTTAGGGCTGCTGTGAGGAAACGGGCGACAAGAAACGCCAGACACGTGAGGCTTGGCACCAAGCGGATGAATGAAAACTGCGCGGATCTCACATGTGCCTCAACCTAATCATGCCGCTTTTACTACGTTCAACCATATTCTCCTTCACTCTTCTCTCACGTCTCAGTTTTGCATCCACCTCGCCACCTCGTTCACCTTCTCTCACTCTTCATCCTGATCTGCTCCACGGCATGCAGTGCCAGCCAGGACGCAAAATTGGCGGCGTACCAACCGCCCAAGTCGGCGCTAATACCAAGTTGTACAAGGACATGTATTTCCAGCAACGGCGCCCGGTCCTCCGCGTGCTACGTCTGGAATAAAAAATTCCGCTGCCTGAGCGCCTGGGGCCGAAACTGACCATTTACTCGCTTGATAATCTCGACTTTGTTAATGTTGCTAGGTTCGTCACCTAATTATGTTGACGACCTCGAATATCATACCACAGTTGATCAGAAACACAGACACCTTATACCGCTTGAAAGGTAATAGACAGCGACGGAATTCAGCTAATTGGCAAACGTTGTCAGGCAGCTAGGCCCGAGCCTTTGCCCGGGCCTGTGTACGCGGTGCGATTCCATCCACTTTGCCGTCATGACTTCAATTAAAATGCAAAGTCGCAAGAGCGACGGACATCGTAAGCAATTGGTGCTGCAGTGACAACTTCAATGGATTGCTCCTTCAAGGTCAACATCGGGCTTTCATCCATCCGTGGAAGGTCAGCAAAGTTATTTCAAGATAAGCATCCCCCAGGAGACAACAGGCAAGGCAATATTAAAACTTGTGCTTGACCACCGAAGGAAATTGCGATGTATTTCCTGACAATTGGCTTCCTGCATGATGGCTGTGTTTATCAGACCGGTGTGATCACGGCATTGGATATGCAAATAGAAAATCTAGAGGGGATTGGCCTCCGAGTGGTTCAGCTGAAAGGAGTCGCGGCGCTGGCAGGGCCTCCCTCGGACAAAGATGTGGCTCGGGTGAAGGTGTTTGGTGTGTATCAGCAGCGCCCGTGGCCATGACCTCCTTATCTGCTACATGACAATGCTTTCATTCTAAATAGTCCGCACGCTGCGTATCCAGGTGCTTACAGCATTCAACACATCCTAACACCTATGTTTATTCAACATACTGTAAGAGCACTTCAGGGTTCGGTATGCACGTGCAACAACGCACAGAGGCCTGTCCAGCAGGTCGGGAGCCGATAACGCTTTTCTGGTTCTCGCTGACAGGACAACACCACCACCAACACCACCCAGTGAGGCAGCGGATAGGGCAACGAACGTCTAGCACGGCGGCGGCATTGACAAGCTGGGACAGGACCGATAAAACACTTAGGAAATAGGTAGACGGCACCAAAAAACCATGGGATTGATACTCTGTTCAAGCTGTAAAGAATGGCACACTGCCAGCACTGTAAACTGTCCTGCTCTCCTAGTCCATTTTGGTCTAACATGTGACCATCCAAATCTCCTCCATGATACCCCTCTACCAGCCCAGCACAGCCACTTTGTCTTGTCATAATACAATAATATTCTGAGCATTCGCCAAACCGACACCCTCTCCCCTCATCAAGTCATGCACATAGCAGTCTCCAACAAGGTTCCACCAGGGCGCGGGCTTACGAAATCGCGACGTCCACGATTGTTTCGGACTGTGCGGTCGGAGAACGAAGGGCGTGCAAGCCCCATGGATCAAAAACACGCGGTCACCGGGCTGCATCAGTGGCGGCCCGATACCCAGCAGGCCCGTCTGCGTTGAGAAGAGGACACGGTCTTCAATCATAGCCATGACGATACGCACAAAGTGTGCGCGCTTATAGTGGATCTCCGTCCAGCTGCCCGTGTCGCCAATGCCTGCTGCATGAGCTGCGGCCTTCCGATATGACTCAAAGTCATTGGCGATGTCAACTTCGGCTTTACCCGTCGCCCAGTCTAGTATGGCTCGATGGCAGAGCAGATTGCCGGTGAGGACGTTGGACACCACGCTGGCGCGGTTTTCCTCGAAGCCATTGCAGAAATACGGGTCGCGCATCTGGAGGGCAGCTATGCCGCCCGGGACCCATTCAAGAGGGGACTTGGGAATGCGAACGACTTCGGAGCTGAGCACGGAGTGGTAGGATGTCTGATGGAGAGAATATATCCGCTCGACGGCGTCGATGTTGCGGCCCTTGAGGACAATGGACGTGGGGTCAGTCCCCACCGATACATCAAAGTTGAACTTCAAGCACGCCTCATATTCACCAATCTCCTCCAGAGCGCCCAGGAACGCTCGCTTGTTCGAGGTCCAGTCCGGCACCCAGGATGGTAAGGTTGAGAGTTTTCGAGGCCAGCCAATACCAGCAGCATGTATCAAAGGACAATGGGTCACCTGAAGCTGGAAAGTGCGGGTTTCCCAATCTCGGTATCGCCGGCCAATATTTAGACTCTGTTGAAGAAGCAAATAACGAGCCACGTCGATGTAAACGGCTTCGACGCTCTTCTGATAGTCAGGCTTGAGAGCTAGATCCCGTCGACCATCCGAGATGCCCAAAAAGGCATAAATATGGTCCCGTTCATTTGACGCACCGAAAGCTCGACAGAAAATCATGTTTGTCGACAGGCGCGGCAACTCTCTCATTGCACAGCGACTCTGCATCTGGCTTAACAAAAGGATGTCCAACTCATCCGGCTTGTCTGAGAAGTTGGATGACTTGTTCCAGGTCAACTGGTGCAGGCCGGTTACAAAATCAACCTCGAGGACATACGTAAGACTGTCAAGGCTAAGGTCGTCCTCGCCGCAGTATAGAGTGATCTTCTTTGCGACAGCGACTTCCTGGACAATCCAGGCCCGGGTGAACCATCGCCTTTTCAAAAGCTTCCGCAAGGCAGGCCAGAAAGCCGAATCCCTGGCACACGCCGGGATAGCTTTGAGATGCTCCATGTTCACGGGGAGATCTTCCTCTTCCAATCGTTTGAACGCTCTCGCGAGAATCGGCACGAACGCTATCGCTAGCTCGCTGTCATCTCCTGCTGGACCGAGCCAGGCCCACACTTGCTCCGCGCTGGCAAAGATGTCCATCATCATCTGGACCTGCGCAGATTTCTCTCGATGGTCCGCCTGGTTGATACACAATTTGTCTATCCAGAACCACCCATACTGCCCGGAGTCCGCGAGCCGGGCCAGCACGCTAGCGAGGGCATCATTAATCACCATCTGGCCTCTACCGTCGAGGGTGACTCTTTGGCATGGCACATCTTCACCCCACGCGTACGAGATTGCTTTGTAGGAAGGCTTCTCGTCTAGCGAGACGTACTTGAAACTGCATGCGAACGGCTCTGATGGAATCTTGGGGTGGACTCGAACAAGGCGGATTGTTCGCGGGCCGGATAGCCGCGCGTATCGATACTTTGAATTTCGTGAGCTAAGCAAGCCTTCCGAGAGAGGCTGCGACGATCTACAGTACCTGTGTGTTCGTGTTCCATCTGCAGCGGCGCCCATACCAACCTGCGCCGAGCAGCACTAATAGAACCGGGAGGTTTTCAGCAGATATCAAATGGCGCGAGATTTCAGCACTCACCGGTGAGCACCAGCGGCCACATTTTTGGAGAGAGGCTTTAAAAATCATACAATATAAGAAGGAAATCGCGCCCAGCACCGACAGACTGTGGGTGAGGTTGGTTTTGGGCGCCACCTCCCGGCCTTGTTGGCTCGCCGAGTTAAGGCCGCTAAGGTCAAACGTCAATCAAGATTCAAGATATCAACGGTCGTATAAAGGTTCCTAGAGCATGGGCTAGGTGGGCCTAACGAGCTTTTGCCGGCCTCAGAATGAAGATGGCACAACGGCAGCAGCAGGAAAGCCTCATTCATGACCAGTCAGGCATTCAGCTTGCACAGGTGGTCACTTGGTCCATTACCCCTCTTCGTGCCTCCACGTGCTGGACAATCAATTGGTGTTGTGAGGCTGAAAAGCGAGCACCATTGTTAGAGAACTCCAAAGCGAAGAGGCGCTGCTGCCTAGAAGTTGTCATGAAATTGCGCGCCCATCGGATGAACAGTGGTTCAGCGCAGCGCCATCCGCTCGCCAGAGTTTCCATAGACGATTCAACTTTGCAAGACTCATGGCTTGCGTTTGCCAAGATGCTCTCGGTATATCTGGTGGCAAGCCGCTGGGCATCTTCGTAATATTGAGTTGGAGTGCGGTGCAAGCCAAGATCTCGGTCGAAAGCAATTACTGGGTACTGGGTAGGCTATGCTGGCTCGCTGGCTACGCTAGCTCAGAAGCGTAGACTAGCGACGCTGCTTTGAAACCAATCCACGCTTCGGGTGATCTCTCACCCGGCTCACGCGAGCCGGAGGCGAGGACAGGGCGGCGTCATCCCCGTCCTGATTCGGGGTCTCAGCTTGGCAAGCCTTTGGTGACCATCTGGCTCGCATCTGGTTCCTGCAACACCGCAAATTTCTCTCCTCTCATTCTACCACACCCCCCTCTTTGGCCCGAATCAGCAACCCGCCGTGAATAATGCCACTGACTGAATGTTGAGAGCAAGTGAAATCCCCTGTGGCACTGCTTGAGTGCCTGAAAATAGAGGAAAGTCAGCCAATTGGTCAATCTGGAAAGCGGCAGATACTTCCAGCAATGCTCGAAGCTCAAGGGGAGCTTTCCGCCACTGAGAGGACACCCTTTGTCATATCAATGACGATCAGTATGCATGGCATTTCAAAAGGGCTTGAGCACAGCAAACCACAATGCTGGAATTGTAAAGGAGGCCTTCCTGCTGCATCTGCAGTCCATCCCGCTCTCCAATCTCTACTCCAATCGCCCACGACTCATCCCGCTGCGGGGAACAGCTACAGGCAAGGAGTGGACTGCCTGTCTGAGTAAGTGATCGTTGCTTGCAGATTGGATTGATTAATCTTTCAGCGATATGTCCTGCAGGTCTGCCTTCCGCGCCCAGCATGCGAAATTGACAAATTTGTCGCATTTTCCTCCCTCCATCCCTGTGTGATTCCCTTTTTCTCCCCTTTGGTAGCCTTCCTTGCTGTTAGAGCACGAGGCGAGAGCTGTGACTCGAGTGGTGCACCGCTAGGCACCTATACCGCAGCTTTGTGATAACGCGGACTTTGTTGTCGTAATTATCGGCGACTGGGATCAAAACATGCCTACCACAATGTCCGCATTCGTCCAATGGCTTAACCGCGAGACGGGGCTACAATCCATCTGCATCTACGGCAACACTGACATATACCTGATCCTGTTAACTCGATTTCTACGCATGTTTGCCTACGGTGGCGCCGCCCTCGTTCTGGCAATCTTCCTATATACTCAGGCTGGAGTTGATTGGAAGAAGATTGGCACATTCATGACCTTGACGTTACTGGGAGACGCCGCGATCAGTTACGGGCTGACAATCGTGGCTGACAAGATTGGCAGAAGACGTGTGTTGCTAATAGGATCTTTGCTAATGAGCCTGGCTGGGACGGTGTTCGCCTTGAGCAAGAATTATTATCTGCTTCTGCTCGCTGCTATTGTGGGTGTGTTATCCCCTGGAGCACATGAAGTGGGACCGTTTCGCGCAGTTGAAGTATGTATCAGATCCGGTATCCTGGTTTGAATTCATCCAAGGCACACAGATAACTGAGTTCGCTTCTCTAACCCTTTTCACTTTCACAGGAAGCAATTCTTGCTCAACTCTCCCCCATCGAAGCTCGCACAGACATCTATGCGTGGTTCGCCGTCTCATCCACTCTCGCAATGGCATGCGGCCTGTTTGTGACCGGGTGGATAACCTATGCTCAAAAGACATACATGGGGCGTGACTGGAAAGAGACGTACCCTCCTGTTTTTGGTCTCTATGCACTCATAGGTTTGATCAAGTTTTCCATCACGTTCCTTCTCAGCAAGAACTGCGAAGCCAGCGCGGCGGGACAATATTCCTGGGCCGCGACTACGACGACAACAACAACTGCAGTAGACGAAGTGGGATCCCCTTCATCGGAGCAGACCAGGCCTCTCCTGGATGGCATTCCTCGTCGGTCATCGATCCCAAAGCAAGCAAACGTCAGAACTGCACCTCGTGCTACTCGACTCTCTCAAACCAACTCCTTCTCCCGCCGCCTCCGCTCATCACTCAGCTCGCCCTGGAAAGTCTCCCGCTCGTCTCTGCCCATCCTCCTCCGCCTCTGTTTCCTGTTCGGTCTGAACGCCTTCGCCTCAGGCATGCTCCCCGTAACCGTGATGAGTTGGTACATGTCCTGGCGCAGCCGATGGTTCTTAACTCACCGGATCGGCTATGCTTTAAGCGTGGTCTGGCTCGCTGCGAGTCTCTCCAATTTGTTCAGCGCCGCTGTGGCAAGACGGTTGGGTCTCGTCAAAGCCATGGTTTGCACGCACTTACCCAGTGCTTTGTTTTTGGCACTTGTTCCGCTGGGGCTGGTGGCCTCGGGTTGGGAACTGTTACTGATGCTCTTGCTCGCGGACGCGGTATTGGGCTCCATGGATCAGGCTCCCCGCGAGGCGTTCGTCGCGGCGGCTTTTCTACCCCGTGAGAGGACCCAGGTCATGGGAACTCTCAATTTTGTGAGGACCTTGGCGGCGAGTTTGGGCCCGGTGGTTACGGGAGTCGTGTGGACTAAGCAGAGATGGTGGGTGCCATTTGAATTGGCAGCTGTTTTGAAGGTGTGCTATGATGTAGGCCTGTTGATCATGTTGTTGAAGACGCCTTTGCCAGAGGAACATCGGAGGGCTGTAGGTGGTTCGGTAGGTGGCGAGAGTCAACAGATGAGAATCACCGCTGCCGACATGGATGTCAACGTTCTGTTAGACGAGTTGGCTACCAACAGCGGCGGACTGATTCCGCCGAGCGAGTTTGAAGTGAGTGATGGCGAAGGGGAGGACGAAGGAATGTTAGTCACGGAGGTGCGGGAAGATGCTTCGGGGCTACCAAAGTACGATGAATAGCAGCTTGTGTCTCTATTTGGTGGCGTTACTTCGAGAAGACCAGATTTACACGCATTGCTGGCAGGACATAATCAGGGGGTCCATTATTTTCAGTGGTCAAACTACGGGTGTGTGTGCCGAGTTCTTATTCAATGGCCTCTCTGTTTGCTGGAGGAGTGGCATCATCTGACTTTCTGGACGAAAGGCTGCCCGGAACTGCTCGTCCAAAAGATGGATACTTGGTAGGCAACATAAAACGCAATTTGAAACGGCAGGCGGCTGACCTTCCCGCTGGGTGGGTGGCGAATGGTTAAATCATTACAGGCAAGAGAAACCCTATATCTTATATCCTCTTGGTGGAAAAGACTATCTGCTGTCGAGCATCGCGCTACTCTGACTCCGCACGAGGTTCCTCTCCTTTTGACAAGGGTGGTACTTACATACGTACCTGGTCTTATTCATTTTATCCACTATCAGGCTCATAGAAGCCCTTGAGCGTGCGACCACGTTCACTGGGTCGATGAATCTAGGTAGAAGGTATTTTGGTCGCGAGCCAGTTGGCTGTCTGCCGTACCAATAGATATCCCAGAGTATTGGAGACATGCTTATTCCAACTTCGAGGACGTGCCCATGTGATAAGGTCCGCCTTGGAGATTCAAGATGCAGCGTGATGAAGTGCAAGGCTCGAGGCTGCAAGGCTGTGGCGCCAAGACTGCCATCGGCAAAAACGGAGTCCGCGCTCCGACATCCGCAAATATTTTTTTCTGTCGCGCAAACGCAGCCGCAGTAGTGCTGGATACTTCGCGTAAAAGCTCGAACTCTGGGAAAACTGGCCATGTCAGTCCAGGTTAAGAACAAACATGCCGCAAGCTCGAAACCCGTCAAGGACGCCGAATCACTGAGCCGCCCAAAGAAGCGGAAACGCGACACCGAAAGTATTGAGACCTCCAAAAAGAAGAAAAAACAGCGGACAGAGGATGTCACGGAAAGTCCAGCTAGGGTAGCCAAGCAATCTACCGAGAAGAAGGACAAGAAAAGGAAGAAACAGAAGTCCAAGGATAGGGGAGATGCCGCTGCAGGGACGGTAGGAGAGGCAGAAGAGGCGCCCGCGCCGCAAGACATTGAATTAGCAGACGCAGATACTGCTGAAGAAGACAAAGAGCCAGACATAGAGACAGACACTGTCGAGGATGGTTTCGAAGCAGTGCACGAGGAACACGATCAACTCAATCTGCTGGAATCCGAAGATCCTTGCTCTTTTTACTCGACCCGCCTATCCCTCTACCTCTCGATACCTGCGGTCTCACTTGAAGCCAGCTCGTCATCGGTTCTTGCTGTGCACCTCGCACCATTACTTCTGACATACTTTCCTCCAGCGCAAGGAATTGTCCTGGGGTTCTCTGACCCTGTCTTGTCCGCGAAACCTGACTCTGACATCAATCTCCCTCTCTTACCTCCCCAAAATGGCGAAATGGAGCCGCAGGCCGAAGTTCTTGCAGTAACAGCCGATGAGTTGGGAGTGTGCTGGGTCTGGCTTACTGCTACCTTCCTTGTGTTTCGACCTGAAAGAGGTGACGAGTTGTATGGATGGACGAATGTCACATCAGAAGGCTTCGTGGGCCTGGTGAGCTACAATTACTTCCAGACAGCCATCGGCAAGGCTCGAATCCCTGCAGAGTGGAAATGGAACGGGCCGAGCAGGGAACAGGTGCAGAAAAACAGGAAAAAGGGTAGGAAAGGCCGGTTACGTGACGAGAAGGGCTTGGATGACGGCGAGGAACACAGTACACTGGAGACTGCAACAACAACGGTGGAGACTCCATCCTCGCAAGCCCTTCTGGCCGAGGGTGGCGGATACTTTGCAGACGCCAGTGGGACGAAGATCACGTCGACGCTGAAATTCCGCGTGGCGAACACAGAAATAGTTCCCGCGCATGACAGGCACAAGTGGTCGTTGCAGATTGACGGCACTCTCCTAGACGATGAGGCTGAGCGCAAGGTGCTGGAGGAAGAACGAGCAAAATTCGAGCGTGCACAGGAAAGCGGTCGCCTCAAGTCGCCCGGAGAAGAGATGGTGGTGATGAGTGGAGCGCTGAGAAGATCGCCGAGCCGAGAAGGAAGTGTTGGCTCGAGGATTTCCGGACACACGCCGGCGCGGCATCGAGTGACTTATTAAGGAGTCGCTGTACCCAAGGAGAGAAATTGCCTGGTGCAAGGAGCTGACAATGGTGACTCTTCGGTGCCTGACAATTTCTATATTTGTGTCGGCGGTGGGCTTTAGCAATCGCCTTCAAGTGATTGGCCTGCGGTATACTGGCACCAGTGGTGGGGGCGGCAAGGGTGACGCAATACCCAGTAGAAGGTACATGGTGACGCTCAATGGAATGTCCCCGCAGCCGCAGCCGCAGCCACGCAACAAACAGACACCGCGCAGACTGCAAACTGCGCTCTCCTCTCGAAATGGCCGCATCATCACCACCCACGTGTCTGCCAGTGTACAAGTCTCATGAGCACTGGATTCCTTCGTTCCCCTGGTAGTCGTTGCTAACCTCTGACCACCAGCAGCCCGTCTCCTTCCTCGAGCTAGCGGCGTTCTGGTCTCTCGCTGGCGGATGTTCAGACGATCTACCACTACCACCATCACCACCACCCGTTGCTTTGCCGTCGCTTCTACTTCGTTCAGACCACCCTTATTGCCCACCTTCCGCTCCTCTGCTGGTCTCCGTCCAGCCATATCCCTCTCCCCTCCCCGAGAATCACCTTTATTCAGAGGCTTCTCAACCAATTCCTTCAGAATGGCCCAGGAATTCAAGCTCAAGGGCCTCGATAAGCTCGACTTGAAAGACCTCGACAAGATAGAGGTGGAGGTTGACGGCATTGAAGGTGGAAAAGTCCTTTTGTGCAATGTTAACGGCCAGGTGCACGCACTGAATGCCAACTGCACGCATTATGGCGCTCCGTTGAAGATGGGGGTCTTGACGTCCGAGGGCAGATTGACCTGTCCCTGGCATGGAGGTATGCGACATCGGTACCGCTTCCTGTGCCGGAACGTGGATATTGACTTGACAAATAGCCTGCTTTAACGTCCACAACGGCGACGTCGAAGACTCACCTGCCCCCATGGCGTTGAACAAATTTAATGTGGTTGAGAAAGACGGTGGTGTATACATCACGGGGAAAGAGGCAGACATCAAAGGTGGAAAGAGGACAGTCAACATCAAGACCACTCCTTCTTCTCAAGAGAGGCTGGTTGTCGTTGGAGGGTACGTCCCGCGTCAACACCTAAAATGAGCAGGTTATTTACATCTGGAACAGCGGATCTGGAACATTCGGCGCCCTTCTTAAACTCCGCGAACTGGGCTACAAGGGCCATATCACAGTCATCACCCATGAAGGCTATCCGATTGATCGCACAAAACTCTCCAAGGCCCTCATCACCGACGCCTCGAAGCTCTACCTGCAACCCGAGGAGTGGTACGCCGACGGCTCGGTGGAATTCTTTCCTGACACCGTCACCTCCGTCGACTTTGATGGCAAAACTGTTCAAACAAAGACAGGCAAATCTCTTCCATATACGAAACTCATCCTCGCCACCGGGGGGACACCGCGTCAACTCCCTCTCCCTGGTTTCAAGGACAATCAACTGGGCAACATCTTCCTGCTGCGGAAAGTCAGCGATGTGCAAAACATCATGAACGCCGTCGGCGACAAGGGCAAGAAGATTGTCATTGTCGGCTCAAGCTTTATTGGTATGGAAGTTGGCAACGCCCTGGCCAAAGACAATTCGGTAAGTATCGTGGGCATGGAATCCGCTCCCCTTGAGCGCGTAATGGGAACCGAGGTGGGGAAGATCTTCCAGCGCATGCTCGAAAAGAATGGCGCAAAGTTTTACCTAAACGCAGGAGTGGATTCCGCCTTGCCGGCATCCAAGGTCGCCAATACCGTGGGATTGAGTTCTGTGGGCGCCGTCAAACTGAAAGATGGCACCGAACTCGAAGCCGATCTCGTCATCTTGGGAATTGGCGTGTTCCCTGAAACGACATACCTTCGCAACAATCCCAAAGTGCAACTCGAGAAAGACGGCAGTATTTCGGTTGACGAAAACTTTGCGGTCAAAGGCCTACAAGATGTTTGGGCCATTGGCGACATTGCCACCTACCCCTACCACGGCCCAGGAGGAAACGGTACCCCCGTGCGCATTGAACATTGGAACGTCGCACAGAACATGGGTCGCGCTGTGGGCCAGTTGATCGCTCAACCAGGCAGCAAGCCTAAGCCTTTCATTCCGATCTTCTGGTCCGCCCTTGGGAGCCAGTTGAGGTATTGTGGCGCCACACCGAACGGGTGGGACGAACTGGTGTTGAAAGGAGAGCCAGAGAACAACAAGTTTGCGGCATTTTATTGCAAGGGCGACACAGTGGTGGCGATGGCAAGCATGATGATGGATCCCATAATGGTCAAGTCTGCCGAGTTGATGAGACGAGGGAAGATGTTAAGCAAGAGCGATATCCAGGGTGGGAAGGATATCTTTGCGGCGACTTTGTGAGAAGACGACCTGACGAGGACGTAGAAAGAGCAATAGACTCTGTGGTTGATCCAGGATGTTTCACGAGGGTTGGTGTCGCGCAGTATCTCCCTCCACATGTCCCGTATGACGCGGATATCGAACGCCACGAGAGACAAAATAAAACACAAACAAATTGGATTCAGATACCCTTCGCTCCGTGGGTTCACTCGACCTGGAAGGGTGTTTCAAAGGCATAATTTTGTGAAGAGTATCTACCGTTTTATGGTTCCTCGGTCCTGGCCCTCTCTTTCGCTCTCGCTTTCGCTTTCTCTTGGGGTTTTATTTTTGTTTTTTGTTTTACTTCCGATGGAGCCTCCGTATACGGGCTAGACTAGGGATGAAAATGATCAACGAAGCAAGCACGGAAGATAGAAATAGATGTGCAAAATTCCGGCAATGCCCCCAGAAAAGACCCTGCTCGAGGTCGACTTGCGCCCAGTTTTGCTGTGAGACAGTACCTCGACCCTTGCCCCAGAAAGGCGCCCAACCGCACGCTTCATGCAAGGTTGATCGATGGGCTGGCTGCCTCGCAGCATTGAATGGCCTTCTACATAACATCAAAGGGCTCTGCGCCACGAGAAACAATAATTGGACTACTTTCCTCGGCAACTTCTCCAACAACCACATCCGTCCCTTTCCATTATCTCTGAGCTGTACCCTATCTCAACATGACCGCAGCCAAACATGCAACACTGAAGGCTGAGGCCATCAAAGATTCCGTGTATGCCCGTAAGCCCCGTTTTTTTGCAACTGTGGCGGTCTATGGCTCCAATCTAAGTGGACCAAAATGAAAAGATGTCAGTCGCGATGCCCAAGAGAGCGATCTGCTACTCGACGAGTTCGATTACAATGCGTCGCTCCCGTTCAGCTATCAGCCTCGTGACGGCTTTGGCTCTCTGCAAGACGTTCTTGACACGCTAGAGCACGAAACGCTTCTTTCCAATTGCGCCAACTTTTCGAGTGAGACGTCCATAGAGTGCTTGGACACTACCAAAGACATATACAAGACTCTGAACCTGAATTTGGCTTGCTTGCCTAACATGATAGGACGGCCAGACTACTGGGCTCCTCAAGCTCACTGGTAATATGACGAAGCCGGAAGTCTGACGGTATGTGGTAGGTAAGCTTCGTCTTTCCTTGCTCATCTGGCGTTAAATAGGCTGAGATATGAATGAACGGCGTCAGACCTATTTTGCCAGCATCCAAGGTGGAACATCGCAATTCCAGGGGCGCCGCTTTCAGTCTATATGCGCTACGATGCAACCCACAACCTCACTACCTACGTGATCTCTCGCAAACCGAACGACTCGAGCATCAAAGCACTACGGGACAATCGCAGATATAGCCGTGAGGAAGCAATCACCTACTCAAAGAGCAAATGCTTTTTGGAAGGATCCTCTCGACCTACACGTCCTTCTATCGACACTATCTTTTGAAACTTCGAAGCACCATGTGAGACACTTTCAGCACTTCATGTGGAGCCAGGTCTGTGGCCAAAAAGGGCCCAACTCCTTGAAAATACAAGGTATATCTTACTGCCCCAAACCAAGTTCAATAAAGTCGACGATCGTCTTGGCGGCGTCGAGGCTGGTGACCGCGCCAAACTCACGGATCTCACGCGGTAGCTCCAAATCATCTCGCAGAATGCGGACATCCACACCGGCAACGCCAACGTTGCCCTCATCACCGCGAATGCCATTTGAGACGTGCATTCTCGGCTTCATGACACCACCAAGAGTCAATTGTCATCTTCACGGGGCGGCAGAGACACCATCGATTACGTTATTGAATGTATGAAGGAGAAGATGTGGTTCCTGAACTACAAGAGCCGAAAAGACAGCATCATGAGCTTGGTATACAATCTAGTGACGCAGCAAGATGCTGTCAACAACTTCCAGATCGCGGCGGCTATGAAGCAGGACAGCACCAGTATGAATTCTATCTCCTCCCTCACCATGGCTTTCCTCCCTGGGACTTTTACTGCGGTAAGCATTGCACATCTTCCATCGCCTTCTCCAGTTCCCGATTTTGAACGCCTTCATCAAAGTTGACAGTATGCTGATGACACCCGCCTCATTCACAATCTACAGAGCGTCATCGGTGGCGGCATTTTGGAGGCCAACTCAGGAAGTCGAATCATTCGGGTTACGGCGCTCTTGTGGCTCTGGGCTGCCATCACCGTTCCTCTTCACTGTCACGGTACTCATTTGCTGGTGGTGGTACAAGACAAGGAAGGCAATTCAACAAAGAATTGGCGCAGTCTCTGCCACTGTGTTGGATCATACTTCCATGCATGAACAGCGGACTTTTTTAGCTGGTTCATCGCCGGTTCCAGTGCGCAAGAAAGGATCTGCCGTGATGGTCTGACGATCTTCAGCATGCTCAGCCACAGACTGGGACGTTGCGGGAGTAATAACAACGATTTACTCTGAAGTTATGTTTCGACACATCCGCACACCGCTCCGAGACCAGCACAGGCTGTAGAGGGAGAGCAGCTTCCTTGCCATTCTTCGTAGACATCTTGCGTTCACGGTGGTATGTTCTCCGTTCTTTACCCATTCCAACGTCAAGGGGGCTCAGGTCTTGAAAAGGCCTCTCCCGCCCTAGGGAGCCTAGGGGTGGGCGCCAAAACTTCGCGAGCCTTTATTCAACGCAGAAGGGCGAGCGACGACCGAGTTGCTCTGGTCTGCCAGCCTGCCTGAACACCCGTCTCCCGCAAGATCGCAAAGTCGTACTTGCCGTATTCTACTGGAGCAGGGGGCAAAAACTTTGCCTTCAGATAATATGTGATTGTGGGTTTTACCCCAGGGTTGGGTTGGTATGGCACGTTCACTGCCAGCGAGATACTGTGGCATATAATCAGAAGCTGCCTGGAGGAGGATGATCAGGATCACATTGTCCAGTTTGCTCTGCGGTGTCCTTTCCAGCAGCCCGGAGTTCGCAACGAGGAGCTGATCCACTCACTCACTGTGCGCTCTTGACCTGGACACAGCACAGCCGGACGGAGTCGAATGATGCGACGAGTGCACCGATCCGAAGGCCTCATCAGTAGCCCTTGGACTGAGGTAGGAAAGAAAAAGGCTGCCCAGCTCAATATGTTGCGGTGCTTTGCCGGTGTCTCAAATCATAAATGCTAGCCTCTCCCTCTTCGCTGCTGTCGCTTCTTCTTCTCTTCATTTCTTCCGCTTCTTCTCTTCACACCACCGTCGCCACTACGATTCTCCGAGCATGGCCGCAGCACAATTAACCTTCGACGCTAGTCGACTTCTTCATGATGACGATTGCGACATCATGGACGAATACAGCGTACTTGTGGAGGGTGCCTTGGACATGAGGAGAAAAGTTTGCCCTGATAATGAGGAAAGCACGGTAATTGCAGACCGAACGGGCTGGCCCCAACGAGGTTGACCGTCTTAGGGAGAGGCGACCAAAAAAAGCAAACTGCCCTAATAAAATTCATCGACTTTACGTGGTAGGTAGGGAGTCGGCTGGAGTTTTGACATGCATACTGTCAAAAAGGGCGATTCTCCCAAACCAGGTTGAGCCAGTCTAGTCAATTCTTGAACAGCACGATAGAAGGAGGACAGTGATTGTCAAAAACACGGAAATGCGGTTGGTCCCCGAGAGTTCTCTTCATGATACCCCAGGGGTTTTTAGCGGCCGGGGGGAGTGAGAAAGTATGTCAAATGTCTGGGCTCTCCGGCCGGTGCCTCCCCTTGAGTTTGCGATGTTGAGGTACATAGCGAGAGGAGCAAAGATAGAGAGATAAAGAGAGAGAGAGGGAAAATGTGCTGGAGACACACTTCGATCGTTGCCTGCTCGGGGAATGGGTATGTGACCGTCCTGGGACAGCCCATTTGACCATTCTCATTCCTTAAGCGAGATTTGGCCTTGACCTGGTTTACTTCGAAAAATCCCCTGCACGCGGACTACATACCCAATGGAAAGGATAATCTTGCTAGGCTGGTGGAGATCGGGGCGGTGTCTGTACAGGTATAATCCATTATACCTATGGCCAGTAGCTTCTGGCATTCAACGTCGAATTTCGCTATCCTTGGCTATACGGAGCACACCAATAGCAGAGGAGCATCCTCGTACAGGAGAGACTTGGTAGAAATCAACCCCGGCAAGCCCTGGTTGAGTCGATACTGATCGCCGAGATTTTGGCGAGAATCTGGTCTGAGCGGCGGTCGCGTGGCAGGCGTGTGGTGATCGTCAACACAACGTCAAATTTCTCTGACTGCGCTCCATTTTCTGGACAGACTCGTGGGAGTGGTACGTCGTGATCTTCAGTGATCGGATGGAGGGAAAGGGCCGGGCCAGACTTTGCAACTGGCGACAAAAGAGGTTCCTATGACACGAGGAATGATTTACGTGCTCTGGAATGGGTAAATCCCGATATGGGTCTCGGGCCTCTTCTGCACGAGAAAGGCTGTCAAGTGGGCACAAAGTTTGGCTCGTCTAACTGACATGGCTAAGTACTGTAGCAACTTGGTCCTTGTGTGGCATCATCCTGGAGTCATGTATCCACTTACCGGTTCGCCGGCGCCTAATTTCGAAAGACTACCTACCCGAGTAAGGTCCGTACGCTCCTCCAGCACAACGACCTTTGCGCATGCATTTCACAGGGACCAGGGCTCGACTAGTAATGCAGCACTCTGTGGAAGCCTTGGATATTACAGGGTTGGCCGCGGTGGCCGTTATCTGATCTCTTGCCGTGGAAAGCGTCGTGGGACATCCGTGGTCGGGAGTTTCCATCCCCTTGGTGGGCCTGCATCATCGCCGAAATATAACTTTTACACTATTTGCTGTCCAGAGATTTGCAACCCACCCAAAATACTTGGTAAATGGTTGAAGGCAGAACTCTCTGCTCCGCCAGGGATTGCTGAGCCAAGGAAGACGATTTGACAAGACTGCTATCACAGCTGCATCTTGTCAACGGAGACTTGGCAAAGGGGGGTAGGTGGGGATCAGACATTTCAGGATGTTGTTCAGCTTGAGGTCTGAGGGACCGCTCGGTCGGAGAGCGGCGTCCTCGGCTCGTCAATTGACCCCGTCACACTGAGTGCGAACTTTGCGACGTTGCCAATACTTACTCAACAGGAGATAATTTCATCTCTGTTCAACATGGAGCTCCCTGGAGTGTTTGCCTGAGTCTTTCGGTCCATGGGGAAGCCAGGGATGACCCTGGCGAGGAAAGGGCACGACTTCCTTTTCTGGCAAAAGGAGTTCAACTTCCTGACCCTGCCCAATCTTTCAAAGCCAGGAAGTTACCGAGCACTGTTTCAAGCCTCCATAAGCCCCAGTGAAACATGGGGAATTTGTGCACCGAGAAAAATCCCTGGTAGCTGTGATGATCGGCTTTTGGCTACCAGCCATCAGAAGCTTGGTCGCCGATGACTGCTCCTTTCACACTTTCATTGTTCCTTGACCACCGATACTTGCAAAGGAGGCAGTCGATGGTATATGGAAGAGACAGGGGGACGGTGTAGCCTTTTGAAGTAGTGGAACACTGGACGGCGTGGCATATATACATATTGATATGGAAAGGGTATATGTGCGGAATAATCGTACAAGATATACAGTCGAGGCAGCACAGCGGCTCTACTCAACAACAAGTCCTCTGGACGTGGCGTGGGAGTCAGTTGCTCCTTAGAGCCTCCAGATGGTAATCATGGCCGTGTAACTCGTGTTCGCGTTCGCCGTTCTCCCGTTTAACCCCGTTGCCGGATAGGTGACTTTCCTCAGAGCTCTTGAAGCTCGTCCGACACATGCTGCATGCAATGCTCTTCTGTCGCTCGTGCTGTGGGACCGTTCCTCCAGCTAATATCTTGAGACCTGTACAGTTGTAGTTTTTGTTATTGCACCTTGTACCGGTTTTGTCCATTGACCGTCAGTGGTAACTGCATGAAAATCCTGTTCCAACATAATCTTGTCGCTATTGTCATCACCTGCAGTCACCGTGCTAGTTACGCCAGGCACCCTTTTGCTAGCGCCTCTTCCCAACTGCCCCAACTCTGTCGACTGGCGCGAATCAAATTGGTAGTAGTGGCTGGCGGGCTTGCGAGAAGACCGTCTGTCGGTTTTGCTTTTGCCGTAGGCGAGTCCATCGGCGTCGTATCCGTAGTTTGCCCTGTTTCGACTGTTGTTCGACGTGAACCTTTGAGTGGCACCGAGAATTCTCGCGAATAGCGGACGCAGCGAAGGCAAAGAAGCAGCCAGAATACCGATATTGAATTCGATGTTGTTCCACATGAAAAAGGAATCGTGATAGGTCCAGTCGGGGTCCGCGAGGGCATGAGCCTGTTTAACTGTTTTGATGATACTTGAGATACAAGCGAAAAGACCCAAGCTTAAAACAAAACATAGAGTGAGCTTAGTTCGCAGATTTGCTTGGAGTTTCCACACCACGGGTATTGGAAGTAGCGCGAAAAGCACATCCGTCGCGATATTGATGCTGCTGTTGAAGATACCGATGTTTGTGAAGGTGTTGTTGCTGAAACACTTGGCTTGTCCGGTTGTCCGGAGGCCAAAATTCCAGTTCGCATCGACACGTGTGCCGCAGTTGAAGATGAGGGTACCGGCGCAAGAAATCGTAAAGGCAACGAGAAAAACGATGCACCCCAGAAGAAAGCGTTGGTAGTTTTTGCTTGGCACGAATCTGCGTAGGAAGAATGCAATTGAGATCTTGACGAGACTGATGCCGATCATGATGATGATAGAATGGAAGAATCGCCAATGCGAGAAAAGAGTTGCATCCTCTGGACTAACAAGCGCTGGGTGCCTGCCTAGCATTCCAGCATTGCTTTCGCCCACGAAGCAGATAATAACGCCAATCTCACAAATCTGGTAGATCGGCATGAGTCAGGGAACACGCTCAACGGGGAAGAAGGAATGCCGTTTTAGGCCACTAACCGCAGCAGCCGCCATAATATAATCGTCAACCCCAAGGCTTTTGAGCATGAATATTCTCACATAGAGTCGAAGGAGGACCGTGAGGATGGCAACCCCTCCAAAGGTGCCGTGGATTGCGAGGAGGGCACCTGCGTTGGATTCATCCTTGTATTGAGGAGCATCAGCCGCCTGCCGCTCAACGAGTTGAGAAAGAGCTGAAATAACCATGGCGTCGCTGAAAGTGTGTCAACTATCACACGGTCCAGGCGAAGCAGGAGCAGGTGAGCTATGACATTTGGACAGTGCGAGATTGACGAGTCCCAGGTGTCGGGTCAGGATGGGTTTAAAGCTCTGTCAAGTTTCACGTTGGAAATGGTACCTCAATCTGCGCTCGCTTGTCTCTGGATGCAAACCGGGAACTTCTTGTCTCAAGCTCCTTCCCTTTTTTTGCAGTTTCAAGATACGGAGAGTTTGTTTTTTTGGCGGGGGGGGAGGCAGCTTTGGCCAACATTTGATGCCTTAGCGTTCAGAATCTTCGTAGCTAAACCATTTCAAAGGTCCAAGAACAATCGGCTTTAGCTAGTGCCTCGTTGCATTTTATTCTTCATGGCATGGTTATTGTGCCTTGTCTGGGATCTAGTTGAGCGCCAATATCCTACCACTTACCGAGAACGTGGATATTACACACCAGTGCACTCCTCGAGTTGGATGGATACCTCTAGCTTTCTGCGCCGTACTCAGACCAGAAGACGAGTCGTGGACCTGAGCCTCCTCCTGCTGCACATAGTAGGAGTAGACTTCGGGACTTCAGCATGGTGCAAGTGGACCAAAGACTCATCCTGGAAAGATCGCCGTGTGACTGTAGGGGTTCTTGCCCTCCACGGCATAATGGGGGCGCCGGGGATGGCGGAGATATCTGGTCGAGGAGCTGTCCTTTGCATTAACATTGTGCATAATAATTCCACATTTTAGCCCAATGTAGCGGAAAGGATCCGTGGCTGGTAACTTTGGCGTGGATTGCGCTGCAAGTTCTCGTAACGGCCCAGACACAGGGTTGCACTGAAGTGTGATAGCCTCTTGGTCAGGGGATGCAGAGATGTGCGACCGAACTAGGGATTTACCGGCCTTGTCGGTGCACGAAAAGCCAGTGACATCCGCTGGGCCAAGTCCAACCACGGTTTCTCAATGTACTAGTAACCCAATCTAACAGCAAGAGAGACGACCACTGAGACCGTAGGTTCCAAGCATTCAATGAGGTGCTGCTGAAGGTATACAGCTTTCCAGTTTGCAGCACACTAGTAGAAGCACCCGATCAGGGTCGTGGGTAAAGACAGGATGGGCAGGATGGGGAGAAAATTTCGTGCGGATGGACCTTGCTTGGCAGGGGTTAAAATTAGCCTTTTACGCTAGGAGAGTCTATGCCATTTATAGTCTAGACTTTGACGTTTTACCCCAGGAGGTTGCTTTAGCGCCGCTCCACTTAAGTAACAGGCGAGCTGGCTCCATCTGACCATCCTCGCCATTCCGCCCTTCCACCGATATCCCCACCACCGGATAATTCACCCTCTTCCCACCATCTTCGAAGGACCGAGTATTGCCCACCTCACTCAAGAAGCTGCTACCTATGTATGGTTGGAAGCTGATTTGCTTCCGGAAATCTGGAAGGAGGTACCAATTTTCCGCTCTCGATCAAGGAGTCTGAAAGTCGCAATGGATCTGAAGCCCTCCTCGGACAGTCGGTGTGCCGGTTGATGGCCCCAGCATGAGGCTTTTACACCTGCAATCTTCCAGGTCCTCGCCACTTCAATGCACTGACTGCATTGCTGTACAATTGCCGAAATCAATCTATCGAGACCCTTTCCATAAAGGACAGTGATCGACGCAGAGCTCCATCAAGCTACAGGGTTCGGTTCACACGCACCACTCCTAGGTAGCTATAACCCAATCCGCTCGGTTTATGAGGAGGCCCAGACCGTTTCTCTCTCTTACCGATTCGGCCCTCTATCTGACTGGAACACTGGAGAGAATTTCGCTAGGTTTTCGCTCCGGCTTCTGACGAACATTCGATAGTTCTTAAATACCCGAGATGTGTTACACGTGTCGTCAGATAAGTAGACTATCGATTGCACAGCTTCAACGTCGCCCATTCATTTCCCCAATCGAGCAACTCGCGTGGCCGGCTAGCAACCTCGTGGCAATCATAGGGGGTCCAGCAGGGACTGTTTATAAACTACGCAGGGCCGCTGGGATCCAGGTTTTTCTTTTCTCCAGGGATTTCTGCCTCCGCTACCAGCGTACCACTTGGTTTGATCCCTGACTTCAGGTATCGACCGTCCATTCCCTTGACTTTCTTTGTACAAGTTTCGGTTTCTTTATCCTTCCCGCGAGACCTTTGAGCAATGCATCTTCAGTTTCTTCTACCGGCCCTGCTGGCCGTTGGCGGTACCCGCGCAGCACCAGCGCCCATCGAAAACATCTTGTCAGAGCGCGGCGTGTCCACCTCTTCGATCTATATACCGGCGTCGACTCTCAGGACAGACATCCTAGCGGCTAAAGGGCTTGTCAATTTGGCAATTTATGGGTTGACAAATCCGTCGGGCGGGAGCTGCAATTTGCTCAATGCAGCCGTCCGACGAGAATGGTCATCACTCTCAAAGGATGAAAGACGTGCATACATTGACGCTGAATTGTGCCTGATGTCGAAGCCGACGCAAGACCCCAATTTCGCATCTGGCGCAAGGTCCCGGTACGACGACTTTGTTGCGGTCCATATCAACCAAACACTTTCCATTCATGGGACCGCAAACTTCCTGGCATGGCATCGCACCTTCACCTGGAACTTCGAACAGGCCCTGAGGAATGAATGCGGCTACACGGGATATCAACCGTACTGGAATTGGGGAAAGTACGCATTCGACCCCATCAATTCTCCCTTGTTCGACGGCAGCGACTACAGCATGTCCGGCAACGGTGTTTACGAGGCGCATGGTTGCACCGAAGCCTTGCCCACCGATCTAAATTGCATCCCTCCCGGTTCCGGAGGTGGCTGTGTGAATACTGGACCGTTCAAGGATTACGTTGTCAACTTGGGTCCCGTTGCCCCGACCTTGGACATCCCAGGAATCATCAACTACTCCAGTCCAAACCCTCTTGCCTACAACCCTCGCTGCCTCCGTCGCGACATCTCATCTTGGGTCTCTTCCAACTGGACCAAGGACTCGGACTCTTATGACCTGATCTCGAACTACAACGACATCCTGTCGTTCCAGAACCGCATGCAGGGAGACTTCAGTGTCGGTTTCTATGGCGTTCACACGGCCGGCCATTTCACAACCGGCGGTGACCCGGGCGGCGACCTCTTCTCGTCGCCCGCCGAACCGACTTTCTTCCTACACCACGCGCAAATTGATCGAACCTGGTGGATCTGGCAGAACCAGGACCCTAAGAACAGAAGGAACGCCTTTGCCGGAGGCACTTCCACTTTGGATCCCGTCAACAGCCCTCCGGGACAGCTTACAGACCCGATTAACATGGGCAGCCTGGGGCAGACGCTACAGAACAAAGATGCATTCTGGACGACTGCGGGCCCCTTCTGCTATATTTACGTCTGAGGAGAGAGGTGGAGAACGAAAGAAAGGGTTTGTTGTACGTTTACGATGATTCTTCAGCAGCGGTATGCAATACAATTCAACTAGAATTAACCAGCGAGCATATACGCCCAAACTTATCGGGATAGTACATAATGTTTATTATTTTGTAGTCCAGTCTCCAGTCTGGACGCATCCTCAGGTGGTGCATTCTCCTTGCCCGTTTTACACCCCCGAGTCCTATTGCAATCGATTGGCGATGAATTATTACGTTTGCGGCATCAAGGCGCACAGCATTTCCTGAGGTTTGTCTCCTTTTTTTCATTCATAGAGACCGGACGAGGCTGGCCAGCTGGGCTGGCGCGAGGTTCAACGAATCACGTTGCGACGGACCCCCTTCCGAGCCCTTTACAGTTGCGACAACCTCCAATCACTGGCTGGCTGGCTCGCTGTTTGAGATTCAGTCATCGCGCGGTGTACGCAGGGGTCGAGGACGCGAGTCAAAAGAACTCAAATCGATGGGCGGACTCGCCTATCCCCTTATATCAGGTACCGGGTACGAGGTACCTCGATTGGCCTCGCTAAGGGGCAGGAGGGGGATTGCGAGCAGCTGAAACTGCAAGGCTGACACCGCAAGGCTGACATCGAATGGTAGTCCTTTTCACGACAATTCCCCCACGCCTAACGAGCTGTGGGTGTACAGGTAGTGCAGTCATCAGTATTCACTCACACCACGCGCTCGCGACGCGTAAGACACTTCAACAATTTTGAATGATGCAGTGCAGTTCTGCGACCTCGGTCTGTCTGACCTACCGGAGGGGAACAAAAGATTGGAGGTTCCATCTCGGATTTTCACAACCACACAGCCACCCCCTGCCCCTACTTAGCACACATCTTCCCCAACCAGAACAGCCTGCTGACATCTACTCTGTCCATCTTTAATACTTGCCTCCTTGCCTCCCGGAGTGAAGGTTTGGTCAAGAGTCTCCCAGACTGCCAACCGACAAATACCCGTACACATCGGTGCAGGTAACGTATGTGTATATTCTATCTCTCTTTCTCGCTCCTATTCCACCAGGCTGAGTGTGTGATTAACTGAAAACAAATTGTCTAGCTTTGGCGTTGGTTTTCGGTCCAGCACGGGGAGGCGGACAGGCAGCCACGGCAGGCAGGAGGGACACTCACTCTGGACGCGAAACGAAAGAAAACAATAAAAAAAAAAGGAGAAAATGTTCGACCTTATCAACTGGTTGATGCTGATGTGCTGCTGGTGCTGTGACCGCAAGGACAGAGACGAAGAAGAATATGACATCTCGGAACGCAAGCGCGAACGGGGGAGCCGGGCCAATTCCAGAGAGCAAGACGGAGACGCCACCGCCGGCGAGCAGGGACAGGTGGTGAAGAAAAAGCCGCTGCTCGCGCACGCACCGCAACTGGAGGCGTAAAAAGGGGGATCAGGAGTGAACAGTTAGTCTCGACATTTCGCTGTTGTGGATTCGGCCACAGGGCTAAGAGAATCGCTTTGAAGGTCCGAGTGCACAACCTCCTTGTCTAATACACTTTGCTCTTGTAACGACACTGTTGCAGACCCCTCCGATTGCTAGCCAGCAAGCATCACAACCTGGCTTCTTCCCATCACGACGGCGACGACGACGAGGAGGACAGCTGGCAACGACGATTATCAATCACCCTCCTGAAAACTCCCGCCTGGCGGCTCCTCCTCATACCGCACCGCGCCTTCGGGCACGTCAACGACGGCCGACCTGGTCCAGATATGCACGGCGGTCTTCATCATGTCCTTGGTGAGCCCGCTCAAACAGCCGGCCTTGACGCTCAACATGGGCGCCGGCGTCCCGTCGCTCGGCGACACCGACACGTGCACCAAGCGACTCCCGCACGCCGTGCAGAAATACCCCTCGGTGCGGCCCTGCGAGTTCGGGCGCGCGTACACGGCGATGGCTCCCGGACGGGGCTCGAACTGTCTGATGTCGAAGAATGGGAAGATGGCCGTCATGCCGTACGTGGAGGATGACTGGTGGCGGCATTCCGTGCAGTGGCAGATGTACAGCTCCAGCGGCGCCGGGAGCGGCGTGGTAAAGCGGATTTGTCCACATTGACAGCGTCCTTCCATGGTTTCGGTGTGGTTGAGTTTCACGGGAATTGGGGGAAAATTACAACTTGACTGTTCTTCAGCTCCGGCTGGCCTGAATCATGAATCAAATCCGGTCGCAACGGGAGAGCGAGCTGTTTCGTGGTTCTGTGTTACGCAAGTGGCGCCGCCGAGTCTTTCGAGGGACCAGGCAGCAATTTACGCCTTCTATGTACCCAGTAGTCCTTCTTCGACCCCTCGGTGTGTTGTGTGTGGATACTAGTAGTCGCTTTTCCCCGCGATCGAACTCTGGAGCATGCACATCTTGGGACCTGCCGGGGGGTTCGGTTAGCCATTCTCGCGGGCCATAGTCAAACGATAGGTTTAAGCGATGTTGACCTGCACAAGTCTGGAAAGGAACAGGGCCCAAGCGCTACTCTCCAGTCTCTTATATTTGGAAGAGATAGATCTCCCCCTTTCGCAGTGCTATGCAATAAATAGCTATCTAATAAGTCTCGGTTAAGGTATGTCGTCCCGTATTATGCCATATGGGATACCCGTATAGCATACCCTATAGCATACCGTAACCGCACTTTTATTATTGAAATAGCCCGCTTTCACACACCCTCTTCACCCACTCACCCACCCATCCATGCGTGTGTTCCAATGTTTAAAATACAAGGCCCTTTAAGCCTTACATCGCCAATGTATTCGTAATTGTGGTGTCAATGTAGTGAACGGGCGCGAAACGGCAATTGCTGCCATGTTTGCATTTCCTCCCGTTCGGGCAGATATGGCCCTTGACGCAGGTTTTGGACGTGCACCACGATCCCTGCGGGCACAACTGGCAGCGGGAGAGGTACAGGAGAGCCCTCGTTTCGTCGTCGGTCAAGGTCGCAGTGTGGTCGTAGGAGCATGTTTCGTTTGTGCAGCCGCTAGCGAGGAGATAGTGAGCGTTGCAGAGACGCGGCTGTCGTTCTCGGAGCTTGCTCAAGAGAGCTGGGTCTGCTTCCAATTGGACGGGGACGTCGATGCGGCGACCTTCGGCGTTCTGATAGACGGCGCCCAGCTGGGGGATTGGTGGCTGGTCGGCGTACGCCACAGTGTTCGATGACAAACCTTCTATGTTGGACGGCAGTAGCCCTTGTCTAGGAGGCGGACGTGCCAACATCCAAGTAGCATTCAGTGGCGGCGGGTTACCTGTTCGCTCTACCCAGTTTTCCTGCAAAGTAGTCTCTTTAGCTTCGTACTGGGGAGTTAACAGTATGGCCAACTTACCACGGCCCGCTTGATAATGCTCTTGCTTTTGAGAAACCACTCATCACTTGCCCACAAATCAGATGGCAACCCGAGGGCTTGTTCCACTCTTTTCTTGACAACGCCAAAGTCAAGCGCTCTGGGTGATTCTCGGAGGCGTTCGTTGGTGCATTTGATTAACGCGGCTTCTATATCATCTGCCGTGTGAGCTACCCTTTCTCCCGGTAGCGCAATCTGACTGGAGGATGGGGTGAAGGAGACCGATGGATTCCGCGATAGGGTATCTGACACGTCGATGCCATCTTCATCGCGGTAGGGGTACTCGAAAACCGGTATAACGTTTTCGTTGGTAGATAGGTCAGTAGCGTATAGATCTCCATTGGTCCTTTCAGCCGAGGTTCTCCATTGCTCTAGTTCGCGTGGAAGTCGGCGTTCACTGGACAGAGGTGCATTCCTGAACACATCGGGAAATTCAGTACATTTCAATTTTGTTCGAATGTTTCCGAATTCGGGCGAGAAAGGTAGCCCTTGGATCAGCGTGATTCGTGACGAGACATCTGTGTCGATCAAGAACGAGCCCAGGAAGGATGCGTAGGCGTTATCGCTCGACCCGCCGAAGAGGACACGTTTGCAGTGAACATTATAAATGTTGAGACTGAGATTCTCTGCCACAAGGGCGAGTCAGTCACGGTCTGCAGCCAAAAAAAAAAAAGGCCCCCCCTCCCAAAAACGGTGCTTTTCGGAGCTTCTTACCCTTCAATTTGGAATCGGCGGCTTCTTTATGATTCCCAGCGTCAATGAAGTCACACAGTGGATGTGCCTTGTTGAATCCGAGGACAAACTGACTGAATGCAGTTATGGTGTGCAGAATAGACATGTCGGAATAAAGCTTGCTTAAGCCTCTCAAGTTTGCGTACACGCGAATTACGATCTTATCATCGTGCTTAATATCGTTGTCGTAGCGCAGATATTCGAAAACAGCCCGTCTAAGTAGTTTGGCAGCTTCGTCGCCGCCGGCCATACCTTTTCGAACCAGCTCATTTAAAAACTTGGCAAGCGGTCAGCCTCCCGGATGGAATGGGGAGCATGACGAGGGTTGAGAAAATAGGAGGCACGCACATACATGTTGTCGCCGTCTATCAGGACCATGATGAACGCGTTTCTGTCCATTGTCTTTTGCATATTGTCAATTTTTCTGAACAAAGTCTCGATAAGATTATTGCGGGCTTCATCGGCCTTCTTCAACTCCATGTATTGCTTGCGAAGGATATCCATGATTGCCGGACTGGAGAGTATTCTGAGTATTTTTTGGAGCTTGTTATCTGGTTAAATGGTCACTCGTACAGTCCGGTAGAAACGAGAAATTGAAAGGAAAAATAAACACCCTATGTTTTATCTGGACAGATGTTTGCTAAAGAAGTTGGATTTTGAACTGTGGTTGAGAAAAACATAGTCGGTGTAAAAGAATGTCGCTATGCCTCTTCAGTACAGCGGGGTTTGCTGTAATGCTTGGCTTCACAAACGTCGTTCAGGACCCAGGCGTCTGTGCGTGTCTGTACTTGGCCTTAAGAAAATGCAGGGCTACAGTAGACCGACGGTTCAGTCTTGACCTTGTCTTGCTGAAATGCTGAGCACTCTCTGCCGCAATGCTACATATATCGATATGTCCGATGCTGGAGATCTGACAGAAATGTGTGCTCTGCACAATAATTCTCTGCCCTCAGTACCGAGTACCGAGTACACGGATTGCCAAACTGGTGAGACGAGACATCAGCGGTAACGAGGGCGGTTGGAGCCGTCCAGTAAGCACAAAGAGAACAGGTTGCGAATTGGGGCCGTTTCCTTAAGCGAAGGCCTAGAGTTCTTACTTGGGCTGCGATCGTCATGCCTGAATCTCCGGTTTGGGATGAGCTTTCGGGATCCAACAAAACACGGGATCCTCTCAGTCCGGCTTAGCAACGTGGTCGCATTTGGCCAAGTCCAAGACACGGAACAATTGGAATGGCAGATGAGTGGCTGCTATCGCTCCTCGACTTCGAACGGTGTCAAAAGCGACCGCAAATCCAAAGCGGGGCAATCTCGTTGTGGCCTGACCAAGTCGACCGTTTCGTTGGATGTTTCGGCCGGTAAGCGAGCGCCCACCCTGTTGATTGAGTTCATATGAAGACACGCGCAGACCGTGAGTCCCGCCCAGCTCCTGAAACATTCTCCAACTCGCGCTCTTCTCGTGGTGACCGCTGTCGTCAAAGTTAATGGGGCCCGTACCAAACAAAACAAGGACGATGTAAGAGCTCTATACGGGCTTCGGTTGGGTTGCAACCATGTCTGAATCGTGCTTGGATGATGCGGACACCCCGCGAACGGAATCGGAATCGGAAACGGATGGGTTCGATACATCCGAAGATGAGCTGTCTTATGGTGCCATAAAAGCCAAAGTGCAAAAGGCTCAAAGAACAACTGCGACCAGTACCAATAGGACCAGATCTCGGCAGCTCATCAATAGCCCGAGGCCGCCCTTACCCAAACCCATCTCAGCCTGCCTCGTCGACCCATTTGAAACACTGCCCATTGAGGTCGATGGAGTCACAAACCAGCTCTTGTACTTCTACGGCCAGAACAGCTACTGGCAGACCGCATACGCCTTATCTCCCAAGATCAAACCCTCCATCAAGGGGTCCTGGGAGTATCAGGCGGGCGCATGCCTGACTCATTTCCACATATTGATGGCTCGTTCAGCACTGCATCAACTGCGCATGAATGCCAAGTACGCGACGCCGGCCACAAGAAAGGCCTTGGAGTACGCGGCATTGAAGCACCAGACAAAGGCGATCACTCTCCTTCGAGAGAACGTGCAACTTGGCTCGAATGCCGATCTCAAACTGATATTGACTTCGATCATCAGCCTTGCGACCTTTGAGCAGCGGTATGGGGAGCGCGAGAGAGCGGTCCTGCATTTTAGAACGGGGAGGGATATAATTCGCCAGATTGGCCTGCAGGATGGGCTTCATGATCGATTGAGAGAGGAACAGGCGCTTTGGTTCGAGGGGATCTATCGCGACCCCGAGGCGAGCTGGATGTGGGGCCAGGAAGACGCGAATGTGCGATTTGGATGGCTGAAATCTCTCCTGAAAGATGTCAATCGGATTTGGAGGGAGAGGCAGTTGTCGCAGTTGAAGGACAAGGGCCCGTATGTTGTGGAGGATATGAGACTGCACGAGTTCCTGTTTCGGGAGACAACAGGGAAGAGTGTCAGTGTGTATGGCGACATTGACGAGTTTATCGCGCAGCAGCGGTGCGTGTTGATTCTCATGTCGATCATTTGTGGAGTACATGGAGTGTTGGAAACGCAAGATCACTTGAAAGTGGTGTCCAAGACGATGGCACTGGGAGTCGCAATTCAAGCATATGTCGGTTTCATCGAAGACTTGTTGGTTGAGCATGATCTAGGTGAAGAACAAGCGGTGGCCGACTTGCTCTGGATGATGTGCCAGAACTATCGAGACGCAAAGCCGCGTCTGGTGAATGCCGGAACCATTACGGTGAGAGAATCTTTGCAAAGACTGGACCTGCGGGATTGTCACTGGCGTGCGAGCGGGATCGCCAATGTGGTCAAGTATCTTCCTGGGAGTCGACAGCAGAGTTTGAGGAATATGCTTCTCGCCTTCCTCAGTGGCAAGCCTTATTCGGGGAAGGTCAAGTTTAATGAGTTCGAGTTCAGTTATGCCGGGGTGTGACCATTGAAGATTTCTCGGATTGATGCCTTATTTGGTAACGAGGCCAGCTCCAAGGGGGATGGTGCCTTTTGACAATTCACATCACATGTCCATGAACGGCCTTCGAGCTATGGGATGTTGACATGAGGACAGAGACCGTACCTCTCTGGGGCATGCTGCAGTCTTGGGAGCAGATTCTGGAATTGGTCGCTTGCGTTAGAAGGAGAGAAGACGTAGGGAAGATATGGCACCTTGTGGCGCTTGCGCTCGTCACTAGGTTGAATGCGCAGAACGGATTAGGATTGCGGCATCAACGGAAAGCGGCCCGGAAGTCACGAAGGAGGATCTGGACCAGAAAGCTCTGGGGATGCATTCTAGCAGGCGCATCACCACGGGAAAATAGTGGCCCAGGATACCCTAATGATCAATGTGGCATCGCTCATCGCCAGGCTGAAATGCCGTGCATGGATTCCATCCGTGAAAACTGCGGACGTGATCGACGGTCGGAGAGTCGACGTCAGGCGGGACCATGATGCTCAGCGTGACGAGACCGCTCGCAGCCGAATGCCCGCCCCCTCTGATGATGCTACTCCAGACGCCTTTTACAGTCTAGGGACGGAGCGTTGTGGGAGCCGCTCGTTACGAAGCACAGCAGCTGAGGAAAGGGCGCCGCATCTCTCGGGCGACGATCCCCTGTGGCCCCGGGGGTTGTACTTAGGTAATTTTGGTTGTAGCGGCCGACCGCGGATGCAATGTGAACATTTCCGACGAGCTCCACCCCCACAGACCTAATCGGCGTCGCCTATCGGATTTGTTATGCCCCAAAATGTTTCCAAAAGCATCATCCCCGTCGCCGAAGAGCTCTCCCCATGAAGCAGAATTCGAATCGCACAGTCGCGACACCGTGGCGTGAGGGCGGCTCAGATCGTGGTGTCCGACACTGTGATCGTCGTGTGCGATGGGTACTTAAAGGTCAGCAGTCCAGATTGTATCGGTGGAGGGGATGGGCCAGTTAGCAAGCCATTGGGAGAGAGAAAGAGAGCGAGAGCGAGAGCTGTGATTCTGTTTCCATTGACAGGCCCTCAGCCGTCATCTGTGCTTTCCTGACAATTCGTCAATGGATCGACAACCTGATTGGATGGCTTCTCCGCCCATTGCATTGTCATTTCCAGGGCAGCTTCTTTGTACAACTTGGCTTTCACAATTCGGGGCACAATTCAACAGCCATATTGTGCACCCTCTTATCTGCTCACTCCATCGCGACGCAGCTATGGATCGAAGCCTCGGATATACCCATCACGAAAGAGATGGGAGAGACACAATTCCTCGTGGGAGAGCTGGGCCAGATGACTCGGACCCGGCTTCTCTAATGAAGCCGGGAAATGTGTGCCTGTGCCTGACCGAGTGTCGCAGTGACTTAAAGGATCAACAGTCGGATCTCCTCTCTGAACAGTTGACGGACGTCCAAGTGAAGCCGCAACTTAGCCAAGACGTCGCGCGCATCCTTCAGAGCTTGATCAGCTCGGAGTTTCCTTCGCACGAGATTGTCGATATTTCCGAAGAGGGCCTGCGTGAAGAGATGCTTGGACGAGAACTAGGGCATGGTCAGGCTCGATTGATACCGTTTTTCCTTTCGAGCTTTCTGTCGGACCAAGGTCAAGATCATGTAGAGCACTGGCTTGCCCACCCAGACTCATTTCATCTGTTTGCCCTCGATGGTGACAGCGCCACGTGGAAATGGGGAGAGGAGTCAGAGGACAGGTTGGCAGCTGTCGACATGGAGAATGCAGCCTCGTCAGACATTGCGGTCGTGGAGAAATTTTGGAGCGATGACAACAGATCGCAGCAGACCGGCATCACTTCAGCCATGCCGCTGTAGGTAGAGATTGTGGTAATGGGAACGTTGTAATAGTTGGTATTGGACAGCCGATATGATCTGAACATGGCTAATTGGGTTGACATTGTGGTGCGATCCTCAACGATTCATTTGACGATCATTCATGCTTCCCCTGTTGTTGTTGCGCGTCTTTTCGATGGTGCAAAGGCGAGCGAGCGTTGTCAAACTTGCCTTGGGGAAGCAGATTACAGGTGTACTGCATCTCTTCAACCGGCGAAGAGGTGATGTGATAGAACATGACAATTGACGCGACAAGATTGAACGGAATGTGATGGCTGTTCAATAAGTATCCTTGTCACCCGTCATTCGGATTTACCTTTCTCCGAGTTCATAAAGTCTTGGCCCACAAACTCTAGCTCGATTGACTCGAAGCACCATGTGCAAACTACGCAGTACCCACAAAGGCGAGCTTCAGGGAGCCACTTTATTCGAGCGTGAAATCTACATCACAAATACCTCGAGCCGCTGTCTTCTCTGAGTGCAGGTTCAAGCCCGGAAGTTGCTACACTCGACGACAAAACACTCGGCGACAATGGTTCGCCTGTGTGCTTTTACATTTACAGAGTTGAGAGTCGAACTGTCGATCAGATCTTGTCGATGGATGATCATTGCAAAAGCAGTTCACATCCGCAAGTTATGCACAACGGAGACGGGAATCTCGAGAAGATGTGAAATAGGCCAAAAACAAAGTTGGTCAAACAACATTTCGCACAATCTGTAAAAATCGCATCGATGGGCTCATTTTGCTCGCAGGGTTCTCTGTGGCCCTACGTGTTCGTTCCAATCTCTCAAAGCAGCGGTGGCAGGGTTGCATGGACGCGCCGCTTCTTTTGCTCAAAGCCCCTGCGGACGGCACGAACCGTGCGAACCATGCGAACCAGCCATAAGGCAACCCGGCAGCCGCCTACATATATATTTCAGGTGGAAGGATCCTGCGGCTCTTAAACAGCACTTACTGTAATTGGAGGAAGGACGAATTCTTGCCGCAGCCAATGCGCTAAGCAATCCCCGCAATACAATACGAGCTGATGTGAAGGCAACCGGGCACTTTGATGCAAGGGCCTTTGGCATGGACTGACTGACCTTGAGACGGGTGTTCTAGCCCCTTGATACCTCTATTTTGTTTAAGCGAGGGAGGCACCCAGGAGGGATGGGATTTGCTGTGGTTGCAGCAAACAATCCCATTGTCGGTCAGCTTTCTTTGGTGCAATACCAGCTTTTAATAGGTCCAAGCGATGGTGCCCTGATCATTTCCGGGTGACAGAAGCAGAGAAGCGATATTACTTTGCTCATCAAGTGGAGTAGGGACGATTAGTGGCCCAGCTACTCAACCCTGTCATACTTATGACCGGATTTCACTCCCCGACATCCAGGCGATCAACTTGATCAGGACGCGGATTAGGCATGAGGGCAGCATCGGAGGCCTCGGGCGTGGAAAATGGTCTACGTGAGGCAATGCAATCCATCTAGACGGGGATAAGGCTGAAATGTCGAGCGGTGCCACTGTGCTCGCTTAGCAGTCAATATACCGAGAACAAACTTGGGCGAAGGAAGAAAGGAGGGCTGATTCTGATGGCCAAAAACCACGTCGAGCTTGGCCATTTTCCAGTATCAGGTTGCAGTGCATCGGTGATGCGCGCCCCTCCCAAGCGTCGCGAATCTGGTAACAACGACATGCCCTCATGATCATGATCACGATCACTGGGCATGATTGTTGGCTTGCCAATGGCACAATAAGTGCTGGCCGGATGCGACGGATCTATCTGTGCGGATTGTCGGATATCCAAATTCTTGATCTCGGTGCTCAGAGTCATGGCACCTTGTATCGTGGCAAATTCCCAGGGCATGCTGATCATCAAGTGATAGCTGGCGGCGGTGTGTAAAAGTGTAAAACCTAGCAGGGGACCTGCTGTCAGAGGTGAAGATGATACCTAAGCGCATGTAGTGTCGGCATACAAACGAGCCATCCTGGTACGTGTTCGTGAGTACTGTTTGGGTATTACCGATGCCTTCTGTGCCTCTTTGCTCGTAATGGGAGGCTCTGGTGCATACCGAACACGCCAGTCTCGCCTGATCCTGCTCGGCGGATCCTCGATGGATGTGGAGCTGCCAGATGGCTACGTGTACCTACAGAACGGAATAATCAAGCCGAATTTCTTCAAGGGCAGCCCTTTTGTCAGGGGGGGAGCAAACCAGTTTGGCTAGTGCGGTATTTGCTTCTGTCGGGGGAAGAAGAAGCGACGCTCCTTTGGCTGCATCCCTGTCAGTTTCTCCAACTAGACCCCCGGAGCAGCAGAAAGTCGTCGCTCGCACCGGGCTGGCAGTCGTTCCCCTTCGCACTGACAACGTAGCGCACCCTTTAGAGTTCGCCGCGGGTCCCGCAAGGACTAGTTGACGCTCCGAAAGAAACATAGTCCCGTGCAAGAGCTTGGACATATACGCTGCGACGCAGTTAATTGGATGTAAGATCTAATGGTCTTGAGTCCTCCTTCCACACCAGACCTGCTGGCCATGCAAAAGTTGACTCGGAATGCTGTACGTATGGACGATGAAGTTGAGCTGCATGCTAACGGGACTCGCATCCGCTGGCGGCAAGGTTCTGAAGATCTTTCACCAGATCAAGTGGACCGAGAGTCGATACACATATACCAGGTAGTCATTTCTGGCTAGTGGCCACGAGATTCAGGTGCAGGCGCGGCTGATTGGGAGGCCTCTAACCAAGTCGCAGCAGGGGATTGCATGATTATGGCTGGCAGCGGGTTTGTTTTCGAATCGATGGAACCCGCCAGTGTCCCGTAGGGCTCTGCGGGCGAATCTTGGCTTCCACGAAGCAGGAGAGACGGAACCGAGTCCCTCCATCGATGTCTCACCTAAAAGATACTCAACAACTGCCAGCTCTGTCTCTCTGGCTCAGAGTCTGATGGATATAAATATAATGATGCCTCCCTTATGGCAGGCAGACCTGGTCGAAGTCGAAAGCGAACTCAGTAAGTATCCGGCCGGCGAAACCAGCAACCCACAGCCCATTCTCTTTTTCTTTCAGTTACCCATTGTCTTCTCTGGTTTTTCGTCGGCGTTTTGGATGTTGAGTGTCTAGATGATTGGTCAATGATGTTGTCCAGTCGAAGATCATCCATGGCACCCTCATTCGATCCTTCTCTTTCTTTCCGGCTCAATCTCCTCGACGCTAGGAATGATATTCCATCTTCGCTCTGTTACCTTGCCGACTATCATGATGTCGTCCAAAATTCCGGCCACATCCAAGAAGAAGTTTGCATCATTGAACGGCAAATGCGAACCTGTCACCCAGACCTGATCTTTCTGGGGAAACAATTCGAATCATGTGGCCCACATCCCGATGTCCAAGCACATTCAGATGATCAAGATGTTAACCTGGAAAACGCCTTGTCGGCTTTGGGGCTAGACGGGACAACTCCGCCAGAGCTGGGCAACATCATCCAAGACTTCAACCTTCCACAAGCACGGGCAGACGGTGGTGTGACACAACCTGCTGGAGCAGCCCATCGTCCTTTGGCCCAGGCAGCTGGGGTTATGCGACTCGGACAGCTTTCGACGTTGCAGTGGGGAGATGTTTCAGAACAAGAAAGCCGGATAGCGTATTGGCTTGCTGGCTCGACGAAGCTCGACCCCTTCCATTTAATCAACGTCAGACCCAACGACGACATCTGGCAGTCGCAGAGAGAACTCAGGAGCAGACTGACGCTGGAGGACTTCGAAAGTACAGACACCGACGCCGGAGGATCGGAAGAAGCAGAGATCTGGAGTATGGATGATGAACCCAATGAGGGCACCGACCTCACCTCAGAGATGTCGCTGTGAAGGTGCTGAGAGGGGTCGATCTTTGGCTGGAGGCCGCCATGGTCTGGATATACATACATATTGCATGGGGGGAAATCTGGAATGAGTCGGCGGTCACTGGGTTGGCGCGCGCTATGAGGAGTGTGTAATAAAGGGGGATGTTGATATCGTGTTTGCTTATTTCGGTTTCACAACATCAACCGAGCACGCAGCTTTAGAGATTGGGTCGTTGAATCGAGAAGCTGTCTCCTGTCCCTCTCTTTTGCTGTCTTTGAAGGTAATAAGCTGCATCATGTGAGGCCTCCAGCGAGTGGCGTATAAGGCTAGATAATGAGGAATTTCTATGGTAGCTATAGTATGTAGCTGGGCTCAAACAGCACGAGTCTGACAAATTGCGGCATGCGGAACCGAGCCAGTCGGCGCTTCATGGAATTCAACTTCCCATCGTCTCCTGCGCAGCCACAGCTGTCGCCCTGAAATCACTGATCCGAAATGGGCCCTTCTCCCTCTGCATGACTGCTGGACACCCTTCTTCCGCCTCAGAATGTCACAGCCCCCGAAGGATTGCTGTCGTCGTTGTTTGACTCTCTTCACCACTTGACATGGCTGACGGCGTGGTATCCCAAGGGTTGTCCCTAGTAGGATGGGCATTTCTACCAGCCGTACGTGGCCCAATGTCCTTGGAGGTCTCTTTTACTGATCTGAACCCAGTACGCCACAGTCTTCCTGCAGTCGATCTATTACCGTCTTACCATCCGCGCTGGACAGCGGCATCCGCAGCCGGGTGAACCCCTATTTGCCTACCACAACCGCCGCATACGCGTCTTGGTCTTGTCACTCTACCTCGTATACACCCTCGCTCAGGCCCTCTACGATATCAGACTTGCTGGGGATTTCTACACACTCCTGGGAGTCACGCCAGGGTCAACGGAGCGCGAAGTCAAGAGCCGGTTCAGGAAACTGGCCGCAAAATATCACCCGGACAAATTGCACGAGAACGGTCAACCTTTTCCTGGTGCCGAGCAAGTATTCGTGCGCTTCAAACTGGCCCATGACACGATTTTAGATCCCGCAAAGCGCTTTGCCTATGATCGTTTCGGGCCTGTCATTGTCCAGGTTCAGCATCCCGGACTCAAAACGATTCGAGACTATGTCTATGCCGGCCTTCGCTCCAAGGCTCCTGAATATCTGTCCAATGCCGGACTGCTTGTTTTGTTAAACTACATCTGGCTGCCGAAATGGGGACAGTTTTGGCGCTATTTTGCCGTTGCCTGCATGGCGTTCCTGGAGCTGTACTTCCTGACTCATATCTGGCAGCCTCCAACATTTGTGGTACTTTGGGCGTCAACGGTTAAAAAGTTCTTACCAGACCTCCTGCCACCTCACCTTCTCCCTTTCCAGATTCTAGGCCTAGCGAGGCGCATGTCTCTGTCTGTGAATATTTTCATCTCTCAGCTCGCCCCCCCTAAGGCAAGGGAGGGAGCTATGCGTGACCTGCAGACGCAGCAGCAGATTGCGCATCTAGCTCAGGCGGCAAGCAGACTAGATGCAGAATCCGGTGGATTGCTTCAGCTAGGATTGAGCCCGTTTAAGGGAGACGGCGAGAAATCAGACCATCTGAGGTCGGCAATGAAGGAGTCGTTAGTCACAAGCGCGTTGAGAAAGAATCCGGAAGTGAGAGCAGCGGTGCAGAGGGCTCTTGACAGGAGAAGACGTGGGCCGATCATGCAGGAACCAGACTGAGGGTCGCCCTTGCATTCGGCATAGAAGATACTCGGTAGAAGACTAGGAAAAAAGCAATCTTCGAACCGGGACATCATGTTTATCCCCAATCATTGTTATTCTTAGTCCCGTACTCAATCCGTGTGTACTCTGTAGGTATGGGTGATGCCCGTCTTGAGGTGCCCGCACTACCTATTCAGGCCTCTTTTTCACAGTCCTTGGGTTGTTTATCACTCTGGTACGCGGTTCTCGGTACTGTTTGATGGACGGCCATCACTTATGACGATGATAGGGTGTCGGCGACCGGCTTGGAGGCCATTGGGATGCGATTTGGAGACGAGGCTGGACCAATCGTCCCCGATCGCAGTGCCGAGGGTCCACTGCCACCTAGCAATCACCTTCTCCACTATCCCAACCTGCCCAACGCGACTCGGTGCCAGGAACCCGGTTATCATCGCCCGCAACTCGACAACCTCAGCTTGACTCAACTCAACTCACCGCTGTCCTACCTCTCACTCCTGCGGCTCTCTCTCCAGTATCTTGCACCATGCGGCCTGTACTATGTCGTCGCCCTTCAATACCACCTCGCTTCGCTTCAGATCCTTCTGCGACACAAACGATGATCTCCTCCCCCGGCCGAGCATGGACACGCGCTCAGACCGCATTCCGGACGACGTCGACACTACAGTTATGACCCCGACCAATAACTCCCGCCCTCCTAGTAGCGATGGGAAATTGCGGTGTTGCTGTGGGAGGCCAGAATGTGCCTATCTTGAGAACAACAACACTATCCTGGGCGGCATAGAGAGGGACCTCGAGACCGCCGCAAGATTGGGACAGGTACGTGCACGTCTACATGTCGGAACACCGGATGATGCTCTGTTTGCACACACACGTCGTTGGTTGCGCCTGGATGCGTCACGTTTGGTCATGTGGGCAGTGATTCTGAGGAAGGCGCAACACAAGAGTGACAACGTCCAGGCCTCCACTTCTACCTTGCTTGTTCATGCCCCATTCTTCCCTGATCAGCGCCCCTCCCTCATGCGCTGCCCAGTGAAATGGATATACTATTTCCTATAGCAGCTGGTTGCAAAGCCGCAGTCGAGAAGATGCAGACGAGCAGCGGGCTAACATTCGCTCTTCAGGCCCTTCTGAACCGCCACGAATCCTACGTTTCTGAGTCGCAACAAGAGCACCAGCGCCTAACAGCCTACATCAACGAACTGGAGAATGAAAGGTCGGCTTTGCAGACCACGAACGACAAGATTGTGGAGGAAAATCGCCAGCTCTTGACACAACTCGAAACTGCCAACACATCCCTCAAGGAGAGTGACAGCCATGTCAAGAGCCTTGAAGCGCTGCTTCGTGACTGCGAAGTCGAGGTCCGAAGATTGAACGGTCTCAGCCGGCGGACCGAGGAATTGGAGCTCAAAATACTTGAGATGGAGAAGGAACGAATGACAATAACCCAACAGGCGGATGATGCAAGAGGAGAAATCCGAAGCACCGTCAAGCGGTGGAAAGAGAGCGAGATCAGAGTCCGTCAGCTTGAGCGCGAAGTTCAAAGGATTGAATGGGACGCGAAGGAGGACAGGGAACGGTACGAAGAGATCATTGCAAGGCTGGAACGTGAACGTGTTCTCGAGAGAGAACTGGGCGGTGCTGAAGGTCGATTGAAATCTGCGGCTGCTTTTCGAGGTCCAGACGCCCAGGAGAAGACCACCAATGTTGTCGGCCACTTCGTCCGGGACATTCTTCAGGATAATGCAAATCTACAGGCCGGGGTCGTCGAACTGAAGGAACTGCTTCAAGCGTCAAACGAAGAGGTACAGAACCTGAGAGAGCAGATCCTTGAGCATCAGCCTGTAGACGACAGCGGTTCCGGGGCCATGTCGGGGTCAGTCCCTTTGAGCGATCAACTGGGCTGGTCACAACCTGCTCCGAATGTGCAACAATCAGTTCACGTCCACCACCATTATCACGCCAAACTTGCGAAGCGGGATCGGACTCCAACGGTCCGAAGATCGTCTCGCAAGAGGACGGTATTGGGCCTGGGGATGCTTCCGTCAACCCCAGAGTCATCTGCTCCCACCACGCCGGTCGCCGGTCCTCATCGGCTTTTTTCCAGCCCGGTGTTGCCTATCACTCTCCATCAACCACAGGCAACAAGGAAACGTTGGTCTATGCAATCAGCGGCGACAAGCTCGTCTATGATGTCCAGTTTCCCAAGCTCTCCACGGTCGTATTTGGAGCAATCCAGCTCCATCTTCGATCGGCTCGAAGCTGGTGAAGAATCATCTAGACCCACGAGTCCCGAGTCTACTGGCGGCCTTGCCTCTCCACCGTTGAAGTTCAATCCTGGGTATGAATACGACGAGAGAACAAGGCTCCCGCTAGAAGAGGAGGAGCGCGAGGTTGGCGGCGCAGAAGCGTTTCCAAAAGATGAACACGAGGGTTTGAGCGACGAAGCAGACCTTCAGCATGGAGAAGAGGCCAAAGGATCAGGGTCTCATGACTTGACTCCCAAGCCTTCGCAAATTCCTGTTGGCGGTGGGCGGATGAGTGACACAGTCCAACCGGACCCACCAGCACCAAACATAACGGATCTGTCGCAGGAAGCCTCCAAAACAGAGCCACCCAATATCATTATTGAAGGGGAGCCTGTACTGAGTATGCCGGAGGAATCAGCAGAAGATGTTCAGGAAGATAGGATGTCGCCATCGACCACTCCGTATGATCTAGATGATGCTTCCGACATTGCCAACCGATCCAAGCTTCGACGAACATCCTCCCATGACTCCCTAGTGTCAATCTCCGGCATGGACATCCACATCGCCAAGCGACCAACTTCCTCATCATCTCAGTCGTCGAGCGTGTTAAGAGGCAACAAGGCATATTTCGCTCTTGGGCCATCAGCGGCTCGAAGGATCGCTTCTGCACAGCCATTGGCGACGGTGACGGAGTACACAGCATTGAGCTCGATGACATTGTTGAGCTCAGGCTCATCCAACACTCTGTCAAGTGGACATCAACTGCCGCAACGCAGTGTAAGTTCGAGCTTCGCAGCATTGAGCGGTCTGGCGGATCTTTCACCCTCCCACGCTGAAGACCAGCAACCTTCGCCTTCGGGATTTGGGCGTCTTCTTGGTGGGTGGGTCAGAGGCAAATGGGGCATTGCACCGATGAAGTCAAGCGGCGGCTTGACGTCTTCAGCCGCTTCAATCGCGACGTCATCGTCCAGCGAAACTCAGCTCCAAGGCGCCTCCCCTTTCCCATTCATGGGTGGAAGACTTCCGGGTATTAACCAGAAAGGACCTATACCGGGATTCAAGCCGGCGCCGAAAATCAGTGGTGTACAAGTGACCATGGTAGATGAAGAGGGACTGAAGCAGACTTTGGCGGAGGGATGATCGGCTTAGAATAAGCTCGGCCGCGGGAGACGATGATAATGCTATGGCGACGGCATTAGGTGTAAATGTTGAGTTGGATCAGTGAGCATTTCCGCAAGCATTGTCTGGATGGCATGATGATACCCCTGAATTGCTATCCTGGCGGGTTCATATAGAGCGAGTTGGATTGGACGGATAGTAAATGAAGCTACATTGCGATATGCTTATACCGCTGCACAGGGATCCAGCGTTGGTATTGCACCAGCAGTTCATCGGTCCTGCACTGCAATTTTAGGGCATGGAGAGCCATCGTCGTCGAGCGCCACGTATGTAATGGATTCAATGATTGTGCCTTTTACGGTTTGGGCGAAATACTCGGTACGCATGCAACAATGACTAGAGCAAACCATCCCTAGGACCAGGACTAGGAGTCGTCCTCCACGCGCACGCACGCGCTACTGATAATGTTTGTACGGAGGAGATATTGAGAATACTTACCTACCGTAGATGGTTGATGGCTGATGACTGAGAGCCTCTGCGATGCGGCGTCGGTCGGCAAGGAAGTACTCTGTACAGGGTACTTGGTATACAAGCTGATAGACATTCCTTTCCATACATCCATCTATACTCCGCAGAAATTGGAGGGGTCTTTGGGTGAGAGGGGGAGCGAGCAAGGAGCAAGGACTCGTATACGCTAAATTTGCAGTGCTCGAAACGTTAGCAACAGGTGCTAATATCCCGTCCCTGTCCGTCCCAGCGCGCTGAAGGGCCAGACACGCTAAAAATGCAGTGCAGGCAGGATAGTTTCCACGCTGCCTGATTGTGAGCTTGTTGATCTGCGGCTCGGCGGTGAATTGGCCTTCCTCCTCTCCTGCCTCTCATGTACACTAAAAATACAGTGCGACTCTCAGGCTGCCACGGAGGCCGTCGAAATTGTCTTGTATTCGTTCTTTCTTCCTCGTCATCCCTTCCTCTCACATCCACTAAAAATGCAGTGTAGGGACGAGGCCAGAGGGAACAGAATCCTGTAGTTTCCCCTTTCCTTCCTATCCCATGCCTTGAAGGTTCCAATACACTTAAAAATGCGGTGCTATTGCGAGTTCGCTCTTCCTCCCCCCTCTCCTCTCTGCTCCCGTATACACTAAGAGTGCAGTGCAAAGTCGGAAAGCCTGTCGTTTTACAAAGATGGTTTCTCGCATGTTTAGACTCCGGTTCAACACAGCATGCAGGGAAATTTCTTCCTAGGTCGGGGCGAATAGGAAGCAGGACAGAGCATTTGAGATGCTCTCACGGCAAGTCGTCACGCTTTCATGTTGAATGATCAAAGGTTGTCCCCCGTTATTCAGAACGGGGACTACGGTAGACTATATAGACAGTACTGGGTGGCTGGGCTGGATCACGTGACTTCCCAACCTTTAGTTTAACACATGGCCAGGGGCGCTGGACGCCTGACTAACCTCTGGTTGATGTGTCTTTCCTCAAGTCCATGGTATCGACTAATGTTGTAGTCGTTTGGTAGAGGGTATGGGCTTATATTGCAAATGACGGACGTCGGCATATCTCTGGCAATTGATCGCCGCCGCATCACCGTTGCCTGCTATCTCGACCAAGCTCGACACATATATACAAGCTGTGTGCCTTGGTCATTTGCAAATACCTTCCATCACTCGGTGCCTCTATGGCTGGGGATCTAAGGCAATGCAAAGCTGATATGACACGAGCGCGAAAATGAAATTGCGAAAGAAGTTTCGTCCCAAGACTCGGACGAGGTGCGCGATATCTCTGTCAGTGCAGCAATATCTACGCAGCGAGAATACTTATTCGTACATGCTGAAGAGACAATAGGCGCCGCCACACTAAGTGTGATGAAAAGATCCCCCCCTGCACTCGTTGCTTGGTGTCTGGACTTTCTTATCTAGGACCGACGGTCCTTCGGCGGTCGGAATTTGTCACAAGCTAGAATGGCGGCGAACTCAGGGCTCTACAATGGTTCAGAGAACAGACTGTTAAGAGCCTGGCAGGATATCATGGCCTTGTGTGCAACCCTGTGATGGCAATGGCAACCATTCCATCACTGACCTTTGCTCCAGGACTTTTGGAGCTGTGCCCTGCTGTGCCCTACTGCGCCTCAGCTACCGTCATGCTCCTCTGCAGCTCTTCATCGTACCTATCTCTAGTCTCGATGAGTCGGCCCGGCTCGGATCTCAGTGTGGCTCTTCTGCGACTGCACAATCCCTATATTGCTTCGGCCTGGAGCAGTACGGCAAGGCAGTACTTGGCGTCCGACAGAACAGCCCGCCTGCACCTATAGAGCTCATCGCGTCGACGATTTTCTGTTTCGTTATGGAATTGTGGCTTGGAGACCTTGCTAACGCTCAAATGCATGCTTTTGCAGCACTTCGATTACTATCGCTGCCAGAAAATGTACACCAAGTGGACAATGAGGCTCAAGTACTGTTGACTCTGTACTTGCGCCCGATGATTTTACGCATGTCTCCTCATTTCACCGGCGGGTCGACAATGTACAGAGAAATGGCTCAAAATATCTATCTGCAGCCCTCCTTTACCACCGGCCAATTTCAAGTTCGAAACGCTGAAAGAAGCCCGACGCAATTTAGACTCAACTTCCGAATTTGTGCCTGCTGAAGCCAAGTCCGCTGTGGCATCTTTTAAGACAAGAAGTCCTCAAACTGCAGTTGCGACAGCTTTGGAAGCACCTTGACCAATGGCCATTCCTCTCCAAGATGAAATGCTCTTCGACGACTTCAATCACAATTTAGACGCCTTGATTGACGCTTCCGAGTCTATCCTGAAACATGAAAGTAAAGCTAATCTCGGAGGAGGTACTAGATCGAATGATCCCTCCGCGATGATGGCTTTATTCTTCACCGCGAGCTCGTGCAGGCATCCTTGCATACGAAGACGGGCGCTCCGACTCTTGTATAGGTACAAGCGAGTGGATCTGATATACAACAGTCTAGCCGTTGGAATCCTCGCCGAACAAATTATGATGCTGGAGGAAAGAGACAGCGAAATCAGAATCTCTTCTGACGTCGAAGCAGCCTGTCGTGCACATATTGTGAGCCTGAGGTACGATTCTGGGTATCTGACAAATGCAACACCGTATGTAACCAGTTTAACCAAGGTTTCAACGATGCTAACATGTTTTTACGACTTAGACAAAAAGTGATCATCAACTTTGAGCAGCCGCACGCAAAAGACAATTCTGGGAGTTCAGGAGACGTCCCTGAACTTCATCAAACAATTGACAGGTCATGATTTCGTCTGGTCTCCTGCAGTGCTCAAACACCCATCCTCATGGACTTGGGCTTTGACCAAGAATACTTGAAATACTTGCAAATGTTTCCGGGAAAGCATGCGGCGTACAGGCTATGGACAGCTGCCATTCATTAGTGGGGCATTATTGCTGAGAAATGACACTATGAAGGAAGGAGAGCGGCTATTTTTGGCAGGAAAAGTTACTTTTAAGTCAGCACTCGTCTATGATTTCATTGAGCGGATCATTCGTGGGCAATATTATGACTGAGATTTAGTTTTAGGACTCCAACCCTAGCGAGATTGTATTGCTCTTCTATGAAAGCCACATGAGAAGTAGTGATGACTTAACCCATCCATCGCTGCCTCGTTATTCAGCAACGAAGATATAACTTGATACCTGGATATGCTGCTCTAGAATATTTCAGTAGGTGCAGACACGGACTGACCGGAGATTTCTACCGCTATATCTGAAGCCATATTACGGTCAAGTTTCATTGCGTCTCATTTCTCGGCGCGAACGAAACAGATAACTAGGATGGGTGACTGAATCTGACGACTCAAGTCATCTCGAAGTCATAACGGACACTGAACCCTTCGTCTACAGATTGTGTTAGGTTCAATGCAGTACACAGATCGATTGTGATGGTTGAGGCCCAGACAACGAGGGGCTAGAATACCGCGCCTGAAACGAATTTGTCTCAATCCTGTGCAGGAAGGACTATCGGTAAATCACACCGATATCACTTCTTCGTGATGACTAGAGAGTTTTTGTGCTCCCGCCGTATCTGGCTCCCGGACACTGAGCAGGCGGTCGCCTCTTCCTTTCGAGTCTCCTTCCTTATCCACAACTTGTGCACTTGCGTGGTTGGCTTCGTCACCAAATAGTTCCGCAACTTCTTCAAGCGGCATGCCACGTGTGTTCGGGAACCATAAGAATATTAACGTGGCAAAGGCCATACCCGGAATGATGAAAACGAGGTAGAATTTCCAGCCAATCGTTGAAAAGGCGGTCGGTGCAACTTGGGGCCATACGATATTGATTAAATTCACGCCGGCAACGCCAAAACTAATGCCCTTGGCCCGGAGGTGAGTTGAAAACAGCTCTCCAAGGTAGACAAATTGGCCACTGTCCAGGGCAGATTCGAAAATAACAATGTAGATCTGCAAGCCGTCAGAAAACGTGGCAGGACAACCAGGGGTCTCCCAACGCCTCCCAACACCCTGGGTAAGAGGGGGCAAGAAGGGTTGATCCAACATACGTAGAACATTGCAACCGCAGCTTGCAAGGCAGACTCGTTAGGATGGGCCAGAGATTCGGGGGAGGTTGCGTATGTGGCGACAAGAGCCGCTTCGATAGTCAGACATACGAGAGAACCGGTGATACCGCCTGCGAGAAGGACCGGACGGGACATAGTGTCCACCACCCAAAGTGAGAGTAGACCTCCGCCAAAGGCAAGGGTCAGCCACCCGCACTGATACAAAAGTTGCTTCGTGACGCTAAAGCCCAAGCTTTTGTAAATAGTTGGGCCGTAATTGTTGATCAAGATTGGACCGCAAAACTGGATCGACACGGTGGTGATGAACGCCAAGATACATCGTTTGCGATAACTTGGCTTCGTGAACAGAGCCCAGTAAGAGCTATCGAGGCGGTGCTCAATCTCGGCCTGCGCTTTAATCTGGAGGAGTTCGTGCTCGGCTTCGTCGGGTGCGTGTAATTTCTTGAGGATATGGCTCGCCTCGGCGTCTCTGCCTTGGATGGCCAACCACCGAGGGCTTTCTGGCAACCAATACAGGCAGGGAAGGAGAGGGGCAACGGGTAGACACTGAAGTATCATGGGCCCACGCCATTGCCAATTGTTGGAGGCCGGAAGATGCCAGAAACAAAAGCCAACCCAAGCCGCCAGACAGTATCCCAGAAGCAGTGATGCTCCATGAACTGCAACCAGCGACCCGCGATTATGCGCGGGAACAACCTCACTCATCCAGACTGGAATGGCAGAAACCAGTGCGTAAGAAGCCCACCCTGCCCAGAATCGACAAGCAATGAACATGGTGAGATTGACGCTTCCGGTAAGTAAAGCGCCCATGACAAGCACAAGGGCTCCGGGGATTGCGATTCCTGCACGTCGACCCCAGCGATCCGAAGAGAATGCGACGGTGAAAGTCCCAAAAAACCCTCCCGCTTGGTAAAGGGAATTCATCAATCCGATGATGTCGTTCTCGTTGGGGCGAGAGCTAAGGTTGAAGTAAGTGTAGAAAGAGGGTTGTGCCAGCGTAGTCGATATTACACTGGCCGAATAACCATATGCCAAGGACCCAAGCGCCATGACCACGATAATGAAGGCATTGATCGGCTTGAACTGACGTTGAGGAAGATGACCCATTTTGTCGGGAGGGAGAGTGGCAGAAGGAAAACTGACAGAATAACAAGCAGCCTTGTTGGAATCCCAGGGGGACCGTGGTAGTGCTGTCATGCTTGTCGATACAGAAAAAAGAATCCTTCACTATAAATACTGCGTCAACAGCGGAGATTTTGCTGGAATTGCTCGGCCGGTGGGAGGGCGAGTAACTCCGTCCCGAGGTTCAGGAAGACGCGAAAGGCTCATAAACATCCATGGAGGTCTCGATGCAGCCTTTCTGGAAGCCGTACGAGTAATATTGCCGGCGGTCAAAGCGTCCCAGATCATGGTATCAATTCCACGAGAGAACAAGCGAACCGGAGCGGTCGGCAATGAGTCTCGGCGGTATGGCGGCTTTCAGGGACCATTTTTGTTTTCTTGCAGCAGAAGTGTCCGTGAGTTTTAGAATTGCAGAATCTCATCTCCAGCCTTGGGGCCCCGGACCGGGGGAAAGCGAGAGAAAGTTCATCAGGTAAAATTGCTAAAGCCTGTTCTCTGTCCGCCTCGAACATCTCGTGTCGGGGAAGATTTGTGGATCCGAACGCGCGACTAATCCTTAAAAGAGGTCACGGTATGGCATTGGTTCGGACTCTGAAAAGCGTGAGGTCTAGTAGTACATCAGCAATCTTCCTAGTAGAGCCTCGTAACATAGGGGAGTTCACCATACTACAAATTTATGAAAATTGATTGATGGCTTGAAAGGAGGGAATACGGATTATGAGATTTGTGAGTTGAAAACACCACATTTACCATGTCTAGTCAAGCCTGAAAATACATTTGACTCACCATGCATCTAGTCCTGCTCTCCATACCGATCGGGTGCATGTCAGAGACGCAGCATATGGTCAGTTACCTCAGTAAATACTTGGCAGTCTGTCGCCCTCCAAGCCCAGCCTCGGATAATGTTATTGATTGTCAGTTTGACGTCTTGACATGATCTAGAATAAAGGAGGTATCCTCCTCGCGTTAGCTCCAAGTTTATGTTGATCTCTTGAGCCGGCGGGCCGGCGGGAGTTCGGCCAACGGCCTTTGGATCCACCTCCCAAGTTTAGCATTAATTTAAAGTGGATACCTGCCCAGCCTTAGAGCTTGCTACATCAATCTCAGACCTAATCGGGCAGGACAGTGATGAAACGGGGATACGTCGGAGTGTGCAAAAGAAGAAGCAGCATGTCCTCGGGTGAGCCAGCTTCTGCTGACTAGTTTCAAGATTGTGTAAGGTAGCGTTGAGGACTAGAGTATATAGAAACACTATATTCTTGGAATCACAGCCATTCCTTAGCAAGAACTTATGCAAAGGACATGGATATAGTGTCATTCTCAACCAATACCCCGCCAGATGCACTGTTCTGTGCATCTGGCCCACCCAACCACGCGTCCGGAAAGTTGACCAAGTCCGAAAACCCATCCGGTGTATGGACATACAAGAAGGGACTGTGTGCAGTGGTAAGTTGCTCGTCCAGGTTTGTAAGTGCAAAGTCTATGGACTTCGGCTCTTCACTAACCGCAGCTTGAATTGCAGTATCACCTTCGGCGTTTCGACATCGATCCTGTCCACATCTTTGACATTGGTCATATCCAGTCATGGACGTCTTTTCTGGGACAGTTGATGGGGCCTTTCCACAGACCGCAGCTGATACCCGTTTTGTCAGATCCGGTAGAGCATTAAGCTTGGACTCGACATAGTTCAAGAAGTTAACCGCCCATTCTGCAGCAAGATGGCCATCCACAAGTTCCCGAAGGGCTTGTCTGCATTCTTCCAGCCGTTGACGTCCTTCGTAGCGTAGCATGGGGTCATCACTTTTCATGTCGGTAATATGGCTGATACTTATTGGGAAGAGACAGCTTATCACAGTGGGGGGCATTTCCTTCATCACATCTGCTGCATAAGCATCCATAATGATTTTGTTCACCTGTATGGCGGCTTCTCGAACTATTGCACGTGGTGCACCTTCAATTTGTTGGGCTGCGTTCCGTTCGTCGGGCCCGCCAGATGGAAGGCTCCTCTGTCGATGTATCAAGACGAAACCAGTGTGATACAAAATGGAAAGTAGTGCGCGGTGCACAAATAGTGCCCTTTCGTGCGCATCCGATCGTGAAGGCATTGGACCGACGTGTAACACTTCGGAAGGCGCACTCTCCAGCCATCCACGAAAGTCATCTTCGATCTCCCTCAGCTCGCGCGGCTCAATATGAGTTCTCCGATGTTTAGGGAAAGAATTAAAGTATAAAATATCGATATTTCCCGTTGATGTCTCGTGATAAGCCTTGAGGAGCACCCTGGTGATAATTCTGCATATGCTAGCTGTTTGTATGCAGACCGCTGCTTGTTGCCTCTGTAGATATAGAGATTTTGCTCTCACATTTTGGTCGTTGGGCCGTGAATGGACGTTTATTTCGAAGTCATCTAGAGTTAAGGGTGTCACCCGAAAATCCGAGTCTCGGATCCGTGGAACTCGATTCGTTGCAATTGAGGCAAACGTGTCTCTGATCGTGCAACTCCACCACAGGCGTCGTCTTAGTGCGCGAGCTTTCGGCTTCAGATATTGGTTATTGATGTCTTGATGCAATCCGATGGCTCTGGCGAGAGAAAGGGCGATACCTAGCCAGTGCCAGCCATCCTTGTGTTGGGGTGGTCCTTCCCACCAGAGCGACAGGAGAATGAGTGTTTGAATGTTGCACATAGGGTCTTTTTCATAATCTAAATCATACAACAACTCCAGGGGGGTCAATTAACCATTCATCCGACAAACCACAGCCTCACTCACCCGGGTTCTTAGATAAAAGGTCATCCGCGCGGCCTTCCTGGTCAGGAAGCCTCGCCTCCTCAGTAACTTGATATCAACCCAGGATGATCCCGCAAACATGACCGCTTGGAGAACAGGGAGGCTGAATTGCTGATCTGAGTTACCACAAAGGGCTTTGTCCAACAGGTCCAGGTCGAGGAACGGATAACATGGGTGGATGTAGTCGATATAGCTCTCGATCAACGCATCCCGAAGCTCTGCGTCAGGGAGAGAACAAGCGCCTTTCTGATGGAGATAATTCATATCTGCCCTTGAAAGACAGGAGGGGGCTGGCTTAACAAATCGTGCTACGGGGGAATCAGTTGATGATGCTTCTGAGGCAGGCCACGTCTGACCAAAGGTCGGAGATGCAGATGAATTTGGAGAGCACGGAGGAGGAAGGCTGTTGAGTGCAGCCTCACGCCAATCAATTTCGTCCTCACTATCTTGAGTTGACTTGTTATCGAGACCAGCGGATGTTTCTTGTAACCTGGCGGGACCGGAATCTGGATAGGTTTGATCTATGTTACTAATAGACGAAAGGTGTTGCCGCGATTGATTATTATATGGTCCGACATCAGCTGTATCAACAGCGGATAAGGCTGAAATATCACTTGAATGTCCTGTTGGCAGACCACTCTGGCGTTTCGTGAGACTTTCTTTGGTTTTAGCGCGACGCTGCCTCGGCAATAGAATGCACTGGACGTCTTCGAAGACGCAATTCGTGCAGGGCTGACTGCCTTTGGCATCACACCTGATCTTTCGTGCTCGGCAAAGAGTGCATGCTGCCCGCGCACGTGGAGGACAGAGGAGACCGTTCCGTCTTTGGTTTGATAGATAGATGCTTCGGACCAGAGGCTCTCTAACCTCGGGCGTCATTGTGCACATGCGATTGGGGCGAAGAATTGATCTGAGATTGCAGTGGTATTCCTGGCGATGCTATTTCGAGCGACCAGTTTCACGAATGCAGTGGAATCAAGTCGGGATGGTGGTCGTTGGAAAGGATTCGGAATACGGTGAAAGTTGAGAGAAGGATTGGCAGGTGGTTGGGAGTCTCCCTTTTTAAGGAACCAACCCCGTTGCGGGGTCTCCAGGTCATGGCAAGCCGGATGGGTTGTTGGTGTGGATCTGGCGGCATAATGCGTTGTGCTGGTGGAGACGCATTAATAATCATCAGTCGTGTGTCGAAATTCACTCTGTTGTTCCTGCTTGTGCGAACCCGATCAGTGTCAGACTCATCAGCCTTCTTAACAATTGAGGCGGAACTTAAGTGTGGTATGTATTGCTGAAACATCCAAGTCTATTATCATTGGCCAGAGTGCAGAGCAAGGGTAATGGAAACACAAACCGTATGAAAAAGTGCAGTTGAGCAACCATCAGCTTCCTTAGCCATGTTCCCAAGCAAAAGACTGCGTGTTCTCATGTGAAGACTTCAAAGGAATCAATACCGACTCTCTGAAATCTGGTAGAGGTGTTGAGGCGAACGGAGGAATGTTAAGGAGACTTGGATGACACCGGAAGTCCTATAGGAATGAAAAACGAGTCTCTGGGTCGCTCCCTCAACCGGATATTGAAAAAAAAAAAAAAAAAAAAAAAAAAAGAAAAAAAAAAAAAACTCATGACTTCGCAAACGTTCGAGTAGATTCTAGTGAACATGCATTGTATCTTATGAAGTGGGTGCAGTATTACGCGCTTCTGTCGAAATTGATCACACTCAATCGTTTGCAAGATGTGTCTCCCACCGCAGATAAACCAGTGCCACCGTTGAGACCACACAAGGAATTATGTGCTATATGGAAGCAAGACAGATACTTATCATACTAATTATTTTTATTATGAGCTGCGGTCAGCTTACATTCACATATGGATATTGATAACCGTGTTCTACCGGCCGGTTTGAAATTGGGTGGACCCCTCAGAATACACATCAAGACTCTCGCGAAACTTCAACTAACTGTAGATGTTTGACTGTAGTGAATTTATAGCTAGGAACCAGTTAACTGCGCGTAGGTTACGGGTACCATTCTAACTTCGGGGGAAGAGCAGAGAGCAGACGCAATAGAATGGCATTCCTTGAGTTCAGAAGCCACTTCGACAAAGAAAATAGCCGATGTCCCTCAAATGGTACCTCTGAATTTTTGTCGTGTGCGAAATGCAATTGTGCTTCACAAAGAGATACAGAACTGAAATCCCGCGGATGGGGTTACAGCTGCCTTCTCTGAACATGTCCGGGCCGTCGGAATTGCCTAATCATGACCATCGTCCGGGCCCCCTGCCAACTTCGTCCCTGCATTTCCCACACAACCGAAGTGAAGTCTGTGGAGGAAAAGCGCCTTTTCGAATTTGACAAGCAATGTAAAATTTGGCTTTACTTCGTGAGGAACCATCTCCGCGGTAGTTTTTGCGATATAAATACTTGGAAGCGTCATCCACGGTGTAACAACTGCTGAACAGGAAGTCGCAGTTGACAAGTTCACCTTCACAGTCCTCACCATTTCCGAACCACTAATATGGCACCAAACTTCGGCGAACTTTCAGAACAAGCAGCTCTCGGTAGAAAGCTCAGTGGGGAATTTCTAGGAGAGAAATTTTTTCACAATGTGCTCACTGACATGGTAGGTGATGTCAGGAGCAAGTTCCCCCTGAAAGACTAAGCCCCAAGGACTTTCTCCTAGATCATGACTAACACAGGAGTGCATAGAAGGACGATATTTTCACAAAAACGAGCATGGAATACATTTGGGAGACATGTTTCGCAGCCTATGCAAGGCCAGGCTTGGAATGGAAGGAGCGGTCACTCATGAATATCGCTATGTTAATTGCCTTGGGTCGGGGGCCTGAACTTCGCATCCATATCCGTGCTGCTGTGAACAATGGGTTTTCCGAGGAGAAAATTTGCGAAGCTATCCGCCATGCAATGATCTACTGTGGTGTTCCAGCTGGGCGAGACGCCATGCTGATCGCCAGCGAAGTTATGGGTGAATTAAAGGCATTAGGAGAGTATCCAAAGAAAGTATGAGACTTGGTGGCGCGTGGCGCGAAGCACGATTACGGCCCACACCAGGGATTCCTTGCCATCAAAGCCTGCGCCTGGTATAGGTGGACGGGCATCTTCATAGGAATTAAGAACGAGCAACCATTTCTGGATGAATGATAATGTACCAGCCGTACTTGTGTAATTTTCTTCATTTTCCCGCCATGGTAGCCGGACAACGTAAAGGCGATCCGAAATAAAGGCCGCTGAACACCCAGATGCTCACCCAGATGCTCACCCAAGATTTAATTTGATATGTTAATTCGGTAAATTTCACCGGAATCCATATTTCAAATGCTATTTGACATGCTGTTCCTTCTTAGACCGTGTAACCCGATTATCGGTCCGAGGAATTTTGCGGCTTCAGAGGGAAGGCAGAGTGCATGCTGCAAATATCAGCGTCTGTAAGCTCTCTAGTCACCATAACAAGACCCTAGTTGGAGACACAGTTCTCTGAGGGCATTCTTTTCGAGGTTTTACACATCTGTGCATTAAATATTTCATCATGGCATACGAATACAAAGGGCCTATTGATGCCAGCGCCCCTTTCGGTGAAAGCCACATCAAAGGCAAGACAGCTATCGCCACTGGAGGTAGATAGCCGGTTCCAGAGCTTCTCGATCAGCAAGACTAATAAGATATCTCGCAGGCGCCAACGGAATAGGCGAAGCTTATGTCCGACACCTTGTTAAGGCGGGGTAAGTATCATGTTGATTCAGAGTGAGCGACATGGGCCTTAACAGTGGTCAGAGGATTCGTTACAATTGCAGATATGGATGAAGTTCGTGGGAAAGCTCTGGAGAAGGAGCTGTGAGAAGCATAAACATTGCCAGTCAATCCAAAAGCTTACGTCGTCCAGCTCAATCAAGTTCTTCAAATGCAACGTTTGTCATTGGCAAAACCAGCTGGCCGTGTTTAGATCAACACTGTCGGCATCTCCCGCTGGCAGAATTGATATTGTCATCGCCAACGCAGGTGTCAGTGGCGCTGACGCTGTTCATTTCAATGATCGTATGTGGTCTAACCAGGCCCCAATCTGCTTTGCAAAAGTTCTGCGCTAGAGGTGGTCTCTCAGTCAGCCTCGACGAGCCGGAAGAACCAAGGCTGAATGTCCTCGACGTCAATCTCATTGGCGCCCTATATACAATCAAACTTGCCTTGTTTTACTTCCGCAAACAAGGTTCGAGTGGTCAAGTACAAGACCAGAATCTGATATTACAAGGAAGCCTCGCGGGCTACACCGATTTTCCTGGTGCACCACAGTACGTCGCCTCAAAATACGGTCTTCGAGGCATTATGAAGTCGTTGAGGTGGTCAGAAGTTCAATTTGGCACTCGAACTAATTATGTAGCGCCATGGTAATGGATCTTCTTGCATCTCAATGACAAATGTATGACTGATTGATTGCAGGTTTGTGAAAACATCTATTCTGAGTCCGGCAGAGAAAAATTGGCTCGATTCTTCTGGAATCGAGTTTGCAGAGGTTGAGGATGCGGCTTGTTGTGTCATGAGGATCGCGTCGGATCCGACTATCAACGGTGAGCATATTTTGAGGCGTCAAAAGTGGTGTGGGCTCACGCATTATCGCTCAGGTCGGGTGTTCGGTATCTTGCCGCGAAGTCAGGCAGCCCATGGTTTCCTTGACATGGATGTAGACGACTATAAAGAGGGGACACTGTTAGACGACCTGAATAAAATTGCTGTTGGTACAAATCACCGTGCCAATGTAGGGATGTCCGAAATTTCGAGCTACAGGAGCTAATATTATCTTCTTAGATCGACCCTACTCAGCGAAAAACAAACACTCAGTGGTAAAGAAAGATTGAAAATCTCTTTTGGAGAACCTGGTACATCTGGAAGATTTGGTCTTCGGCAGTTGATAACTCTACAAAGAGAAAAACGCTACTTTGAGTTGTGAACAGATCAATATTCCACGATAGGGATCGAGAGCTTTGCGTAGATCTAATTTAGCGGACAAGACCAAAAAAGGTGACCAGTTGGTTTCAATAGTCATTCACACTTCAATAGCATTCACAAAATATCGGGCTGTATTGCGCTCTATCTCGTTTGGGCCAGCCTGAGCTGTACTTCAAGTACGTTCTTCCAGCCTGTTGGCCCTCAGAGCTACCCAAAGATAAAAAGCCAAGGACGACGTATCCTTGTCTGGAGCTCGTTCTAGAGGTCAATTACGGGGGCGCAGCGCAGATTCACTTTCCGACTGGAGACTGCAATTTGCTCCCGAAATCTCGATATTTCTTTTTTTTTTTTTCGAAGAACTTCTGCGCCGTTCGACCATTCCCATTCTTGAAATCCCTTGGAATGTAAATGTCGAAGCAAAAGCACAATGTGCTAATCTCGTGCGGCTGCTGAACCTTCAGATGTGAAATTCCGAGGACTGCCAATCCAATGTTTCTGTGACGATACTTATTCGCCGCGGCCCGTTCGGTTTCCAGGGGCAGTCAGTATTGAAGTGATTCGTTCGTAGCTTTAAGCCATGCCGTCACGGCTTTACTAAATGTGGTCTGACTGCATACGATCCTAACTCCAGAGGAAAGAACCGAAGAACAAATGTGGGCCACTGAAAGGAAAAAAGAATAAAAGGCCAACCTCGGACTACTCTTTTTAGGCATATACCTCTGAGATTTGTACCGAGTTGACCTTCTTATTCAAGTGAGATAGCAAATCATCGACACAGAAAATTTCAACGCCGGGAATCGTTGCCTTTTCCTCGTGGTATCAGAGATGGGCGACGCTGGCCGAGTCTCCGCCCAGGCACACTCACCCTCACGCAAGGCTAGCATACCTCTATGCCCTATGACAGCCTTCACTCCACGCAGGAAACTCAAGGCCATAACTGTGGGGTGTGGATTCTCTGCGCTGATATTCGCACACAAGCTACAACACCAATATCCCGAGTTCCAGCAGCTCGTATCGCATAAGATTTTCGAGCTAAGGGATGATATTGGCGGCACTTGGTTAGTGAACCGATACCCTGGTGTACAATGTGACGTGCCCGCCCATGTCTATGTATGTCTCTTCTCTCATCTTCAACGCAGCAGGAGATGACTGTGATAATAGGCTTTCCCCTTTGATCCGAAACCTGACTGGAGTCATTTCTACGCGACGGGACAGGACATTCACGCCTACATGAAACAAACTGCCGAGAAATGGAACCTTCTTCGAGATGTATACCTTAACCACAAGGTTACAGAAGCTAGCTGGCGTCAAGATCTCGGACAATGGAAGGTAACTGTTGAAAACGGCGACCGGACAATCATCGAATACGCCGACTTTCTAGTATCAGCTCAAGGTGTATTGAAGTAAGTTTCAAGGGTGAATTCATGCCTCGGGTTTTTTTCTCATATTTATAGTAAGTGGCGTTGGCCAGATATCGAAGGCCTAAACAACTTCAAGGGACACAAATGTCATTCTGCCGCTTGGGACGAAAACTACGACTATTCCAACAAGACGATTGCGGTTATCGGGAATGGGTCTTCAGGTGTCCAAATTGTGCCTACGCTTGCAAATCTACATGGGACGACTGTTCTTAGCTTTCAAAAGAGTCCTAACTATGTTTACACTCATCTCTCACCAGCACTTATGCTCGGGCGAGAGGATGACAGCCAAAACCCCCCTTTCACTGAAGAGGACAAGGCTCGATTCCGCGAGGACAAGGAGTTCCACCGAAGCTATCGCCGAAAACTTATTCATGGAATCAACTCCGCTTTCAAAATGGTTGGTGAACAGGAAATCTACTTCCTTCAGGGTGGCTAATATATAAGACACAGTTCTCCAAGGGCTCCACGGAAAACGCAGCAGTGACAGAGGCGGCCCGTAGTCAAATGGCTGAGAAACTCAACCACGACCCGGAACTGTGTGCGAAGCTAATCCCAGAGTGGGGTCTGGGCTGTCGTCGAATCACTCCCGGAGAGGGCTATCTGGAATCTTTCATGAAGCCTAACGTCGAGTTGGTGACGAGCGCGGTGGTCAGGGCAACTGAAGATTCAGTTATCACGGCAGACGGTCGAGAGTTCAAGACCGACGTGATCGCCTGTGCCACTGGATTTGACGTCTCGTTGACGCCCTCGTGGAACATGATTGGACGAAACGGTGTCAATCTGAACAAGGAGTGGGCCGTCGACCCAGAGGCGTACCTCTCAGTCGCTGCGCGGGACATGCCTAACTACTTCATGTTCCTCGGACCCAACGCCGTCATTGCACACGGCTCCCTGCTGGAATCAATCAACTGGACTGCCGATTATATTCTAAAGTGGCTACGCAAGGTTGCCACCGAAAACATCAAGTCAATTACTCCAAAGCCTGCAGTAATTGATGAACTAACTCAGTATGGAGACGAAGTACACAAGACGCTAATTTGGTCTGATAGTTGCACAAGCTGGTTCAAACGAAATGTGCCAAACGGTCGGATCACCGCAGCATTTGCGGGAAGTGCCCTATTGTTCCGCAAACTGATAAGCGAGATACGTGCAGAGGATTTCGACATTGAATACTGGAGCGGCAATCGCTGGTCATTCCTGGGCACTGGCTTTACAGAGTACGAGTTGAACCCAGAGAATGATTTATCATGGTACATAGAACATTAGCTACCAAATTAGTTTCAACATTGTCGGACTGTCCTCTCGTTAAAAGCTAAGGCTGAATGTGAACAGAGCACTCTTGCCTTTTGACCTCCTTGTCTATTTGATAGTCTAGCGTCAGCTTGTTATGAAATAAACGAGAAGAATATTAATCCTGAAAAGGTATAAAACTAAGAGAGAAAAAAATAGCCAAAACGGCATGGAAAAGAAAAACGCTACGGCTCGTCACCTACTTCGTAAACAAGCTTATAAGTTATTGCAGCTGAATTTCTGGTTCTCAGCTCTTCTTGGCCTTCCAGTGCTATCAATTCTGCATGTAGTCTCACCAAATCTGCACTAGTACCAGTTCTGTGATAGCTATTCACTTATGAATTCTGTTGCGTGTTCAAGCCCCCTGGGGTGGGGGAAAACTTGGTCCCCCTCTTTTCAAAGGCTTCCAAGAGAATGGAATACATCAAGTTGCTGCTCTCGACGTCCGTCTAGCACATTAGGACTATGGGGGAAAACCTGTGCGTGCAACCCGGTGCATTCGTAAGCACATCTATCGGATGCCTTGAGAAGGCATTTGTGCGACTTCGCCACAAAGTCCTTGAGAGAACTCCCCCCTTGGGCCTGGACATATCCGAGCCAAATAGGTGAGCCATAACTTGAGCCGACCGGCCCGGCTGGCCTTTCTAGCAGATTGGGATATGATGGGCCCGACGTGCCGTGCACTAAAAGGCCCGGTAAGTAGCTTGCCACAAACAGACCCGGTGGGCCGTTGAATAGTTCCATTTGAGTCCTACACATGCCTAGTTCCCATAAACAAAATGGAATTTCAAGATCGAAAGATGACATGCTTATGGCCTCTAGTCTGCAGGAACATACTTCTGATCAAAATAATCCGGTCATACAATACATTAACACAGGGCACGTGGGCTGATACTTAACCTGCATACTCGGCGCAATGACGGCGGATATCGGCTTCATCGGTGTGTGTGCTCGACGGAAGTCATTAAATAACGACGAATTAACAGACATAGGTATCGGGAATATGGGTTTTCAGATGGCTGGAAATGTGCGCAAGAAGATGGAGGGCTCTGCAACGCTCCACATTTTCGATGTGAACGGTGTGGCGTGTCAACGTTTTGTGGAGAAATTTTGTGATTTTGGCTCTATTAGGATTGCGAGTTCCTCGAAAGAGGCTGCGAACAATTCTGCAACAGTCATTTCAATGGTGCCTATGGATCAGCATTGTCGAGCAGTCTATCTCGATCATGAAACCGGGGTCATCGCCGCTCGCGCCGATCAAAATCGATTAATCCTAGAATGCAGCACTATCAGTATTACAACGGCTAAAGAGATAGGTAACGCTATCATGGAGGCTGGCCGTGGGAGGTATATTGATACACCAGTCTCTGGTGGTGTCGGCGGCGCAGAGGCTGCCACGCTATCATTCTTTTGCGGATATCCGAATTCTGCAGACCAAGATCCGCTCGCACAACGTGTTAAAGACGTTGTAGGTTGGATGGGTGCGACTGAGCGAATCAATTTTTGTGGCTTTCTCGGAGCAGGACTTGTGAGCAAGATTGCCAACAACTATATGGGTCTTTGCAATCTTGCCGTGGCCGCCCAGGGCATGGCTTTTGGGATGCGGCATGGAATGGATAAAGAAACCCTGTATAGGTGTATCAAAGGATCCAGCGGCGACTCTTGGGTTCTGGATTTCTCACAACCTGTGCCGGGAATAGTTGCGCGAAGTGCATCTAGTAACGGCTTCCGACCTGGATTTACATCTCGCTTGTGTCTCAAAGACATCTCCATGGCGATCAAAGCGGCACAGGAAGTGGGCATCAACGCAACTATGGGAGGGACGGCTCTTAAGGAATATGAGAAGGCCGATCAGGATCCACGAACAACTGTGAGTCTTCTTCTTACTATGCGAATGATGATTTCTAACGAGCTGGTTTGCTCGGTGCAGAATCTTGACTGCTCGTCTATCTGGCTACACATCAATGACGAAATTGATGCCTTTTGCAAATTAAAATGAGATATCTCCGCAGTTGGAACAACTGTGGCTGTCTTCCTTTTATCAGCCAGCTAAAGCACAGAACACTTTATCGAAGAATTTGGCAGTTTCCAGCCCGTAAAAGTCATCTGTTCCTCGAAGGGATTGCGACAGAATACTTCCACAATCGTCTCAATGAATCCCATTGTCAGCACGGCCAATCATTCTGCCTGAAGATAGAAATTCGCCAAATAGGAGTAAGAATTTGAGTTCGGGACTCGCGAGGGATAGTGTTGCTTCAGTGTGCGTGAGACTAGAAATCGATATCAGGAATTAAGAGGGTTTGAGATACATTGTGAAGCATGGTCACCGGTTAGACAGCTGGAAATATGATCCTGAAAGGACACTTCTGAGTTGAGATCTGTGTTCAGGCGGTCTCTAAGGTTAAGGAGAGACACACGATGTGCCCAGCACTAGGCGCACAAATTGCCCTATCTCGTATCACGTCTTTGCCGCATAAACTTCATCAGTGACCGGATCGTACCAGTCCAACCTGCCGAAAGATATGGCTTCGTGAGACATGAAGGTCCCATCGTCTGCCCCATGCCAGTGGATGCCATCAGGAGGGCACCAGATGATATCACCGACTGATATTCTTCTGGGCTTCTCGCCTTGGTCACAAACCCATCCCGAGCCGGCAGTGACCTTGAGCAGCTGTCCTCCCTCATGTTTATGCCAGTGGGTTCGCGCGCAGGGTTCAAAGTTGACGTGGACTATGGTAATGTCCTTGCGCATCAGGATCGGATCGAGATAGACTTGTCCTCCGGCGAAGACGCCCATCTGCTTGGTGCCGTTGATCGAGTCAACGCCCGCCCGTCCATTTGTGACAAATGCCGATGTTGGAGGCTTCTCGCCGGTGTCTCTCGTCTTGGTCTCGACAGGCATCGGGACAAGCGAAGCTGTTGCCGTTATGATTGTTGGGGGGACTTTCGTATTTGCGATATTGTCGACGGGAACGCCTTTCAGACTCAAAGCTATACAATTGCTGGCTATGGTATATGTGAACAAAGGAAATTTTCCCTCGCGGTACGCGTCTAATCGATTAGTGGATCGGCGATGAATGAACGATGACAGTAGTCCCAAAATGCCGTCGAAATTGAACCGCGGCTTTCTGCGGGTTGATGCTACAGATGTGGCTTTCTAACAGAGAGCCTCTACCATGGGTCCACGGCTCTTGAACAGCGTATGATCGCATATCATTGGCTCAGATCTGCCATGAGAGGTTGATATTCATCTGGAGGATTCTCTGTAGGCCGTGGAAATCGACAATGTTCGGCTATGAACCTAAAAGCTCAGGCTAGCCTATCGGTTCCAGGAAGTTACTTCGGCGATAACAGCGGTCGACCACTAGGAAGGATCGAGAGATCTTTCCTTGCACCGCTCATTTAGTAAATTGCAACATGAGAGTGGGACAATCCTGGAAGTTAGTCCGCTGCACATAGAGCCGAGCTTCTTGGCCTTGTGTGAGCCTGGTGGGCCATTTCTCCCACGGCCCGAACGGGCTACCAAGCATTGTCCACTAAGGACGCTTAGTTCGAACATCCCGCGGTTCTGGGGTAACGCTGGGAAATACCCTGCAACAAAAGACTTGTTCATGGTTTCTGATGCTGCGCAGACTTGAAAAAGATTCTAGTTGCAGCAGATGATTAATAGTTAAGCCGGGTCCAAGACAGAACACCTGGGCTCTTCGGCGATCAATATACCGCTATTGCCATTCCCACCTCTCGAGTGCATCTTTCAAAAGGATCTTATCAATCATGGAAACGGTGGCCTTACCGAAGACAATGCTAGCTTGGCAGAAGCATCTTCCGAGCACGACGCCTGTGAGTTGAAGGACGGTGCCGCTTTTTATTCAACTCCAAAGCCGGACGTGCACACCGCTGAGCACAAGAATACAGGTCCGGGTTGAAGTCCCAGTCCCAACCCCAGAAGGGGACGAGATTCTTATCAAGGTTCTTGCTGCCGGAGGTAAGCCTGCACCTTTATAGTCTCCATTGACTGGTGCTGACGTGAACACCATAGTGTGCCATAGCGATTACTCATTGCGAGAGATGACGACTCTTCCACCAGAGTTCTCGAAAATGAGTGGTAAATTCACTTTTGTGGGTGAGGCTGTCGGCAGTCTTTCTTTTTGGCAAGATCTTCTCCCATATACTTACGACTCCTCCTAGGGGCATGAGGGTTGCGGCAAGATTGTTGCTTTGGGGCCGGAAGCTAAAAAGTACAAGATTGGCGATGTAGTGGCGATCATGTGTGTTCCTGGCTGTGGTAAATCGACCTGTCACGAGTGCTCGAACGGAGTTCCTCAGATCTGCTTGCAAGGGCCAAGATATGGAGGTGGGGATGATGGCTTCAACGCTGCCTACACCAAAGTTCGAGAGACTGCAGCAGTTAAGGTCCCTGAGGGGGTCAGTGCGGCTGCCGGCGCCGTAGCCACTGATGCATGCATGACTGCCTACCACGCAGTTGTCGGTCGAGCGGCGGTTAAGAAGGAAGACACCGTTTTGATCTTCGGACTCGGCGGGCTAGGTTTCAATGCTCTTCAAATTGTCATCCATATCGGTGCACGCGCTATCGTCGTCGATCAGCGACAGGTTGTGCTGGATGAGGCTTTGAAGTTGGGTGTCAAGCCTGAAGATGTCATACCTGCCGGCACAACTGATGTCGCCGGATGGGTCAAGGAGAAAAAATTAATAATCGATAAGGTCGTTGACTTTGTTGCAGTGCCCGACACATTTAAAGCAGGCGTACTAAGCGGTAAGATTTGCTCTCCGATGGTTAAAACTTCTCCTATTGAGCTGACTCCTGGTGATTCTAGTCCGTCTTTCGGGCATCATAGTCCTCGTGGGTCTGCTCAGCCCCGAATTGCCATTAGCATCTCCAATCGCCGTCCGAAAGCAGCTCAGTATCCTGGGTAGCTATGGTGGCACCATCCAGGACGTAGAAGCGTGTCTTAGCCTGATCCAAAAACATGTAATTATCCCTCAGGTTGTCACCGGAAGTCTGAAGGATTTCCCTATCTTGCTAGAGAATCTCCACCACGGCAAGATCAAGGGCAGAATTGCGATGATTCCAGAAGGGCTTGAGAGCCAGTAGTATGGATGGAACATATGGAAACCCTATTTGCGCAAAACTTACAACCTATCTTGTTTCCCAGAAAGCGTGGAATGAGCTTCCAACTGCCACTTTCCTCCTTTAACCATACAAAATGAAACGTGATTATACAGTTGAGCATCTGTAGATCCCAAGCAAATCTCCGACCGGAAATCAATCATGTATGTTCGAAGCATTGTTAGTGCCTCGACCGAAGTGCACCACTAGGCGTTGTCTACCTCAAGCCATCTGCTGCAATCATTGTTCAGCTTTATTTATTGCAGTGAAGCTAGACACTGAGGTAACCTATGTTACGAATGTAGTTATCGTCATTTATTTTAGAGCCTGTGTGAAGTCCTGCAAGAACAACCAGCGAGCCTTATTGTCGGAGTCCTTAACCTTCCAGTTCTTGAGCGTTCCATGTGGGAACCACTCAATTCCGACTCGTGGATCCAGCAAGGTTGCATCGTGAGCGATGATGACGAAAACGTTGTCCGCAGCATCGAATTCCTGCATCAGCCCACACGAGTGGTCGGCTTGTTGTTTGTTGTGTGGAACTTCATCGTGAAGGTGGTAGAAAGGGTCGACTGCCTTCTTGCGCGGGTGGATCGACTCAAAGATATGACCAGGGCAAGTCGAAGCATACTTAGCAACATAGGGAGACGGCGTAATATCTTTGGGGATGGGAAGGTATTCAGTTGGTCTGAATTCTCCGCCATGGTGAGCTGTATCAGCTCCCATCAAGACAAATGTATCTTCAGGGTCGCCGTCTTGAGTCGATGTCACACGGGCAAGACCAACTACGTGCCCAATAGCATGGCCAGGTGCATCAAGGATATAGAAGGACCCATCTCCGAAATAGTCGATACCTCTGTAATTACCGACTTTGTGTGTCGGCCCCTTGTCGAAGTCAATTTCTTCGTACTCGCGACCCGCAAAGTCACTCTCAAGAAGAGGCGATTCGCCGTTGTGAGGATAAGCCGGAAAGAAAGCATCCTTTACCCCCCCTCCTCCGATCAACTTGGTACTGTCAGGGAAGGTGGAAACATCACCGGTGTGGTCGAAATGCCAGTGGCTCCAGATAACCGCTTCAATCGAGCCGCCAGCGACATCAACCCCATTTTCTTGCAAAATATCGGCCACGTTCTTTTGAATCTCCATTGCCCAGCCAGGTCCCGAGATGAGTTTGAGAACGGCAGGAGGATGACTTTGCCAATCCTTTCTCAATCCCAGATCAAACAGGATTTTCCGCCTAGACTTTTGCTGCTCTATCAAGAAGCTGAACGCCGGAGCGTTGAGATGTTCGTGTCCGGGTATGGCCGGGTGCATGAAAAGGCCGACAGGTGCCTGTATCCTAGAGGTGGTATCAATGATTGAAACTGTGGCAGAAGCACCTTTGGGGATGTTTAGCGTAGGAGCGGCCTTGGCCGGGTGAATGGTGTAGCTGGACGCCATTGCAGCTGTTGTGTTGCTTGAGGTCCTTCGAACGGAGCTGGAAATCTGTTGACTAGGGCGACGGTGATCACAAGCTGATAGAAGGTGCTGGTGTGATCTGGAAGAATAAAGGACAATCGGATGCTAGAGGGCACAAATCATAAATCTGGCTGAGCTGCTAGTGATGGATGCCCTGTAGATTGTTTGACACGAGGTTGGTGATGCTACAGTTGGTCCCTCACCTTAGCCGGCCGAGCAATTCATCCACGGCCCGGAGTAAGGCGCGGCCGGAGAAAACACCACGGGCCACTCCAGCGTAGCAGTCTCACCTTTCCAAAACAGGAATCAGTCTAACATTCATTATCTCGATTGTCGTCTGCTGCAAGTCAGACGGTTGCCCTACCGGTCAGGCCTACAAGTTCGAGGGTCAGCAGCCTGGAAGTATATGTCTGCTCGGAATAAATGTTTGCTGTCGTCGAAATCAGAGCGGGAATGTGGTGGAGCAGTTGATGGCTTGCGGAGCGCGGCAGACCGTCAAATAACTGTTGGGCCTCGAACACTCCTTGGTGGGGGAAGAAGGACGGCAGAGAGAGTCAGAGAGAACTGTGCGGCCCCGTGGTGATAGAGTTTGGGAGTTTGCGTTTATTATTCGCTGTGCATTTCATGGCAGGCAAGCCCGGTTCCAAACAACTTGTAAACTGCAGAAATATTAGGACTTCATAGGGAGACTACCAGGTAGTGGATCAGGCAAAGGCTCAGTTACGTAAAGCTCAAGTCATCTAGAGCAGCCTTCGCTCATCACCTAGCATCCAGCCGTACAAGACAAATAGGTTTTCCGACTGCGAACAGGTAATCTAGGTAGTTGACATTGTATCCATTCCTTTCCTGCCCCTCTCTTCCCCTCAAATGCACTAAAAATGCAGTGAGACAGTCACTTATCCTCCCCTCCTCTCCTCTCATATACACTAAAAGTACAGTGCAACTCACCAAATCTACTCACCAAATCCTGCCAAGATTGTCTTGTGCATGTTTACAGAGGTAGTATTATTATAAAGAAAACCTATCCTCCATCATCCCTCTTATAAGGAGCCGCTCGCCACTTTACTCACCCCCAACTCACCATCTGCTTCCTGAGCGATCCCTGAATGCTTCCGGAGTCTGCTTGAGCCTTTGGTCTCCGTCTCTTCCCCTTCATTCACAACACCAACTTTTCGTCAACTTTAGACGATGGGATCCATTTGAGATGCTGGGGAATCTCAATCCGGAACCCCTTTCTATGCGCTCGAAGTCCTAATTTGGGCTGCTCCTATGATGCTCTTTTGCGCGGCAATGATAAACAGGACGTATGCGGACACCAGACTTGGCACTAAAAGTTCGTACCAGAGCACCCCTCGCACCAGGCTCTTGACATACGAAATACAAGTATATGGCCGCCCCACTAATTTTAAATATTCAAGAACTCATTATTGTGCTTAGTATTTATGTACCGATGCAACTCCGTCGCCGCCAAGCCTCTTTGTATAGTGCTTCACACGCGTAGACGGAAAGCTATTCAATGACTGGAATTTTATGACGAAACATCTGTTTGCCTCCAGGCGACCGCAAATGCATTCGACTCGGCGGGCTCGGTGCACTGCGCGGTAAGGATCACATGCGAAAGGAGCCTCTAGTTCTCGAAGAGCAGGCGATTGTGCGACAGACAATTATGCCCTCCCGTATCACAGTAGGCCAGAATCTCACATTGTCACCCAAAGCTACCCTACAGTTCTATCTTCTTCGCTCCCTCATCGTCCCGGTGCCATGCCCACCTCTTACAGTGCCCACTGGTCGGACACCACGGGGCAGGCATACATGAGGAGCTGCACAAGTACACCCTCGCGAGCTGAGCGGCCCCTCTCGCAGCAGCATATGTGTGATCGATCGGCCTCCGCAGGTAATCCCGAGGCACAATTTTCTCGTGGTCCTTCAACACGCTTTGTATAATTTGTTGGAAGTCCAGGGCCGTGGCCTGGGTCCCGGAGAGTAACAACAGGTCATAGACGACGTCGCGGTCGTGCAAAAACCCGCGCAAAGCATGCTCCAGCCAGTCCCAATAAGCAAGGTTGTCTTGTCCGACATGCTCATCTGCCCAAAAGTATTGGACGGAACCGGGCTCGTAGGGAAAGAGGCCGTCATCGCGAATCATTGGTCGCAAGGTCAGGGAGGATTTGTCGAGATGGATGGAAAATACCGACTGTATGTTTCTGTCGTGATATTCTTCGCATTCTTCATCTGGAACCCAAGTGACTTCATCCAGCCAAATATCGAAGCAGTTGTCTAGGTTATATAGGTGCAGTAATGAGAGATGGCTCTGTCTTAAGTAAAAGAGGCCATTGAGTCCCGCTGCTTGGAGAAGCGGTTCGATATGCCGTGAGGTCTCATAGTTTATAGTATATTGTAAGTCTGGGACTGCCAAGAACACGTTGTTGTTTGTCAGTGGCACCGACTGATTCGCTTCGTGGTAAAGTTTTCTCATCATCTCCACGATTGGGATAAGAGAATCGTCGAGGGGCTCATAGAAGGGTCCCGCGGGGTTCGGCAGTCCCCACTGGAACCAGGATCGAAGGCGTTCTAAGGACGAGAGTGGCATGCTCGTCTTGGAACTTTGTCTGTCAGCACTGAGCATAGATAAATAAGCCATATAAGTCTTAAGTAGACATGAGAGGGGTATGTGCCTACTTATGCTTGCCTCCTCGAGTAGGGTGATCCGAAACAAAATGATGCCAACGCTTCATAGCTCGAAGGTATGCCTCTGTTCCGTTCACAAGAGCAACATCCGAAACCGTGCCATTAACAAATCCAATGCTTACGGAACTGGAACAAATCAGCAAGATTACTTTACCAATCTCCTGTGCAGGTCGGCAGATACCCGTAGCCAGGTGCTAAAGACAAGCCAACTCCTGGAAAAACACGTCAAGATCCAGCATTGGATGATTTGGGAGACAGATAGCATTGTCTTTCTCAGCACATACCGGGAGCTTCTTGGAGACTAAGTGGACGGCATTCAGCGCAAACAACTGTCGCACAAACGAGACTGCGGCTCGTAAGACTCATCAGAGTCATCAAGGCGAATACGACCCATGCCCAATTTCGCACACTTCGTGAACACAAAGAAGGCATCTTAAGCAGTGGCAGCATCTGAAATCAGAGATGATAGCATTCAAAAGCAATTTCGTGCAGAGGCGACGAAGATGGGGCAAGCCGGAGCCGTAACTAAAAATGGGCCGGCAAAATGATGATGTGTCCTTATATGCAGCGGCAACTAGATACGCGCGCGGCTCGCCGCGGCCGGCAGTGCAGTACTGTAACTCTGCTGAAACCGTGGAGATTTACCACAAAGTTATGTTGGGCATACCTTGGCCCCAGGGTAATGTCGCGGAAATGGTCCAATGGTTTGCCATCAGGCTGGGAAAGCTGGGGCCCAAAATATCGATTACCAAGTACTGTAACACAGCACTTCAGGGTTCGGCGTGCACGTGCAACAACGCACAGAGGCCTGTCCAGCAGGTCGGGAATCGACAACGCGTTTCTCGTTGACGCTGACAAGACAACACCACCACCAACACCACCCAGAGAGGCAATGGCTAGGGCAACGAACGCCTGGCACGGCGGCGGCATTTGAGGACTGGACAGAACTGATAAAACACTCAGGAATTAGGTAGACGGCGCCAAAAGCCCATGGAATTCGTGATACTCTTCTCAAACTGTAAAGAATGGCACTCTGCCAGCACTGTAAACTTTTCCGCACTCCCCCTGCCAGTCCATTTTGGTTTGACATATGACTAGACAACTTCTCTCCCCCCATGCTACCCCTCTACCAGCCCTGCACAGCACAACACAGCACAGCCACTTTGCCTTGTTACAATATATACACCCTCATTACTCCTTACGTAGTTATACTCCCTTTGTGGCTAATTCATGCTATCTACTGAACTATATTGTTCTCAGTAACATTGCTGCTTACACCTTGCGTCTCCTAGCCCTGTTCACACTATCAAGGATCTATTACTGAGGAGCTTAACCTAGTTGGACAATATAGCAGTAGCTCTAATAAGTATATAGAAGCTATAGAATGAACTTTATAATTAATGGAAGATATAGAATAGAAAGAATAGAGAGACGCAACCAGCAATAACCCTGGGAGCTCATGGGTTGGTACGCGGCGCGCCGGAGTAGCCCAACGGTCTCATGGTGTCGTATCTCAGTGTTAGAGATCCTACTGGGGCCTAACTGGGTTAGGGTTCCTAGTAACAATCTAAATAGTATGAACTGATTGGGAAGAACACAAGGTATGAACAGTCACTTATCACTAAGAACTGTATAGTCCAATAGATAACATGAGTTGGCTACGAAGAGAGTGTAAGCTATCTAGAGGTAATGAGGGTGTATATATAATGCTCATACTCTGTGCGCTCTGTGCGCTCTATGCGCTCTGCTAGCAGAGCTCACAGGGCTAACAGAGCCAGCAGAGCATATTACGTAACTTAGCCTTACTCTCTCGCGGACCCTTTCATATGGCTAATGAATGTGATGAGCCGCTCCCGTACAGCCTACGATCGATCCCTTCTAAGGCTATATCTAACACTATTCTCTCTCCGATTAGATTCTTATTCTAAGAATTTATCTTAGCGATAATATAAAAGCGAAATACTATCTAACTTAAAACTATTTAGATCTAAAGATATCTTCTTCCTTCTCTTCTCTTCTCTCTTCTAATCTTCGAAAAGCTTTCTTTCGTTAACGCGCCTCCGAACGTCGTCTTCTTACCGAGAAAATAAAACGCTTAGGCTTTCGCACTATAGCTTCTTATTTAAACTATAGTAAGTCGTCGTCTCTCTACTTCCTTCTAAAAGGTAACTTCCGCTATAACGAGTACACTCGGAAAAATATAAAATATAATGGTTAATACTTCGAGAATAAGTTTTAATTCTGAAAGAAGAAGAAGAAAGAGTTAAAGAATCGCTGTCGAGAGGTACGCGAGAAGATAACTAAACGGGCTCGGCGATTAGCTTAGCGAATGGCTTAAGTATAAATAGAGGTCGCTAAGTTCGTAAGCGAATCTATTAAGTTAGAGCGTCGGTTAGCTAAATATTAGCGGTAGATTAAGAGATATACTTATACTTAGAGTGATATAGTGATCCGGTAATTCTAGGTGCTAGATACTCTTAATTAGGAGAAGGACTATACCCTAGATAAATCTAAGTCGCTAATAACTTAGTACGAGTTTACTTTTAACGACGAGTAGCTAGACGCTTTACTAACGTTAGAAACTACTTAGAGTAATTCTTTCTCACTTTCTTTAGAAGTTTCTTCGAAAGATTAGTTTCCGGTTCTTAGCTATTTTCGTATTCGTCGTATCTTAACTATTTAATTAGATACTAAGGGATGCCGCGTATTATAACAAGGCGAGGTGGCTGTGCTATGATGAGCTGTACTGGGCTGGTAGAGCGGTGACAGAGTGAAAAAAGTTGTCTAGTTACATGTCAAACCTAAATGGGCTGGCAGAGAGGAGGGTGCAGGACAGTTTACAGTGCTGGCAGTGAGCCATTCATTAGAGATTGAGCAGAGCATCATGAATTCCATGGTTTTTGGCGCCGTCTACCTAATTTCTGAGTGTTTTTTATTAGTCCTGTCCTGTCCGTCGATGCTTCCGCTGTGCTAGGTGTTTATAGCCCTAGTCGCTGCTTCTCTAGGTAGTGTTGGTGGTGTTGTCTTATCAGTATCAACTAGAAACGCGTTCTCGATTCCCGATCTGCTGGATAGGTCTCTGTGCGTTATTACACGTGCACGCTAAACCCTAAAGTGCTCTATTATAGTTGGCGACCGCGGGAAGATGATCTATTCATCGAAGATTCGAGCTCTTTACGATAATGTCTTAATAAGATACTGTATTAAGGATTACTGAAGTTAATACTGAAGAGTGAAGGATACGACTAAATAGGAGTTCGAGGTTAACGACTAAAATTCGCGTGGGCATCGATTTAACCCTAAAAGACGATGAGGCTGTTCATAGAGGTAGAGTTCGCTAATTATTTAGGAAACCTTTTCTACGAAAGAGTTTAGAACCGAAATATTAAGAAGAATTTAAGATAAATAGCTCTTTAAAGAAGTAGATTAATTAGTCGCGGATGGAATACTATAGTAGAGACATTTCCGAAGGGGAGATACTCAATTAGTAGAACGAGACGCTATAGTATTATAACGTATAAAGTTTAACGCGGAACTCGAAGAGAAAGAAGACTATCTCTTAAAGATCTAGAAGTTCTCCTAGGCGAGCCGTCGAAAAAGTATATTCGCGGAAGAACTAAGATATAAAAAGAAAGAAGATAGATATATAGAACGACGATAAAGAGAAGAAGTAGAGAGATACGGAATACGAAAAAGTTTTAAGATAGAGGAATATAGTGATAAAGAATTTAATATAAAGCTATGATGATAATTCTAGACTATTACGGTTAGATAGGTAAAGAAAATATTATCGACGGCTAGCTATTGCTACGTCGAATATAGTTCTTCTAGTTAATTAATGTTCGAGGTGCGAACTTAGTCGGCGCTATAGAGATTACTCGCGTAATATTAAAGCTAATTAGAAAGGTCGGTCCTCTCGTATACGGAGATCACTTATAGATCGGGAAGATTACGAACTAAGTATTGAAGAGCGAGATCTATTCGACTATTGAATTAAGTTTCGAGAAGAAGGCGCTTTACTAGGAGCGTAGCAAGTTTACTTATTAATTTGGCTACTACTTTAAGAAATCGTGGGTATTCAAGAGCTTCTAGACTAATTCTTTCGAAGTATAGAAGCGATGACATCGGAGTAATCTAAAATACCGAGGTTTCGGGGACCGGCTACGAGCACTTCTTTAGCGTCTTTCGCGGCCTCCTTATCTTCTTCTGAAGATTCCTTATAGCCGTCTTTCTTAAAATCTATATAGATAATGACGACACCGGATCCGACGATAATAGCGTAGAATAGTGTGGAATATCGCCCTCTAAAGGTTTATCTTAAACCTTTAGTCACGTGATTAAATACGAAGTTTAAGTTCGTATTTA